AAGACCTGGTTCAGGCCCTTGGGAGCAGCCTTCAAGAGACCGGTCCTCAAAATGTGCGACCACTCGGCGGAGGGGAAGTTGCCGGAGGCGGGTCTGTTGATCAGAGCCCTGACCATCTCCGGAGTAGTAGCTGCCTCAGCAAGGCGAGGATTGTTGTAGCCAACGGGAATAGAAGCGATCTGAGCGTATCTGCGGCGACATCAGCCCTGTTGAGAGGCAAACAAGCAATCCAATTGACACTCACACATCGAGAAGCACGTTGCCGTCCAGGTCAGCAATGCTAGTTGGAAGGGTTAGCTGTGATATGCTGTGTTGTTGGGGCGCGTCTCAGCTTCATACTAATTCCCGACGGATTTCGAGTAGTCCGTAAGCAAGTTCAGACTGCGGATGTCGAAGACCTCGTCCAGCTCCGCCGCGGCGGCCTTGTTCTTCGGGCCTGGAATGGCCGTCTTCACAATAGGAGCTTGGGGCTCATTCGGGAAGTATGGCTGCTCAGGCCGTCGAAGGGGGGCAGTGCTAAAGGAGCGGGCAGCGTGCAAGCGGGCCACCGGCCTGAGGTTCAGGCTTGAGCGGAAGACAGCTGCCATTGTCCAGACTAATCAATGAGTGTAAGTATCTAATTCTCAAGTATCGCAATCACAAAGGTTCCATGGTCTGGTCTTACCACTTGAGCAACCAGTCAACAATCAGGAATTGAAGCAATCGCAGAACACGACAATGGCAGGCCAAAGAAACGAGAATCCTCGACACAGAACAGCTATTCTACAGTCGGTGAGGGGGCGCAGCTGGACGCGTTTTATAGCCCTGCGGCGACCAGCTCCAGGAGCTGCCCCGCGATACTGCTGCTGCTGCTCGGCGATGTCGGCCAATAGCAGGGCCCGACGGAGGCCCCGGCGCCGAGAAAATGCCCCTGCCAACCCAGACGGGCAAGTCGACGCATTCCACGGTCCGGCAGCTCTGCGATGGAGCTGGCCGTGGAACGCGATAGCTCATGGATTTTCCTCGCCATAGAAAAGATTTTCCAGTAAATGCATCATGGTTTTGCTTCTTTGTTTTCCAGTTGATTTATAACGGAGTCTGTTGACAAAGATGCTGAGAACCTGCCAGAAGTCAACAAGGCGGTGAGGTCATAGATAATCTCACGCCAAGACCGGGTCGCTAGATAAGCTATGGTCCACAGGGTGCTACAGCAACACACTCCAAACAATTCGACTTTGATCTAGATCGCGTGAAATACTTCATGAGACACTTATATAGTCCAATTTCGGTCTGAAAAATATGCATCAGGGGTCACGAGTTAGATTAATGTGAGTTTAACTGCAGTTTAATTCACAGTATATTGCCTTCTTTTTTCCCGCCTGGACCTCATGCTGAAACTTCCAAAATATAATATACCGCAGATATACCGCAGATGGAGAAATAAAACATAAGAAATCCGCTAGTAAAGCCACACAATATAAACAACATCGGGGATATCACAAAAAGTCCATTTCCACCCATATATACCCATACAGAAACACCCATTTCCACCGCCTGTCGTTATAGCTCATATGGTTCCGTACTCCTGGATTGACTTAGATGACGACTTTGATCTGGTATCCGGGTTCCCAGCACCTTCGATGTCCACGAATCCTCCCTTGGGGTGATCGTGGTGTGGCTCATGGCGCTCGTAATAAGTCTCCATCTCTACCGTGCGCATGATTTTGATTTGGTCTGTTGAGGCATCTCTACCCCCGTCCAGAGTATCTCTTCGTGACCCTGATCGGACCATTATCCGTGAATTCTTGGTCGAATTCCAGAGCTTTCCCGTCCCACGGCTGCGGCCGTAGGAGGTACTTTCCTTCAAGGATGGGAAAAGACGAAGAAGAATGGAGGCGATCAGTGGCCGGAGAGAAGGTGCACAAGCACAGATCTGTTTTGCAGATTTGGTTAGCGACTTTCTCTCAATACGCATGCAGGTGTATGTTCTGTTTTTTTTTTACGCTGATGAAACGTACAATTCCCAGGTTAATCTCGATCGCTCCCGCCACGGCAATTGGCCATGCGTACCAGGTTTGATCGTACGAATCGATCATGGCCTTCCACACATAATACGTCCGCACAGAACCCGCAACATTGGCCAAAACACCCAGGCCAAAGATGCCAATGACGGCAAGACGCTGGCGAGCTGGGAGTTTCAGTCTCCAGATCAAAGGCATCGGGACCACCGTGGTGAGAAAGTCGTTGAAGAGGTTGACCACACTCGCAGCGAACACGGTCGGTGTTTCCGTCCAAGCAGTGATGGGGATACGTGGGATTCAGGTCCCAATAGGCGTGGACAGGGCTGTTGCTGGCAGTTAGCATCCGGCCAGATATCATAGGCGGAGAGGCGGACATACATGCACTGAAAGATGGTGATGAAGATAAGGATGAGAGACAATAATGTGACCACGACCATGGCTGCAATGAGGCAGTAGTTGAAGATTCGGAATGGTCCTTTGATCCCAGCTCCAAGAATACGACGACAGAACCACAGCAGGGAGAGCTTTGTAAACAGTGATGCCACTGAGAAAGTGATTTGAAAGACCATTGTGAGCTTGAATGTCATTGGCAGCCACGTAAGAGGCACGTCCCAGATATGACGGTCCCAGCCGTAGTTTTTCGCGGCAATGGAAGAGGCTGCGCACATCGCAATTGCTGCTGGCTAGATTGAAGTTTGCCCCGTTAGCTAAGAATGGGTGAACAAAAGACAGGATTTTGCAAAATAAAAAAGTCCTTACCAAAGCAAGAAGTGAGAATATGTCATCGAGACCAAAAGTAGCTGTGATCCTGAGCCGGGTATAGATGCGGAGCGCAACCAAGATGGTTGCGAGCGCTGAGAAGACAACATTCACGATAAGGAGTCCAGATCCCCGCGCTTGATAGTCGACATAGTTTGGCTTCGGCCACGAGGCTATCACACTCTCGGGAGGCAGCTGCATATTTGCAGACAGAGCAGCGCGACGATGATAGGATGAGCAGGGTGTGTAGGGATTAACTCCCCCGGGGTTGCATCGTATGATAGGACAGCAATTCGTAGAAAACTGAGATGGACAAATCTCTTGTTAACAGCGTAAACGACCCCTCAAGGGCTCCTTTGGAGGGACAGCAGTCTGTCAACCAGACCAGACGTCAACGAGGGGAAGCAGAGAATATGAAGGGCTCACAGATTCATTTTATGGGATTCTGCCCTTTTTGTGGAGACCGATCATCCACATGAGAAAGTAGCGTGACAGCTGATCTGTGCTCTCCATGACGGGCACCCCTCAGTGGTCGCTGCGCGCTGTCGATGATCATGGAGAGGGTAATTCTCAGCGAGAAGCACTGCGATACGACAGTCGCACCACATTGCAATCCGGAGTTTACTCCAGTCAATGACGCTCATTCGCCTGCTTGGGACCTGATAGACGCAATCATATAGTTAGAGCGCCACCCAGCCTTGTCGCTCGCAGGTGGATTGTGAGGAGACAAAGGCTCATTTGGCAGAGAAGGCGTGGCTAGGCATCTCCGAAGATGGTTCCTCTGCGATCGTCGATCCTGCAGGTAAAGCACTCATCGGCGGGATCCACCGTCGCCCACGGGACAAACACTATAGTCTCGGCTTTCAGGCACAGAAAAGAAGCCGCCGTTGCGGGACTCGGCTGCGCAGGGACGCAGCGCTGACTGGCTGATCCGGCCTTGATCATTAAAGTATTGCCTTTTTCGGAACAGGACGCTCTCCCGTGCCGACTCCGATGCCGACGATGCGAGAATTGCCGCTCGACGGAAGGAAGGTTTGGAGAGGATTGCGATCGAGTTGTTAGCTATGTAGTACTACCTGTCATTTCTCTTGTTTTGATAAGCCACAAACATAGGATGGTCCGAATAGATTCTGCAATCCTGTTTGTGGCTTTCCTGTCAATAAAGGAATTCTGCTCTGGCCGTTGCGAAGGAATAATAAAGTCCGACTCGCATACTCCAGAATCCGTAAATTTTGCCAGTGCACAGACCACTGGCAACCGGATATAATCTTTACAAGTTATCCGCTTCAACTGATATGGTGAGCCACATTGGAGTAATATAGTTATGGATTTATTTGAAGAGGACGGAGTACTCCGTACTGAGTAGTGGTAAGACGATCAGAAACCCACCAAGTGTGCAGATCAGAGATTAGGAGGATCTGCTCTAAAATAAGTCAAGCCCACAGTTCATAGCCATTGAGGCCAAAAATCATTTCCATAACCAGTAATAATATTCCCTCATGCCATTGAGCAAGGCAAGACGTTCCAAGGCCTTGTCCATATCCGCAACTGATGACTGCGTCTGCCAAGGTTGACGCAGACACGTGACACGGCAGATAGGACAGCGTACATGAAAATCTCCGACCATGTGTCTCGACTGCGTGGGGGTTACATCGTCATGCAGCGTGCAGAAAGGTCGGGAAGAGGGGATTGGAGGCATGGTGCACCAGTCAGGCAGGAATTGCATACTCTACTTGGCCTGTGCAGCAATGACTTGTGAGTGAGTGGGAGTGTACAGTGGCGAGCATTCTTCCGAGCACTGCTCATTATTGTTAATAGGATTCGTCTCTGATGATCTTAAAGTCCAGCAATATTAAGTGGCGCTGAACTATGAAAAGATTGATACAACGGAAACCGGACGAGGAATGCAGAACTAGGCGTTATCCCTGCAGGACCTATAGGACTGCCTCTTGGAACACGGAGCACTTAGGTTGTGCAAGAATATGGAGTAGGTAGGCAACTAACTCCTACTGCTAGGCACTCAATCCAAAATCCATATCAGTTGGATTAGTTGCAGATTGCTCCGAAGTCCTCGTTTGCGGCGCAGAAAGACTGACAATTGCCACCTGGATCCTGACGGTCAATCCGCCTTAAGAAGGGTTGCTGGCGTCTGGGAGAAAGAGGAGGCATTTAAGTTGGCCTGGTGTCCTTGGTGAGACAGGCCAAGACAGCGACTCGCACTTCGGAGCAAGTGCCCGGAGTACGCCGTAAGAATGGCAGCCACGCAGCCAATGCAACCTGCCCCACCGATGCCTGGTGTCGTTCTAGAACTGGACGCCACTTAGTGACGTGGTGATAAAGACAGGGATGCGCTTGGTTCTATAAATCATGATGTTCAGAGTTAAGAAAAGGAAGAAAATACGGAGTAAGGAGAGAAATAAAAAGAAAGAGCGAGGTTCTTTTTTTATACTAATTCATTGCACTGGAATAGTTAAAAAAAAAAGAGAGAGAATCCATATAATACTCTGGAGAGATCAGTCGAGCAGAACATGCTTCTCCCCTCTATCGTCGTGCAATGCAGCTGTTTGTCTTCACAATCGAATTCGCTCCTGCCCTCCCCGGATCCCTCAACGTCCCCGTACCTACCGAAGGGGAAGGCGCGGTTCTGGACTCGCGATTAAGCTTGGCCCCTGCCTTTCTGGGCTGGCAGAGCTGCCAGCGCGGGTCTTCCCGCCCCGGTGGCTGCTTCCCAGCGGGCTTGCTGCCCTGTGATTCGCTTCCGCCAGCATTTGAAACAATCGCCTGCATCTGCTGCAAAAGACTTCTGTAAATAGCTCGCGATGGAGCTGTTTAACGTTGTGCAACGAATATAATGCCAGTGGGCTGCACGAGGCTGGAGCCTCTTCCCCGGCTTAATATTATACTTCCATTCCCTTGCCTGTTCTTGTTTTCAAACACTGCCACAGTTTCTTTTTCATTCATTCTTTTTTAAATAGACATTTCTCTTTTTTTGTTTATTTCTTTTTGATTCGATTCATTTCAAGAGTGTCGGCCTGGCTCGACCTTAATTTACCTTCGTTTTATTCATTTTATTAATTTGTCGCGGGCCATGGATTCTGGATCGGGGTCTTCTGGCGGTGCCTCCGCAGAGCAAAACGCCGTGGATTCAGACGGCCCTGCTCCAGTGCCAGCAGATGTCCGTTCTCATGATCAGAACAATAATGGCCAACCTACCGTTCACACACAGAAGGAGCAGGATTCTCCTCATCTCAAAGCCTCATCGCGCCCAATCTCTTTCACCGAACTTGCCGCTGCTCAGCAGAGCGTCCTAGAGTCTCATATGCATATGCTACATCATGGGTCCACCGACTTAGAACACTATTTTGTGCGTCACGGTTTGGCTTTGGAAAAGGACTGGCGACTGACGTTGGTGATGGCTGCAGGTTGGTCCTCGTGATCTCGACAGACATTCGAAATGGCCGACATTCATGCGAATGCATGGCAGCGTCCTGCCTCGATTGATTCTTCCTCTCCTGTTTATGGCCGCCTGGTCGACCGTGATCACTTGCGTGTCGGTGTTGGTCCATCCTTGTGGGTGTCGCGTCCAAATTGAGAGTGGTGGACTTGGTTTAACACTGTCTCAGTGGAAGTCTCGAATATCCTGCTGACCGTCCTCGGTTTCGTCGTCGGTTTGGCATTATCGTTCCGAAGCTCGACCGCATACGAGAGGTAATTCCGGAAGACCATTCTCGACCAAACATCCACTGACACGGCGAAGATATGCAGATGGCCGGAAATATTGGGCTCTCTTGATCCAAACAGCTCGGCACATGGCTCGAACAATCTGGGTGAGCATCAACGAACGCGAAGGAGAGGAAGGGAAGGAAGATCTTCTGGGGAAACTGTATATCTTCCCATCTTGTCGGGACCCGGAATTCGGTCATCCTCTAACCCGGTCGGCAGTACTGCGATAAATCTCATTCTCGCGTTTGCCGTCGCTCTCAAGCACTGCTTGCGGTTTGAACCAGACATTGCCTACAAGGATCTCGTCGGACTGGTCGGACATCTGGACACCTTCGCCAAAGAAGCTCATGACCCCGCAATGGTTGAGCCGCGCAAAAAGACCCCGTGGAAGGCGACCGGAGAGTATCTGGGTGTGTCGTTTGCGGAGTCAAATCCCAGAAAACTGATCAAGCGAGCAACGAAGCCGCTGGGACATCTGCCGCTCGAGATTTTGCTTTACCTATCCGCCTACATCGATGAGTGCGTCAACAACGGGACGCTGTCGTCATCGAATCACCAGAGCCAACTCAGTAAGAATTTACCTGAAGATAATTTCTCGGATGGTTTCTAACTTGCCTAGTCGGTTCGGTGGCTACTCTGAATGAAGTCTTGACCGGGGCCGAACGGGTGCGAGATACGCCCATGCCAGAAGCATACAACATTGCCATCTCACAGATTGCCTGGATCTATATCTTGGTGCTTCCATTCCAGCTGATCCCGTCGCTGAAATGGCTTACGATTCCGGGTTCTGTTGGTGAGTAGCCCCATATTCAGAAGACATCTTTGCACAGTACAATGTAATGAACTGACGCCTGTCCAGTCGCTGCATACATCATCCTCAGCCTCGTTGCCATTGGTCGAGACCTCGAAAACCCATTTGGCGTCGACGTGAACGACCTGCCACTGGATACTTACTGCCGACAGCTAGCGTCCGAGCTGGACATCATCACGGCCAGCCCTCCTCCCAAGATGAGCCAGTTCATGAACAGCAGCGACAACCTCGTCCTATACCCGCTGAGCCTTAAGGGCTACGACAGCTGGAAGCAGCGCAGCGTCGACGAGATCCGTGCCGCGCTGAGGACCAAGGTCCGCACTCAGCCGCCTACTACGTCCGCTGAGTCGTCCTCTTCGAAAACTGCTGTCGTGAATGACGAGGAAGCTATTGAAATAAGATAGATTTGTCGTGTCGATTGTCATTATCGATTGAAGAAAAGTTTACTTACGGAATGCTCTGGAAAATCAAACAAAAAGGTTTACTATCAATTCGCGGGGCGGTGATTTGTTTTTTCTACACCTGGGGGGAAAAAAGATTTTGGCGTTTAGACTTGTTCTTCATTTATTCATTCTTTCTTTGTTTGATCATCTTTTTTCTTTAGAAAAAAAAGGGTTAAATAAAATATCTTGGGCGGCCTGGTGTTCATCTCTCTTTCTTTTTCTCTTTTTGGTGTCCCTGAAGGCGTGATACTTCCAATACAATCAAATCTGCCTTGATGATAATAACCTACCTCAGCAGTGCAACCATTATAGCATTATGATATAAGTTCATCGAGTAGAACAAGGAGAGAGAAGTTTTTTTTATCATTGTCATTGTCATTGTTCCTCCTATCTATCTATCTACATACACAGTTTCGACTGATCAGCGCTTTCCTGTCGTGTGCCGTGACATCTCGACCAGCGTAATGTAACTTTTTCTTTCTCAAAATCAGCCAGACCCTGGGCGCGCGGTCCCGTGGTTAAGCCAACTATCTGAGTAAGTAAGCCAGTTATCTATAGAATTCTGTCATTACGGGATCGTCCAGGTCGATTCGATGATGCGGCGATGGTCTGTCTGTCTCTGTTCGATGAGGGTGCGCAACCATCACTATCGTCAATCCAACCCAGATATATCAGTGTCGAGAAAGGGCCCGCTAAGCCCTGCTCGTCGAAGGAAAGGGCATATATCGATCGATCGGTCGTCGCGCACTCGGTGAGAAGATGAATTGTTTGATCTTCTGATTAAACGCCGACTGGAAGTATACACCACACACATCGTGAAGAAAGGACAATCCCCCTCCCGACAGTCAGTCATACCTCAGATCTGACCCGAACTGATCCCTTCACGGCTGAAACAGCTCACTCCCCGAACCATGCACAAGCGCACCAAGGAAATTCCCCTTTGCGCACACCCTCCACGCGACATTGCCGCCGTCGCCGACACCGATGCCGGCACTGCTGGTGCTGCTGGTAGTGCTGGTGCTAGTGCTACCACCAATCCACGAGCTTAGCGCCGATACAACAGCGGCAACGTCCTCGCGCGGCACGCGGATCCACATGAAGACATCCCCGCGACGCGCCTTTTCGATCTTGAGGATGTCGATCGGGATCGCGGTGCCGGTTAATCCAAGGAATTGCGACAGGGCGGAGGTGAGATATGTCCGCGCTGTGACGGCGTCTAGGGTCGCGGCTGATAATGAGAGTGGGTGCGTGATTCTAGGAATGTCATTTAGTAAATGCCCGAGTGTTGTTATGTTGGGAAGGATGGGTCCTGGTACATGTACATACAATTGCAGCTTGAGATACGTCCACAGCGGATTGCGTGACGTAAAATGGATCACGTTGCTGCGATCCCGGTGATCACTCGACTCGGCTTTTCTTTTTGTAGATGGCGGCTGTGTCTGTGTCTGTGTCTGCGCTTGTTGTTTTTGTTGATGTTGAGACTGACTCTCGTCCATCATCGCCTCCGCCATTTTTGATCAATCAATCAATCAGGCAGACAGACAGGCAAAGTTTGGCTTGGATAAGTATCATGTATGTAAAAGCGACAGACAAATATGAACTTGCTCCTTCGTAGGGATCGATGGTAGCTAGCTAGCTGGAGCTGAACGGACTCGACTGATTGACCGACTGACTGATTGCAATCCAATCCACTCGTCAGACTGACAATAGAATAGAACAAACGCAAAGACGTCTATTCCCCTTTCTTTCGAGAATATTAAAAAAAATCATTAGTTATTTATTTTCATCATTATTTGCGTTGAGTGCATTACTCCGCATGAGGTAATTAGGTACCTGGTAGGTAAGGTGTAGGTTGTTAAAGGTCGGAAAATAGAATTTTTAAGTTTGGCGCTAATCACGCCGATCGCGATCGCGATGTCGATGCCGATCCCATTATTTCCCCTCTCCTGTCTGACTCTGGCCGGACAAGGTTGTCCTAAATTAACAGGATAGTGTATAGTCTTTTTTTCCCCTACGACTTCATAGAGTTAGGTAGATTGCTAAAGTTACAGTCGTGTGTGTCATTTTCATGATTCTGCTGATCTAGTGCGGAGCGTTGCCGAATTTTTAACCTACTTAAGGTACTCAGAAGAATCTTGCTTTACAAATGGAGATTACTTGAACGTCTGTCTAATGAGCCAACTTTTTTTTTTTAATTTTTCTGTTTAAAACCACTAGCTAGTTTACCTCCATGTCTCAAATTAGAGTACATAGTAATGTGGCAGTACTAATAAGTAGACCGCTAGTTCCAGGCGAATGTGAAGAGTGAATCTCAATCAGAAACAGATCGAAGATCGATAAAGAAGGGACTGACAAGCCAGAGAGCAGATCGAACTGGCATGTCAAAGCTGACTGATCTTGTGCCCATCGTCGAAAGATGGATGTCGACTAGACAGTCTCGGTGTGGACCTCTTCAGGCATCACATCCGCTGCCTCGTTTTTCTTCGGCGACGGGGGAGTCGCATGACTGTACGTCTCATCGAGGTCGGTGTGGTACAGCTCCGGACACACTGCGTCCTTGCGCCAGAAGATGTAACGCCTGATCCACCACGGAAGAACCTCGGTAAGCTGGTACTTCGCGTGCCGGCGAGTCGTCACCGCAAAGACATAGTCCAGCTCCTCCAGAGAGCGCTGCTTCGTCTCTGGCACGAAAAGGAAGATCAAGATGAGCGCAATAAAGTTGAGCCCCGCGTAAAACCCGAATGCCCCTTGAGGCTGGAATGCATTGAGCATGTACGGGAACGTGAGTGAGAGAATCGATGCCCAAAAGTTGTTTGTCGCCACAGCCCACGCCATACCAACTTCTCGGTGGGAGAGTGGAAAGACCTCTGCCGAATACGTGAACGGAACTGGGCCCTCCCCGGGAGAATAAAACATGGCAAAGATGTAGATGAACAGGGCGATCAGTCCCAAGTGGGCATTGCTGGAATCGGGGATCCAGAAGCAGAAACCCGCGGCCAGCAGAGTCCAGCACATCTGCGGGAACGTGAATAGGAGCAGGCCACGCCGTCCAAAGGTGTCAATTGTGTACACTGCCGGCCAAGCGAAGAGGAAGTTGATCAACCCAAATCCCCAAGATGCCAGAAGCGCCCCAATGTTGCTCGCACCCGCTTTAGAGAAGATGGTGGAAGAGTAGAAAGAAATAATGTTGACTGTGAGATATAACTGTTAGCCGACAAAGAAAAGAAAAAAAAAATTCTCTGGATGCATAACTTACTTCCACACAACTGTTGAGCAATCATGACGATTCCAGAAGCCTGAGCCGCGCGACGGACTCGTGGGATGGTCGCCAATTCAACGAACCGCGTGAACATATTCACCGACTTGCTGAGACCAGCCTCTTCGATCAGAATCTCCTCTTGTACAAGCTGGGCATGAATGAAATAGAGATCCCGAGCAGCTTGAAGCGGGGTATTCCTCAGTCGAAGGAGGGACCGGTAGGCTTTGGCGTGGTTCTTCTTCGTCATGAGCCATCGAGGAGACTCAGGGCAGAACCAGACTCCCAGGACAAGGGGCACGGCGGGAATGAAGGCTGAGCCCAGTTGCAGCCTCCAGGTAATTGTGCCCACGTTGACGACTGCTAGGTTTGCACAGGTACCCAGGAAAATGCCAAATGCTGTCCAGAGCTGCCAGGACATGACCAATCCACCACGAATGTTGGTTGGGGCATTCTCAGCAGACAAGACAGGAACCGTGACTTCTTTCAGACCCATGCCAGCGCCAAGCAGAATGCGACATGCTACAAGCTGACCCCAGGTTTGAACGACACCAGAACCGATCGGAGCAAGGAGACTGAAAATAGCGCCGATGAATATCACTCCTCTACGGCCAATCCAGTGGTTGAGAGGGTCAGCAAGCCAGCCGAATCTACATTATATGGTTAGTGAAGTTAGCTTAAAAAAAGAAAAGCAGAATGGGCTTACATGATGCAGATAGAGATGTAAGGAGCAGAATTGATGAAGCCCACGATCCACGCATTCTTGCTGCAAGTACCAGCATTAGTACATTGAGGCCCGTCGTCTGGGATTCCCAAAGCGGCCTGAAAGGTGAGATTCGCTCCGTTGGAACCTAGTATGTGTCTGTTAGTCGACAGCTAGTGCAACTCGGGAGTGGCTGCTGCAGTACCGGTCTGATCCCATCCTTGAATAGCAGCAGCGATAGAATTCAGCACAATAGTGTAGTAGAGAAGAAAAGGATGCTTCCAACGGCGGGTGACTTCCTCGCGCAAGGCTTGACGTTCGTCCTCTTCGAGCTCCTCGATCGCCTCAAAATTGCGAGGATTCTGAGCGACGAGGGCTCCTTTCTTCAGAAGAGGGAGAATATCGACAAGGCCGTACTCGTTGGCATAGTTCTCAACATCCTGAAGAAGCTGTTCCTTGGGAATTCCAACAAGAGGGTTTTTGATCCTGTCCTGGTCAGATGACATCAAACAGACTCCGGGGACGGTACGACAACGTACTCTCCAGTGACGTTCTCGGTCAGATCAGCAACGCTCTGCTTACGCCGACGCTGGTCTGCAAAGATCGAAGGGCGCCGGCCATCGGTCGCCTCGTTGGGAGCTTTAGGAGGCTGAGGGGTTCCCTCGTCGCTGAGATCGCAAACGTTAGTAAGGGGGAAGTACGGGTATGGATACGCGTCTTAGAATATACATACATCTCCACGCTCTCTTCTTTGCTCATTGTGACTGCGAGGGTGTAGACAGTTAAGAATCGAAAGGACACCGAGAAGTACCGGGGCAGTAGTGATTAAAAGGATCCTCTGTGACTCAGAAGGAACTCCTGGTAGTGACGAAGGACTGACTGGTGACGGAGACAGTCTTAGGAAACTTCCTACGGACCAAAACACTCTACGGCGAAAGGCCAGGGATTTATATCCTGGACGGAGTTTTCCGAGCAAAAAGGCGATACTCCACGGGGCCGCGTGTTGACAGCCTTGGGGCGACTGGGGCCAGTGGATCGAAACCCAGCAAAGCCACTCATACGGGCACCAATAGCAACTGCTGATGAGTGATTTTTAGCAAGCGAGGCCTCTGCAGTTAATGGCATGACACCCTGGACTCGAGGTCATCTAGGGGAAATACATCATCCATGATTGGCGGGCATGGTCAATTGGTCTCATCAGGGCGCTAGCAATCAGGGTGCAATGCGCCCTGTCAGCCCCGCTCATTTCGCCCTGGTAAATGGAGGAATTAAAGAGTCCGGCTAGTGCCTCTGGCAGCAATCGCAGGGTTGTAACCGCAAGGCTTGACAGCGGGATGTTCCGCTGTGCCGTTTCTGGGAATACATCTTGTCTATGGGTTGGGCTGGTTTCTCCATAGTTAGGCCGTCACGCGCCGTATTTGTGTACCTCGAAGAGAGTTTTTGATGAGAGAATTTGCGAATGCAGACTGTACGGGCAATAATCCAACAAAGAACCGGATAAGCTATTGGGTCCGGCAGCAGCATGGCGTTGAGAACTCCGTAGACCTGGGTGCATAGCCTCGAGGCCTTGGATGGCCAATAGTTTGTGGCGTCCTTGGCTGCAGCACCGATCCGGACTTGAAGCTGTCGCCTCCAGGCTCCAGCTGAAAGACGTTTGCCTTTTGTGGGCGCTGGCGTCAGCCCTAGGCCGGCTGATTCTTGCTTAGAATAGAAATGAGCGTGCAAGGCCGCAGTCGATTCCGCAGCCCCGGAAATCCCCGCAGAGCCCGCCGTCATCTGACCGGACGCCAGAGCTCTCTTAGTCAACGTTCGCGTCGGGGCGATCTCGATGGGTGAGAGCCTCGTCAGATCGGCGATGACCACGGTCTCTAGATGGCCGCGCGGCGTTAATCCGTTAAATTTCTCCAGTGTAAAGTACACCAGTGCGGGGGAGAAACAACCTACATGCAATGTACTGTATGTACATGCACCCATGTAATTCGGGAAGCCACCTACATGTCCTGCTCGATTTCAAAGCTGGCCAGGCGTCTGCTCTGCCACTGAACATTGTCCGCCGTGAGTGAGAGTATATCACGCTCATTGGTCTGTCGGAAAGATTGTCTCCGACCTCGCAGCAGCTTTGGAGGCAGATCATGTCAAGTCGAAGTCGATCCCCGCGTGGGTCCGCATGCGATGTTGGTAAACGGTGTCAACTTAATTCGGATAAGCTCGACACGCTCCCCCAAAAGGAAACGACAGTTGCTTTGTGGGCGCGGGATTCTTTCCATTTTCGTATGCTGCTGCTCGTTATCTGAGAGATCAATGTCGATCTCCTAAAACTAAAGAGAAAAACAAAGAAAAGCGCGTAATCTGATCGCTGGCCATGTGGCAGAGGTGCACGTGAGAAGGAACAGAGTTCGAATCCGGAGCACTGTGCGACATCAGCCACGCCGAAACAAACGTATAACAGATTGCACAAGGTTTTGACAGACGCAACAGGCATGTCGTACAACGCCGCCAAGCAGCATTAATTTAACTAAATTTAACTAAGAGCAGTGGCGATGCCAGGGAACCCTTCGCGAGGTGGTTTGATGCGAGCCGTCAGCTGGACGGGAACGAGGCTAGCTTGGCTAGGGCGCTGCGAGTCGGAGGAAAAGCTTCCCGTCGAATGTTCCATGGAACACCCCAAGTCTTAACTCAACATAAACCCAGTTGGTACTTAAGACATCTCGACAATAAATTTCTGTCCCAAGACAGGTATCGTCACAGATAACGGCAGCAACAATTCATACAATGAGCAGATAAAATGTTGTTGTTAGGTCTGTTCGTATAGATATAGGTATAATTAAATTATTACCCAAAATGGTAACTTGAATAATACCACATCTTTTTGCCATCGAGGCCCATACATCTAGTGAGAATATCGAAGAGATCAAATATACGGGAACGCTGGCCTAGGACTTGCAGCCGGTATGATCCTGTTGACGTCTGAGAAACAGAATTGAAGGGTTTGCTGACGCATACTGCCAAAATTCTGTTCTATATCCGTGTCTGGTGGTCTTTTATACCCTATATCACAGTCATCTTCATACCAAATGCGCAGATTTTGAGAAGCAATTGTATCCTCATCGTGTATATGTCTTTCCATTATGTATAGACCAAAATTGCAATGCCAAAAGGATCGAAAGAATTGCGCTATGCCTCGCTTTTGGTGCTCCTCCCTCTCCGGGTCTGTTTCTGCCAGCCAATATACAGTCCAAGGGCCTCCAAAAAATTTGGGGAATATCACAGTCCATGATGTCTTCACAAATACAGCAGACGGATCTTTATCATTCATATCAATTTTCTTTTTCCCAGTTGACAGTGACGCATCCGAGGCTCGAACGTGAAGTATTGGATGAGTAGTCATTGCATTTTGCCCATGACAGCAGGAGAAACCACAAAGAAGGTCTGTTGACAGTGACGGGCGGTAAGTCCCGTCCAAATCGCCTGTGAATGCTCTCAGGACACCGCGCTAGCGCGTTGCCATAACCAAAATAAACAAGAGAGCATCCGTCTGGCTCTTTGGATGACAGGTCTCTTTCAAAACCTCTCATCCCTACTCTGCCAACACCGACTCCTCCCAACTTCATCCAGACAGGAGACTTCTGATCTGATCCATAGGGTCTATCAGGTGTCTGTCTGTCTAGATATCCCTGTTTGTGTTGGAACCCCTTTGTCAGTCAAGCAATTTTCCAAAAGAAATCCATCCATACTTGCCTTATTTTCTGTTTCATCCCTCAGAGACGGCTCTTCTTCTGTCTACAGTCAAAGAAAGAAAGCTGTTGGCCTCCAGGGGCACACATCCTTCAGCTGGTTGACCTGCTTAACAACACCTCCATACCTTGCTGTCCCAAAGATATTGTCTTCAGAACTGTGCTCTCGTTGAAACTCGGAAGAATGGCTCCAGGACAGCTGTCTCCGGAGCCACAGGAGGGATCACAGCAGATCGAGATTCCCCTACGTCCATTTCCGTTAAGGGACATGACTGCATATCAGTCGGGTCAGTCAAACTGGAGTATCACCAATCTTCCAGCAATCCTGTATGTCCTCAGGCCAGAGGACGAGCATAAAACGCCAAGATCTGAGGTGCCTCTGACTGACTTCGAAGTCTTTGGCCGGAGAGTTAGGCACTTTCCATTTCTGCCACGGCAGATTTCGTCCCAGGTCGAAGGCTGGCGGATGGAAGCGTGGTTTCGTATGGACCGCCGCATCAGGCCGCAGGACTTCGTTGATCGAATGCATCCAAACTGTAATGTTGGAGTTGAAGAACTTGAGTATCGCAGAAAATCTTTCCGCAAAGATTTCAAGGTTGCCCTCTGGGGCTCAGGCTCATCGATTGCTGCCCTCACCCGTGAGCTGAAGGCACGTGGCATCGACCCAGCCCGCAACACCACAAGAGGGTTGACGCCAGGTCTCATCGATCCTGCAAAGGGGGAAGCTGGTGGACGAGTTCCTCTCCCGGGAAGCTGGCAAGCCCATGTTCACCCTGATGAAGGAGCAGCTGTTTCTCAGCGGCTTGCGCAGCTCGCTACAATAGCACTGCAGCAATCGCAGTCATCGTCTGCTGAACCTAGCCCTCCGTCTTCCCTCACAGCCGCGTTTGCTGCACCATCTTCTACACCTTCTGGCTCGAGCCCACCTTCTAGCTCGAAACCATCATCTAGCTCGAAAGAACAACATGCAAGCCTTCTGAAATCCTTCCAAGCTTCACGGACGAAATCCACCAAGAGAGGGCCTCCAGACTCGCTCTTCTCTACTCCAACAAAGCAACCAAGGAGAATGATGCCAGGAGAACCCACTGAACAGAGCGTCACCAAGCCAGGAATTCAAGAACATGCAGGCAACGGCGGGCAAACTGCAACAGGCCATGGTGAACAAGCCGCAGTTGGCTATGGCAGGGAAGCTCCAATGCGCTACGGCGGACAAACTGGAATGGGCCTTGGTGGCCAACCTTCAATGGGCTTTGGTGGGCAACCTGCAGGCTTTGGCAGTCAACCTGCAGTAGGACTTGGTGAGCAAACTGCAACGGGCTATAGTGGACAAGCCACAATAACCTACGGTGCATGGCGTACAGCACCACGCATGATGATGTATGTTTCAGCACAGACCATTCTATTTGCCTGTGAAAATTCAGCTAACATACTTTCTACAGCCCCCCGGCACCCATTACTCGCACGGTTAACTACTTTCCATTTGAGTATCCAGATCCGACAGAGCATGAGCTCACAGAACTTAATTACATTGTGCCGCCTAGATTGAACCCTACCAGGAATGAAGACCCCCTTTGGAAATACCTCAGAGAGAATAATCTCACATACCAGCAGTTCTTTGAACAGCAGCGGGAAAGGGAACGTGAGGAAGCGATGTGGCGCATGCACATGAGGACTCTGCGGCGCTGGCACGGATCCTAAATAAATCCACCTGGTTGACAAACAAACATGGCAGTAAATGTGAGAGATTAGTGAGGATACAAACACAAGTTCTGGTGTTTAGATTCTGGGAGAGAAGGAACGTTGATGAAGAATTGGTGACAGAACTGTAAGATTTTGATTGACGATTGATGACTCTTGCCTTTTGCCTTTTGTTTTGTTTTATTCTTTTTATCAGCATGTTTTCTTGGGGAAAAAGGAGAAAAAAATTGAAAAAAGAAAAAAAAAGACGAAAAAGGTGAAAATTGAAAAAAAAAAGGCATGTACGATTAGAAATAACTTGACAGAAAAAAATAAAAAAAAGTTGTACGATTAACTTATGGACTCTTCTCCTCGAGCAGGAGATTTCCAGAGATTATCATAAAGACTACGAATTACAAGAATAGGGTACGCCTGGGGGTCAAAAAAGAGTAAAAATAAAACTCCTTGGTATAGAATTACCACATCTACAAGCCACTGACACTGCAGATATGGAGACGACTATTTGTATTTAAGGGCCATGTCTCAGCGCTGAAAGAAGATAATTCTCATTTTGTCAAGCTGGCTGATTTCCTATCTGCATATTCTTGTTCTTGGAATTCTAAATGTGCATCACGTAGGAGATGCTAATCCTATTACTAGTCCAGAGTGATCTTCACTCAGAGATTCAAAGCAGGCAAAGAAGGGTTGTTTGCTTGTTTCTGCTACTATCTTGCCCTACGCGTGCTACACAGTCTCAGACATTTGACATCTACCTGCATTCTTCTACACAATCCATTACAAAGAGTGTCTTTGCACAGACCTGTCTCGTGCCTACCATGGGCTCTCAAAAGAGACAGAAGTCAGCATTGTATCGTCGGCCAACACAGAAGAAGGCTGTCCGCGATCAGAGAGATGAGCCTCGTGCATCGTCGTCCATCTCAGTAAAAGATCAAATGGAAGACAAATACGAAGACTCACTGTCAAGCAGCTCTCTTTCAGACATCGACGATGACACCCTGAATAGTCTTGGTGAAGAAATAGGCATATCTGATTCCCCAGACGAAGATTCAAGCACTGGTACATTATATTAATAAGATTTACTTATTGACAGTTGCTTACAAGAAACCAGATCCTCACGAAACCAATGAATACAGCTCTCTATGTCCGCGTTGGTAGCATCTTTCTCAGTCCATGCTAGAAATATAGATGCTGACACGAAATCAAATACATCTAGATTCTGAGCCTCCAGGACCCCTTCATACATGCGTACACCCGCATCATTCACGGTTTTCTGCAGCCCGTCTCCCTCCCATTCTTTTCAGATTAGATCCGCCTTCTCAGCCCAAGCAGACTGGCCATATTTTCCCGTTGCGCGAGGGGGGCAAAATCGTGACAAACGCAGATGGCACACCGCTTCGCAACTTCTCCTTCCTCCCTCGGTACATCTCCGTCCAAGTGCCCGGATGGCTTCTGGAGTACTGGTCGCGAACAGACCCGCGGTTGACATACAAGGACATCATCGCGCGCATGGTTGGCGAGCTGGACAAGCTGCCTACGGAAAACACCCTCAACATGCGTCGAGAGCGCGAAGCGAGAGGACCGCTGGGCCTGTCCTGCTGGTCGAACAGCCGCTCGAAGATCACGCGGGCAGAACTCAGGCGCGTCGAGGGGTGGAAACGGACCAAATATGGCACAATACGACCATGGACATCGAATACACGCCTGGTATGACGCCGTTCCGCCTCCGTGCGAAAACGCTTGTCGACGTTGATGACGGCGACGACGATGACGATGATGATAACGCACCCTATCGCTATTATCCCCTCGACACCTTCCTCGAGAATGGTCAGCGGCGCCATGTGCCCAGCCCACGCACCGCCGCGGCGATAAACTTCTTCTACAAGCTCGCGGAACAGGCGCTCAAGGAAGGCCTCGAGAGCTGGGAGGTTCTCTACGCCAAGGATCCGGCTGCGAGCAAGCACATCCTGAAAACGTCCAAGAAACGTCCATCCAATGGTAGACTGGGGTCAAAGCGTGTTCGACGGTTGCGGATAGCGAGTGTAGAGAGCAATGAATGAGATCTCTCTCGTGAGAAATTGTCCCCTCCCTAGCCAGATAGCTAGGTAGGTTGATGGGCGGATTCAGAAGACTGCTCTATCTTCAAGTCCGTTTTTCCAAACACCAAAACACTACATCTACGCATGAACTGTTTGTTGGAGTAGTGGTGTAAAACTTTCTTATCTGTTCTGTCTTTGTTTATGGTTTCTTGTTTTCTTCATTTCCTCTCATTCTGTCCCGTTTTCATTTAACGATAATTCCCCCTCTATGCCCACCCTTATTTTGTTGAATGGAATTGGGATTGAAATACTACAGATCACAACTAGGTATTCTGGGTAGGTCGAACTCTGAGGATGCAAGGACTTCTATTCTAGCGAAATCAGATAGAATACAGTGCTATTCTCATCTATCATGCAAATAATGGACCATGCAGTAAGACCACTCAGTAAAGCACAATGCTGTCGAGCGAAGAGAACCCGGCGGCTACACCTCCTTCATTACTTTCTTTGCCCTTAGTCCTCATCAGCCACCCACCTTCTTTGTTGTGCAGGATCTCTCCGTCTGACGACCATAGAATGGTCCCAAAGATCCCCAGTTCGCCAACAACATTTCCACTTACGACTTGACCGTCGCTCCGGAGCACGATATTCTTGGCCTCAGCTGGGGGCTGGATGAGCTCCATCAACACCCAGCGCTTCCACTCAGTCTCTGGGGTGGAGCGTAGGAATTCGGGAATATCAGTCTTGTAGATATTGTTGCCTCCTCCCTCTCGTTGCGGCTTAAGCACATGGTTTGCCGCCGTTTCCGGATTTAGCGCTAGCTCTCTTCCGCGACCGCCAGGGGCCAGGTCATATTGCGGTGCAAAGGTCTCGCGTATCCTCGCAACAGTCGCTTGATCTTTGCCAGGTAAAAACCTGGCAAGATGATCTGCTCTATTAGGATCAGCAAGAACCTGTTGGACTTTCTTACAGCCAGAGAGCTGATTGAGGACTGTTGGGCATTTGATAGCTGCAGAGCGTTCCAACTGAGTCCTGGCAGCCCAGTCGCGGTCTAATTTATAATCCGTCGGAGCATAAAAACTTCGCAGGTACACAGTCGTCACTTCGAATGGCGTAGACCGAGAGTGAGGTGGCGTATAGACTAGGGGCCTGGAGGGATTGGAAGCCGGTATGGAGGTGCGGTCCAGAATCTCTGATGTCTTGAGACGAAAGACGGGTATCTTATGGAAGTTTGTCAGGCGCGTCGAGAGCGCTAGCTGATCGAATATATTGCGCTCGTTCTCTTGAACGATGAAAAGGATACATAGTGGAAGTGACGGCGACGACTTTGAAGATCCATAAGCAGTATGTGCCGCAGCCAGTCCAGCGCTTAGGGTTTCCACTGCGGTATTCTCGGGTGGCAACTTGCCATCAAGGAGAGTATGCCGCGGATAGCTAATTGGAAAGCCTGGCGGTGAAGACAGAAGTTCTGTATGCATGGCAGTCACCCGTGATGACAGCCCACCGAAGGAAGATGAGATGGTATTGAACTCCACCTGTTTCAGAGAGGGAGCCGTCGATCCTGGTGGCGTGTGGACCATATAATCGGATCGGAAGAGTCCTAGCGAGAGCTTCTGCACATATCCCTCCTTCTTGACGGCAAGGTGCACTTTCCACAGGTTCGATATGAAGTCGTCGACGTCGATGAGCCTACAGAATGTCGCTTATTCTTAGTCACGTGGCGCAGAATCATCGTTATAGCCGATTCACAGGCCTTGACTTCTGAATTCACTGCCAAACTGAGGGGGAGAATCCTCACTCTTCCATAATCTCCCCAAGCCACTTCTCGTCGCGTGATATCTCTGCGTACAACTCATTATAGACAGTCTGGACGGCTCTTGCCTCCTCGAAGCACGACTTCGGAAACGGACTGGGGAACAGTGTTACTGGCGCATTCGTTGCCAACACTCCCTTTTGGCCGGCCTCTTCCGGAACGAAATTAGGAGGCGGCCTGACAGTGAGGCCATTCTGAATTGTCCAGTCCTTGATCGTCGAGACCAGGAACTGCTCCTGCGCGGGGTCCAACGGAGGAGGATAAGTGGCGAGGATTAACTGGGCCATTCTCGTTATCTCTCTAGAGCCGCACAAAGCACATCACAGTCTCAAAATAGAGTATCTTCCTGCAGATCTCCGCGAAAACGCCTCCTACGGCGTCAGCAGACGCTATATCATTCTCTCGCCCCAGCCAAGAAGGCGTGATCGCGGGGCTTGGTAATCGTCCCGATTTGGTCCCACCTCGCTCACCGCCTTGCCCACCGCCGGCAGAAAACGGGGTCCGAGACTAGCGGCAAACGCCTTCAACCTCCTCGTCCTCCGACGCGTCGACCACGAGGAGCTGGCGTGCATTGAAGCGCTCGTCTGAGCGCCAGAGGCCTCTCCGCAGTCGCGTTGGTGGTCGCTGCAGCTCGGGATGCCCTGGCTCTGATTTTGCGATCTGCTTTTGCTACCCCCACAAATTGATCCCCGGATCCCGCAAGCGCAAGTCTACGTGCGTACATGGCAACCCGCGCTACTTTGGCACTGTTACAAGCTCGCTGCTTACTGCCGAAGTCGCCACAACTCTGAAACTACAGGACTGACAAGACATCTGAATAGCAAAACTCTGGGCTCTTAGGGAGCCTGCCTCTCGAGGCGGAACGGTGATCATGGACCTAGAAACAGGCGATCCTCTTGACTGGACTGTAGATCAGGTTGTGGCTTTCCTGTGCCACAGTTCTTCGGCGCCATGGTCCCAGTCGGCGAACCCTGCTCGTCTCCCCGATCCCAACGCGTTCGAAGCCGCTATCCGGGAGAATATGGTTAATGGTGAAGTCCTGCTGAACGATGTGGATAAGGAGACACTTCGGGAGGACCTGGGCCTTAAGGCTCTTGGTCCGCGCAGCACCGTCATGGCAGCTATCCGCTACCTCCGGAAACTGTCAGTGAAATATCAGAGAGCGTATTCTGCACATACGTCCGCCTATAACGATGGTCAACCTGCGTATTCCCCTAGAATGACTCCCATGACCGTGGCAAGCCACGTTCCTGGTTCTCCGCAACACTACCCTAATGTTTCACGACAAGCTACTCCCCGTCAGGGAATGCTTCCTACGTCTCTACCCGTTGCTCCCTCTGTTCCGACCGCTCAAGAGGTCAAACCTGAACTATATCCAGGTGATATCCCTGATAGATCGTTGCAACCCAATGGGATTCATCCGTCTTCAGAACCACCGAATTCCCATCAACCTGTTCTTGATGATGACATCAATAACAGACCTCATGACACCCCCAATCCCCAACCTCCGCAGTTGCCTGACGAACGGAGCGTTGCACGCGGTGCCTCACCGCGTCTACGCCCCAATGAGTACTTTCATGTTGACAGTCAAGGCAAAAAGCGGAGAAAGCTCGACCTTACTTCCAGTGCGCTGGCTCAAAAAGAAGCGGTATCCGATCAGGAAACACCGCAGTTACGAGCAAAGAATTGGTACATGGGTCCGAGTAGATTCGATCCCATGGATGTATTTTACCCTATACAGCCTGATTCCGAAGTTGAAGAATCCTTATTCGTTACTTTGAGTCCAGGGCTGCCGACCGGTCTGCGGCTCTTTGTCAAGAACTGCCTTCATCAGCTTTTCCGACAGCAGCGGGTGAGGTTGGCGGCCAAAGATGGCTACAAACGTTCAGCCATATTCCCTTGCAAGAGCACCCTCCTTGGCGGCAACCAGCCCCAGTTTTTCACCCTGTATTCTTCACGTGATGGCCAAGTCACTGTCACACAGGAGACAACGGCTGACTGGCCTGAATTTAGCTTGCAGAGCAACCAACGCCCGGCCTTGGGCTCTAAAGATCGGGATCCCTATGACTACCTGCTTGAGAAGTATCCTGTCGAAGAAAATGAGGAGCATGCACTTCCTTTGTACGGTGAGTCGGGATCAGAAGGTGAATATGATTCCGATACATGGCGCGAAATTGAGGAGTCTCAAGAAGACCAGCCTAAATATTTGACTTCTCACGAAGTCAACTCGGTCATCGAACGTTGTGTCAGAGACTACGAAGAACAGTGGAGGAGAGATCACCTTCCTAAGCAGGAGCATAAGGCCCATCGAATCTGGATGGAAGCCAAGAGACTTCGGAACAGGAACCAGCAAACAAAGAGCATACAGCGAGATATCGAGCACTTGCAACGACGTCTCGAAAAAATCAAGAAGGAGATCCATATGGATAAATATGCCAAAATCGCGGACGTCGAGTTTATATGCCAGAGCATGGAGCAGACCGTCTTCAATATCGAGGCACAGAAGTGGCGAATTTCAATCCTAGAAAAACCAGAATGTCCGCCCAAAGTTCCAGCCATCTCGAAGCCTCGGCCCAAGAAAGTTCGACTGGATCTTGATGAGGAGTCACTCGGCTCTGAGACAGACGATTTGGCAGATGACTCTCTAAGCGATTTTATCGAACATGACGACGCCCCCATGGACATTTCTATGACATCTGACAGCGACGACATCATCAGTCCTTCAGGGAAAAGGAGAAAGCAGCGCAATAGTAACGGTCAAGTGCAGCATAAAAGCGCTCTGGTTAAGGCTTTTGAAATGTCACCTTCGCCTCCTATGCCGCCTGCTACTACGCAGCAGCAGCCTCCCACGTCTTATGTGCCTGTAGGCGGGCAAGACATTGAGATGATCGATTTGACCCAAAGCCGCCCAGGTTCCCCAGGGGACGATTTTGAGATCACGACACCGCCCTTGAATCCTGCGCGTCCTGCTCATGAGCCGGAATCTATCACTCCACTAAAGACGGAACAGCCTTCATCGCCAGCCTTCTCGGTTATTCCACCCGCGCCACAATCTCCTAGTGCCGGGATGGCTAGGAGGACTGGTACTCCATCAGATAGAAAAAAGCCTGAACTATTTGATATCGACGTCGACGACTTTAAGAGGATGGTGCACGTTAAGTGGAGTGTACTTGAAGATCGCCGCGATCGCCAAAGGCTCCTGACGAAACTAATTGCGTGTTTGCCTGGGGATGAGCGTACTAACATGGCAACAACCATCCCGACCTATACTCGCGTTGAACTCAGGAGTCTGACGTTCAGAGCCCTTCAAGCCATGCGTAACCATAGCCAGAAGTTACGCGGCTTGGACGCTGCACAGAACGAAATCATCATGCGCGTGGCGTCACTTTACGTGTCCTGGAACAATTGTATCAGGCTCAACCAAAAAGGAATCAACAAGAGCTTGCTGGACAACGCCATAAACAACAAAGGCGATTTCGAAGACTTTGCCAACCAACTCACTGCGCGTCTCGAGGCATATACTCGACTGATTGCTCGGAAAGCAGCTCCTGCAAAAGATGATACCTCCCCCACCAGTACGGAAGACTCGGATCAAGACTTGCTAGCGGCGTCATCTCGTACACCCCATAAGAAGCGGAAACGAGAAATTAAAGAAAGCGAGGAAGTGAAGAGGAACCACGAGGCCGCTCAGGTCCGTGTTGCATTGCAGGAAGAGCAGCGGAAACGACTTGAAAAGAGGATGGAAAGCATGGGCGTCAGTAATGACGATCCAGAGCGTCAAGCTGTTAGCTTCGAACAGCCGGTCATTTACCTTGATGCTCACATTGGGCGGCGCGTAAAGTCGCACCAACTTAACGGCATTCAGTTTATGTGGCGTGAACTGATACAAGATGAGAAAGGCGAAGGTTGCCTTTTGGCACATACTATGGGCTTAGGCAAGACGATGCAAGTGTAAGTTTTCAGCATTCCTTACATTCCATGGCCACAATAGATTAATCATTACGAAGTATTTCACTTCTAGTCACAATCGCTGCGGCGGCCGCTTCAGACGACGACTCTGTTCGTAACCAAGTGCCTAAGCGTTTTCATCGATCGCAGACACTCATCCTGTGCCCTTCGTCATTGATTGACAATTGGTATGAGGAGTTTTTGATGTGGACCCCGCGGAAGAACTATCTTGGCACAATAAGAAAGGTCACAAGCTCGGTAACGTTACAACAACGGTTGGCGGAGGTTGCTGCATGGCATGAAACCGGCGGCGTTCTTATTCTGAGCTACGATATTTTCCGGAACTGGATCCACAACAAGGAAACAAAGCAGCGCGGGAAGCCTCTGGATGATCAAACCCATGCACGGGTCCGAGAGCAACTGTTGAAAGGGCCCAACATCATTGTCGCAGATGAAGCGCACAAAATGAGGAATCGTGCATCTGGACTTTCTACTGCTGCGAGCTTATTTGAATCAAAAAGTCGCATAGCTCTCACGGGCTCCCCGCTGGCTAATAATCTGGTCGATTACTTTGCCATGGTCGATTGGATTGCTCCAGGATACCTAGGAAAGTTCGTTGAATTCAAGGCCAACTACATAGAGCCAATCGAAGACGGACTGTATGCCGACAGCACCTATACTGAGAGGCGCAAGTCCCTCAAAAAGCTTCAAGTCTTGAAGGAGATCTTGAATCCGAAAATCAACCGAGCTGATATTTCCGTCCTCAAGGGCAGTCTTCCACCAAAAGTTGAATTCGTCATAACCGTTTCCTTAACCGATCTCCAAAAGAAAGCATATGACTTGTATGTGAAATCTCTTTTGGAAGATAAGTCGAGAGGAGATGTTAGGAGCATGATGATCTTGTCTTGGCTGGCCATTTTAGGGTTATGCTGCAGTCACCCGGCTTGTTTCAAGGATAGGCTGCTGGAACGAGCAAATAGTCAGCGAAAGTTCACTAGAAGGTCCGACGACTTTGACCAGGAGGAAATGCCTGGAGACGAACCTATCAGTCAAATTGGTCTCTCCGAATCGATGATTGCCGCGCAGGAAGAACTTCTTTCTAGCGTCCCTGATCTTGACAACCCGGTGCATTCTCATCGGGCTCAGATCCTTGATAGGATAATTAGCGAATCTATCAAGGCGGGCGATAAAGTCCTGGTTTTCTCCCACAGTCTTTCGACCCTGGATTATCTCGAGAAACTCTTGATATCTACTGGAAGGAGATATTCTCGATTGGATGGTTCGACGCCAGTTGGCGTGCGACAGGCTGCCACCAAGAATTTCAATAACGCGACGACTCTGCAACAGGTGTTCCTTATTTCTACTCGTGCAGGTGGGCTTGGGTTGAACATTCCTGGTGCGAACCGAGTCATCATATATGATTTCCTCTTCAATCCTACCTGGGAGGAGCAGGCAGTCGGACGAGCCTACCGTCTTGGCCAGCAGAAGCCGGTTTTCGTCTATCGTTTCATTTCTGCAGGCACGTTCGAAGAGGTCCTGCACAACAAGGCCGTGTTCAAGACGCAGTTAGCAATTCGTGTGGTTGATAAGAAGAACCCAGTTCGCTGGGCATCGAAATCTCTTGGGGAATATCTTTTCCCGGTAAAGGAGGTCAAGAAAGAAGATGTTTCCGAATACATCGGAAAGGATCCCCGCGTTCTAGACAAGATTATTGGAGATGATAAGGACAGAATCATCCGCAAGATTGCTCTCACTGAAACCTTCCAGAAGGAAGACAATGACAAACTCACAGAAGAGGAGAAAAAGGATGTTCAACAAGAACTGGATGATGAACGTCTCAAGAGAAGCGATCCTGAGGCTTATGCCAAGAGAATGAGAGAAAAGTGGATGGAACAAGAAAGAGAAAGGATGGCAGCCGAAGCAAAAAGGGTGGCTTCGATGCAAGCCCATCAGCGAGCCTATCAGCAAGCTCAGCAACAAGCTCGGCAACAACCTCAGCAGCAAGGCCAACAGCAAGCCCCTCCGCAATCATGGACACCGCAACAACTTCAGTCACTTGTCTACCGCGGATACATTCCACCAAGCACATTGGGGAGCGTTCCAACCTCAAACGTTCCAACCTCAAAGCCTGTCATTCCTGATAGCGCTCATAATATCGGCCCCCCTCCGTTGGAGCCTGATACCAGTGTTTTGAATGCAAATGCGCAGTCGGAACGGACAGCGTCTGCAGCTGATGGGAATACTGCGGCGGCTTTGTCTTCGATTTCGGAGATGGCCAGAACCTCTACAACTGCGTCTTCGGGAAACCAGGTCGCACAGCCTGCGCCTGCAACATCTATAAATGAACGGTCAGGCTCTTCTACCGTTGACCATCCTACGGTCAGCAATGGGCAAAAACAACCCGGACCAGGGACTGCAGCTGGAGGGCCTCAAGTTGCTGTGTCATCAACTATGCGAGCTTCACCGGTCTTCGAAGGGGGTTCGCTATGACGCCCTGGGTAGACCTATCTCCGACGAGCTTACGAATACTGTGATGTCCCTGGATAAATCCACGATTTTTAACCTGCTGCAATGCCTAAACATTTTGCGCCATATTATGCCAACTAAGTGGAAACCTTTTACAAAGGAGTCACCTTAGTTGTGCTGCTTGCAGAGCGTGATGTGTCCGATCTGCAAGTCTTTTCTTTTCTTTTCTTTTCTTTTCTTTTCTTCCTGTATTTTCTTGCCTTTTTTTCCCTCTGGATGATATTTCTTCATCTTTATCCTGCCTTGTATCTATAATATCCGTGCATGTCTTTCTGCTTGCTTGGATACCGACTTCTATGCTATGCTATGCTCTTCTTTGCTATAGATACGCTTGTTCTGCGGCTTCATCTTCACTCGAGTGAACTACATAGCGCGCACACACTCCTACTTGCTTGGCGTTCGTTCGTCGACATTAGGTACGGGGCAGCACTGGCACTGGCACTGGCACTGGCGTTTATGAGGACTGGGGTTTTTTTTATCTTTCCATCTTTTTTGTTGTTATTTGCGTTTAATTTATGAGGCTGCTGCGTGTATTTTTTGCTTCTACTTCCATTTTTGTCATTTGCAATTTCATCCGATACCCGCAATTCAATTCAATCCACTCCAATCCAATCCAAGTCCTGTCCATTCTAGTCCCACGAGGACATATATTGCTTATTTATTATTTTTTTTATGGTGATGAATGAATGCGAACAGACGGGGTCTTCCTATACTAGCATGTAAAAAAAAAGCAATAAAAAACAAAAAGGAAGCAGCAGTCATGAGCGGAGCCCCTTATTTTGATGAAATTACGACTTAATATTTTTTGATATGTTTTCATACTTTTTTCCCTTGGACATTTTTCACCTTCAGCAGGTGCGAATTATTATGCACCGCACATGCTTGGCATATTCATAGATACCACACATACATCGCTGTTAGCAGTTGATATTTCTTGAGGAAACGGGTTCTGCTTTTGACTGCCTTGTTTTATCGCCTCAATATTGCTATTGTTTTTTTTTCCCAGATAAAACATTAGACGATTGGACAGTCCATTTTTTATATTTCTATTTTCCTCCCCTTTCAAGCAAAGTAGCAAGTATATTAAATCGCGATTATACATACATCACGAAGAAGGAAGTTGTTGACTTGAAGGGGATAATAATAATAATAGTAATAATACATGAAAGAAAAACCGCAGACAAGCAAGGCGACATGGACAGGGCGAATGAAAGGTATGTAAATCCAGAAAAGGGGATTTTTTTTCAAAAGTAGAAGGATAAAGAAAAGAATTAACGGGGAAAAAAAATTACATATACATAGTGGAAAAAGAAAGTAGCAGTAGTAGAAGAAATAATTCAAATAAGGACAGGAAAAAGGAAGAGGTTTCTTAACGTAGCAGTTTCTCGAGATCCGCAATCCTTGCCGCCGTGTCTTCGGCCCTCTTCTTCTTCCCAGTCTCGCGCAGAGCGGCCATCGACAGCTGGCGCTTGGTTTCCTGGATCTCCAGCACGCGGTCTTCGATGCTGTCCTCCATAACCAGTCGCCACACGGTGGTCTCCCGTGTCTGGCCCAGTCGGTAGACGCGGTCCATCGCCTGGTCCTCGATGGCTGGTGCCCACCAGCTATCTGCGAGGATCACCTGGTTGGCGGCGACCAGGTTGAGTCCGACGCTGCAGACATTCAAACTCGCGAGCAGGACCTTGCAATCCGGATCGGTCGAGAAAACGGTGATGGCGTTGTCTCGTTTAGCAGATGGCATTTTCCCGTCAATACGAGTGAAAACTATCCCACTGCGCTTGAGATGAGGTTCGAGGATGTCGAGGAACGATGTCCACTGGCTGAAGACAACCGTCTTTGTGTCAGGTGCTTGTCCCTGTGCGGTCAGAATCTTGATCAGAGCTTCGATCTTGCTGCTTGGAGCGTCCGGGTCGACGTCGACACTCCCGGTATCTTCACCCATCTCCGATGCGGGAGGTACGAGAGCAGAAGTGTCCTTGATCTCCGCGCGGCAGAGCGGGCATTTGTGCTGTCTCTCGATGACTTGCTCGATACATGATCTGTCAAATGCGTGTGCGCAAGCAGTGATAACTGGCTGCTCCAGCGTGTCGAGACAGATGGAACAAGTCTCCTGACTTTCAATCCTCAACTGTAACATCTCTTGAAGGGCCTTCACGTTTTCCGGTGTTAAGTCGATGACTTTGTGGTCTTCCAGCAAAGCCATGAGCTTGTCAACGCGGTTTTTACAAAGCGCCCAGTGGTTGCACACTTGACGCAGGCGGAGAATGACCTCCAAAATGTGTGAATATGTCGCATTGCCATGCTTATCGCTGGACTGGTACTTGCTAAGCATGCCCTTTGCCTCCGATCTAAAGTCTCTGTCAGTACTTGGCAAAACGCTGATTGGTAAATTCCAGAACTTACTGGAGCATTCCATATTTTTCTTGCTCATGAGGATGAAACTTGACGCGCAAGACATGGGATCGGAGAGGTGGAAGTCGTAAGTTGACGAACGACATGTCCTTTCGACGTCTCAAGCAGATAGCTGCCATCATCGTCTGGAGGAGAGACGTGCTCTCAGGATCCCCATAGCTTAGAGGGCGAATAAGGACGCTGTTAAACACCGCCAGGTCTTCAAGACCCCCTGAAAGTCGTAGAAATCGAATCTGAGAGTACAAGTCTCTGAGCGAGTTGATAATTGGCGTCCCTGTCAGTGTCCAGCGAGAATCCGCTCTAAGATTGCAGGCCGCAAGTGCCCCTTTAGAGCGCGGATTGCGGATTGTATGACCTTCATCGAGGACAACACGACGCCAGTGGATGGAGTACAGGCCTTTGGCTGGTATTTTCTTTGATTTGTCGTTTGGATTGTATTCCATGGCCAAAGCACCATAACTCGTAATGACGACATCGTACTGACCGAGGTTGGCTGCCTCCTTTTTGCCGGCGCCGTGATATACGAGGACATGGAGGGCGTGTGTATCTTTAACGTGGGCCTCGATCTGATTTTTCCAGTTGCTCATCACACCAACAGGGCTTATTATCAGTGTTGTCCTTGTAGACTCTGGGGTTCTAGGTTGTGGATTAGCGAGAATCAAGGAAATAATCTGAATGGTCTTTCCCAGGCCCATGTCATCAGCTAGGATTCCCCCGCTCGCAAGCGGTGGTTCTTTTGTAGTGCAAAAGTTAGTAGCAATGTTTCTATATTTGTTGCCCTCGCGCTTCCAGAGTTGCACGACGTCCTGAGATCCTGCAGCGGGCAGACGTGGCGACTCCTTTTCGAGCATCCAGGCTAAGCCCTGTCGCTGATACGAGAGAAGCTGGGTTGCTAGTCCAGGAGGAATTTCGGCCATTGGCATGTTGGCCAAGTCCTCCTCGTTGACTCCAAACTTCTCAACTGCCTGCACCATTTGGCGAGGGTTGAAGGTGCTGCTCTGATTAATGAGATCCTCCAGACTCGCGCCCTCACCCATTCCGTCCGGAGTGGAGAGATTGGCAAACATCGCTTGATCCGGAATGTTCCATTGCATCCCTTGTCCCATAGCCTTTGCCATTGCACGGGCTCTCTTCTCGGCTTCCTTGCGTTGCTTCTCGCGCTCCTTTTCGAGTCTCCGCTGTTCTCGCTCCCTGCGTTTGACCTCCCCTATCGGGAGTTTATCAATCTGCATTTGGGATTTCACTTGTTCTTTCGCTCTGGGCTCGCTAGGACCGTAGAGCTTCAAAACAATCGGGCAATCATATGCGCCGATCATACCGGTCAGAATGCCTTCAATTAGGAGACTCTTCGAATCCTGATCATCACATCAGCTCATGCCTTGCAAGATATTTCCAGGAGACCCGCGGTACCATGTATTTAGCCAGTCTTGCCGCCATATTTCGGGGAATGTGACCAATCTGCTGGCCCATCACATTATCTACTCGAATCGCATTCGAGTCGTAGGGATTTCCCGGTTCTCTCTTTAGAATAACGTGTTCTCCTAAGGTTGCATGTCCCTGGTAATAGCGGACACCCACGATCTTCGTATGGAGATCGTCTTTATATATGTCAGATGGATTCCCAATTAACATCGCCTAGAAATGCACGGCTTGACACTTACCATAAAGCTCGTAGTTGCTGTAAGCAGCATCATCGAAGTCTTGGCTGCCCTGAATAAGGTCGATGGCTCCGGCATCATCTTCGTCGAGTAGACTGATCTGAGAAGCTTGACTGAGCGGTATGAAAACAGCGTCTTCGCCGAAGCGCTGCCCATTGCTCACGTTCAGGTGAGCATTCGTCTGGTCACCTCTGCCAATTTTTCTCGGGCGGCGAGGGTCCTCTTGGTCACTCGCAGTGAGATCGACGACATCAGCCTTGCGTTTCCTAGCGTCCCTGGCCATGAGGCTGAATATGTAGTGAGAAGATACTCCTAGTAGAGATGAAGGAAAGTATAGGAGTATCTGTCCTGATAATTTAACGCGTCTTGATGGCACTAACTCCTAATTTATCTCGATTCTGTCTCGGTTTCTCAACGAGTGAATGAATGACCCAACATCAAAAAGGCAGTATAAAGATAGATAAAGTGGAGTCCTAGGCCAGTACAGAGTAGCACCGTTCGAATACTACTCCGTATAAATTAAGCATGACAACAGCACCGGCGCACGTCGTGTGGATCCTCGAGCGGCATCATTGACTGCGGTCAGTGCATCCTGCTAAGCTTCCCCTGGCCAAGGGAACGCGAGAGAGCCACGTGTCCACGTGACAGTGTTCTACTAGCCGAATTTGGAAATAAATGCCCTAGTCCAGATTCGGCAGAGATTCAGTAATCAGACCGACTATGCATTGACTCATGTGGTTAGCGATGCCCCCGAACAGGCTAAGTGCAAATCACCAAAGAATGTACGAATACCTCCAAGTGGACCTCGACAGTCGAACACGGAATGGATTACGGAGTATTCAAGGACACGTTCCACCGATCTGGGTGGATGCCGAAGATTGGCTCGCGGCAGAGCGACGTCACACAGCCGGCGGTCAGAAATAAACACTGAATTAGCAAGTTGAATGCTGTTGCCACTCTTCACCATATTGTTTTCCTGTTCTCTGCTCCATTTAACCATAAACAGAGTTAACATATCCAGAATATAGCATGTGCTCCTTTACAGGAGCTGTATGTCTTAAGCATCTGCTGGCGTCCTCTCCTTGCTTATTGCATGCATGCTCTGCGGGATCGATCTTTTTGGCATAGAACAATCCACTGGAGACAACAAGGCATGACTCGTTTCGACTGTGATTGAGTATTTCCATTTCCTTTTTCATTCTCTTCGTCGGTGACAAAAAAAAAAGTGCGGGAGCATCCTAAGATCGACACACCTGTCACAATGACAGGCGCCATCTTTCATTCCCATCACGACCTCATCAGGCAGAGAGGACAGCAATTTGAAACGGACCTCCAGCGGGGAGAATTTCATCCTCTGCTTCTGCAGCAGGTTGTGGGCACCTTTCTGCTGTTGCTCATCCCGCTCGTCATTCCTCACAGGAACCGCAGCCATTCCCTCCTCCTGCGATACGGGTTTTTCTCAATTATTTTCTGCGTGTGTGCCTATACGATATACACAGTTCGGGCAATAAGCTTAGCGAATGGGTACGGAGTGGGGTTGGTTACTTCTTGGTTCCTTGTCTGGAGTGCGACAATTCTCGTTTTCAACGATGTCCAGCAGGACTTCAAGAGGATAGAGAAGGTCACCGATGTACAGGGCCGTTATAACAACGAAAACCCTGAGCCAAACGGCTCCCCAATAAGTACTGAAAAGGGCGAGGCTGTGAATGGAAGAGTGTCTACATTGCGACTTCGTCGAACGAAACATTCGCCCATTCAAGAGTCATCAAGCCCCGACGAAAAGGTGTATCGGTGGCAGCCATATCCGCGCTCCTTTGGCCACCGTCTTGATTGGGTGTTGGATCTCATATTCAATTTCCGGGGCCCGGAATGGAACTGGCGGGTGAGAGCACTCCCTCCTATACCTGATTCAGTGACCAAAGACCTTGGAGGTCAGGCACCTACATCAGAGATGGAAGGCTCGCGGGCTGTTCAAGACCCGCGGAAACGACTAAGACAAGCTTTTCACAGCATGTTGCGAAACTACATAGCTTTGGATGTCGTCAAAGTCCTTATGAACCGAGACCCATTTTTCCGAGGTCTCGTTTCGCCCAGTCCACCTCCGCCGTTTCCTTTCCACTTCCTGGCATTTTCGCCCCTGCTAGTCCGCTTCTATCGCCTCTTACTGAGTCTCATCGGAGTCTGCTGCGCCCTCCAGTTTATCACATCTTTCAATCCGATATTCTTCCTGGGGCTTTCCTGCGCCTTTCCGCAGCTATCACGGGCAATCACCCACCAACCCCTCGACGAGGCATGGCTCTACCCGGAGCAATTCGGGCCCGTAAGCGCTGCTCTGGACCACGGCCTGGCCGGCTGTTGGAGCCTATGGTGGCACCAAATGTTCCGCTTTGGCTTCTCCGAGGTCGCACGCTTCGTTCACGACCTGCTGCTTCCCCCGTGTGATCGTAGTAGTGATAAATCCCATCGGAAGAAGAACGCCAGACGCGCTATCCAAATCCTGATCGCATTCTGCGTTAGCGGTCTGCTGCACGCCTCCGGCAGCTACACCCAGTTCGCCACGACGAAGCCTTCTGGTCCGATACTGTTTTTCTTCCTGCAAGCCCCGGCCATCCTGGTACAGCGCTTCCTATCCCGGGCCGTCCTCCCTCGCCTGCTTCCTTTCAACCCGCCACGATGGCTGCGAAGGGTCACGAACCTCGCGTTTCTCGTCGCTTGGTTCATGCTCACGGGACCCCTCATCGTGGACGATTTCGCCAGAGGTGGAATATGGCTCTTCGAGCCCGTACCCCTGAGTCCGCTGCGCGGCATGGGCTTTGGCGTCGAGGGCGATGGCTGGCTGTGCTGGGAAGAACCGGTCTTTCGGTGGTGGGAAGGTAAGACTTGGTGGCAGAGTGGGATACGGATTGTATAATTACTATCGTAGCTGCTAATCTTGCTCTTCTTTAACCCCAGGCCTTCGTGGTCTGTTTTGGCCTTGAAGAAGCGATCTATATAGTACCTTTGGATAAATATTGTAGCTAGAGAGGGTTGGTAAAAATATGTGTATGTATGTAATTTAGCATACGATAAAAAATGCATAGAGCAGACGGACTGTGGATATCTATCTATCTGTCGACAAATGGCGAATTCTCGTCCTGCGTTTAAATTTAATTTTTTTAACAAAGGACTACCCCTCCATTGACACATCTTCCTCGTCTTCCTCCTCGTCGGTATCCGGCTCAATGTTTAGAGCTGGGATCTCTTCGTCGCTTTCTTCTCCATCGGCCTGGCCACCAGCCTGCTGCACATTTGTAGTCTGGATCCTATTGGCAGCAGATGCCGACGCCGATGCACTTGCGTTGCTCACGGAGGCTATAGAAGGCGCAGACATAGATGGTGCTGTGGCGGGAGCAGCTGGAGCTTTTGAGATGGTAGCCGGAACGGGTTGGCTTCCTGAAATGGAGGCTACAGGGCGTCCATCTAATGAAGGAGAAACCTTACTCTTCAGGAGGGAAGGCCCGCTGTCTTCAGATGGAGCAATATCATTCGACTGAAGGCGTGCTTTTTTCGTCTGAGGCATCTCCTCGCTTCCATCTTGTGATTTTGAGAGAGTGTGATCACTCGAATGAGTGTCTTCTGGCAAGTTCCTCTTGCTCGGAGATTGTACACCATTTTGCGCAACATCAGCCCGCGAAGGGCCCTGGTTCGAAAAAGACGGTGGTACGGAGTTCTCAAAAGTGTGATTGGAAAGACTGGTCTTTGCCGGGTCAACGGATACGCCTTTGACCGCCTCATCTTCCTCTTCATCCAATATGGCCTCGGTAATACCAGATCCGCCGATCAGAACAGGCATCCGCGGACGTAGCAAACACTCGACTTCCAGCTCTTTGGGATATCTCCTGGCCAGGAACGGGAGGATGCTGGGGGTCACTCTACGTCCTTTGACCAGCGGCACCGGGTTCAGAACACTCGCCATCATCGCCTCTTGATCAGCTGCAAGAATGGCTGTGCGATCCAACTCTATCCGTAGTGGCAGAGGCATATATTCAACAGGCAAAGAGGAGAGAAGAATTGGGAAAAGCTTTGATGCCGCAGATTGCAATCCCACAAAAGCAACCGCGCCGCTCTGGTTGCCTCCCTTATTAAGAGCGGGGTTGAGGAAAGCGTCGGCGTTGGCGGAGCCTTGATTTCCTTTCGCCTTGTCCTTGGACTGGACTTGAGATTGTGATGCACTGTTGGTGTCTGATGGTAGAACATCACGGCAACAAGAGCGGATGACGATACTCAATGCAGAAAGATTTGTCTTAGTCATTGACGGACCGACCAACAGCAACAGACGTTTCATCAAATGATATGAAGCCGCTCGAATTCCACTGTGAAAATTTTCGGCTTCAAAAAGCCAAAGCGTCTGCTCGAGAATGTTTTGGGCGACAGAAATGACGCCTGTCTCCAGTGAAGCCAGTATATTGGAGAAGAGATCTATACAGGCAACATGGATCCTAGGCAATTCAATCCAGAGACCTTCACGCTCTTCGCGGCCGATCTCTGGATTCGTCTGAACATTGTCATCATCTCCTTCCCGGGGAACCGTTACAGATGTCAATCGAGATGTCAAATCTAGAACGGCACCAATAGGGATATTAACAGTTGACGCTGTTCGAGTCGACATAAAACCTGACAGTAGACGCAAAAGCGCCGTCAATCTGTCCCCACCTTCATGAATGCCTTGCCATCCGGGTAGACCCAATGGGTCTGGCCCGTCATCTCCTACCAGTTGACTAGAGTCTCTAGTAAGGGTAGCATTCCGGAAATTTGGATCGGTGGATTCCCATTGTTCTATCACAGACCGGAATGCGTGGTCTGCAGCTCTGTGGATGGAATCTATCGTGAGCTTGCAGGCATTGGTCCACTCTTCACCCGATGTGTTCTTGGGGGCGCAATTATGAAGAGAGATAAAGAGCTTCTGGGAGAGCTCGACCACTTGTTCAGGCAGTGATCCCGTCGAAGTTGAGGAACCGATGATCTGCACAAGCAGGCTATGGATTTGAGCTGAGAATGGACGGAAGACGGTCGGATGTCTAGCGATCAAGTCATTGAACGCATGGAGAACGGTCTCCAATAACGGCGTCTCTTGTTTCAGTTTCCGATGCGGCTCCGATGAGGGCTTCACTGAGACCAGATTCAGAGAAGCTGTGATGAATGCTGGTAGAGATGGTGTCGTTATCTCTCGAACTAAGGTCTGATACTGGTAGGTAAGGTGGAATATGCGAGTCAGAGTGATAATCGATAGTTTTTTTGTCGAGACTGGGTCCGGTTTCTAGTAGAAGGATACCAATCAGCAAATCACATCAAGCGCATGTTAAATCAACACATGAGAAACATGGGTTTATTCATACAGAGAGGATTCCAAGAAGTCCGCGAACCCAAGGTTCGCATTCGCGCAGAATCTCCCACTGGCCAACTTCAACTGTAGCTTTCACCAGCACGACCGCAGTCCAACGTCCTTCGAAACTGCGATCCTGAAGTAAGCTCGTAAGGCGAGCCTTTAGTTTATGTACCTGCAGAGCATTTCCAGCCTCCGAATTTGCACTTTTCTGGCTCTGAGGAGCGGAAAGGATATCACCACAATCGCTGAGAGACGCAGCAAGAAACGAGGCAAGGTGAGGTAGCTCTTTCACCGGGGTCGTCGTCAGCCGATGCGTAACGGCGCGAAGAGATGTGGACGATGTCATAGCTGCTGCTGAAAATCTCCGTCCCGTCGATTCATCTATCCAACAGACACCCTGCTCAGGCTCGTTTCTCTTGCAATTGATTAAAAACCTCAAGCAAAAATGCAACTTTGTAAATCTATGTGAACTTTCTGCGGCAAGCTTAAAAAAAAGTTGGAAAAGAATTAGAAGCTCGGGCCACCGCCGCATTGGCAAATCGCCGTCCGTGCGGCCCCATCACGGGCATCGTTCAGCAGCCCCGGAGACGCCAGCAGGCCTCGGAATGTCTGAGCTGGCCGCAACGTTGAATCTGGGAAGTTGGCAGGCCTGATCGATTCGTTGCGGAGAGGCCGCTCAGCGTTCTTCAGTGTCCCGACTGTCACGGCATGCTCCCTCGTGAATGTTGTTATGGATCTGGCCTCTTCTCCTAATCTGACGGGAAAATGAGTGTAAGTTTATTTATTGTCTTCACCGGAGATACAGTTGGGACATCGGAACCCCCGAATGGAGGCGTTCTGACACGGCTTCAAAACTACTGAAATCTATTGACACGTTTTCTAGGGCCAGGAAACAGAAAAGGCGCTGGGCTACATTACCGCCTTGGACAATGCGCGCAGCGAGGATAAATGGACTGAGGTCCCCGAGTTGATACGAAAGGTCACGAAGCATGCGCCTCATAGGAAATGTAGCCTCGATTCCCAATTACTCTCTACTCCTTTGGATTTGAGCACTAACGAAATTTCGTGTCCTCCAGGTCTGATACAGACAGCCAATGCGGAAATCCAGGTCGTCGCACACATCAACAACAAGAGGCCATCCACCGCCAAGGGCCAGACCGCTCCCGTCCAGGTCTCGAATCTGTCCGAATTGATACCCCCTCTCTTGTCGGCTATCGAGGAGGCTGAAGGAACGCCACAAGATGTGTTTCAGGCGCAAGTATGCCTTGGATGGATCCATTGGACATTGTCAGAGCCTGGTCTGGCATCTGCCCGTCTGCCAAAGAGCTTTGACGACGCGGCTATCAGTGCTCTGTCCGATGGCCCACAGGGCCTTACCAAATGGACGGAGGTCTGCATAGTCAAAGGCTGCTACATCAAAAGTAAGAGTTCCAAAAAAGGGGGGTCTAGTTGAACTCGATCTAATGTTTGAATAGGCGCTGCTCAGGCCCTTGTCTCGGGACCGGATGATGCTCTGAACACTGCCTCGTCTGTATTACAACGACTTGCAGCTCCCAGCCCGACATTTCTAGCATGCCCCCAGGCACTATATTGGTCGGAGAAACTATTGTCAAAGACCGCCTTGACGGCGAGTGAACAGGCATGTGAAGGAACTTCGGTCGCAACAGAGACAGCAACGGAAATCGCTTTAAAGGCGTTCAGGCTGTGGTTTGCTCATCCTCAAGTCAAGCGAAGAGAGCTCTCTCCTACAGTCCCGGCGTCGCAATTGGCGGGTCCTTCTGAGCCAGCTTCGCAGACATCAGTATGGATGTCGTATTACAAATTCCTTTCCACGATTTTGCAGCGTGGAATGGTTTATTTCCCGCAGTCGCAGTCCCAAGGGTCCGTGCGGGCCCAGCTTGCTAACGAGATCCGACGGATTGAAGCCATATGTGAAAATGTTCTGCTAAGGGAAGTGAGGTTTCCCAGAGCGAACGCGAGCAATCCCCAGGTAGAATCCTGGGTTGAGCAGGTAATCCGTAATTGGGAAGTGCTATGCGGGCCAGACTGGCGAGATGAGGAGCTTGGGGAAGGTGGACAGGATGCTGTCGGGAGAAATGTTCTGGATGTGCGTACTCATTCATGGCTGCCTCCAAGCAGATGCACTGATTTTCTCTCTAGATCCTCTATCGTGCTGCCACTAAGACATATCATTCCCACCTCATTCTGCGGCGTCTATTCCATGTGCACGCTGCTTTGGCGGACTTCGAGTTGGCCATCAAAGCTCTTGATTCCTACATTGACATTGTCGTCAGTGCAAAGGACAGGGCGGAGAAGTCAGCTGAAACCGGTGAACTAGAGAATGACGAGACATTGCTCCGAACAGTATCGGAAGGAGTGCTCTTGCTTTGTTGCTTCGGCTCACAGAAGGAAGCGGAAAAAGCAAAGAGTCTCATCGAAATCCTTGAGAAGTACCTCGAAAAGCACATTTCCCAAGAGTCCAATACTTCCGATGCCGATGACAAGGCCCTGCAGGATACGAATTCGAGCAATGTGGATCGGGTCTCACCCAAGGTCATTGCTATGGCTTACAGAGCCATTGGTATCGGCCTTGCAAACTGGTCGAGATGGACCCCGGTGAACGAGTCCCGCGATGACATCCGAGCGGAGGCTATAGAAAACCTTGAGAAAAGTATTTCTCCTGAACTGGGAGAAGAAACTAATCTTTCGGCTCTGTATGCGCTTGCACTCCTTCTTGCCGAATCACGAGACCTGGACGGCTCTATTGAACACGTGAAATTGGCTCTCTCCACAAATACTCAACGTAATGCAACAGACCTCTCTTTCGAATTAGATCAGGAAAGACTTTCGAGAGAACGCGATCTCGTACCTCTGTGGCACTTGCTGGCACTTCTCTTGAGTGCAAAGCAGGAATTTGACATTGCCGGGCGCTCCTGCGAAGCTGCATTCGAGCAATTTCCTGCTGCCATCACTGCGTTTGACAACAACAGCAAGCGGTCCACCAGATATCGGCAAGACAGCAGCCAGAGAGGAAGACATGACTCGGCAGAGGCAAGAAAGGAGTTCCTCGAGAGTCTGCGGGGTCGTGAAAAAGAGCGCATCCTAGAGGCCCGCATGACTCAGCTCGCGCTGATTGAAGTTTTAGAGGGGCCGGATGTGGCTGTGAATCACAGTGATCAGTTGCTCAGTCTGTTCGCTACCTTATTCGAACACCTGGATCTTGATGTTACGACTGAGAAATCCCCTAAGACTGACCGACTAGCTCCACCTAAGAGCTCTGCTGAGACTGTGAAAAGCTTTCGCGGCAGTATCTTTGGTAGGAAGAAGGGGTCCCGGGCTCGTACAGGGAGCGAGGCCGGCACCGACGCAACAGATGCCCCGACTATTCAGGTGACAGACGAAGACCGGGGTGACGCCACTGGAAGGCCAACCTCGCAACATCACGAAGCTCACAAATTACACAAACGTGAAGGTAGTATTCCCACCGCAATTCAAGACCAGAGTCAGGAGTCTAAAACCAAAGCAACAGATGGAGGCCGTGCTGAATCAACGTCCCCTAATGCAACGCCAACCAAGCCGCAGCAGGAGCAAGATGCAGAAAAGAATCAATCAGCAGAAGAAATCGGTGTCGCCCTGCCTGGCCCTCCGGCTCCACAAGTATCTGCGACCCAAAAGCAAAGTGCCAAGCAACCGTTGCCGCCAGTCGCTCACAACATGAAGCATACTCGTCAACCTCAACCGGCCGGTCACTCAAAGCAACCTCCAGAACAGGACATCCGTCTGCCCACGCCTCATCGATTCGAGTCTCCTACCCGGGCTCTCACGAGGTTTCCCACAGCACATGCACAGAAACATGCTCTCGCTGTCCTCGTGAAGGTGTGGCTTCTGATTGCTGGATTGTATCGAAGAGCTGCTCTTTTCGATGACGCGCGCGAGGCTTGTGAGGAAGCATCCAAGCAAGTTGCGCGGTTCGAAGCGCTAGTAGCGGCTCAAGAGTCGTCCGCTCAGGCGTTTTCAGAACGGTCGTGGGGAGTAGGGAAGAGCTCTGAAGAGCTCTGGGGAGACGTGTTCGCCGAACGTGGAGCTCTCGCACAAGCCCAATCCCTTCCATATGAAGCGATGGATCATTTTGAAGAGGCTGTCATGCGGTGTCCGGACCATCCCAAAGCCACAGTCGGCCTAGCCAATCTACTCCTCGACATATGGGAGGAGAAAATCCCCGCAGAGCCACCGCAGCCGCAGCTTGAAGCCGACGTGTCGACTCTGTCATTGTCGAGACCTGTAACGTGTACAGGGATTTCTACTCTTGAAAAATCAACAGCAGCCGCTCTGGCGGGAGCCGCGACCGGGAAATCGAACGGGGCTGTAGATGAGCCCACATCCTCCTCTCAGAGAGGAGGAAAGGCCCCAGGAAGCCTGAGTCGCCTGGCGGCACGCGATCGCGCATACGGTCTTCTCTCCACCTTGACGAAACGCGGCAGTTCGTGGGACGACTCCGAGGCGTGGTTCGCGTTGGCCAGGGCCTACGAGGCGAGCGGTCAGCTCGAGAAGGCCAAGGAGGTCCTCTGGTGGTGTGTCGAACTCGAAGACCGAAAACCGATCCGCCATTGGTGGAATCTGGGTGCTGGAGGCTATGTCCTTTGAATGTGTTAAAACGAACAAAACAAAAATAGAAAGCTGGTACTGTACATACACACATACATACATAATAGATAGATACTCATCTTTGTTCTGTTCTCCCAGGGGAGAGCAAGCGACCTGACCTGTCAGATTATTTCCATATACACGGTCATTTATCAGCCATCATACTCTTTTTAATCTTTTAGTTTCTGAAATTCTTGTGATTCAATTCATGTATGATGTCCAGCGATTTAGCAAGTGTACTAATACCACGAGAGATAGAAGAATACGAGAATGAGACGGATTGAGGTACCGGGCCTACAGGAAAGACAAATATATGTACGTACAATTGCTCTACCTAAGCAGCTCATCAACGGATCTTAGTAGGAAAGGAAAGAAGAAAGGATTGGATAAGGTTCAGAAGTTTGGATTTAGGATATACAATCTATCGCGGAGCTGCAACAGGATTCCAAGCCGAGATCTTGGGTCGTGTCCTTCCAAGCTGTTAGCAATAGAACCGCCAAATAGCAAGTAGATTTGAACACTCACGTTGAGTAGGGTTTGTAGGCAGCACGAGTGAGGGTAAAGTTGGGCCTGTGCTCAGGCAGCTCCCACTTGCGGACACCGGTCTCCAGGATCTTGTCTTTGTTCGGGGGAGTATCAACCATGTAGGACAGCCAAGCGTGCCTTTACCAAGAGATTCACTTCATTAGCTACGAATCAGGATGGACACCATGCGAAAAGGCACTCCTCACCAGCCTGGCTCAATGTGAGAAGGATCGAAGTACTTCTCCTTGTAGTCGACCCATCTGGTACGGACTGCACAGTTGTCAGCATCACTCACGGCTCTATTCTCCACGCGATCATATATCGGGGCTACTCACGGGGAAGCTCCTCCTCGAAGTTCTCGTAATACTTGTTGCCGAACCGGTCGACTCCGATCAAAGTACCAGCTTTGGTGTCACCTGTAGACGCCGTATCAGCCGCTGCTTCTACCGTGGTACGAGGACTTGGAAAACTAACCAATATTCTGAACTCAGGAATAAGAGTCCCAATGTGAGCTTTCAAAGTCCCAATTGACTCCTCCCTTCTCGTGGGCTAAACCTCGACGTACCTGCATTTGGTGGCCATACTCCTGCAAAGCGACACACGTTAGCAGCCAATTCCACGCATCATCAACAGGTGCACACTGACCTTGAACCCGATCCGCCACAGGTTCCGCAACGTCCGAGTAATGGTCGACATCTTGACGGGCGCGGTTTCAATTTGTCTCGACAGCAAGACGTCGGATGGAGGAACTGAGAGCGGGAGATGAGGTCGACGGCGGGTTCGGCATCCGCCTGAATGCGGCATAGCGCACGCCCGCTGTGCCGTTGTTTGTCATGTTTGCAGTGCCTGCCCCGGAGCAGCAGATGTACTGTTGTTGATCCTACACCCATCATAATAATGTAGTCCTGGCCAGCAGTACCTCTACGGATTGAACCAACTTGTTGTCCTGCCTCCTGGCTGGTGGAGGAGGCAGTCTTAAGCCGACACGATGCTCAAGCGTGTAGGAGAACACGCCTTGCGATGCACGCCGCGGAGGCCTGTCATTCGGAGGAAGCTTTCTGCCCGCAAATTCTCCGTGTATACCAGCTCAAGTGCCTCTGCAACTTCCACGGCGTCTCCGCTGGGCGGGCTCACTGTCGAGCTTGATCGCATTGCCCCGCGCTTTGAAGTCCCGGCGTCAAAGATTACAATTCTCGACTCTCCCAGCTCTTTTTATCAGACGTTGAAGGTTGGTGGCCTGCATATTCAACGATGAACTGCAGCGACTAATCCTCAAGTCGCCAACTTCAGGACAAGATCAAAAATGCGAAAAGACGCATCTACCTGTCGACACTGTACATTGGGAAAACAGAATTCGAACTGGTCGAGACATTGAACCAAGCGCTGCGCAATAACCCGGATCTCAAAGTGTCCATCCTGACCGACGCCCTGAGAGGGACGCGAGAGACTCCAAACCCGTCATGCGCATCACTTCTCGCGTCGCTAGTTGCCGAGCATGGCACAGATCGTGTTGAGATCCGCATGTTCCATACGCCCAATCTCACCGGTTTGCGAAAGAAGCTGATTCCGCGACGGATCAATGAGGGATGGGGCCTGCAACACATGAAGTTGTACGGCATTGATGACGAGATAATACTATCGGGGTGTGAGCTCCCGTTTGATCAGTCACCTGCAACGCCAGCTGACCAATTTGTGATGTAGAGCAAATTTGTCGAATGACTATTTCACAAATCGTATGGATAGATACCACGTCTTCAGTTCGAAAGAGCTGACAGACTACTACGCGCGCATACATCATGCAGTGTGCAGTCTGAGCTTCCAGGTTCTTCCTGACGCTAATAGTGTCGCTGGTTATGACCTCGTCTGGCCAACTTCTAACGGCTCCTCTTCGCCTCTGGAGAGCCCGGAGGGCTTCATATCCCATGCGTCTTCGGTGCTTGGTCCACTCATCCAACCGTCCAAATCCGCACCCATTCCGTCGAGCTCTTCGAGCCAGACGCTCGTCTATCCGGTCGCCCAGTTCACTCCGCTTCTAAAACCCGATACATCTACTGAATTCCTTGCCGTTAGTAGCATACTCCGCCTCCTTGCGAATTCCCCGAATCTTCAGGATTCCCGCTGGCTCTTCACCGCCGGCTATTTCAATATCCATCCAATCCTTTCCTCACTTCTCATAGGGAGCACATCCTTAGCCACAAAGGAAACTGCCAAAACACAAGGCACCGTCCTCACTGCTTCGCCGTGGGCCAATGGCTTCTATGGCTCACCAGGAGTCTCGGGCATGCTCCCTGCAGCTTACACGCACCTGTCGGCGCGATTCCTGGACAAGGTTGCCGAAGCACAACGGACGAATGCGATCCAATTGAAAGAATGGCGTCGTGGCACGGTCGGCGAACCAGGAGGCTGGACCTACCACGCCAAGGGTCTTTGGATAACGCTTCCCCGGGAGGAATACCCGAGTCTGACCTTCGTCGGCAGCAGCAACTACACCAAACGCAGCTACAGCCTCGATCTGGAGGTCGGGGCCTTGGTCATCACGTCTGACGAAGCATTGAAAAAGAGACTGGGTGAGGAGACGGAATGGCTGCAGAAAGACGCACGACCCATTTCGAGGGAGGATCTGCGAAGAACCGAAAGAAGAGTCGGATGGAACGTGAGACTGGCCATGTGGATTGTTGAAAAGGTCGGGGGAGCATTATAGAGTGTACAAAAGCCGGTTTTGTGGGCGTGATTGTTATATATGATAATGTACAGTATTTAAGTGACATAGATACGATTGGATGTAGAGGCGTCATCTCTGACCTGGAATATCCCACCAAGAGACATGTACGTATAATATTTGATGAAGAATAAACCCATGAAGAAACTAGCTTATCTATTGCATGTAAACCAGCTAACACAAGAAAAAGTAGGGGAATATAATCAAATCAATCAAAAAAAACGCCTCAACCCCGAGTTTTCTGTTGCCATCGTTTCATCTTTTGAAAATGGTGTCGTCGTGCCATGCAATCCATGATCCACCCAATCTACCTATCCTAATCTATGCCTTGCCAGAGACCTTGCCAGAGGGAATCCTGGCCGGTCCCAACTCCTTCCTGATCTCGTCCAGCATCTGCATGCCGATTTTCTCGTTGCCGTTCCTACCGCGTTTGCCCTTGGCGCCCTTCCGCTTCGCCTGGGCGCCCCGATCCTGCCAGCCGGAGAGGAAGCTGTCCATCACCTCGTCGAAATCGCTCCGCAGGGGCACGTCGTGGTACCGCCGTCCGCCCTGAGAGATCAGGCTTGGCGCTTGTGATGACACGCCCGACACGCCGGTCATGCCGGTCATGCCGGTCATGCCGGTCATCCCGCTGACCATGGATGCGCCGTCGTCGTATTCTTCCCCTTCTTCGTCGAGTTTGTACAGGGCCTCGATCCGCTCGAACCGGTCGTCGAGAAGTCTCATATGCTCGGTCCGGGCCAGCGAGGAAGACGTCATGGAGTACGTAGATGGGTTGGTCAGGGCTCCCTTCCGTTTCTTCCTCCGGACTGGAGTGCCTCCAATGGTGAATAGAGTAGATGCGGCTGTGCGTCGTTCAGAGGCTTCATCAGCGGCGGCTGCACGGCCTTTCTGGGCCTTCTGGGCCTTGACATCCTTTTTGTATTTGGCAAATTCACGCATCCACTCCGCGTCCTCTGGTTTCATGTCAGGCACAGGTTTGTCATGGTCTGGCAGTTCGGGATGATCCTTGTTCTCAGTGGAGCCCTCTTGGGTGCTCTCTTTCTCTTTCTCTTGCTCTTGCTCTTTCTTTTCCTCGACGGATGACGATTGAACATCGGTCGTCTCCTTCTGAGGATAGGCTTTCTCTGTGACGTCTGACTCCCATCCATCTTCGTCCTCCTCATCAAACAGGGTATCTTCCCATTCAGCTTGGTCCATCTCCTCGGGGTTTTTCGTGAGCTCGCCAAAGACATCTTCGCTATCCTCATCATCGACATAAGCTTCGTCATCAAGAGCTTCCAATACTTCCCGGAGACGGGGATCCATATTAGGCTGGAACCCTGCGATTGCATCTGGAATGTCCTGCTGGTCCTGATACGAGGGTTTCCGTACGTATGATGACGCCGTTGATCGAGCGTAACCTCTGCCGCCGTACTCGGATCCGTATGCGCTTCCCCCAAACTGACTCGCAGAGTCGTCCAGTGACACCTCCCGCAGAGCATCCTCCAATTTCTTCCCCTTGCCTTTGCCTTTGGCGGGCTTTGCTTCCACGAAGTGGGAATTCCCACCACCAGTGCCCAGCTCCTTCAAATGTTGCATGTAGTCATATTTGGTGTCGTCGAAGAAGATACCGTAATTAGCAGCCTCTCCCTCATTCTTGCGGATGTTTTCCGACCCGAATTCCTTCTCCAAGTCTGCAAGATTCCTAGAGGTTTTCTTTGACGATGACGACGACGAACTTGATGCGGCGGGCTGCCTAGGGCCAGAGACCTGGTGCAGCACCCGGTCATCCGCCTCTGGATCGTGTATCAGGGGGTCATTTTGCGATCGGTGGAAGAGCTGATATTTCGTCGCGGTTTTTGGGTCACTGTCGACCGGGTTTTTTTCGTTAACACACAGAAAAATTCGGAGGGAGAAAAATCTGCTACACTTACATCCACTGCCTTCGGGGCGGCATCTTAAGCTATTCTTAAACTCCCCAGCTACCTCGAGCCACAATGTTATGCGAAACGAGGGATAGGTTTGCTGTATACAGGAACGTATGATTTGATATTTCTTTCAAAGTGGGATGAAATTATGCTGTCACGTGGTTCGTTATCTTATCGTTGAACAGAAACTACGGCGACTGACTAATCATCGTTTTATCTTATCCGCTCAAGCGGGGAGAATTTCACATTAGAAATTACTGGACGCCGCATTTTGCCTCAAACCTGTCGATGCTTGGTTTGGGCGTTTGCACCACCAGCCTCTCTCATTGAGATTTCTTTATACAATCTGGATTCTTGCAGGGAACATACGTGGTCAAGATGGTTCTCGCAAAGTCCAAAAACTCCGTGGGGCTGGGCAACAGCCTCATGAACGATCGATTCGGCAAAGGCAAAGCGTCCAACCGCAAGAAAGTATCGCACAATGCTGCGATTGCTCGCAAGGGCGCCGACGGCGAAACCTACCTCACCAACCAGGCCAAGGAGGCGTCCTGGGTGAAGATGCGGAGCATCACCGAGCAGGCTGCGCTCGACGAATTCCTGACCACCGCCGAGCTGGCGGACACAGACTTCACGGCGGAGAGGATCAGTAATGTGAAGATAATACACACCGACCAGAAAAACCCCTACCTTCTCTCTGAAGCCGAGGAAAGATCTGCCGTGAGGAAGCAGCTGAAGAATAAAGAGCGGTTGACGATCCCGAGAAGGCCCAAGTGGAACGAGAAAACTACCCCGCAGGAGCTGGATGCAATGGAGAAGGAGAGCTTCCTCGAATGGAGAAGGGGTCTTGCGGAGCTGCAAGAAAATCAGGACTTATTAATGACACCCTTCGAGAGAAACCTGGAGGTGTGGAGGCAGCTGTGGCGTGTCATTGAGCGGTCCGATTTGGTGGTGCAGATTGTCGATGCACGAAACCCGTTGCTCTTCCGGTCCGAAGATCTCGAAAAGTATGTGAAGGAGGTGGATCCGAAGAAGAAGAACCTGCTGCTGGTAAACAAAGCGGATATGATGACATTGGAGCAACGGGAGATGTGGGCAGACTACTTTGAGGAGAACAACATCAGCTACCGATTCTTCTCTGCCCATCTGGCAAAGGAACGGAGCGAAGAACGGCTCCAGGGAGAGGGTCAATCTGACAATGAGGATGAGGAAGAAGACTTGGCGGAGGCGACTGAAAAGAAGATGAAAATCCAGGAAAATGAGGGTGAGGGCGAGGAGGAGGATGAGGAGGAGGATGAGGAGTCTTCGAGCAAGGAAGAGCAGGATGAAGACGACGGAGGGGGCTTGAAACTGCCCAAGAAATCCGAATCTATGAGAACGCATATTCTGGACGTGGACGAGCTGGTAGAGCTCTTCCTGGCAAACGCACCCGATCCCAACGACCGGAGTGACGACTCGGAGCATCCTCAAAAGGACAAGATGGTCGTCGGCCTCGTGGGTTATCCCAACGTGGGTAAATCCAGTACCATCAACGCACTGCTTGGAGCTAAGAAGGTGTCTGTCTCGGCGACGCCAGGCAAAACCAAACACTTTCAGACCCTTTATTTGACACCAAACCTGCTTCTGTGTGACTGCCCTGGTCTCGTCTTCCCCAACTTTGCGACCACCAAGGCAGAACTGGTGGTCAACGGAGTGCTGCCGATCGACCAGCAGCGGGAGTTCATCGGCCCAGCCGGCCTGGTCGCGCAGCGCATCCCGAAGCATTTTCTGGAAGCGATATACGGCATGAAAATCCACACGCGACCTCTCGAAGAAGGGGGCACTGGGGTACCGACCGCGAGCGAGCTCCTCCAAGCCTACGCCAAAGCCCGAGGTTTTGCGACGACGGGACAAGGCCAGCCAGACGAGTCTCGAGCGGCACGGTACATCTTGAAGGACTACGTCAACGGCAAGCTCCTCTACTGCCATCCGCCGCCAGCATCGGGCGCAGGGGCCAAAGAGGGCCAGCCGCGCGTTGACCCGGCCGAGTTCAACCGGGACTTGTACGACCTTGCTCACCTTCCGCCAAAACGGCAAGCCATGCTGCTCAAGGCCGCAGCCACGGCAGAGGAAGGTGACGACGAGGCCAGCTCAATGGTATCGTCCCTGACCGGCAACCAGCGCGCAGCAGCGGACGGGCCGCGATCCCGCGATCTCGATAAGGGCTTCTTCGGCGCAGGAACCGGGGGATCAGCAGGGCACCTAACGATGCCCTTCAATCACAAGTACACGGAACAGGGACGGGCCAAGCAACTGACGGGGCGGAAGCAGAGGATGATGCTGGCGCTGGAAAAGGGCCTCGATCCGTCCGAGGCACGGATGCTGATGAGCTCGAAGAAGCATTTCAAGGGCGGCAAGCGGAAAGCGAAGAAGGGGAAAGGAAAGGCCAATGGGGAATATGATTTGTAGTAGAAGTAGACGGTGTATATACTCGCTGGCGAGTTTGTTTTGTTTTGCATTGCAACGATTCGATTCGATGCGTTAACTTTATTAAATAATGTGTCGTGTCGTCGTACGTAGGTAGTTACTTAGTTGTCTTAGACAAAAAGTATTATTATATTACTTCATGCATATGTATACAACTAGCCTCTTGTCTTCCTTGGTGCTTGTAAGTAAAACTTATGTATATACCTTGGATTATAGGCCATGCCATGCGTTGATCCTGTATAGTAATAGTAGTAGTCCATCGATTGATATAGGAGGGACAGAGAGAGAGAGATAAACCATCAAATACTGTCGACTGTATACTGTATGTATTCTAGCTGCATATCTACATCATCATGTATGTACATACGAATGTGCATACGTACTCGATCGTAACGGGGTAATGACCATTTCAAAACATAACATCCTGGTATATGTGTGTATAATAAAGACGGCTAGAAGCAAAAAAGAAAAAAAATCAGACTGAAATTTTTTTTTCTAAAAAAAAAAGAGGAATGACAGCTACTTCAAATGCCGACTCGTTTGCGCCTGGAACATCATGGGTATACTGTAAAGCAAACTGCCAGTTCCGCGGAATATGCGACTGCCGTGCACGATCAGCGGCACGACGGCAATCATCCACATGATGAACACGAAGCCGATTGCTGCGTTCAGGCGCAGCTGCTCCAGCAACGGCCAGACGACGCCGTGCTCGAAGGCGTGGTACCGCGCCACGAGCCAGTTCCGGATGGGTCGCTTCTTCTCCCGCTTGGCCTGCAGCCGCCGGCGGTGGTTCTCCAGCCCGTCGATCAGGTGCCAGGCCACCCGCCGGTTGATCTTCTCCCAGGTGGTCTCGTCTGCGTATTCCCGGGCGCCCGTCGACAAGGTCGACCTCAGATCGTCCTGGCGACTCACCTGCAGGGCCAGACGGACGAATTCGTCGAGGTCGTGCGGCGGCACCAGGTAGCCCGTCTTGCCGTGGCGGACAATGTCTGACGGACCGCCTTGATCGCGCGCAATGACGGGGAGGCCGCTCGCCATGGCTTCGAGCACCACCAGGCCAAACGTCTCCGTGATGGAACAATGTAGGAAGACGTCGCCCGACGCGTAGGCCCGGGCCAGCGGTTCTCCCGTCAAGAAGCCGGTGAAGATGACGTGGTCGCGGACGGGCTCGAACAGCCTCCGCACATCGTCCACGACGGCGGGATTCCGGTTGCCGCCCACGATGAGAAGCTTGAAGGGAAAGGATTCCTGCACGAGCCGGGCGGCCACCTGGGCGAGGAACTCGAACCCTTTCTCGGGCGCAATGCGGCACACGCAGACCAGAATCGTTTCGCCGTTGGGCGCCAGTTCACGGCGGTAGACTTCATCGCGGCGGCTGGGATTGAAGAGCACGGTATCGACACCGCGACCCAGGTGGACGAGGCGATTTCGCGGCGCACCCGCCTTTTCCAAGTACCGCCGGATGTCAGAGCACGGGTAGAAGATGGTGTCGACGGAGGGATGGCTGAACAGAAAGCCCTGGACCGCGCCCAGCAGCCAGACGGCGAACCGGCCGAGGACGCCGGGCAGCAGGATCTCGGAGTAGGCGGACAGGTCGGTCTGGAAGTTCAGCAGGACGACGGGGGGTTCCTGCAGCTGGCGGATCTGCCAGAGGAACTGGAAGCCGACGGAGGCGGGACTGGCCAGGTAGACGATGTCGGGGTTGAAGGTGCGCTGGCAGACGCGATCGAAGCGAAAGGGGTAGACCACAGTCAGGTCGGGGTTGTAGGGCAGCGGATACCCGTGCAGGCGCACCTCGGATTCCGGCGCAGACGTCGATGCAGATGATGATGATGTTGTTGTTGTTGCAACCTGTTGCCGGCGGCCTTTCTGCTCGTAGCGAGGGGCGACGACGGCCAACTCGACGCCGTGGGCGCGCAGGTACTCGATCAGGCTGAGCGTGGTGCGACTGACGCCGTTGACAGGGCCCAGCGACTCGGTGGCCAGCAGGATGCGTTTTCCTCGGAGAGAAGCGGGGAACTCATCGCGGTTGTTGCTGCTGGTGCTGGTGCTGCTGCTGCTGTCCTTGCCGTCAGGCAGTGATCGAGATGCTGCCGCTTCCTGTGCAGCGAAGCGTGGACGCATCCTGAACCACCGCCGGAGGAAGAGTGAGGGGTGATGCGGACCAGAGGAGAGGAAAATACTGCGGAGGAGGGGAATTGGACGCTTTTTTTTTCGTTTTCTCTTAGAGAGCCCTACGATATTATACAATTCCTACGCCTGACTACACTCGTCACCCGACCCAGAATCCAGCGTCTTCTGACTATGGATCCGGACTCCATTTGGATCCTCGTCACCGCCATCTTCGGATCGTGCTGCGCTTTTGACGGCATCTACGGTCTGCTGTACCGTCTACCGTCTACCTAGGCAAGTGCTGCGGAGGCCAATTCGGCGTCTTCACCCGACGCGAGCCTTGCGCCTTCCTTTTCGTCGACTGGGCGTGCCTTCCTGGTGAACAGGAGCTGCTCCTGCCCGCACGTGGGGCGCTCCTGCCGTTATCGCGCCCCCGGCCTTATCGCGCCTTCCCTGGCAGGCTGCCCCCAGCTCCCCCGCGCCAGCCAGTCACAGCGCCGGGTTCCCTGCGCGTGCGTCGGTCCGCCACCCGCACTCGATCGAGGAAGGAGTCCTCCGCGGCAAGTGCATCCCAGGCCCAGCAGTTCCTCTGCACACGCGCCCTCGAGGACCGTCCGCCATGCCCCCGTGTCCCTGCACCAGCCCAGGGACTGCTGGGCCCGTGGCGCTCGTTTAGCATGAGCTTGCGAGAACAATCATACAATAATGGCGGGCTCTGCACACGGTCAGCTCATAGGGCCCGTTCGCTCTCTCAATTCTTTTCCACAAAAATTCCTTCTCTCCCTCGCCTTCCTCTCCCGGTCGTCCACCGTCTGCTGCGCGTCTGTCTACGGGTCTGCCTCTCCAGACCTGATTGATACGGCCAGAGCTGAGACTGCTTCGCGAGAGTGCCCGACCGCCAGATCCGCCAGCAGATAGGAGCCGTGCCCCTCATCGGCTTATCATATCGCAGTCATGGACTTCCTCTCCTCTTCGCCCGTGGGCACCTCGGACGAGAGCTCCTGCGACGACTCGACCGGCCCGACTACTCCGGACAGCAGCCCGTTGTTCTGTCCGTCGCGCGTCGAGGACCTCGTTGGCACGCCTCTCGCCCATTTCCTCGACGCTCCCAAGCCTGCTGCTGATGTTCTGCCGCCGGAGAAGACGCGTCTCCCTCAGGTCAGCGTGCCTGCGGGCGCGCGTGATTTGCCCGCCTCCAAGCCCATCAGGAACATATGTGTAGTTGGCGCTGGCTATGTCGGTAGGTTTGGTCGTCTTGCTGGTTTTTATTGGCTGTTTTTCTATTTCAATGGATCTTGCACCGGAGAATATTGATTTTTGGTTTGAATGTTGCATTACTGTCCCTATTCTTGACATTATTCTTGACATTTTCTATGTCACTTTTTTCTGCTTCTGTAATTGGCTGACCGACCAGAATAGGCGGTCCTACAGCAGCGGTCATCGCCCTGCACAACCCCTCCATCCGGGTGGATGTCCTCGACAAGGACGAGCGCCGCATCCGCCGCTGGAACTCCCCTCATCTCCCTATCCACGAGGCCGGCCTGAACGATATTGTGCGGGTAACTCGCGATGGCGCCCGCATTTCTTCGCGGGGCAACAAGGCGGGGCTGGAAGCCGGTCGCAACGATGCCCCTGTCGCGCCGTCCGACCGTCTCCCCAACCTGTTCTTCACCTGCGACTCGCAGGCCAGCATTTCCAGGGCTGACATGGTCCTCCTTGCTGTCAACACCCCCACCAAGACCTTTGGCATTGGGGCTGGACGGGCCACCAACATGACTGCATTTGATGCCGCCGCCAGAGAAGTTGCCCGATACGCCAAACCGGGTACCATCATTGTCGAGAAGAGCACGGTCCCCTGTGGCACCGCCCAACGAGTGCGTCAAATGGTAATTACACGTTCTTCCCTGACGCTACATTTTAACCTTTTTTTTTCTCTCCGCATTGGTATGAGTTTCCATTGACAACAGACAGCTCGATGCCGTCCGACCCGGCGTGCCGTTCGAAATTCTCTCCAATCCCGAATTCCTGTCCGAAGGCTCCGCGGTGCAGAACCTCCTCAAGCCGGATCGCGTGCTCATCGGGTCAGCTAAGACGCCTTCCGGTCGCCAGGCTGCCGACGCCTTGGCTCGCATCTATGCCGCTTGGGTGCCCCGGGATCGCATCCTCGAGGTCAACGCATGGTCGTCCGAACTCGCTAAACTCGTCAGCAATGCCATGCTGGCGCAGCGCATTAGCAGCATCAATTCCATCAGCGCCATTTGTGACCGCACGGGTGCCGATATCGACGAGATCGCCAAGTCCGCTGGTCTGGATCCACGGATCGGCCCGCAATTCCTCAAGGCCGGCTTAGGGTTCGGTGGGTCGTGTTTCCGGAAAGACATCGCCAGTTTGACGTACCTGGCTGAATCGTTGGGACTGCCCGAGGTGGCTCATTACTGGAGTCAGGTCAACTCGATGAACGAGTGGCAGCGGGATCGGTTTGCCCGCAAAGTCATCCAGCGCATGGAAGAGAATCTGGTCGGCAAGAAAATTGCTATTCTGGGCTTCGCGTTTAAGAAGAACACCGGCGACACCCGGGAGTCGCTGGCAGTCGATGTCATCCGGATGCTTCTCCAGGAGAGGCCCGCAGAGATCGCTATCTTTGACCCGTGCTGTCTTGCCGAAGATATCCTCCGAGAACTGGAGCCGGTCTTGGAATCGCCGTCCTCCGGATCGAACCGTGACCGCGTCAAAGTCTACCCGGATGCCTACCAGGCCTGCGACCAGGCCAATGCCGTCGTGATCGTCACTGACTCGGATCAATTTCGAAATTCCCCCGCAAAGAAGGTGGGTAAGATTAATGGCATGCCCAAAAAGGCCGACACGGTGTCGTACGACATCGCCATGCGGGGTTTCTCCTCAGTGCCGGAGAGCGAAGAGGAGGAGATCATCATTCCTGGCTCTGCTTGTTTCTACCGGGTCAGCCCGCCTCCGAGCTGCGCGGACGACTGCCCCGACTGCCGGTCGACGCAGGCTCGTGGCGTCATCTCAAACGAGCCGGTTGAGTGGGCGCGCATCGCCTATGGTATGAAGGAGCCCAAGTGGGCCTTTGACGGTCGGGGCATCCTGGACGTGCGGGAGATGGAGAAGCTGGGCTTCCAAGTCGAGACCCTTGGCCGCCAGACGACGGCGCATGCTGGCCGCTGCTAGCGTGTTCTGACCTTTCGACAGATGCATCTAATTCACATAGCGAAGACTGGATATTTGCATTCTTTTGTCTTTTCTTGGGATTTTTTTTTCCTCTTAGAGCGTAATATACCTGGCGTTGGGATTGTTGAGCACTGTCATGATGGATCATTTTCTTATCTATGTGTCGGTGGTCTGGTGTGGGGTTCTCTTCTTTTCCATACTACATTTTGAAACTATCCCATGATGTTTGATCCTCCTAATGCAGACCTACATACTTTTCTATCTTATCTGGGTTGTCTGAGATAGCTGTCGACTGTATTGTGATTCCCGGAATAATGACTGGATATATAATTACCATCTCTCTTGTTGCATCGGCGGGCCTTGTTATACTATATACATAGATCAGGGATGTTTATGAAGACTCCCAACCTTCTCGTTAAATTGGAGAGTGTTTTTTTTTCTTTTATTGTCAATTCAATTGGAGTTTTTCAGGTCAAGCAGGATTTGACCTGTTGAATGAATAAAGTCTTGACGAGCTTCCTCTTTCGACAAACCTTTTTTTTTGTTTTCATGACCATAATTTCTATCTCTTGTACTGTACATACTGTACTGTAGTATAGATAGTATGATCTTGGATCGTCCAGTGAAAAAAAAATTTATAACACATACTGTATGTATGCATGTATGTATTTATGTATGTATGTACGTAGCTATGTGCATTATATTCCTATATTCATCCATTACATTGCAATTGAAAAGAAATAAAGGAAAGGGAAAAAAAAAGAAACAAGAAGATGCACACAAGCAACAAATAAAAAAAAGAAAGAACAGTAAAGATGAATATAATGAATATAATTCCAACGCATCTAACTTCAGGAATATCGTGTAATTCGTATCATTCATTCATTATTTTCCTTTTCAGAGACTACATAACTACGTACTGTACATACATACGCTCTACACTGGATTGTGCATGCATATGCACCGAAAAAAAAGGGCCTCATTGTTTCTCGGTTTTGTTTCGTTCTTCTTTCTCTATGCATACATACATGTACTGTACATGTACAGCACAACTTACAGATGACTCATAACCTTGAACCCATTGGCGGTAAGGAGGCGATCGGCCTCGTCCTTCTGCCACTTCAGCTTGGCGGTGATGGCGTCCTTGCGCGCCTTGTTCTCCCGCCGACCCATCTGCTGCAGATGCACCTCGTCCGGCCCGTCCGCGATGCGGAGCGTGCGCACCAACGCCCACAGGTAGGCCAGCGGCGTGTCCTGGCTGACGCCTGCGGCGCCCCAGGCCTGCACCGCCCGGTCGATCACCGTCAGCGCCATCTGCGGCACCAGCACCTTGGCCTGGGCGATTTCCTTGAGCGCGGCCTTGGCGTCGCCCTGGTCGATCTTGATGGCCGCGTTGAGCACGATCAGCCGCGCGGCGTCGATTTCGATGCGCGACTTGGCGATCCACTCGAGGATAACGCCGTGCGAGGACAGTGGCTTCCCGAAGGTCTTCTTGCGCTCGTCGTTGACCCGCGCGATCATCCATTCGAGCGCCTTTTCGGCCGCGCCGATGGTGCGCATGGCGTGGTGAATGCGGCCGGGGCCCAGACGGCCCTGGATAATCTCGAATCCGCGACCCTCGCCGAGGACGAGGTTGGAGACGGGCACGCGCACGTTGTTGAAGCTGATGTGGCCGTGGCCGTGCGGCGCGTCGTCGTATCCGTAGACCGACAGCATCCGGTGGACGGTGATGCCGGGGAGGCCGGCAGGGCAGAGCACGACGGACTGCTGGCGGTGGGGATTGGGGTTGGAGGGATCGGTCTTGCCCATGACGATGTAGAGCTTGCAGCGAGGGTCACCGGCACCGGAGGACCACCATTTCTAGAAGAGAGTCAGCTAACTGAACAGACGAACTTGTATGTATGTGGGGGGAAAAAAAAGGTAATATATACCGTCCCATTGAGGACGTATTCGTCGCCCTCTCGACGGATGCTAAACCCGATATTCGTCGCATCGCTCGAGGCCACGTTCGGTTCCGTCATCAAAAAGGCGGAGCGAATCTCGCCCTCCAGCAGCGGCTTGAGCCACTGTCGCTTTTGCTCCTCGGTGCCGTACTTGGCCAGCACTTCCATGTTGCCGGTATCCGGGGCGGCATTGTTAGTAGCCTAGCGAAAACTAACTATCAGCTAGAACTCCTCCCCAGCTCGAAAACGGGGGCATTCCAACCTCAGGCGCCACTTTGCTCTTGCCCAAGTACTCCGCCATCAGGCCGTACTCGAGATTGCTGAAGCCCGCGCCCTCGCTGAAGTGGTTCTTGGGCAGGAACATGTTCCAGAGACCCAGCTTGCGGGCCTTGGCCTTGAGCTCCTCCAGGATGGGCGGGGTCGTCTTCCATCGCTGCTCACCCTCGCCCAGTTGTGCGGAGAAGAGGGCGTCTGCGGGGATACATTCTTTCTCGACGAATTCTTCGACCTGACGAGCTATTAGCGACATGGAGAAAAGAACGAAGGAGAAAGACTTGATCACTAGGTTCTACCGACTCACCAGATCAAGAGTCTTCTTGGCCCGTTCACTGACAAAGGGCCGCGCAATGGGTGGGATATTATCCGAGGCCGGCATGATTCCGAATACAAGAATTATTTATTTATTCGACGAGAAGATTCAATAAATAAATGGCTCTGGTGCAGCCTTGAGAGTCTCAATTGAACCGATAACTAGGGAGATCGGCAGGCTTTGTAGTCAAATTAAAAAACAGAATTGACTGTATCAAAAATGGAAGACGACGAAAGGAAATCCAGACCCTCTCTGGAAAATAAATAGATAGAAATGTAGGTTGATATATGATGAGAATGATCAGCAGCAGGACATGGCTGCGTGCGGGGGTCGAGTCAGTAAGTTAAGTAAATACTTCTGAGGAAAGCGTCTGGGGTAGCCGAGCCTAGCCTCGGCAAGTTCTCCGTGCTTATTAGTCCAGTCCGGAGTAGCTAGCTTTTAGTACTGATACAAATGAAACTAACAAATGCTCCGGAGTAGATCATGCTGTTCATAACTACTAGTCCATATAGTACAAATCCTGGAATTGGCTTCTGAAGCTGTCAGCTCATATAGAGGCATAATTGCATCTATACTGATTTGATAGGTTCAGTTCAGAAGGGGGACACGAAGGATGACGTAATAAACGTATTAATCTGCAAGACTGCAACATGTATTTTCCATATACCAAGGGAGGTATATACTGTACAAATATCGATTCCTCCTCCAAGAGGTTGCGCTGAACTTTCCTGCCTCGTGGGAATGTTTTCATATTCTCTCTTCTTTTTTTCCCCTCTTTTCCAATGCAATTTATCCTGAATTTGATACGTGAATGGGGGAGAAAGATAGAAATGAATTTCTCGACATAATACACAAAGACAAAACAGAAGAAGAGAAAGAGAAAGAAGAGGAAGGAAAAAGAAGGCCAATGCAAAGTTTATTCCATACACAATAATAAGCATGAACCCCCCATCCATCCATCAATCCATCCGTCCATCCATCCCATATTCCTCCCTATAAACCCTTCCTGCCTAAGTCCATACACGACCCGAAAAAGGAAACAGAACCCAAGTCCAATTACACATAACATAGGCATAGCGCAGCGCAGCGTAGCATAGCATAGCACGGCTTAAGTACTTCATGACCATCCATCCGGAAGAAAAGTAAACCGCAAGAGAGATAAAAAAAATAAAAAGCGGGAGAAATGAAAGAAGAAGGCGCAGCCTCTAGAAGACAAGACAAGACAGTGGTCGAGCCGATCGGACTTCCACCCGTCTCGAAGAAGGTCAGGTCAGGTCAGGTGTCTTGTCTTGTCTTGTCTTTACGCTTGTTCCGTCGGCGATGCAGAGGCGGAGGACTGCTCGAAGCTCTTCTTGCCCAGTTTGGCGAAAAGGGACGGTGGTTTTCCGGCGCTATAGGAACGAACAAGCGCGATGAAGTTAGCGAGATTGTTTTCAAGTAGTTCTGAAGAGATTAAAGAAAGGACAGATGTCAGAAATCAAAAGGATGAACTGCGTGAACATACTTCTTGAATCGCTTCCCCTTGAGATCGCTCAGCTTCTTCGTGCACGGGCTCATAATATCATCAGACGGCGAGACGTAGGTTGTTTGGGACCTAGACCATTTAATACACAAGTCAGCAAATAGTCCCCTCCATCGCCACCAATTCCTCCATTATTTCGAGAGAATAGGTAACGAAAAAAATGCGATCATTACCGGCGCAGCCGAAAGACATACTTTTCCCCGTTTTTCAGCTTCTCCTGCAGCGCCTGGCGGTGGTACTCCATCGAGTGAACCTTTCCCTCTGCGGCCTTCAGAGAACTGTGGTTGTTGTCCGACAGATGAGTGTTGGTGGAGCGGTCGCTGCGCGGTTGGACCTGCGTGGTAGTCGCAGTTGCGTCCATGGTGATGTCGCGGGTTGAAAAGGATTTCCCGGAAGCAGTAATTCTGCTTGATGAAATAATGCAAGGCCCTCGACTCTCTGATCGATCGATCGTCAAGATAATCTTTGTGCTCTGTAAGGCTTGCGGCAAATTCGAACCGTAATCACAGGCGTGACTATGAGAAGTAAAGAAAGAAAAGTCTCTCAACAGGCAGGAGAAAAGGAGGATAGATAGATAGCCTTCCGATCAACCAAACAAATATGTTTGTTTCCAGCAAAAGCCACACACACACACACACACAGCTAATTTAATTTTAAAACAAGAAAGAAAGAAAGGGAAAAAATGTGAACGTGGAGCTTGTTTGATAAGGCATCAAATCAAATAAACTAAGCCCGATTGTTGGCATGGCAACGGCCGCCATTATTACATTTAAGTCGGATCGGATCGGTCGCCTGCAGTGAGTGGCATGTGGAGAGAGATGTGGACAACACCACCGACTAAATAAGAATTGACTCATTGCTGTCGATCCCTGTTGTCTTTTGCCTTTTTCTCCGTTGATAATAATATTAAATTAGTACCACAGATTGACTTCATGTAAGAGAGTCAATAATATGCCTCTCTACTGTAGAGAGTATTCTCTGGCACGTGATGAACACTAAGCTAAGCACCGAAGGCGTAGGATTGTCAACTCGTCTTATTCCAATAGATCAGCTCTCAAAGCATTTCATCGCAGATTGACCTTCTTGTGCAGGAAGACTGCATCCTTGAGATAATAGATCCGACAATGCTGTCTTATTTCTGATCCATGGCCTAAAATTCCTGGTTTTCTTTGATGAGAACTGCGCGGTATATTGTTATATATTGAACTTGGAAATAGTTTTACACTTCACTCCGTAATTGTATTATAGATGGGATAGCCTTATGACTTTATTAATACTATTTAATATTATTTATACCTGTATTTGACACTGTTGGCATCTGCGCCAATTAAACTATATACAGCTACAGTTACAATATTAAAAGGTAAACAATGTATGTGCATGTTCCAATCCATCGAACGACCAGATTCTATAAACAGACCCCCATGTTATATTATATATCGAGGTGCCGTGTAAAACAAAAACAAGCAAGGTTCATCCTTGCAATCACAATCCATGTTCAAGCAGACTCCATCATCCCCACACGGGATACATGGACAGACTGTCTGACTCCATCGTAATTTCTTTTTCTTCAATCATAGCGCCCTATACTTGCCGATCTGATTATCCCGGCTTCAAGGGTGTTCCGCAGCGAGTAATAAACAAAAAAAAAGTTGTAGGAAATCCCACCAGGGATTGTTCTGCTGGTTATCGCTGTAGAAACCGGTTGAGGATCAACATCTCGAAGATGACTCATTGTCACCCTCTTCAATGCGCCTATTATCGCCAGATATGTGGCCGGAACTGCCAGCTGGCTACGGAGTAGCCTAATTCTGGACCCACAAGCCCGTTGTCAGGGGAAGATCCGTCCTGTCCACAACGGGCTTGTAAACAGACTCGCGTGGCCGGTGATGCCGCCTATCAAGGACACACGATAGCACCGCATGAGTAGTTAGGCTGGGCTTCAAGCCACGACTCCACTCACAGCCTTCCAGGGATAACAATGGGTTGCGTATTGAATGGAGAGGTCAACTCAACCAGCAGGCGACGGCAAATCGGTAGGCTTCGGTGCAGCCGAGTCAACTCCCTCATCCTCGCTAGCACTATCTTTCCTGGAGCCACGGAGCGTCGGTGGACTACTTCCGGACCTCACATGTGGTGGCTCCGGCGTAGGAAGACGGCTAGAGTTAGGTGATGCCCCCTTTTCATCAGACTCCGATCGACTAGCGCCCTCCTCTGACGGTGGAGTAGGCGGCGAGTAGGAGATGGTCGGACTGATTGGGTCCTCCTGGGAATCTTCAGAAGGATTTCTTCGGTGTCCATGCTTCTCCCGGACGGAAGATGTCGCTCGCGAGCTCGGACTCGCTAATGGTGTCCCGAAAATCGGCGAAGATGACCGCAAGCTATGGGACCGCGTCATCATACTCTGAACACTAGGAAACTCGATATAGGTTCCCGCAGAGCCTCGGGAGAACAGCACAAGACCGAAACAGATGAGTACAAAGATGCTCTGGATGACCGACACACGCTTCTGGAACACGAGCTCGTCGGCTAGGATCCCCAGCTGGGTGGTTATCGAATAGATCTCCTGATGATATTGAAAGCGCTGTTTCTCGAATTCGATGGCAACGGATTTCCAGACCTGATCGTACTGTGATCGAAATTCTCGTAGCTCGTTGAGGACAGTCGTATTCAGATTCTCCAGGAAGGATGACGTCTTGGCCAACTGACGCTTTTCGACCTTGTTGAATGCATCCCTGAGAATCCGAGATTGTTCCTCGATGTACAGCAGGGAGAGCGTTGAGTTGGACTCCAGCATCTGGAGCCGTTTGTTTACCGACTTGAAGAAAGACTCCTGTGTAGTCGGGTTTGGAGACGCTGGCTGTGTGGGCACAGACCTGGTGGGTTCGCCTGCTGCAATAGAGTCTTCTTTTGTACTTGTCGTCACCGGTCTCGTCTCCGTCTCCGTAGCTGGGGGTCTTTCTCCGCTGCTCTGCCCTTCGGGGGAGGAATGTGACGAAACTGTAGCATTACCGCCAGCTTGCTCCGCAGATGTCGAGGACGTAACCTTCGTGTCTGTAAGGGTATCATTAACAGAAAGGGCATCAGCTGTATCGGCGGCTGTAGCTGGTCGAGTCTGGGCTGGCCACGCGGTGTCATTAGGTCCAAAAGGTGGTCCTTCCTCCTTTAAACACATGTCAATCACCGGTGTTGGGCCACGTAATAAGGCTTCTTCGACCTCGGTCCTATTGAAAAGAGTAATGTCCTGATGAAGCAATTCCGAGAGTGTGGGTGTCGTAGTGGTCGCATTCTCGTGCAATGAGACCGTCTCCTCGACTGACTCTGTAGCATTGACAGCCTGGACCGTTTGACCATCAACAGGCGCCTCAACAGACGCCTCAACCGGTTCAACCGGTTCAATCACATCATCACTGCCTTCTTCATCCGTCCGGCTAATTTCTCCATCGTTCTTGTACTCTTCCATCATCGTGGTCCCATGGACTCGGATCAGACTGACCGGGCAGTAGAATTCGTTTCCGTAGTGTGTCAGGAACTCAATTTTCAAGTATCGTGCCCAGATAAGAGGATTTTCGATTGCAAATGCCTGGATCTCTCGCGTATTCCTTGCCTCAAAAACGCCCAGTTCCCTCCATTTGTCCGGCTTGACAGGATACCGATCGGAGACGCTGACCCTGAAAGTGCGAAAGATCGAACTAAAAAACTCGTAATTAGCGAGCACGACCGTGTCGACCAGAATGTCTTCGCAAAGCTCGAGGATAATGAATTTATTCTCAGCCCGACACTCGTTCAGCATGTAGCTATCTTTGTTTTCGATTAGAACGGACGAGGATCCCGTGCACTCCGGGTTTGTCTTCAAGACCGTGGCAGCACAGTCGAAGGAGGCGTAGTTAAACCTTTCCTTGCAGGTGGTTCCAGCGTCTTTTCTCTTTCCGACTCCCTTCTGAGAAACTCCTTCGGCAGTGCCTTTGTCATGATGTCCTTCACCACCCTCAGTAGAAGACGCGCCGCTCCCCCATGATGAAGGCCTCGTATTTTCCGGTGCCTCTGCCCCGAATCCGCCAAATTCCAGCTCAATTTCCGAATCGTCGCCAAGCGAATCAAGAGCGTTGTTGATCGTCCCTGCTCGCCTACGATGCTCACGCGCAACATCTCTGTTTTGCCGGCGACCCCCCACATTTTCGGCCGACTGACCGATTTTGGCCAAGTTTTGCTTCTTCCAGTCCTCGAAGGAGAGGAATTTGGCGTTATCTAGAGGCGATTCCGTATCAAGCTCCTGATCTGTGTCGGTATCCGTCGAAGCGGTAGGGGTAGCACGGTCAGAAGACGTAGCCGAACTAGTCGTCGCATCAACCGTTATCGTATGCTGGTGCTCCAGGCTGCCATCCTCCTGATATGCCTGGCCGTCTGACACAGACTTGCCTTTGCCCCATCGTGTCTCCAGACAAATCGGCTGCTGGATAAGGGAAGTCCACTCCTTGGCCGGGCATATCAATGATGAAGCATCCGCAATATCGCTCCGTTGTTCACGCCCTGTATTCGTCGCGTCTGAGGCAACTGCGGCGTCTGCAGTTGCGAGCGTAGCCAAGAGGAGAATCCACAGCCCGAGGCGTACGACGTATTTCTCAGCTATCATTGTCGAGACTTTGCGCCTACGCATCGTCTCAGAAGTAACGGAGGAAGGGGGGCCAAAAAAAAAGGTAACGTTCGAATCGTGGATCGTCGGAGAAACCGCTGTGCCTCTTATTTCTCGAGTCGAGCCGATTCCTAGATAACAGCGCATCTCGAGTTAGTAGGGAACGTTCCATAAGTGGCAAAGTCATCCAGCTGCCAGAGTGGAAGGGGAGGCAGGGTCACGCAGCCATTTGGCGGGTCTGTCTTACCATCCTCCGTTGAACAGAATCAGCTCTCCTGCCACGAAAGAGCAGCCCGAGTGTTAATAAAATAACGTCTTCGGTGGTGTCAGAGAATAGCGGTCAAAATCATTACTGAGTCGATCTGCTCCTAAAGCCCTGACTCCGTAATCTGGACTGACGGTGAGCGCCTGACCGCTGCGGCACCGGTGCGAAACCGGCGATCTGGAGATTCGCCACGCCGTTCAAGCACTGCACATCAAGATATCAAGAAATCTAAAACTGGAGAGAAAAGTGACACGTGTAGAAAACGATATTTCGGAGTGCCCAGCGAGTTCCAAACGCTTCGGATGCGATTCTCTGTCCGAGGGGAGACAACGCCGTTGGTTTTTTTGTTGGGGAGCTCTATCAAGTTCGCAGCTCTCCGAAAACCCGTCCCTGCGGAGCGCGCATGCGGGCTCCACTGTTAGAGGCCGAGTGTCCTTTTTGCACCAACAACAATGCAATTTATGTCATTTATTGGACTTAGCCAGCTACTCGGGAGTCTGGACTTTCCCTGACTTAATGCAAATTGCAGACCCGCCTTTGCTCTCTGTCAACGGCACAAGTTAATCCTCCTGCAGAAGAAGCAAGCTGGCCAAAACTATCGCCTTCTCCAAAAAATCCCTCATACAGCACCAAATGACTGGAAAGAACTGCTACACAGAATTGCTATCTCGTAACTACAGTCGAAATGGAACGGAACATCTTCTGTTCTTCATCGCTGTCCATTTGTTTCTTGACATGAAGATCTACCTAGCTACCTACAGTACAGGCCCTTTCTCATCCCAGTCCACCCCAGGGCACAAAGTGTCCTTGAACGTAGATCTAATAATGAACGTACCACTGCAAAATTGAAAACAGATGCGATCATTCCTCCGCTGGCTGTCCCAAGCCTTCTCCTTCCACTTTTCCCTCTGTTGAAATGGAATACTGGAAAAGTGGCTGGTATCGGGAATCCGATACCACAAGCCTTTTTTTTTTGGTTCGGTTTTTCCCCCGCATGAATCGAAAACAAAAATGCAGGAACACTTACTCCTGCCAGGATGGCATACTGCATGCTGCCATGTTTGATCGCCCAAAAGAAAGAAGGAAAAGTATAAAACAAGTCTCGAGAAGTAAAATGTCTCGTAACAGAAAACGCCGCTCTCGTATGACTTTTAACCGCTCAAGAGCCCGTACCAAGTTGCTTTTGCTTCTCCTTCGCCGTACCATTAGAGTGGGAAGTCGCCATAGTATACATGAGACAGGTTGTCTCAAATTTCCATCGCCCGCGACGAAAGATGATGCGGAATTTATAACGTGACAGAAACAACATCCCCGTGACAAAAATTCGCTCGATGCAACCAAGAATGCAAAACCGAGCAAAGCCAAATAAATAAATCCGTCAATAATAAATATTAGGTTTTTCGTAATTCACCAAACGCAAGGGCGAAAACAAGGAGCAGCAGCAGCCGTCAAGGCAAAAGAGTAAGGTGGAAAATCACGAAAACGGAAAAAAAATAAGGAATAAGGAGAGGCAGGGAAACTAGAACTACAAGTGAAGATCGTGCCAGCCACCGACCAAGTCCAAGTCTTCGTCCACGCTTCCGTGATAATCGCTGGAGTCATTGGCGATCTTCACTTTCACGGTCTCATAGGGATCGCGCTCACGCCGCCAGTCTTTGTCCAAGAAAGGATTGCGGCGACGGTCATCTCGCTTGTGCCACGCAGGGGGACTAGAGGGACCGGAATCATGTCTCCAGTTCGTGTTCATGGAACGCTGCTTGAAACGGGAAGCGTCTTCCTCGGGACGGTAGTTCCTCCTCCGGTCTCCCAGAGCAGCCCATTTATCGAGGTTGAACCGCTTTGGAGGAGTGTACCGGAATGGTCGAGCTCGAGAGCGAGAAATCGGAGTGGCATTCTCAGAAACAATGGGCTTGGCGGGAGTTGAGACCGATTCGGGGGAGCTCGAGACATTCTGCGGGTCCTGGGAGCGAGAGTTGACGAGAGACGTGGTCTTTTGTTCATGCAGACCAGCAGGACGGAAAGGAAGCTCAGCATCCTTGCTCTCTTGACTCCAGCTGCGAGCATTATTCTCACGGCGTTCCTGCAAAGACCGGTCTTCGTTTTCTGATTCCTCCTCATCCCAGAGATCACTCCAGCTCTTGGAGATTTGACCGTCCTTATCCTTTCCAAAGATCATGGACATAGCGGGAACCGGCTTGATAGCATGGCTGGGAAGGGACCCACCCATTGGAATGGTGCCAGAGGGAGGCGGATAAGATTGATCGCTGCGACGCATGGTCGTGGATTTGACCGATGCGCCAAGGGCGGAATCCAAGACCGACGCCATCGACGGGGTCTCAGGATGCGTAGAGAACCACGAAGTACCCGCAGTCTCCGATGGAGGGAAGAGGTCTTCGGAGTAACTCTCCGAATCCGGAATGACAGAGAGCTGGCGAATAGGCTGCGGTGGACTTGCCTGGAGTGCTTTCGCCCACGGGAAGGAGTCGCCCTGGTTGATCTGAGGAGATTGAATCGAGGGAGTTCGAAGAGGCTCGCGGTTGGCGCTGGCGGGGACAACGTCCCGATCCTCCGTGCAGAAATCATCCAAGGTCTCATCGTCCGTCGTGAAGCTGACCGTGCGCAGGATGGCATCGCGGACTCCCGAGAGGGTTCGTTTCTCCGGATCAAGAGCCAGGGCATTTCTCAGGATCTCGAAAGTATCCTGAGACATGTTGGGGAACACGTCAAAGAGAGACTGGCGGTCCCGCACGTAGTCGGCGAAAAGCACATCAGACTCGGTGGGCGTGACAAAAGGATTCCGCGCAAAAAGAATGTTGAGCAGGCAGATCCCAATCGACCAGATATCCGCCTTTGCGGGAGAATATCCAGTCGGCGGCGGATCGTACTGTTCCGGCGCCATGTAACGGTCACTGCCAACACAGGCCTCGTAGCACCAAGAGCTACGAGTGGCCAGGCCAAAATCACCAAGCTTCATTGATCCATCCTGGGTGAGAAAGATGTTTTCGGGCTTGATATCCCGGTGGTAAAGGCCATTCGAGTGCATGAATTCCACCGCGCTGATGAGCTGCAGCATAAATTCGCGCACATGTTCGGTCTCGAGAGGGCCCCGATTGGCACGAATGGCCTCGTATAGATCACCCATCGAACAGTACTCCAAAACCAGGTAGATATGGGCGCTAGTCTCAAAAGAATGGATCAGGTTGACGATATTGGGGTGGTGCCCGAGGCGTGCGTGGCAGGCGAGTTCTTCGGATCGGTCATCGACGGCCATGGAAGACTCCGAATCGGTGGAGGACGACTTGGTCAAACACTTGATGGCAACATCCTCCCCGGTTTTGGTGTCCTTGGCGAGAAACACCATTCCAAAGGACCCATGGTTCAAGGGAGCGACTGTGCGGAAACGCCCATCCAGGAGCTGTCCCTCGACAAACTTGTCCTTCAAGCACTCCATGCCTGACCGATGTCTGAGGGTTCCGACACAAACGCACCCAATCGATGACAGACCGACCCGATGAAGTAGAACAGCAAGAAATTAATAGTGGCTGAATATACCCAATTCAGGATGTGATCCGGCAATCCGCGTAAGAAGGCGTCGTGACAAGTAAAAGGATATGAACAAAATAAGTTGAAAAAAAAAACGCCCTGGACTGGTGTGGATAGTGGGCAAGAAGAAGAAAAAAAAACACGGCTGGCGTAACTCAGATCCAATCACAGCTGGACAGTAGCAGCTGTTGAGAAAACAAGGATCCGTTGAAGAAAAGACAAAACTCAACAAACTCTGGATCGTCGGCTCATATAAATACTAGGAAAAGTGAGGATATGTCGACAAAGGAAATGAAACGATATGCCAGATAGGCACAAGGCGCGGTAAAGGTACCCGCGAGGGTAACGTCGATATAGCAGGCGAAAAGAGCGTTATAATTTCATTTGCATATGTTCGAGGAATAGGAACCGGCGTAGAGCCAAGCGAAGGAAGGATAATGACGGAAAAGAGAGCGTCGAATGAGAGAAGAGATTATGAAGTCCGAAGGCGAAAGTGGATTGGTGTAGAAAAACGTCAAGGGATCGAGGACTCGGAGAACAAAATCGCTGCGTAAGGTCGTAAAGCAAGTGGAGAGTCGTAACTCGACTACTCGGGACAGATCGGCAGGTGGTGATGACTCAGTATCGCAACCCTCAGTCGAAGATCCGATACTGAGTCACGTACCCAGCAGGCGGTAGAGTGGCTATACCGCTGCCTCTCTCGAATCAAGATGCCAGCGTTCTGGGACCCTCCAAGGGACTAGCTACAGGCACAATTAAGCACCTCTCGAGAAGAATCGAGCAGTCAACACCCAGGTCTCACTCCAGCAGCTGAACGTTGATCACTGTCCCAACGTCGCACCAGGGGAGGAAAGGTATCGACCGTAGCAGCCACGCCGGAGGGGTGGAACGAAGAGCTTGATAGTCACCCTGCAGCTTTGAAACGTCGATGAAGAGAGCTGTCTGAGATGGTGCGAGGGTGAGGCGAGAGCGGGAGAGAGAAGGCGGTTGTAGGAAGTCGGATGAGCCCGCAGTACCGGTCGAATTGAGGTCTGAACCGGAGTGTCTTGAAACAGAAGTGCTGTGGTCTCGAGCAGATGTTGGCGGGCAATGAGGCGAGAGGGATGAAGCAGCAGTGGAGGAGGGAGCAGAGGATGGGAGAGGACGGAGGAGAAGGATGAAGGAGGAGGATTAGGTTGGCGGCGAACAGGTGAGAGAGGATGGAGGGGACGGCGGGAGAGAGGAAGGAGCAGCGAAGGAACAGGAGAATGGAGACGGAGAGGAGGAAGGAGAGTTGGAGTCGGTGAAGGAGGAGGGATGGATGCGGATGAGAGTCAGGTAGGTAGGTAGGTAGGTAGGTAGGCAGGCAGCAGGAGATGGAGAGCGATGGATGGCGATAGACAAGACAAGGTCGGCAGGAGGAGTCAGCACGATATGGGTTGGCAAGCTGGGGGAGCGCCGCGAAGACGAGGGAACGGGGGAGAAACGCAGCCCGTCATGACAGGGAGGTTCGCCGCCGGGCTGAGCCAATGGCGGATGCAGAGGCTTGGAGCGGGGCGTTCTGGTACGGTACCGATACCGGCGGCAGCGCAGGTCGTGCCCAGCAGCATCAAAATGCCTCGTGGACGGGCCTGTTGCCCCCCAGCCGGAGCCACGACTGAATCCCCCGAGGCAGGGCAGGCCCGGCCGCCCAAATGCCATTCTTGCCAGGGCCCCTGCAGCGCCTGAGAACCTTCGAGAGATGCCGGCTGCAGCCACCTGGGCGCCTGCCCTCCACCGTCCCCGTTTCCCCTGCGACCTTCCGCTACGCGTTCTGACGTGAGTGAATATTTTGGGTCTGGATGGATCGCCCGCCGATGGGCCTCCTACTCCATGAGGACACATAGCCTCAGATCTCGCGATCCTAACTACAGCACAGAGCTCCGCAATAAGGAGCGCCCGTCGTAGGTGCCATTTCAGATTACACTCTGGCTGCTGGCAGACTGGCAACTTGGATAATACTGGCTGCATCCAAGTGTGTCCACCGCTTTTTCAGACAAGGTCCGTCAACGCGCTTGAATTATGGTAGAGCAATAAAATGTTTGCTGATCTCCTACGCTCGAGCAAATCAGGACCTGCGATCCAGGATCAATGACACCAAAAAAAAATTTCGGCGCCGTTGGACCTTGTACATATGCAATGTATGCAGCAACGAATCGAAGGCGAATCTGGCCAACCTTGGAGGTGAGCTCTTGCCAGGTGCAGGCCGGCAGGCAGTGAGTCAGTGATTCAGTGAGCAGTGAGCAAGCCTCGTACCTAATCCGGACTGCTGGTTGCGTGTCAGCACCCCGTCAGTGGGGCACTGGAGGAAGACGAATCCGGCCGGCCAGTAGCAAGCGGGCGAGAGGCGGGCCCACCGTACTATTTTCAGCATGCATGACGCCATGACCGAAAGAAGGGACTTGGCAGCAATAGAGTGGTGAGATCAGCCCAGAGAGGTGGGGAAGCAATGGTCACGCTTGAAACGCAACGCACGACAGGAAATTTAGGCAGGTGCCCCGGGGGCCTGCATGATTGGCCCTAGCGCTCCCTGATCGTCTGGAGTCTGGCCCACAGTGGCTGCTGATTGGCTGCGCGCGTGGCGGTTGCATCTGCCGAAACGCAGGTGTGGGGTTGCCCAGGACAGCATTGTCCACCAGGCAACGAGAAGAGGAAAGGCTGCGTTGTTTGGGCTGTAACTTGTCGCCCGGCCTGCATGGCCTAGGCTCGTCTTGGGCTGTGTACCTGAGCTCGTGCAGATCGTGGCGGGTACTTCAAGTACCTTGCCTCGCCCTAGCCCGTTTTCCCCCAAGCTCCGTCCTGACCGCCTTTCTCGAATGCATCCAATTGTGCTGTTGCCATCGGCCGACCCAAGCTTCGGCCCCAGGATGCCCTATGCGCCTGCGAGTGCCCGTTTCGATCCCCCTCTTCTTACGCTTGAGATCAGGAAATCTGAAATTACTGTGTCGGATTAGGTGTTAATCTAGCTGCGAGCCGGCCTCTCAGAGCGTGCCGTCTGTTACCATCCACCAGTTCCCGCCACCAGAGCTGCAAGACACATCGCGTGATGCCCTCCCCCTCTTGGTCTGTTCCCCTAGCTTCTTGCAGCCACAGTCGATGACAGTCGCCAGCAAGTCTGAGAGGGGGCCCTTTTATTGGGATTGCGGCATTCTGCCAGCGTCCACTTGTTTCTCTGATGCTCGGCGTGCATTCCTGATGCCCATAGGCCCCCAAGGTGCACCTTTTGCTTGCATGGAAGCGCAACAGCCAACAGCTTGCAGTTGAATCGGGATCCATTTGCGCAATCTGTCCTGGTGGGCCTGTGCAACGAGATGGCGTCTAGCTTTATCATCTGACCCACCACAGCAACCACTGCCACTGATAAGCAGACACGAGTGCACTGATCTTCAGATAAGGACTGGATATTATCACACTGGACGGAGACAGCTTACAGTGTATACTCTGTGCTGTGTTGTAAGATGAGCAGAGCTCCAAACCAGTATCTACGAAGGTACCTCTATTGTTCTTTTGCTACGATCTTTGAAAACAGCCCGCTGGTGAATCAATGCTCAGTCAGATAAGGATCTCCTCGAAGCGCGCGCCGTGTTTCAGCCTGCGACAGCAGTAAACCTTGCAACTGTCGCCATCAAAGATGACAACTATTCCTATCGACAACATTAACGACTAATCAACGAACCCGTGTCCGGAGTCATCTTTGGCACGTTGTCATTGGGACCCAGCCACCAGCGAACCCCGCTCCTCAGGTAGCGCGCGGCACGAGTCGAGGCGAGGCGTCAAGTAACTGCCACCAGCATTAGCATTAACATTATTATTATCCAGCTTGATTTTTCATGTTTTTTGGGGTTCCATGAATTAATGATTTTAAGGGGGCTTGCAGCTTGCGCTGGTTTCTGGGCTTGCATACAGAGTAGAACAGAGCAACAACAGAGTTCAGACCATGCAGAGCACCACCCATCGTCAAGCCGTTCGAGAGACATATCCAAAGACCGAAAAGGCGGGAAAGAAAAACGGAAAGAATTGAGTTTGAATCACGTGTACGGTCGAAAGTCTCTCATATTGACAGTTCTGAATATGGTACATATCACCTATTATCAACACATCATTTCAGTTTTCCATCCTTTAATGTACTCTGGCTCCATTGCCATTGCGAAGAGTAGTAGTAATATGTCTTCTCAATCATGATGATAATCGTACAAAAGACGAAGCACGCCTCGTCCTCAGTAGTATAACTCAATGGCTGGAAAGGGGGCCAGAGAGAAGAAAGGGGAACGGAACGGTCGTCCTAGTAATAGCACCTAGGAATTCGAATTGAGTTTTTACTTTACTGCCGTCATGGATCATCATCTTGATGATCGATCACTGGATCAGTATGTACGGAGTACTCCGTCCGTACTGGGTGAGGCATTTATTTACTTAATTCTCGCAATCAATTCCCAACAAAAACCGCAGACAAGTCAACAATTTAGGTAAGATGCCTACGTACCTACCTAGGTAACCTTGTTGAATTTGGGGGCAATTTTAATAAGCAACAACAATAATATAATAGGCGCAGTAGTTACCTGTTACGGAGTAAACTAGTCAGGTCCTTGAACCTTCCCCGCATTCCAACCTGGTGTCACGCCAACCAGGCAGGCAGCCAGCCCCAGTTAGGTAAATAATAATATTTTGATCTCGAGTCTGACAGCCACCACCAGACGCCACTTATTAAAATATTAAAATCTTGACTGACAGAAGATTTTCTTTTTTTTTCTTTTTCTTTTTTTTTCTTGTAACTCCCCAGCCATTTATTATTGACATGGAAATACAGCATAAGCTACCTAGAAATAAATAATGATAGGATAATTAGGAGTTTACACCTGTTTGCATACTGCATATGCAGACTTTCCTTTCCCCAGGAAACCGGGGTATCCCTGAGGAAGCCTGGAAGTCTCCATTCCTCAGAATCAGGTAGATAGCATAGCTTACGACATCATGTCGTACAGTATGAAATACTGTATGTACGGAGTATTTCTCCGTAGATGGATGGCTAGCTACCTATGTAACCCCCTTGTCAGGGTGACGACACGGACGACACCCCTTCATGCGAGTAAATTGTCAGTAATTAACCATGAATATTGTTTTGCGAGGAATTATGTACATGTACTCCGTACAGTACCTAGCTTAATGACTCGTGAAGTTGCCGCTTCTGAAACGCTGAAACGGTACCTATATGCACTACGTACTAGCGACTTGTCTGTGAGCTATTACATAGTATGCAATTTTGAGACTGGCTTGAAGTGGATTCATCTACGCTGGAACTTTATTATACTCCGTACAATACTGTAATATTTATTCCATGATGATTCATCGGCCATCGGAATCTAATCTGTCATTGACACATATATTTCCTGCTTTTGTTTGCAACCCAGGGGCTGTGCTGTGCAAGATCTCGTGGCAAGTGGCAACACCCTTGTTGGAGCCTTGGAGGCCTAGTCCCTCGGATTGCGTACTCTGTATTACTCGTAACTCGGTGAACAATGGAGTCGTCATCTAGGGGGCGAGAATGCGGGGATTCCTGATGGAGAAGATTCAGTGGATAAGTGGATAGTGTGGATACTGTGGATACTGTGTGGGGTGATCACGTGGTGGACTGGTGGGCCGATATCCGGAGAAGTGTGTCACGTGATACTTGGCGTATTGGGAACAATGCCGATTCATCCATCCATATGGGGGGACGGGAGGGTCGGATTCTTCATTTTGCGTCGAGTTAGCAGAGTAATCAATGATATAAAGTTTTTTTTTCCTCGAGTGTAGATAGATTATTCGACGGTATCTTACTGGTTATCTTATATTGGCTTGGTCTTGGATATTTGTTCATGTGGTTGCAGGTGCTTGTTCCCATGAACCCGAGATTATATATATTCAAGACATACGTATTCTAGATGAATCACAGAGTCCACTCACTCTAAACGATAGTTGGATCACAAGTTTCGTTCTAAGAAACGAAATTCCCCGCAATGAGGATATATAAACCCCTGTATTACCAGTCCGTAGGCAACGGTGTTGCCATCCATCCTAGCAGATACGCTAGCGAGTGAGGGGAAATCACCATTTCAATCCCCTCCAGAGGCTCATTAATCCGTCCATCCAGCCCTACTCATCGTGTCGAACAAACCGCAGAAGAAACTACATTTCATACATTAATTACACTGGTGAAAATGCCACCCATTACTCTCGACCCCAGCATTATCGACCAGGACCTCACCGGCAAAACCATCATCGTGACCGGAGGTTCGAATGGCATTGGAGCGGAGACGGTAAGAGTGTTCTACGCCCGGGGTGCCAACGTGGTTATTGCCGACCTGCCGTCTACAGAATCTTCTGCGACGAGTCTGCTAAGTTCTCTGGACGATTCGTCGTCGCGCTCACTCTATGTCCCGGCCAACATCGTAATCTGGGACGATATGAAGGCCGTATACTCCAAGACCATTGAGCGGTTTGGGTCTGTAGAGATCGTGGTCGCCAACGCCGGCATTATGGAAAGCAGGCCTTTCTTTGACATGGACAATCTCGACAAAGAGCCCTCGGAAGCGTATAAAGTTATAGATATCAATGTGAAGGGAACGATGAATAGTCAGTTCACGCCCTCTTTCATCCCTATTCGACTTTTTGTTCTGTATCAGCAGGCGCATTACTGATTGGCTGTCAGCGCTACGGCTGGGCGTTTATCATATGCGCTCCAACCCCTTCTGCTTCCCCGACTCGTCGCGAGGATCCATCGTGCTCGTCTCTTCTACGTCCGGCTATTTTGGCGGCACAGGCGTCGTGTCGTACGTTTCCTCCAAGCATGCCGTTACTGGCCTCCTCCGGTCGTCTCAATCGGTTGCAGAGTCCACCCATATCCGTATCAACGCAGTCGCTCCCTTCTTCACGCCGACCCATATCACAGCGGGATTCTCGGAGAAGTGGAAGGAGAAAGCCCTGCCGGCAAACTCTGTGACTGACGTCGCGATGGCTATTTTGCAGACGGCATTGGATACGAGCCTCAAGGGAAGATGCTGCATGGTGAGTCGCTGTTCCCTGAGAATCGCGCTGATCCCGGCGAATGCTTATCGTCGAAGATTGCGGGCCAAAAGATGGCCGAAATCGAAGGGCCGCGAGAGGCCATGATCCCGTCGTGGATAGGAGGAGATGCGTACCAGTTGATGGCCGATGCAGGCAAGCTCTTCAAGGAGCTGGGAGGCTACCCCCTCCCGAAGAGCAGAGAGTAAAGCAGAGCGTTGTAGAGTGCGTATCGACGAGACGGCCCGCTGGTTGGCTGCCGACACGTGCAGGCCCCGCTCCGGCTCCGAGGCCGCGAGAAGCTTTTCCCGGCGTCTTCAACATCAGTCAATTTATTATCATCCAAGCTGCGTGACAGGCGCAACAGCCATTCCTTCTCCATGCACTGTGACAAAGGGTGGCTAGAAGCGAAGTACTCATGTCCGTTTACCAAACATAGACTGCGGCGTCCCTCGCCAAGTATGCGACCATGAGCAAGCGTCCCCACGGCGAGTCGGCGTCGCAACATGGCTCCAGCCCTGCAAAGGCGGCCGGCGCTCCAGAGGCCGTCAGTAGCAGTAGCAACGGCCTCCCTCCGATCAATGAGCTCCTGACTCCGTCGGAGGAGCCTGCGCAGCAGGAAGTTCACGTTAAGAAACCCAGGAACTTCATTGCAACGGTGGTAATGACTCCCGTCGGCAACGGCCTGCATCGGCCATGCACAGTCAGTAACTTCGGGTCCAGGCGTGCGATAATTGTCGTCTGAAGAAGACAAGATGCGACGAGTCACGGCCCAAGTGCGGGTTGTGCAAAACCCTGGGCCTAGAGTGCGTCTATAGCGAGCGCAAGTTGTCCAAGTAGGTCGCATATTTCCTCCGAAAAGGCTTGCTATCTACTTGGGCGCTGATGACGGCTCCAGAAAGGATCAATCGTTGAGTATGATCATCAGCACTTTACATCGAATTGAGACAAAGCTGGAAAACCTGCCGTCGGCCGTTTCCAGCGACATGCAGCCGGTGACGAGCCACATCATCCAAGCTATTGAGGCGCTTCGATACAGTGATGCGGCGGCCGGCATGGGAACATCGTCTCGTGGCTTTTCACAGACTACGACGCCCTCTGTGGTTGGACATAACGACCTGGAGATCAGGGATCATCGAGATTCCATCGATGCAAAGGGCCAAATATCGATTTCGTTCAGTCAGCACGGAGTCCCCCTCTGGCCTGGCGCTCGCACCATTCTCCCAGAACGGCTCCTGGCGGCTTACGATAGGTTAGGGAAGAACTATGTTATAGACCTTGAAATGAATCGGCCTCCGCTACCGATGTGGGTGCATCCATTTCCGCTGCAGGCGGGAGACAACTGGCTGGAGACACTGCCGTTCTCCGTGGTCAAGGGCCTTTCAGAAGCCTTCTTCGCCACGTTCAACCCTTTTACGCCGATAATGGACAAGCGCTTCTTTTTTGCCTTTACTCTCGGGACTGTCATCGAGGGCGGATTCGGCTGCAGCATTGAAACGTGTCTCGTTCTCAACGTTATGGCCCTGGGATGTCTCGCTGTCCGAGCTTACCAGGAGGGAGACCTTCCATTGCCAGGGACTCTAGGTGATCATTTTGAGCTGCCAGCCTGGTTGGACGTGATCGAGGAGGAACCGCCGGGACTGCGTTTCTTCAACGAGGCGCGCAAAAGAATTGGGTTTTTGATGTGCGGGAGCGATCTCCAAAGCTGTCAATACTATCTTCTTTCCGCGTAAGAACATTCGGGTCCCTTGGATGCGACCGTTCATCGCTAATTTCTCCAGCATGTACTACACCCAAATAATTCGCCCCATGGACTCGTGGGCTATGCTTAATCGAGCGGCTGCTTGCTGTCTTTCCATGTTCACAAAGTATATTCCTCCGGTCCCATCTCTAGACTGAGCTGACCTGTTGACGTTGTTGCAGTCGCGAAGTCAACTATGACGAGTGGGACGGCGATATGAAGTCGAGGGTTTTCTGGAACACCGTCATGTACGAGACGATCCTCGTGCAGGAACTGGACTTGCCGTCTAGCGGTCTCGCGCGCCTGGAAGACTACGTGCCCATCCCGAAATTCATCGCCTTCAATCCCGTCGGATTACCTACCAGTATAGCCTCTATAGACAATCCTGACGATCAGTTCTTTCAATACCATTTTCTCGCGCAGGTTGCGCATCGAATTATCCTGACCCGGATCAGGAACAGCCTGTATTTTTTCTGTGAGTTTTGTCCTAGCCTGTGTGTCTCGGTGACTTCAACTAACGACGCAATCTTCGTTTGCAGCGGAATCTGGAACCCTACCTCGCCCAGCCGTAAACGCAGAGCTGCACCATCAAATCGAGCAATGGCGCCTCAACCTCCCCCCAGCAATCCAGTTCTCCGAGCACCCGAGCAAGGCTGCCAGCGACAGCCGCGAACCCGTCGAATTGGGGCCGGGGACTCCCGTGTCACCGGCCGTCGCGGTCGCCGAAGCCATGCTTCGGGGGCGATTCCGGATCGCCAAATTCCATATCGGCCGGCCGTACCTGTACAAAGCGCTGCGGATCCCGGGGTCCCTGACCGAAGACGACTTTGAGCAGATCCGGAGCGGCCTGCAGTACGCGATGGACTGGCCGATAGTGCGCGGCATCTTCCGGCGCATGAAGAGCTGTATTCCTATCAAATTCGCTTTTTGCTCGCAGTGAGTATATGCCTACATACACATGTAGAATAATGGGACAGATTATTCTGATACAGAGGATTTTTTTTTGCTTGTCGACCTGCAGATTCTTCGGCCAAATCCTGCTCTTCTACTGTATTTCGCATTCCCCGGATCCGCGACTGCGCGACACCTTACCTCCGGGCTGGGAGCGCTGGTACGATGAGATGATGCAGTTTCTGGAAGACTGCGCGCCGTACAGCCCGGCTATTGCGCAGGATTTGGAGCTCTTGCGGTTGCTGTGAAATAGTTCCTTTTATTATTGATATCATATTGTGATTTGTTTCTTTGAAAGTGTTTTTTCTCTGCCTTATTTATGTTGTGTACTGGTTACATCCATACATATAAAGGGAAGGAAGGAAGGAGGGTTATACAATTGTATTATTTATTGCATTTGAATACATATCACAATTGCGATGATAGGCCCAGTGCTGGCTTTGTCGATATCTAATAGATAGATAGATCGATAGATACACAGAACAGAGCTATCTATACTTGGTTGCTTGCTTTGTTTGAACCTGATCGGGTGAGCGGGTAGATTCTTGAATAGATGTAAAAAAAAAAGAACGATGGGTTTACTGGTTGACTGTATATATGTACAATAGCTATCTACATTCCTGGCTATCAGCATATTAAATTAACATGAATTGCAACGACTGAAATAGTAGATAATACCTGATTCTGATTGATTTGGTTGCGTACCTATACCTATACCTAAACCTGACATTATAGTCTTGGTCATTGTATTCTCATCGCATTGCATTGCATTATTGATTTATAGTTATATTGCCCATTCATCCGTGTTGTCAGATTCAGAAATGAAAGGCTTGTCGATTTGCTTGATGCCATGGTCGCCGCAGAGGACACTGCAAAAAACATTCATTAGTGAACACCCAGAACCATAATTTTCGTTTATGAAGATGACCTACCAAGCCTCCGCAATCAACGCATCTAGCTCCTTGATGATCTTCTCTCTTCGCGACATCGTTATGTCCCCCTTGTTCAGCTGCGCCTGGAGATCCCGGATATATCGCTTCTTCCCCCCCGCGCCCTCGAGGACTTCCTTCCCCAGACAGTCGCTGTGGAAGGCGTGCTGGCAGGGAAACACGAAGAATTGCCGGCTCAGCACGGGCAGTGAGCACAGCCAGCATTTCTCGCCCGGTTCGACGATCGCGTACCGCGTGTCCAGCGCCGCGATCTCCGCGCGGATCTGGCTGGCCGTCTGCGCCGAATTGTCCATCTCCTGCCGCAGGGCGTCAATGTGTCGCGAGTAGTCCTCCAGGGCGTTGCAGATCTCGTCCTTGAAGTCGTCGATGACGACAAAGTCCGGGAAGAACGGGATCAGATCTTCGATGCGGAGCAGTTCGCACCGGCGGAGGAATTCGATCGCGTCTTTGATGCCCGTCCCCGGTTGTCGGATCTTCTTCTCCGCGACGAGAAGCCACAGTTTCTTCCGCAGCTTGTCGTTCCCTTCGGGCCTGTCTGCAACAATGGCCGCGAGCTCGATGTCATTGTATTTCAGGGCCAATTCAACGGCCTGCTGGTATTGGCCCATCGCGCTATAGATGTGGATGCACGATTGGACACGCTCATGCTGAATGCACAGGCGCAACGCAAAGTCGGCATCGTACGGTGGTGGATTTGACGGTTGCGATTCGAGATACGTCAGCAATGCCGCTTCTGATGATGAAGGACTCGATGCATAAATCGAGATTAAGGTGTTGTGGACGGCCGCAGCGGGACGGGGATGGTTCGCGATGATGAAGTTGAGGTATCGCACGGCTTGGTTCTGACTGAGGGGAACTTTGGCCGTCTTGTTATAGCTGAGAAGCGCCGGTATCAATTTCTCGGGATCGAGATTCGTCTGCCGCATCAGGATGTCCACAAGGCCCGTGGACGCATGCACCATGAGAACGCTGCTGTACTTGTAGAACACTTCCGGATTGCTCTGCTTCTGCAAGACGTTCAATGCCTCGGACCACTTCTCCCGTTGAATCCAGTAAGATAGGACATAATTGTAATCATTTGTCGCCGTCGCAAAGAAGAGCAGCTCTTCCTCTCGGCCATGGCTGCTGATAATGTCGTAGACAGTTTTCTGGTCCAGATCGGATTTGTACTTGGTGACAAAATCCTGAAACTCGGCCCGGACGCTTTTGAGCTGCTCCTTTGATTCCCCTGCACTCACGCCTTCCGCCAACTCTGCCTTAGTGGCGATCGTGTCATCAAGGGAGTTCAGCTTTGCCATGAAGACCTCCACGAGCCAGCTCGCTATCATCACTCGCTGCATGGTGGATGACTTTTTACAGGTTGCAAGCTGGGTGAGGAGGTATTTCCGCAGAGCGTCGTGTTCCCCACGGTCGATGAAGGTCAAACAAACTTCCTCAAAGCCTTTGCTACTCTTCCCCCACACCGCGGCTGCTTCGAGATAATTGCCCTTGCTGACCAGATAGTCGCCAGAAGCAGTGGCGATGGCGTCTTTTTGCGCCGCTCCATGTGCATATCGAAGGGCGTCATCGAACTTCTGCTCCTTGAGAAAGATTTTCCAAAGATCGCGGTCTTCATCATGAGCAACAATTTCGAAAATCTCCTGAGGGGTGAAAAGCCAGAACGTATTCTTCGTCCGATCTGTGAGGAGTCCCAGGGTACTTTGCCCTGGCTCAAGCACCGGCTGATCGTACACAATCTCTGCGCTGAGCTCATTCACAGCTACGACTCGTCCTTCGACCAAGGTTAGAACATGCCATTGTGAAAGCGTCATGGCTGTGATCGGATCCTGGATCAGCTTCCTGCCACCCCGAGCAGATTCAGTTGCTGGGAAAAGCGAGCGGGGCAGCATCTTCGCATTGTCGAATGGCCGACCTGTCTCAGAAGGGGAGTGTTCTAGCGAGCCATGGAATACGCCCTGAGAGGAGAGCCACGCGAACCGCCTTTCCAACGACTGTCCTTCTATATGATGGTCCTCAGAAGGGTTCGGTGAGATGGCCAAGGTGGAGGGTGCGGATTTGGTCGCTTTGGGTATTTCATAGACCGCAGGTGTGCTTCGCTGAAACAGCTCAGCATATACTGAGCCTCCACTTTCCTTCCCATGTCGCCCTATGTGGCCTGAAAACAGGAGGAGTTTGGTAGGCGTCGCCAGGAGCACCCGTCTCTGGTCAGGTTTGCCCGATATCGAGTCGGCAAAGATTCCCGTGACCGATGCGTCCGGGACTCGGTAAACTGTGTTGACATATCTCTCCTCGCGGCGATAGAACTCGGTAGACGGTTCGATATAGACCTCGTAGACATGTCCATCGGTCGCCCCGATCAAAATCTCCCGTGTCGATGCGGTCGGCAAGGATGGATTCCATGCAATGCACTCAATCGAAACGCCCTTCAGCCGCGATAGTGCTTTGGGTTGACGCGACTGGGTGTGGAGGTAATAGTTCTCCCCCAGAGTGGTGGTGATGATCAGATGGGAGGCCGATGGATCGAGGAACAAGCGACGAATTAATCCGATCTCAGAAGACTTCTTCGGGAGATCGATGTCTGCATCAATCGCGACGGATTAGCAATCGTAATATTACAACAGCAGGTGCGATCGTTAAGGAGACGATTATCTGGTTGCCTACCGTCGATGTCTTCCGGACTGTCCAGGTCGATCCGCAATATCCTGCCGGTTGCCAACGCAAGGATAAGGACATTGTTGGCGACTTGCGCGGCGACAAAGTCCGCCGCTACGGAGAACTGAAGCTGGACTCGTTGGACATCGAAGATGGGGAGTGAGGGTTCGGGGAGCTCTGATAGATTGCTCGGAGCAACGTAACCGCTGGGTTGGTCCAGCGCCATGGCGCGCTTCCTTTCACTGAAGCTGTATCATAGTGCGCCCCCGGCCACAGTGGACGAGGGAGTCAACCGGCGCTGGTGGCTGCTGTTTGGTTATCAGGTTGGTGTGATAGCGATACCGGCTGGCGTTAAGGCCATTGCCGTCATCTACTAATGTTTGGTGCCTGAGGCCACCAGTTCTTCACGCAGTCGATCAATCTACGAATGGGCACATCAACGACCAACCACACGTTGAGTATATTGGAATATACCATTGGAGATTTTTATTTTATCTTTGTTTTATAAATGCAAACATGAAAGACACTCGATACGCTACGCCAATATGTAGAGAACATCAGAATTTGTTATATATTACAGTAATCAACAAGAAATAAAATACAAAATCCCAAGGTTTGTCTTGGTGGAAGATCGTCCTTCATGCAGATTCTGTCGCCATCTAGTTGACAAATTTACCGTAGAAAGGAATTCCGAAGGCGCTCAGGAGCAGCCTTGCATCTTTGTCGGTAGTCGCAGTGGTATGGAGAGTAATGTGACAGCCAGGGATCATTTCTGGAGGGTACCTAAACATCATCGAGGTTAAAATATGCAAGGCCTATTCCAATCGAGAAATCGAAATTGACTTACATATCATAATTTACTTCAATCTCCGGGAACATTGCCACAGCCTCCGGGGTCAGACCGAACGTGATGTTTCCACTGCTGTCGCCGCTGCTGCCTTTGATACCCTTCCATTCCTTTATTTTCGGCATCACGACTTCCACCAGCTTTCCCAGGAAGTGCTGCATATTCTCGCCCTTCAACTCCGCCTTGACTGCCACTGTATCTCTGCCGGGAGCAATTCCCCATGGCGCGACGCTGCTCTTGGATTTGAACGTCTCAACCCGAACATTCGAGATGGCCTGCACGGCCATACCTGCTACGTGCAGCCAGTGCGATCCTTCTGTAGCAGCCTGTTTGACGTAGCTATGGATCGTGATTCTCTCGACTTTGGGAATGTTTCGGAAGGTGATGGGTTTCCGGAGCAGCCGTAAGACATCACCACCACGGGGTCCACGGAGAGGTCTGTTCTTGTGATATGGAGAACTGTCGTCCCATTTGCGGAGCCGCTCTGGCCTAGGCGGAGGCTCAAAGCCCGGCGGTCTGTGGACATAGCAGAGGGTGAGGATGTCCTGAGCGATGGTAGAATCGTAGGTCTGCTGAACGCGTGGAAGCGTGAAGGGCCCCGGTACAAATTGTCGGGAAGCAGGATCTGACGGAGGAGGAGGTCGGTGAGGGTGCAAGGGGCCCCGGTAGTATTTGGGAGATCGGAATTGGTATCTGTGCTCAATCGTCAGAATCCCGAGGTCGTCTATGGTCAGATCTGGGAAAATGTCTGCGCTTACCGGCTTGGAGGAAGCTCGGTCTTCCGTGACCTGGCTCTGGCAATTGGATCGTATGATTTCACCACTTCTTCCGGAACTGTAGCTGACATTAGCGAGGACGAGGACTCGAGTTCATCAAAAGGGTCTGGCGAGCTACCTGCCGCCCCCTGGTCGGAGGCATTGCGCCTGGGTGAGGGCCACGGCAGGCGGCTCGATGGAACAAGGGCCCGTGGAAGAGCCTTTGCCAGGTATCTGGACGGCTCTCGGACGGCCATTGCGTTGCGCAGCGTCGTTGTGCCTGGCTGTAGATCTAGTGTCGCTGGTCCAAAATTTCGGCGGAGAAAGGATAACACCACCGGTGCCTGTCACGTGGCATTTGATGCCTGGGGCGGTGAGGCGTGCAGGCAGCGACGCCAGGCACCAAGCCGATCGCGCTAACTTAGCCCAGACACGTCCTCCGCATGGCGGGGTTGGGATGGCACACCAATCAGACGCTTTGTATTCACAGATCTGGCTGTGAGGCAGTCACACCGGTCACCTGTCAACGTCCTGGTCTCCTGGGCTAGTCACTCACGCAGGCATCCTGTGCAGCTAAATCGTTCGCAGAGTTGCACGCGATCGCGCCCGACGCCTCTTGTTTTCAGGCGATTTGATTTCTCGCCACGCGTCTGGTCATTTTCCTTGCTCTCTTTCGTGACCCAGCTTCCACGACCGTTAGTGATCTTCTTACTTGATATAGCCCCGCCTCCACCTTCGAGATCTCGCACCCGCTCCACTCTTTGACCTGACTAGCATGGCCTTTCATGCCTATGTACCCCTGCTCTAGACATTGGTTCTATCCTGATATGTTGATCGACATGACGCTGGTGCTTAGTAGTGCGTTGTGCAGGGATACTGGAGTCTAACTAAGTCACAGTGGTGTGTCTGCAATCCCATCTTGGGAAGCTGGCTTTAAACTTCACAGCAGGTTTTAGGGTGGTCATCTCGATAAATCGCAAGAAAGCCAAGTTAGCTTGCTTATATGAACTAAATGAATTCCATCTCCTAGTACTGCATCGCGGGCTGGACAATGAGTGGTATTCAGCGGTTCCTCACGCGGCGTGAGAAACAGAGACGCTATGGAAAACAAGACAAAGAGGTATCCTTAATCCCAATACAGCTAGTTTGGTTATTGTCGCTGCCAGTTATTTGCTTAGTCGTCATTTTCTGACACTTTTTTTTTCCCAGTTGTCAGGTGTCCTCTTGGGCCCGCAGTTTCGGGGATTTTTTGCGTCGGCCAATGCTACATCCGCATACGACAAAGATGAAGAGAAGAAGGTCATCTACTTCCGATTGACGTGTGATATTTCTTGCTGACGTCCCTTCAGCTCAAGAACCTAGAACGGCGAATCGCTTCACTTGGAATCTCTGGACTGAAGCCCGAACACTACCTATATGCACTTCGATCAAAATGTGCACAAGGAGACGAGGACAAGGCGTTTGAGATGCTCCTGATCCTAGAAGACTCAATAGAGGGCATTATCAGAGGCTATGCTCCGAGCACAAAACTTCTCGGGGCAGAGAATCGAAATGGCGTCACTTGCTATCTTGACGCATTGCTCTTCGCTATGTTTGCTCGGCTCGACTGCTTTGAAGCAATTCTCTACAAATCATTCAATGACGAGCCTCGACGGAAACTTTCTATCATTTTACGGCTTTGGGTGAATCTGTTGAGGTCCGGAAAACTGATTACCACAGATATTGTATGTCTCCTTGGCAAAGCTTGTCTATGACTTCCACGCACGCACAAGAGTTTTGTGCTTTCATTGTATGAGAAATACTGACTGGCATAAGACCGAACACCTCCAAAAGTCTCTTTCAGAATGTGGCTGGCCAGAGGCAGCTGAACTCCGGCAGCAAGATGCGTCAGAGGCTTTTACATTCATCACTGAGAAGCTGGAGTTGCCCCTGCTGACCCTCAAGATGGATATCTACCATACAGGGAAGGAAGATGCCGTCGATGATCACAAATTTGTCAATGAGAGACTGCTAGAAGTGGCAATCCCCCCTGAGCATCCTGATGGCAGTGCAATTACTCTGGAGGACTGTCTTGAATCCTACTTTAATAACAAGATCGAAGTAAAGCGATACCTGGAACGACGACACACTATTGGATCTGTAAGATCCTTTGATTCGACTGCCAAGGAAACATCAGTTCATGTGGAAACTGTTGAAGTGGGTTCGTCTGCTTCGTCACCAATCCATACAGGCTCTCCGCGAGTTGACGAAGGCCGCCCGCTATCCCCAGCAGTGGATACCAACCTACTTCAAAATTCCCCGCTCCGACGGGCCAGCATTGTACAAGAACGCTTTATTCCCGACAAGGACGGCCAGAATGGGGAGAGTGGTGAGGGTAGCACAACACCTCACCGCTCTCGACAGAGAAAGGGGAGTTACAGAAAAGAGGTGATGATGCCTGCGTGGCAGTTTTTCAGTTTGATACGTATGTCAAAACACTATAGCCGTTTTGATGATCATCTGTTCCTAACACTCTTCCAGCGTGGTATACGGACAATACGCCGACGAATGATGCGCAGGTGGCGGCACACTTTTCTTTGAAGCGGCCTATCCTTGGTATGTGCTTGAAGCGCTATTCCGTATTGCCGAATGGGAAGGCAATCAGGCTCAACACCTACATCGACGTACCCATTGAAATTGGTTTACCGCATTTCATCCAAGATGACAAGATGGATGACAACGGCCCGTTATACGGCAACTTCAAGCTGTCTCTACAATCTGTAGTATGCCATCGGGGGGATTCTGTCGATTCGGGTCACTATATCGCTCTTGTGCGAGGAACCAGTTCTAATGCAGCCCAGCAAGCTTCGGGAAGCTTGGACTCGAATGCGACTCTGGGACCAGATGCATCGGAGCAGTGGATGCGCTTTGACGATCTGGCCCCTGAACGTATCACCCTGGTCGATATCGAGCAGGCTTTGAGGGAGGAATCTCCATATCTTCTTTTCTACCAGATAGTTCCAATTGACGAAGAAGGCGAAGAAATACAGAATCGTGCTTCTTATACCGAGGCTGAAGAGGACGTCGATGGTCCCGTGGCAGTGTACGTGTCTTCTGCGGCATGCACCGATGATGATCCCCCTGAGACATCTGCGCCTGGTTCTGCTCGGCTAAGCTTCGAAATAACACGCCCAGACACAGAAGAGTCCAGACAATCCCAAAGGAGACAAAGTGTGTCTTTCTCAGATGCTCTTCGGAATTCGTCCCATGAAGATAATTCGGGCAATCTCCAGGTTAATTCCGCAGCACGTTCCGACCAGTCGACGCCTAAAGAACGGGGTCGAGGCTCATTTTCGTTGTCTCGACGAACGTCCAGAGGTCTTAAAAGTCGTTCTCGAAGCGGAGGTGAAGAACAAGGTAGCGAAAACCGGCTTAGTGCCGCATTCTCTCGATTTGCCAATCTTCGACTCAGTAGAGAAAAACTACCCAGCGATTCCAACAGCGCAATCGAAGACGGCGACGAGCCAACCAAAGGCGGCGGCTCTCTTGGTGATGACAATACAGCTGACATCACGCCTAGCATGACCGAGAATGAAGGCAAGCGCACGAATGGCCGAACCACGAAACCCCGAAATGGAAAGCGTACCGAGAGGTTTGCACGAGTGAGACGTGGAAAGCAGCCCGAAAGGGAATGCATTGTTATGTGATTGAGCGATCAATCATGCATTAATCACAGCTATTTATGATAGTTGATTCTGCAAACGGTGATACCCCTAACGTTCCTGTGGTTTGATCCAACTTGTTTCAGAAACAGCATGGTTTGCAGCATATTCATCTTGCATGTCCACACAATAACCCTGTATTTCTGCAAGTCAGTTGCGTGGATTTCAGGACCATTGATCCCACTTTATCCAGAGGTCCCGCACAGCATATGTATTATCATGACATAGACATCTCAAGGCGTCATGACTTTCTATGATACATGTAGACTAGTTTTTAATGACTCAATGACATTGAAATTTCAGTAAAATTAAATATTCCTCAATATATTTGCCTAGAATAAAAGTTACTCCAACTCGGTGGAGTCTCTAGAGCAGGAATGACGCACCGAGTGGGAATGCTCCCCACCTCATCCATCCGAATACATTAACGTACCCCGCGTCAGGAACGCGGGGCAAATCAGGACAGATGCCCATGGTTGAGTCAAGCCACTGACACACACAAGCCTCTACTGATCCGAGTTAAATTCGTTCGGATAGCGGAGGACGTTAGCTACCTTAGCTACCTAACCTACCTTGGTGGCACATGCATACATGCATACATCCCACTGGTGAGGGGAAGAAAGAATGAAATGATGAAAGAACAGACTAATCAAGTTCAGAAAAGATAAGACAGAAATGGTCAAGAGTGCTAGCAGGCAGTGACGTATGTTTTCACCTTTTTTTTTCAAAATATGAACTGTTATAGAGTGTCTCCGACGATCGATTCTCCACATGCTGTGTCTGTGATTTACGTCCATTATCGAAATCTGGGATAGCAATATCCACTAGGTGATCCACCTACTCCAGTTTCTCCTCACTTATCGATTGCATCACTCCTGCAATTTTTATATACCCTTCTAATACTCTCCTATCCACCAAACAAAAAAACTCGCGACTTCAGACAAGAAGGATATATCTATCTCCTGGGAACTACAACAGAGAGAGTCAACGACAATGACTAGAATATCGCCGCAAGTCGTCGACGGTCTCAAGGCTAGGATCGACTCGGTCACCAGCAAGCCAGATGGCGTGCCGGGCCTGGTCATCGCCGTCGTCGACCGAAACGGCGATATCGTCTTCGAGCACGCTTCCGGCAAGCGAGGCATGGGCACCAACGAGCCCATGACGACGGACACGGTCTTCTGGATCGCGTCCTGCACAAAGATGATCGTCGCCATTGCCGCCATGCAGCTGGTCGAGCAGGGGAAGCTGGCCCTGGATGATGTCGCTCTGGTCGAGAGGCTGGCGCCGGAGCTTCGAGACGTGAAGGTTTTGCAGGAGCGTCCTGATGGGCGGTTGGAGCTCGTCGAGAAGAAACAGGGCATTACCCTCAGGATGCTTCTTTCTCATACTGGTCAGTAACCGTATTCGTTTTGGACAATCTTAGTTCTAGCGGTGTGAGGTCATTTTCTGACTGGCACATATCGATCAGCCGGCTTTGGCTACTCCTTCTTCAACGCGGCGCTCAAGAAATGGTCAGAACCAGCCGGTATCGACGAGCTTTCGGGATCCATGTCAGACATCCTGTTCACGCCTCTCGTGAACCAGCCAGGCTCGCGATGGGAATACGGGACCAACATCGACTGGGCCGGCGAGCTCGTGATGCGAGCCTCGGGTCTCAAACTGGACGACTACTTCAAGAAACACATCTTCGAGCCGCTGGGGATCCGAGACCTGACTTTCTTCCCCTCGGACGACATGAAGAGGCGCCTGGTATACATGCACCAGCGAACGGCCGATGGGAAGGTCACCCTTCGCGAGGAAGGCCATCCGCTGAAGCGTGCTCTAGACCCGATAGGGAAGAAACATGTCTATCAGTCTGGAGGTGCTGGATGTTTTGCCGTCCCTTCGGAGTATTGCAGTATGTTTCTCTTCCAGATTCTCCCTGTTCCGATAGTCAGAACTGACGAACCGTCCACCTACAGAGATAATCGCAGCCCTTTTGAACAATGGGAAATCCCCCAAGACTGGGGCTGAGATCCTCAAGCCGGAGAGTGTTAAACGTGAGTCAACAACCTACAATTGAATCTGAATCCGAAAACATGGAGACTAACAGCTTGTCCCGCACAGAGCTCTTCGAAAACCAGATCCCTCAATTCCCCAACTTCGGCCGCCAGGGCATCTATTCAACGAAGCCGCAGTACTCGAAGCCGTCGTCAGACCTATACCCACAACCCCTGGACCAAGCTCAGGGCTGGACGCTGGCCGGATTCCAGCACCTCCACCCCACCACCACCGGACGAGCGGCGGGCACGATCTGGTGGAGCGGGATCGCGAATCTGCTCTGGTGGGCTGATAAGGAGCGAGGGCTGGGCGGGTTCGTCGCCTCGCAGATTCTTCCGTATGGAGGTTAGTAATTAGTCAATAATCATTATCATTATCGTTATCTACTTGAACGGAACTGTCGTACTGACTGACTGTGATTGAATTCTAGAACCGGACGTCCAGAACACAATGGCCGAAGTCGAAAAGACGTTGTACTCTGCCTTGTCGAAGACGAGTATGCTGTGAGTGATGAGTGAGTTTAATGTTGCAGGTAGCCACCTGATATTATGCCATCAACAGGCATGCTTGCTTTTTAGGTACGCCAGTCTTTACAGCCTCTTTCCTAGTCTAGGAGTAGTATACGATACCAATGTAATTTTTCTTTCTGTGCCTACGGAGTACTGCATTTTCCATAAGCGATGCCACTTTGCAAAGTCAAATCCAGCCCTGTCATCGCCGTTACTTAGATTCTATGGCAAAAGATAAACTCATGTCGATCGTGGATTAGTTAGTGGTCGTGGCTCTAAACTAGGTAACTTCATACAAAAAATAAAAAAGTGCAAAACACGTCAGATCTCATGCTCATGCGTATTCATATGCCATTGCTCATGCTCATACGATGGACATCTCCAAGAATTTACTCTTCAGCAACTCGTCCGCGCTGGGCCGCTTCTCATAGTCGATCTCAAAAGTCATGTCCAAGAACGCTCGCGCCTCCTTGCTCGCGTTCTCCGGTGGAGGAGGCCTGGCTTGGTTGTTGCCAATGGCGAAAATAGCCTGCAGCTGACTGCAGTCCGGGAATGGGTGGGTGCCGATGAACATCTCCACCACCAGGCAGCCCAGACTCCAGATGTCGGCTTTCTTCGTGTGGGCCGTCTGTCGGACCACTTCGGGCGCCATCCAGTATACACTCCCCTGGAGGGACGGGCGGTGCGGGTGGTTTTTACCCCCAGACGACAGCATGGCTGAGGCCTCCACGCGCTTGGAGATACCAAAGTCGGAAATTTTGATGCCGCCTTTGTTGTCGACAAGAATGTTGGCCCCTTTGATGTCTCGATGGATGATGTCGCGACTGTGAAGGTAAGAGAGACCGGCAAGGATCTGGCGGACAAAGTTCTTGATCAACGGTTCCTGAAACGTGTTGTATTGCTTCAGCATCTCTGCAATGGACCCTCCAGGGACGTATTCGAGGAAAATGTTCAGGTGATGGTCATCCGCTGATGTTCCCAGGTACTGGACAATGTTGGGGTGGTGCAATCCTTGAAGCAATTCTATTTCGTGCTTCAGAGCAGCAACCATGTTGTTCTTCCTCTTGTCGAGTTCGGTACCTTTCGTCGCCGACGGCAGCTCCACCTGCTTCACAGCCATGAGCTCTCCCGTAATCGCATGTAGTGCAAGGAAGACGCTTCCGAACGATCCTTCTCCGATCAGAGACCCCTTCATCCAGTTCTTCGGCGCGAAATTGTTGCCAGCAAGGAATTCGTTGAGACCGACATCCTCTTCTTCCCCGTCCTCTGCTACAATCATGCTCAGGCGTTCGTTGAGAGAACCACCGCCATCGGTGGCTGCAACACTGAGCGTCTCATCGAGAAAAGTTCTGCCATGCTCGCCGGCCGCCTGCTCAGATGTACTGGAGAACGATACGTACGACTTGCGGTCGGGCTCAACTGGGGACTCCTCCTGGAGAGGTTGCAGAGTGCTCGATGCGATGGAGTCGCGATACGCCACTGAAGGTAAGTTGAATCTCGACACAGACAACGGTCTTGAGGCACGTGTTGGTTGGCCTCCCCCGCTCAGCCACGTATCAGCGATGCTCGGGATAGGGGGAGCATCCTTCAAGCTTGAGGCCACGCTGATATTGCTGACAACACTTAGACGACTCGCCGCACGACTCATTCGCTGCGATCGTCGAACGGACAAACGCATCGTTTTTTCGATTTCATCGCGCTGGTGACTTGGGAAGTACGAGGTCAACTCGTGTATGATCATCTCACTTGGAGGTCTAGCACCGAAGAACGAGCGAAGCTTAGCCGCTGGGTTTCGGTCTGGGTTGCGCTCCGGGACCGCGGGTGTTGGCGACGGCTCATGATCATCTTGATGGCTAACATGCCTGTTCCTGTCGGAGGACATTGGAGACATTGGCTGCTTGATGTTATGCCAAGATTCCCCCGTGAGCTGCTGGATCTTGGCCTGGTTTCGTGGATTGGAACTGCTCAACGCATTGAGATGGGTCACCTGACTCTCATCCAGCGCCAGTTGAGAAGCGCGACGGAGCTCGTCTGCATCTGGCTCTCCAGCATGAATCTTTCGAAGAATCAAACGACCGCGCTCTGACTTATTTGAGGGATCGCATATTTGCATCAGTTCGGCATCCGATACCCGCCTGCAGTTTGCCGGATCTGGTTCCAAACCATCCAACACGTAGAAACAGTAATTCCTGTACTGGGTTTCAGGGAGTTGCAATTTCTTCAACACACAGATCATGATTTCTTCTGGTGTCTTGCAATGCTTGACATTGAGAACTTTGGTCTGACCGCCAGTGTATATCACTCGAATGACGGGAGAGTTTGCAGGAAGCGGCCCCATGGTTAAACCATCAATGCTGGGATTTTGCCTTAAATGCGCAGACCCCTTGGAGGCTTGGTTGGCGTCTCCTGGTGTGGGAGGTCGGCGACCAGAGCCTGAACCAGCGGAAGATGGGTGGCTATGATACCCGGATCCCTGGTCCTTCCGTGAGCTTTCGGTAGCATGTCGATGGCTTCGTGTGTTTCTATCGGCATCCGCAGGCAAAGGCGAAGACGGCCGTGACGACTTTTGATCCGCTTGCCGAGACCAGCCCCGGCTGCTTGAGGAGGGCTGTTGGCGAGAAGTGGAGGAGTGGGATTCGGAGGAAGGAGGGGTGTACGTGATAGCCTCAAGGGCCGAAAGAGATTCCTGTACTTCTGTAAGCCAAAGATTCCCATATCCAATCCCGTAATGACCCACCATATTTCGCTTTTTGCGGTTCGATATTGCTTTATTTCTGAGTTGTTTGATGGCGACGAAGATTCGCACCCGATCGCCGATCTTCTTGATTCCCATTTCCTGGAGAATCTTTTGATCGCATTCGAGCAGGTTGTCTCCATTGACATGATTTGCTATTCTCTACATGTTAGTCTTCGTTAAAGGAAGAAGCTGCAGCCAAAGCACCGTCGTACCCTTGAATAAGGTCTCGTACTGGCCGCATCGTATACTGTGCAGCCATTCTATCACTTTCTTTTCGTCCCACGATCTGGAACCCAAACCGTCAGCGTGGAACTGGAATCACCACAGATCAAATGAACTAACCGAACAGATTCCAAACCATCGTGAGCATCGGAGAATTCGGATTCCGTCGGACTCGTGAACTGCCCTCCATCGCTAGAGCTTGCAGCAGCGGTCGCCTTATGGGAGGATCCAGAGTGGTGGGTTGACGGGGGCGCTGGGTTCGGTGGGAGCCCCAGGGAGGCAGGATACGGAGATTTGGATGCCAGCATTGTCGATATGGTTGCCAGGAGTAGATAATGCAAGAGAAAGTTTGGGCAGAAAAAGCCAAGACTGAAGGATCCTGGGGCAGGTGCTTTTCTTCGATTTACGGGAATCAAAAGACTCTCTGAGCACTGTAAAGTCGCTTCTTATAACCACATGAACGTCGTACTTTGGCAGTAGTCAATTGCAAACGAAGGACGTGACAGAATCTCTCGGTCACTGACTTATCGGCATGGGTCACCACGAAACAGGATGGGGGCTGGGCTCTAAGTGAAAGAACACCGATTAACATGCTATTGTCGAGGCAGCACAAATAGCAGCCAGAGAAAATCTAAGAATCGCAGATTCATCACTCACAAGTGACACACGCTAAGACGAGTAGATGGCTGATATGAGGATGAGAAACGGCCGATGGTCGCCGGCGAGCTGCTTACGCGGGCGCTTCCCCTGAACACGTAAAATGCGTCCACCACGTCGTCCAGGGAGGCAGAAATCGAATCTGCCAAAAACAAGGCAGACAGACGGCCCAAAGGCCTCGTCGAACCCGACAGCGACAGACAGGGAGAAGTCTCAAGAGTCGAGAAGGCCTTCTGAGCAGACTAGTTAGTTATCGGGGGAGATGTCTTGGGGCGGCGCTAGGGCGGGACAACTCGGTGAGGAGAGTTCGGGCCAGGTTGACGCACTCTCAGACAGCACCAGCCCACCCCGACGGCCAAGGCTGATCTTGAAACGACCTCAGGATTCTCGCCACGAACATGGCGGCCAGATCTGCGGCAGTGGGCTGTTTTATCTGGGCGGGTCTCTGCCCTGGGCCTGGATGCCAGCACACGCTCGTGTCGAGCACTTGTTTATGACCTACGGATATATACGTACTGCACAAACGCCGATTTAACGAGGAGGCTCAGTGATAGGGTGCGATTCAAACTGGTGAAACATGCAGATGTCATAATGTGTTGAACGGTCATCGCTATGCAAGGGGGTCCAGAATACCCTATCGATACGTGATAGTGTACTCCGTACTGTACTGAACTACTGATTGTCCTGAAGGCCTATAAGCGGCTCACCGCCCAGGGAAATGTGCGCCTCCTGCCCTCCACCTACCTTAGCTCCTAACGCCTGTTTGAGACGTCTCCTCTACCCCGCTGTACAATCCTCGTCCCGGCTCTCTTCGATTATCTTGCCTAATCTCGACCTTCCTCCCGCCTATTTGTGAAAGATGAGCAGCAGTTACAAGCAGCTACTTCGCGCGCGTCGCAATTTCTGGTGCCGTACTCCGTACCTCTTCGAGAAACTTATTAGCCCTGTCGTTTCCAACAAGAGCCTCAGTGACTCATAACTCTAATTTCATCTCACCCACCTTGGACGCCTTCAAATCCTTCTTCTCCCTCGCGGATCCTTTTCGATCTTGAGTCCACGATCGCGTCCACTCTTCCTCTCATCCTGGCAATCCCTCCCTGCGATTGCGACGCGGTCACTAAGATAATTGTCACATACCCTTGCCGGGCACACACCAGGGTACAAAATTCGCTAATTGCAGAAAGAATTCTCGAGGAGCTACGTTCTTCTTCCTCACTTTGTTATCGGAGTTCGCATTTCGTACTTTATGTGGCTCGCACCTTCTGATAAGTGTACCTCGTATTCCGATTACGATCGCATCAGTGACTCCGTCACCTGATCGGATAGCCAGCCCCTTGCAGTTGTCGATCGACTCGGAGCACGATGTAACCAGTTCAGCTCCCGTTGATACTGGATGCGTGAAAACTCTCAAAACGGTCATAAAAAAAAAGGAGTGCTATCTTTCATACCTTATCCTTACACGTCGCTAGGGAGAAATATCGATGGACGGCGGCTCCAAGGTTACTATACAGTGCCTTTTGCGAGGGGATCAACTGGATGATGCCTTGTGTGTAGAAGTAACGAAAACCACGATCTTCTCCTCCAAGACATCCGTTACAGACACACTCAATAAATTGTCAGGCAGTAAGACATTTTCGCCAAACAACATTACTCTTTACTGTGCAAATGTCCTTGATGACAAGGGTAAGGACAAGGCTCTCGTTGAACTATATCGGAGAATAGACGCAGGGACCCTCCCAGTTGTTAGTTCTCCGAGGGATATCTGTGGCCTTTTGGACAATGCCAGTACCGAAGAATACTTCATTCATATCATTGTCGGTACGTTATTTTATTTGCTCTTCTCTTCTGAGTCATTATTTCATTGCTGACAATGCGTTTGATGAAGGGCGAAGACGAGCCGAGAAGAGGAAGGCGCCTTCAGATGAATTGCCAGCAGAGACCCTCACAGTGACCAAATTTTCGAAGAGTATCGGTGAGCTTGTTGCCAACGCCGCAAACTGCATTTATACCATCTTTGGAAAATCAGCTCCGGATGAACTGGAAATCAAGCCATATGGGCCTATAAGGCCAGGTGACTTTGTCCTTCAGGTTCCACCTATCAACAGAAACTATTTCCCTGATATCTTGCAAAAGGCTCTGAGGATCCAAATGCCAGCTATCATTCACGGTCCATACCAGTCAGGGAAAACAAGCCTCTTATATGCAATGAAACAGTACCTTAAAGCCAAACGATATACAGTCTTATGGGTCAACTTGGACTATGCAATTGGCAAACTGTCAGAATTTACGGAGGAAAGGTTCTACGAAAAGGTTTCGTTTCGCATGTTCAAGAGAAGGATGGACGAGGGCCAGTTCGTATCGCATTTAGAAAGAAAATATGGAGGGAAGAAGACGACATTCTGCTTGATTGATGAAATGCAGTGGATGATCAGAAATAATGCTGCGGAACGGACTGTGAGGAAGTTTTGCAGGTGCCTGGACGAAAATGGTATACCATACAAAGGTGTCGGCACATCTCAGCTGCGAAAACTCGCCTGGAAACATCAGGATTTTAATCCACTTGAGACAGAAGCCGACAACCTCGGATCTCCATTTAACAGGGTGAGATTTGAATTGATGCCACGCCTGGACTATGGACTATAACGAGACGGCATGCCTTTACAGAGAGTATGAGACAGCCCGTAACTTGCAAATCCCGGTTGCGATCAAAGAAGGGATCCAGAGAGAAGCAGCCGGTCACGCGTCCTCATTCATGACTCTTATGCACATGTATGACACAATGCAACCAAATGTCAATGAAAAGAGCTGGCCGCAAACCCTCCTAACAAACTTTGAGCCATTTATGAACGGCTTGCCCTCTACAATCGATACTCATCTCGAAAATCAGGGCCTCCACGAACTAGTACTAAGGTACTTAGCGTCCGGAAATAGACAATGGCATATGAACCTGAAGAATCTAACAGCGAATGAAAGGGTACTATTTAATATAGAAGTCCTGTCACTTGTCGATCCAGACAACAAGACTGAGGACAATGAGAGGTTGGTGCACTTTACCAGTGGCTTGATTTACTGCATATGCCTCCACTCCGTCTTATCAAAGCGTAAAATTCGATCATCTGAGATGCTGCGGCCCATTCTGCTTCTTGAAAAGGCCCGAATGTATATACGTCCTAGCCAACTCGACATTAAAAAGGCTTGGAATCTGAGAGGCCCTGCTGAATACATTTTTCAGATTGAACTCTACTCCGTCTTCTATGACCTGCCGCCTGAAGGTTGGCGTTGTGGGAGTGAGGTGCACCCGGACCAAGGCGACCACAAGTTGAGGATGGACCTGCACTTGATGTCTGACTCTGGGGGGAGCGGAGTGGGGTTCGAACTTAAGGTCGACAAGGTCACTGAGGAAGAAGTCGACAAGGCAATAACCAAGGCCCAGAATTACGCCAAGAAGTTCGCTGTCGACATCTATGTTGTGAACTTCTTGTCCAGATTTACACGCCCACCTAAAGCAGATATTATCAAGCAAGGCAATCTTCGAATTTTCCTAGTAAACGTGCCGTACAACGATGGTTTAATGAGTTTGATGTCACATACGCTGAAGAGAGCGATAAGGACGATGTGGAACGGGGCATTGAGCAGCGGAGCTTTCAGCTGCATCCTGTGGGTGATGGTGTTGGTGATCAGTGGCACGAGATAGTAGGGTGACTGTTACACCGATCAATATTGCTGCAAGCATTTTCCTAGTCTTCTACTACTTTGTGTCAATGAGCCAAGTTATTACTATGTCCAATGCGGTTCAAGCAGCCATTGAGAAGATATGGATGTGCCTGACATTCTCCGCGGATAGCCGGTATCATACTGTTGCATCTTATTAACCGCAGCTGATATTTGCTGGGTTTGAAATGCTGGACGAGGATCTGTTCTGGGTGCCGGCTACAGAGGAGGAGTCGGAGAATTTGGGAGAGTTGGCTATGGATAATGTGAGGAAGAGGAAGGGATTAGTCGTGCAGAGGAGGAAGTTGATGTGGAGAAGCAGAAGACGCTAAAGAGGTGAAGAGCATACGCTAACATAAATCTGTTTAGCTCTTTGTTGCAAGCTTTTTCTTCTCTAACTACGCGTTGGCCGTCTATATGATAACAGAGAGTATTAGAACGTAAGAAAACATTGAACGGGAAGCGTTAGGGTTCCCTGGCCTTCTTTTCCATGCTCCGGAGTCTGTATATTGCTAAGATCGACTATCTTGAGGAACTCAAGAACAGATTCTTACAAAGGGAGATCCCATTCGAAAATCATCAATCGTTTGCACAGTATATGCATCTTGTGGTCAATCAAGCGACCGCGGATCTAAAAAGGTTTTCTTGAACAAGAATATTTCAAGTACTCCTCCCCACCAATATCAGGGGCGAACATCCTAACTGCCGTTAGAGCAGTTGTCAGTCATGTGAAACCCCTCTAACGTTTAAGTAGTGATGGATCTCATGAATTGACAACTATGATAGAGCCCGTCGACCCTCAGAGAGAGCGACTCTTCAAATAGCTCTTCTTCCTATTCGCCACGACCCCCTCGACCTCCAACTATGCAACCCGCCGCGCATCATCCGGCGGATTTGCATGCTCCTGCGCCTCGTCGTTCACCAGCCGAACAGAGGATGGCACCTCTGACTCAAACTTCAAATCTGCGAGCAGCATCCACAGGCAGCCACTATTCACCGCCGCTCGCTTGACCACCAACTGTGCAACCAACCTTGACCGTTGTTCGAAATGCGCGACCCCTTGTACAGAATCACACGCAGGTTCCCGCTCAACTTGAGAATGGTTTTCATGCTCCTCCGCCTTGTCGTCTACCTGCTGAACAGATGATGCCACCCCTCCGTCGAGATCAAACCGTTCGACTCCCTGTGCAGAACCAGACCCGGGCTCGCACGCAAGTTGAGACCTATTAATAACCAAGTTCCTGCGCCTCGTCGACAACCAGCTCAACAGACAATGCGAGATTCCCCTCAACCCACACTGATGGGTATCCCATGAGCCCCTCCTCGCGAGACTAGATTGCGAGAGCCAGTGCCATCATCACTCACCACACGAACATCTCCATTCCCTCCTGAGTATGGCCCTGGTCGTTACGGCCTTGTTAGGTTGAGGTCGAGCGGATTCCAGACCAGCCAATCTATCAACACCCACCACACAATAACAACACCACCAATATCAGAAGTTGTTAGTTGGTGAGAAAGCAGGACTGCGACTGCTCTCTCCCTATATCTTGGCATACTTATCAAATGGGTTATTTATCTCATGGGTTACCAGTTTAGTAGATTAGTGGTTTAGTGGGTTACTTTCATGGGTTACTGGTTTTGTGCTGTGTGGCTCACTCATTGAGAGGTCTACTCATTGAGTGGTTCACTAGCCGGGTCATAGGGTTCTGATAAGAGGGGTAGACAGGAGTTACCTAGGTGTTTACACAGAGGTACTTAGAGTTCATGATACATCAGTTCTGAATCAATTCATATCAGCTTAGAACCCTCCAGTCAAAGACCAAGTCATAGCTTGAAGAATGGCTAATGAACTATATTTCACCAGGATAGAATATGCAGACTGTTAAGAGGGGAAGTGTTAAGTGAGCAAGAGCTATCTAGTCAGAGTAATCGAGGCCGCCTTGTCCTACTCACTTCCGGTCTCAAGCCGGAGTCTGTTCCCAAGAACTACACCATCACAACTCTGAGCAGTAGTATACTGCTAATAATAAGAAATGAGTCACCATAATTGCTCCCCCCCCCCCAATCGCCAGTGGCCTTATGACATCAACGCAAAGCGGGAAATGAGTGGTCTGTTAGAGGAGTCTAAAACCTCAACAGAAGAAAAGTCATTCGCAAAAACAGCTCGCCAAAGCTTAGTACCAGGGACATCTACATTTCAGTTAGCAGTAGAATGACATCGAGGCCGAGAAGTGGGGAATTAGCCTTGCACAATGGCGGAGAGCAAGAGTAGATCAGAACATACCATATGGCCGAGGAATCCAGGTACGGCAGTCAATGATGAGCCAATCCTTGAGCCAGCCCTTCTGGATCCACTGTGTATAACATCCATTGCCCACGAATCGCTGACAGTGCTCTCCCAGTCTATCACCCTCGCGTAATAGTTCTATACCCCATTGAACCTCTGGCAGTCGGAAGTCGATCCTCCCACTCCCATCTCCTGACCATTCACTTGAGATTTTAGCAGAGAAACCAAGGACCGTGTGTAATGCGCGATAAAACTCATCCTGATAAGCTGCCTCCACTGGTCGGATGATTGCTCCAGTGCCAAGACCAGCGGTAGAAGAAAGCTGTCTCGATGAAATTTTCCGTAGTGTAGCTTCGGCGAGTCTCTCGACAGTAGGGAACCGCTCAATGGGAAAGGGAACAGACGAATTGGTATAATAGTGTTCCACATATCTATTCAAATTAGCAAAGGACAGTCAGATTAGAACGGCAGCGCCTACTTGGCATGTAGACGTGTTGGAAAGACACAAAAAATATGGGTAGCATTAGCATCTAATGACTCTGCATGAAGCCAACCCTTCTCATAACATTCTCGAATACCTTTATTCTCCAAGTTTCGAGGTATGCTGTTGTTGAAAAGAACTTCTCGGAGGACAGCGAGTGTCTGCGGCGCGACCTCTCCGTTCACAAATGACCTTTGAACACCTGTTTGAGCAAGATACTGGAATGACTTCTCTTCATCGTTTAGTATCTCGATGATATGAGCTTTCTCCACCACCTGAATTTTCTGGTGCTTTAAATCTGACCGATACACCTATCGAATCTTTATTAGCACTTATGATGGAGCATGGACACGAATGCCTTAAGCGTACCTTTTTGAGCATTGATAGAATACCATTCACAGCCCCTGGATGGCCGCTGGTAAGACTGAAGATATAGTCGGCTGCATCAGGATCAAGAGGCAGGGGGGACTTGTAGTCATTACAGATCCGATGTAACACGTCGTCGAATTCGACGTGAGAATAGAAAAGCGCTATGGAAGGCGAGCCCTGGATTCTGGAAGGTGTAATTGATATTCGCTGCTGAACACCCAGGTACGCGAGAGGGCTCCCAACGCTGAAGTCTTGGGGACCTCCGGTCGGACTACCGTATGAACTGAAGACACAGATTCTCGGCCCCCACGAGGAGCGGCCATGTTGAAACTTGATAAATCCCAGCCAGAGTGCGTCATCGTCGTATGACATCTGCGCCTCGTCGATAATCCAGACAATATCTGCATCATAAAGGTTCGTCGAAGTTATGAAACTGTACCCTGCACTCTGAGCATAACGAATAAGACGGTCGTCTGCGTACACCCCATCACCGTTCGGCCAAGATCGGATTATTACTGAGGCAGTATTCTGCTTCTGATAATGCAAGTAGAGAAGATGAGCAAGCGTGCTCTTCCCAGAAGCTGGTGTACCTCTAACGTGAACGACCCTCTCATCCTCGAGCATCCTGGCGAGCTCTTCAACAGTCTTCCGTCCTCGGGCACCGGAATGGGTCCTCTATACCACAGTAGTCAGAAATTGAAGGGCCACCTTGCCAAAACTATCAAGGAAATCGAATCACCCATGATAGAGCTTTCTCGCTGACTGCAGGAAGGGCTGGAACTGGTCCATTGAGCGTCGGCTCCGCGACCAACAAGTCTCCTCAGTAAATCCATTTCGAAGATGTTATTCACAGATTGGAATGGAAGCGACGATAGTGAGGAAAGCCAGGTGGAAAGAAAGCATGAAAGAATTTCAGGACCTCTGCTGGAAAGAGCAATCGTTGGTATGCAGTAGGTTCCTAGGTATTACCTACCTAGGTTTGGGTATAAAGTTTAGGGTGATCAGCTTAACCGAATACATCGGCTCGGCCACATGGCTGACGTGAGCCTATACTGTTAACCATTTGTTAGATGAAATGCCGAATACTCACTGGTGGGTGCGGGTAGACCAGAACCTGGAGCGGGTAGGCTACCCTTGAAGGCCACTCGATCAGGCCTTGTAAGCCGCTACTCATACAGTCATTAGTGCCTCAGAAGTGACAAGAAAGATGAGGCCAGATCAATGGGACGACTCGTACTGATATGTTCCACTCCCTCGTCTCTCCTAATTGTGTACTCAGAAAGGATGCAGTCGAATACTAGATGTATCTCTGAAGCGACCGAAAACTTTCATTATAGGCTCTGGCCCGTGTCGTCTTGCAACTTTGATTTTATTTGATAGAGATCCTCTGCTTGCCTCATGTTTCTATCTGGCAAGCCTTGACAGACCTTGTCTTCTCTTATCTTATGGATTCATAGGCCGTGGTTAGTATGATCTCCTGGAACAATTTCGGGAAATCTTTGCTTCTTTGCCTCATATCTGCACCTAGCAGAGCCTCTCTTCTCTGCCGCGCGAGGCTTTTCTTCTGTCAGAGATTCTCTAGGCTCTATCGGTCCAAATTCAGAAATCTGATTGACGTCTCGTCTCTCTCTCTACCTCGTAGAGATCGCTCTTCCTTATAGACCCCTCGGAGGCCTAATTCTATATAGACATATCTCTGGGGTTGGCAGCTTCGGAGCGGTGTTCTTTGTATTGGTCATACTCGGTGCGGATTTACTCGGTTGAGACGTGTCACATTCGGCTGACATCTTCAAAGTTTGATATTCTATATTCCTCTCAGGAGTATATTGGCTGATGGCCATATGAATTGCTTAGATGGCAGCTGTTCATCCCGTACAAAATCCTCTTCTTGTGGAATTTGCCGAGGCCGAGATTCAGAAATCCTTATGACCACCGGCGACTGGATGTCCCTCCTCTGCCCGAAGTTCGCCCAGGTCAGATCGAAGACGCGGTACTAGTTGGCCTTCTAGCGGCCGATGGGACTGACGACCCATCAACCAAGCATGTGGTGCTGCAACATTCAACGAAAACGGCAAAGAAATACGCAGGGCCACTAAATACAATCAAGAACACCAGCAACTACGACTCCCTACGAAGGGAGGCGCGTCTATCCTAGGCTGACCGCGGGACGGGAAATCGGGATCCCGAGGGGGGGGGGGGGGTCGTTATCCCCTCCCACGGGATGCCAAGACCGTACAGGATGGGATTCCATATTATAGGATAAGGGATGGGAATATCCCATTCCCTAATTTTAATATAAAGTCATCCCATTCCTGTCCTGTTTCCCTTCAAGGAAATTCCATATTAGCTATAAATTCATCAGGAAATTCCCATCCCACAGTAAGCACGTTAGAGGAAATTCCCCTCCCTGCTATATAATCTAAAGGAAAATCGTGTCCTGTAATAATATCATCCAGGGAATTTCCCATCCTACCATAGGAAATTAGGAAAATCCCTAGGGAATCAGGAAAGTCCTAAACAGGAAGGGAAATTCCTATTTCTGATAAGTTAAGCCAACAGGAATTTAAGGAGTAAGTGTGAAGGACGGTAATTTAAACAAAACGATTACGACTTAGCTGTCGTGGAGTAGGCGATACGCCGTCGACTAGACAAGATACGAGGGCTTGGTATGAGAACGTAGGTGGGAATCCAAATAGAATGGATTGCTGGTCTCTCGTACTAGGTTGCCTAGGAGGGGGATTCTATATACTAGGCGTCAGGTTCTTTGTTTACCCCGCTCTACCCCTCTTCTGAGCGTTCTGAACACCTTGCACCTCAGCGCCCCTCCATCGAGGGCTTAGAGTCTTGTTTTATATAAAGTCTAGATTTAATAATAGTTACCCTAACCTAATAAAAATAGCTACAAAGATATTAGATTACAAATTATAAGGTCTACAAATGTTAGGAGTTAAATTAGAAACATACTTTTAGAACTAATACTAGTGTCCTATATACCTAATTATATACCTACTTAACTAGGTAAGACTTATAATAGAAGCACTAGCTAATACTTCATATACTTCTCCTAGTGCTATAAACAAGGATATCTATAGCGCTAGCCTAGGTTAAAAAGGTTAGGAAGGTTAGGAGTTGTTATTAAGTGCAGCCATGAAGCAGCAACATTAGGCTAGAAAGGCCACAAAATTCAATACAAAAGCCACAGCTTTTCACACCATTTCTGCTGTCACCCAGAGTTACTCTGTACACTGGGGTGACGCCGGATTTCCTTTTCAGATTTAGCGCTCCCATTTGGGAATGGCGCCAGGATGCCTCGCTGCATGTTGATAAACCGATTTCTGTGGCCGCTATATATAAATCTGCTTTCCCCCACCAGGTTTACCAACACTATCCATCATCCTGATTTATTTTCACGATCCCGCACGATTCTACATGATTATTGCTCTTGCCCAACCATTGCCCCCCACCCCCCAATTTTTTTTTAGAAGCAGCTTGAAGTGCTGTTTTCCCGTAGAATCCTACCGATGGCTAGTTAGAGTCAGCATTGTTGTTTGACGAGGAGTTCTACGACTATGCGAAGACGTGATCTGTAATTGGTGGCCAGGAGCTGTGGCTGTCGTCAATTCTTCCTCATTCTTCAGGTCTTGATGATGAGGGGATTCTATAACTGTTTGTCTAATGTGTTCCATTTTGCATTATTTCAGATAAATGTCTAGCTGGGTAGGCACTAATGAGCAATTATATTTTGTGGTTATGACGCAAAAATAATCGTGATATAAGTCTCTCGACATTCAGAAGCCTTTTCTGCACAGTCTCCATGGCTCCCAGAAATTTCAAGCAGGTTAAAGCAGTCTCTAATGGACTTGAAGAGCAATCATCGATCATTTTCAATCATGAAGGCTATGGAAGCTTAGCTTCTGAGGTGTCCCCTTTCAGGATTCCAAGCGCGCCTAGGTGTTGGTCCAAACTCGAGGATTATTATTGACGTATTGTACATACATACATACCTAACTAAGGGGCATACGTAATGTGACCAACAACTCTATGCTGTTAAGTCTATCCTAGTGGTCAGCTCTCCTTTTGGGCCAGTTGGGAACCTAGTTAATGTTGACGCGGATTTTCTCATCACATGTTACTACTGCGCCACATCCTAGAGACTTGTGCACAAACCAAACTAGGAACTCACAACTTATTAACCTCAACAAGGCTGACTAGTTTTATGTGTGGCTGAGATGAGCAGGCAGACTATAAGCGTTCAAACTTTCACCCTGAACGTTGATGAGTGTACTCTGTACTCACTAGTAGAACATCTCACCCTGCAAGTCATTGTATGTGGGGTTGACAGAATCTCGATAAGTCATTGTATTAGAACCAGGTTATGGCAGTAAATCGCTACCAATCTGGAAGAGTTAGCGCCTATGATAGGCGCCCGGCAGTTCGCTATATTGGGTACAGTGGGGGTACAACTAGGGGTCTTGTTAAGCCCGGCGCTAATTCCTATAACTTATCTCTTCTGCTAGGCTGTCATCCTATGGTTCGTAAGGACTCTTGATCAGCAAATGTCTCAGCTTCCTTAGGATTCAAACGATCGACCACCGCTCCAGACTGAAAGGGACGGCCGTTGGCAAGATGACCCATGTTCACTGCATATGATAATGCACTAGGTGTATTGTACTCAGATCGGTAATATCAATCAATAAAATCAAACTGGTGAGAGCCCCTGTCCATTTCAAACGTGGTGAAGCGAGTGAGGGGTCTGCAGAGATGCGGCGCAGCAACTTCAACCATCCAAGATGACCACTATAAATACACCGCCAATGTCAGCCTTGCTATCTCTCTGCTATCCACCAAATTAAATCAATTGACCAGCGTCTGGTTTTCGTATCACTAGCATCTTGTGGAGTATTTTTTTTTTCTTTGAAAATTCCATTCTATATCTCGCGATGTCCAGCACCGCATCTTCCAGCAGGAGTGGGCCTGCTGGAACTGGTAGAAATGCAAGTTCACATACGTCGAGTAGCAAATCCAACCATCCAGGCTCTTTCACTGGGCAATTAGTGCCTCTCAGCGAGATTTCTCATTATTCCGGTTCATCTACTACCGAAATATGGACACCGTCGTCTTCCGAAGATGAGAAAATCGACCTGAGTCCGGAACCACGTGGGATTTTGGGACACTGGGATATTCAAAGGACAAGCGTTTCTACGGCGAGGAGTCTCCTGTCGGACCTACAACTTTGGGACAGTGTCGAACGAACACGGGACAATTCTCCGACAGACCGCGAGGAGAGAGCACAGAGTCTTGGTTTATCTCCAAACGGTACTGTATCAACCTATGCGGGCCTCTACAATGCTACGCCAAATCCCAGTCCTAGACCCTCTGTGGATCAGTCTCGCAATGGTTCTCTGCAGCATCTCCTACAGCGGTCACGATCGCCTAGTGTGGCTGCCCGTCTACAAAACTTGGAACTTGAAGGAAATGAAGCGGAGTCGGATGGAGACGTTTCTCCTGCCGTCTCAGAGGGAGAAGTAGAAGAGACGGATCACGATAGTGATCATGAAAGGGGAAGTGAGCACCTATACGACGTTCGGCAAGAGCGACTTCCCAGAGCCCGTATCTACAACAACCGTCTACAAAACGCTTTAAGAGAAGTCAAAAACAGATTCACCAAGCTCGAAAATACAATGAGAGATTCCCCTTTGGCACATGACGAAAGCTCCGATTTTTATGCCCTCTATGAGCAGGTCAAAAACTTCAGTCGGTTTGAGTATCCTGAAACGCGTACTGTGGGATTCATTGGAGATTCAGGAGCGGGTAAGAGTGTCTCCGCTATTTGTCATGCTGAATTTGAAAAGACTCATACCGTATGTAGGAAAGAGCTCTCTCGTCAACTCTCTCCTTGACCAGGAAGGCCTGGCACGTTCAGTGCGTATCTTCCTTTATATTTCTCGGCTATTTTCAAGCTGACGTTGACGGAAATGTGCAGAGCGGAGATGGCGCCGCTTGTACCTGCGTCGTGACTGAATTTCGAAATTTGGGCCAGAATCATCGGCACCCATTCACCATTGAGGTTGACTACATGGATAACAACGAAGTGAAAGAACTTCTCGAAGAGTTGCTGCGGAGCTTCCGACAATATTATACCGACACATATCGTGAGGTCACAGATGTTCAAGAGCAACAGCAGATAAGAGAGACATCCACAAGGGCATGGGAAACACTCCACTCTCTCTTCCGCAACCAGCCAGGCCTGACCCACGAATATCTCTCTGATGAAGCCGATGGAGCAGAAGCGGCCATTCTGACACAACTCGAAGAATGGGCAAAGGCTGGATTTATCCATAGACCGGGAGGGGCCGATGCACTTCAGTATTCTGTCACTGCAAACGACCTTGACGAGTGTAGAGACCTTCTTGACGCGCTCACAACTGATCCCCCAGGTGAGAACAGACCAGCGATATGGCCCTTTATAAAGCTGATCAGGTCTGCTAATTACCTTTCCCGTTTATTCTCACTTGTGCAACTGATCTCTGATTATATGAATAGGGTGTACCTTCGATCACCGATACTTCGCACAGGCTTGATATTGGCAGATTTACCTGGTAAGCAGCTCTGATTACGCCTCAAGCCGTTTTATAAACCTAACACAAACTTCCTTCTTCTAGGCTTCCGAGATCTGAATTTTGCGAGGGTGAGGGCTACCGAGAGGTATCTTCGTCATAGCTGTGACGAGGTCTTTATAGTGACAAAGATCTCTCGTTGTATCACGGATCAAAGTATTCCTGATATTATCAGGAGGTGCGATAGTGATCAACGGCTACGAATCGTTTGCACAAGATCCGAGGTACGCCATACAATAGTCTCTCAAAGTGTGCCTTTTTTTTATTTTGCTCACCAGGTCCTAGGATGTGAACCCCGATGAAACAGCGCGCAGTTCTCCCCCTGACATTAAGGAGCACATAAAAAAACTTCGAAGAGGCATTCAAAATTTAAACCGCGATATCGCTGTCACGAGATCTCGCAGACGCAGAGTCACTGAGGCAGAAAGCATGAGACTTGCAGTAAAAGAAAGTCGTTTACTGTAGGTTCTCGACCGGCTTCTCACCATGAAGTACAACACACTGATAGTGCTGTAGTGAAGACAAGGAACATTCTGAGCTCGAGTACTTGTTTCTCCATGGATCGAACCCTATTTTCCTCTACTAACATCATGGACAGATTATTGCGGTTCTTGATCGAAAGACGCAACGAGCAAGTGACGGAGAGTCTCCTTGAAAAGTACACAGACGCAGACAGGGTATTTTGTGTTAGCAACCGGCTTTACTCTGAGCACCGTGAAGACAGTCGTGAGCGCGCAGAAGCGTATATTGGGCTCAGTGGTGTCCGTGAACTACGTCGTTACTGTCAATCAGTCCCAGCAGAGGCGCAGTTCCGTGCGACAGCGGCGTTTCTTGAACATCAGGCCCCGACTCTTCTGCGATCTCTCAATCAATGGGCTTTGGCAGGATCGGATCGAGTCACAGCAGAGAGGGCTGCAACCCTTCGTCAAGTCCTGACTGAGTGCGAAGAGATGTTTCGTCAGGTAGGAAAACAATTTCGTCTTATCATGGCTGAGTAACCTGTCTAGTCATCTGATGGTGCCACACGCCATCTGCCTGATCGCTACTCCAAATATTTGCCCCGAGTTTCTGATAAGAGAGAGCTATCAAGATACAGCCACCTATACACAGATAAGAGAAAAGCTTACTCTGACCCATAACTAGAGACTTACTTCCCGTCATTCAGATATCTCTAGAGTACAACGTGAATTAGAAGAACAATTTGCTGCTTCTGTCACAAACATAATTCGTGAGTGATTCTCCCGATCCTTTGAGCTAGACCCTTTATAGATCTCACATTGTTACAGATAATCGCCGAGGCCATTGGAGAGATGGCGCAGTTCAAATAAGTCAGGAATGGGCGGGAGTACGTCCAATCCATATCACAACCTCTACATTGAAAGCCTGACCATGAATTTGTTCATCTAGTGGCATCATATGACCTATGCTGCATTCTGCCGAAATTACGGCACCTGGTCCACCAAAGCTGTCGGCAGTCGCTGCTGGAATGACGAAATTCTCGAACAAGCGCGCGAGGAGTTGCAGGGAAGATGGGAGTCAGTAGTGGACTGGGTAGAGTTGCAGAAGACTCAGTTAGAAGAAGCAACGGCAGACCTCTTCCAGTCAATCTGCGACCTGTTGAAAGGTGAGCACCTCTCCCTTCTAACATTTTGTTGATTAAAGCTCACTTCATACGCTGTGTTTATTTTCCAGAGCACATCAACCTTGCTCCTCAGGCTTTAGAAAATCTCCTCACTAACATGGAATCACGGGAGGACTGTATACTGCATATCTTTCATCGTTCCCTCGAAGCGCTGATGGACAACATAACGTACGATATTGTGATAATATCACATCTCACCTCACTCTACTTTATCATACTCATGATATTATCTTGCTAACTCATTAATTAGCGAAATTCAGAAGGACGCCCTCCGCGGCCATGACAGCTCCTACATGGCAGATCTCATGCGTAAAACTTATGCGGCCTGCAATCGACAGTCCGGTATGTTGCACTGCATATTAATAACCAACATAATACTGCACCAATCTCTCTTCCTTCAGTCTGACTATCCTTATGGCATTCAGGAAACGGTTGCCATCGCCGTCGCATAAACATCATGCATGAACACCTGATGCATTCGCGACTTTTCACAAACCTATCGAGAATCATTGAAACAGAACACAATACCATGGTGAGAGCGACGTTCCAAGCTCTGCGGCAGGACATCCAACGGGAGGTGGACAATATCGCCCGAGACTTGCGGGCCGTCGTCGCTACCGAAGGCGAGGTAACGGAAGCGGGACAATCACCAGCGTTCGCAAGGACACTGAGGAAGAAGATCAATAAGACAAGCAGAGTCTTGGACACGGCTAAGAGGATTGTAGAGGAGGTGAGGAATAGCGAGGAGTGAGGTAGATATCCAAGGAGCTCTGTGGAGAGGGCGGTATATATAGCAGATTGAATCTAGGCTGTTCCCTGCCAAAATTACATTACATGACTGCTCATTGGGCCAGCACAACAGGAACATATAGGACAGCATCTCCACTGCAGCTGCAACCTTATTTCCTTTGGGTCATCCCTAGGCCGAGCGCGGGATAGGAAATCGGGATCCCAAGGGGGTTCTTGTCACTTCCCACGGGACAAGAGGGGCGTCATATTCCTCTCCCAAGGGATGCTAAGACTTTACGGGATGGGATTGGGGTGAAAGATGGGAATATCCCATTCCCTAAAAGTAGGAAAAACTCTTCCCATCCCTGTCCCATTTCCCATTACGGAAAATCTTATATTGGGAAGGGAATACAGTATCCCATATAAGTCTTATGATAAAACCTTCGTATTTGAGAATAGCCTTATCTAATTTAAGTATAGTATTATACTAGTTAGGAATAGTCTTCTTGAAAAGTTAATATTACTATTTTTAACGTAATTCCCGGCCGCTCCGGACACCCACCCCGCACCCACGAATTCTATACAGAATCTCTCAATCTCAACGCGCCACCATGCCACCAAAAACGCGTCAAAAATCAAAGAATTTGGTGCAGCAAGAAGGTCGAATCCTATTGGCTGTTTCTGCTATAAAAAATCGCGAGAAACCGCTAACTATTCGCGCAGCGGCGCGTTTATATGGTGTTCCTCATTCTACTTTACATGAGCGACTCCGCAGCACAATTTCACAGACTAAGAGACGTCCAACTGGTTATAAATTAACAATTACTGAGGAGGAGACGCTTCTACAATGGATATTATCTTAGGATAGGCGTAGAATGCCTCCTCGGCCAGCTGCTATACAAGATATGGCCAATATTTTGCTTTCTGAGCGCAGTCCGGCAGATACTCACCTCCATGTTGGCAAGAATTGGGTTTCTACCTTTATCAACTGCCATAAGGAGCTTAAAACACAATATTGGCGACAATATAACTATTATCGTGCCAAATGTGAGGATCTAAAGGTTATTAATAAATGGTTTGACTGCGTACAAAGCACTATTTAACAATATGGAATCCTTATTAAGGATATCTACAATGTTAATGAGATAGGCTTTGCAATGGATTGCTACTGCAAAAGTAGTTACTGGAGCAGAGACATCTGGTCATCCGCCTCTTCTACAGCCGGGGAATAAGGAATGGGTCACAGTTATTGAATCGGTCAATTTGGCAGGATAGGTACTGCCACCATGTATTATTTTTAAAGCAAAGAAGCATCAACAAGCTTAGTATAAGACGGGCTTACCACGCGACTAGAGAATCAAGAAAAGTCTTAATAGGTGGACTACGGACAAGATTAGCCTGTTATGGCTTCAAAATCACTTCATCCTACATACGAATGCTCAGACAAAGGGTAAATACCAACTATTAGTCCTCAATAGGCATGGCAGCCATCTAATGCCTCAATTCGATCACACCTGTGCCCAGAATAACATTATACTGATCTGTTTGCCTCCTCATTCCTCTTATCTCCTACAGCCTCTCGATGTCAGCTGTTTTGCCGTTCTAATAAAGCGCGCATATGGCCGCCTTATGGAACATAATATATGTAGCTTAGAATTAACCATATCGACAAGTTGGATTTCCTTGAAGCATACCAAAAAGCTCATACGGAAGCTTTTAAATCAAAGAATATCAAAAATGGCTTTGCAGCAACTGGATTAGTGCCATTTCAACCAGATCAGGTCCTTCTACAGCTCAATATACAGCTAAGACCCCTACACTACCTGGGAGCCGTGCCAGCACTATACCGACCAATTGGGTGCCAGAGACGCCTCATAATATTATTGAATTACAGCATCAGGCAGCTACGATCAAGACCTTACTAAAACGGCGTACGTAGAGCCCTCTAAGCCCTACAAATGCAGCTTTAGACCAGCTTATTAAGGGCTGTGAATTAGCCATAAATAGTGCTGTCATTCTTGTAAAGGAAAATCATGATCTACGGGCTGCAAATGAGAAGCAGAAGCAGAAGCGTAAACGATCGACCAATCAAATATCCCATGAAGGAGGTTTTACAGTCCAAGAAGCTCAGGATCTTATACAGAGTCAAATTCTGGATCAAAATCAGATGGCAGAGGGTGTGGCCGCTCCGGCCGCGGAGGCGCCTTCGGCACCTCGTACGTGCGCGCCGCCAAAGTGTACTAACTGTGGAACTATTGGGCATATACGGACTCGATGCCCTAATCGCTCTAATTCATAATTTTTGTAAATAATTGCTGTTTTTTTGGTAGATAATAAAGCTTCAAATTCTGTATAGAATTTGTGGGTGCGGGTGGGTGTCCGGAGCGGCCGGGAATTACGTTAATAATCTCTTAGTTATATAATTAAAAATAGGAAATTTCTATAAAATAGATGGGAAAGTAGGAGATCCTATTAAAATAGGGTGAGTATAGAAGGCTCCTTCACCTAAGTGAGTAGGCCGAGAAGTTGAAGGATGGGATGCTCTCTGATCTTGCAGTACTGCAGGATGAAAGCCCTTCTAGCAAGTGGCTAATTCACCTAGAGAGACCTTAGCATAGAGCTTTTAGTAAATAAGAAAGGGCACAGAAGAGACTTGACACTCCCCTATCATCCCTATATGAACCCTCAAATCACTATTTAATATATGAGGGCTCTCCCTACAGCAAAGGCCATCTCACTAGCAAAAGTATAAGCAAAGATCTCCAGTAATGAAGGCACAAAATGTCGTTAGGTACAAAGTCTCACTGCTGGCAAGAAGGTGGTTGTTTTTCTAAGAGAGAGGTCTCCCCGGGGCCGTGTTATACCACTCCGCCCTTACACTATCCCCCAATGCACCAACACTGTACAGCTGGAAAGAAAGCAGACAATTTGCGAACTGTATAGTTTCATAGAATAAGAATGTGAAGGTGAATAGTAATCAGAAAACATCAGGGAGCTTTATATTGAGTTGTCAGCAATTTGTATACAGTAGTATGTATACGATTTATAGATACGTCCATGGTCCCAAGGAAACGCTCACTAAATTTCCAAGGCGCTTCGAAGAACGGGCTCTAGTTTTTGTGGACTAGTGTTATCCTGGCAGATAACTAGTTCAATGCATCTGTAAAGTGGCAGCATCAAGGCGAAAAGGCCACTAAATTGGCGTCAAAGACCACGGCCTGCCCACGCTCTCTCCGGCGTCACCCAGAGTTCCTCCGTACTCTGCAGACTCCTGAGAGAAATACCAGGCCCGGGTGTTTGGTATAGGCGCATCCTCATTCTGACAAACGCAGACGCTCCCAGCAGGAACTTGGGAAGGGAGACAGACCTTTTAAGCCAAGCCTTGGACTGGCAGTTCTCCCCAAACCGCGTGGATACCCGAATTAGCTTCTGCAACCCCGCAAACTTCTCCACACACTGAGGTCTGTTTATTTATGTCGACAGTCTTTGCGTAGCCTCGAATTCTCGCGCACACATCAGGCGTATTCAGAAGCGAGAAGGCATTCGAAAACGAATTTTGGCCTCCCCTATGACTCCGTCATTGAATATTAAGCTTTCAGCAGCGTGAGATCTGGAGGTGTAAATTCGAATGACTCAAACGACTCTCATCGACTGAAGAGGACACTCCATGTAGCGCACTCCATTCCCTGTCAATCGTAGTATTTGATCGTAGCGGTCGTAATTCTCGAAGATTTTGGAGTTGCGAATGGGGACTGCACAGGGCGGGTACGGGGAGAGAAACGGAGGCTGCTGCGTGTTTGCCTGCCTGGTTGAGGGGTTCCGAACAAGTGTCCACTTCTGCTCCGTGCTGCATGCTCGGATCCCCATTCCTGGCCTGCATCCCCGGACAGGCCTGCCTGCAGGCGAATAATGCACGATTACTATTGCTGCTCGACGACGCTGCATCCCGGGGAAGCAGGGCCCCACGTGACCCTCCGCAGCAGCTGCGCAGGCCAGCAGCAACGCCCACGGCGGCCCCCTCATCGCCAACCCCACAGCTCTTCTTTCCCCGCTCCCCCCATGATCGATCTCGCCATTGATAACTTTCTCGGGACATCCAAATCATGGAGGCTGAACGAGAATCTCCAGGGAAAGTCCGGAAGAAGAGCACAGTGCAGCATCGCAAGTCGTTGTCATGCGAATACTGCCACCGGTCCTTCGCGCGCTTGGAGCATCTGCAACGCCATCTCCGCACGCGTTAGTCCCCCCAATAGCCAATACCCTCGGTTTTCCAAGCTGCCAGGCCCTGGGTGTCGCTGACTTGCAGTGGCAGATACCAAGGAGAAGCCATTTTCGTGCGAGATATGCTCCAAGTCTTTTGCAAGAAGGTACGCTGCACAGACTCTGCCGTGAAACAATGACACGCTGATCCGCCCGGGGGATAACTTCTGTAGCGACCTGCTCGTCCGACATGAGAGATTGGTCCATCCTGCTGAGGCAGCCGCCCACCGAGGAGAGCGACGGGTCGGCAGTGACTCACATGAGATTCCACCTACTCCAGCATCCCTGATCCAACAGTCGTCTCATAACGAGTCTCGCATGCTGGACATCCATGACTCGGTGCCTGTTCAACCCCAGCCCGTGCCGCCGCCCGAGGTGCCGGTACCTCAGACCTCGATGGTTGAAGCAAATCAGTTCAACCCTTCCTGGGGCTACGATCTCAACCTTCTCTCTCATGCTGCAAGTCATGTCGCTCTTGAAGGCCAGCAGGAAGCGGCCCTGGATTCCGTCCGCAAGCCTCCTCCTGCTCATGCTGGTCCTCCCCCGCCCCTGCAGCCCGCTCAGGAGAAGAGCATTGCTGACGCCTATGGTGTCGAACCGTCCTTCCTCGATCTGACGGATCTAGGCGACCCGGTGCAGGATTTTACCATCTTTCTCGAGAGTGTCGGCCTGTCGTCGGATTGGGACTCGGGAGTCTTCTCTTCGGTCGAATCAGAGCCGGTGCTGCAGACTTCTCTTCCATTTGAGTCCAAACCACCGCGAGAGCCTGCACCGCAACAAAGATTCAATAACGAAGTCCTGAGCGAGCAACGTCCGTCAGCTGCTGAGGAGCCACCGTCGTTTTCAAACTTTGGATCCCGGCTGCCCTCTCTGCAACCGGAGGCCCAGGATTCGGAAGAAAACCGCGTGGGCCTCATAGATGAGTCGACGAATCCTCGACCTGCGTGGGACATATCGAATGCAGACCGCCAGCTTTTTGTAGCAAGATTAGAGGAGTTTTCTCATGTTCTCCCCAGAGGATTTAACCCCCCTTCCCGGCATGCGTTGTCTCGTTTTGTCGCCGGGTACATCAATGGTCTGAACGAACATCTTCCTTTTATCCATGTTCCGACGCTGTCTGTAGCAAGATGCCCGCCGGAGCTGACTCTGGCCCTCGCTGCTGCTGGGTCCCACTATCGATTTGAGAACAACAGGGGCATTGACCTCTTCCATGCAGCAAAGGCAGTCCTACTGGAACGTCTTCGCCGGAGAGATGCGAAGCAGGTGCCCAATCCAACGTGGAATATTTACGTCCCCAGCCCGGTCTCTCGAAGCTCTACAGCGGGTTCAAACACCGCGAGTAGTCCTTTCCAGCCGCAGACGTACGGCCATCCCCTCGATCACATGGGCTATCCCATGGATGAATCGGACGCCCACATTGAAGTCATCCGGACCTTCTTGCTTCTCACGGTCTTTGCATCGTGGGAAAGGCATCCGGAGCTCTTACGAGAAATTCTGGCTCTTCAAAGTACCTTGGCCAGACTCGTCCGTGAACACGGCCTTTCAGAGCCACCATCCAGCCCCGAGAATTTGACTTGGGAAGAATGGATTCGGCAAGAAGGCAACCGACGCACCAAGCTCATTGTGTACTGTTTTTTCAACCTGCACTCCATCATGTACAATATTCCTCCACTCATTCTGAACTCGGAGCTCAATCTGAATATGCCCTGTTCCCACGACGTGTGGAAAGCCAACACGGCGGCCCAATGGCGGCGAGTGTACCGCTCCCGGCGTGACCCTACGATCACGTTCCAGGAGGCATTTGCGAAACTATTTGTCAAGTCACCTCCTTCCAATACGTCGAGCCCAATATCGCCTCTGGGGAACTACATTCTCATCCATGCCATCATCCAACAGATCTTCTTTGCTCGTCAACTGTGTCTCTCTGCGCCAACGATGCAAGGCACCAGCCTCCGCCAGGAAGACTTGACGGTGCTGGATAATTCATTGAGTGCCTGGAAGGCGGGATGGAGGCGTACGCCGGAATCGAGTATTGATCCTCAAAATCCGGCCGGGCCCATCGCGTTCACGTCAACTGCCCTGCTTGGGTTGGCGTATATCAGACTGCATGTCGACCTGGGGCCCTGTCGCCGTCTCATCACTCAGGATCCGATTCAAATCGCGCGAGCCCTCCAAGAATCTCCGCCAATATCCCGGAGTCCCAAGCTCATCATGGCGCTGCTGCATTCGGCACACGCGCTCTCGATTCCGGTGCGACTGGGCATCGACTTCGTCGCGAGAACGCATTCGTTCTTTTGGAGTATCCAACACTCTCTGTGCAGTCTGGAGTGTGCTTTTCTCCTGAGCCGATGGCTTCTATCCATCCCAGCCACTCAGAACGAGCAGAAACTGTCCGATCATGAACGAAAACTGCTTCTCTGGATCAAGAGCATGATGGACGAAACTGACATGGCAGTGGCTCCGACAGACGGGCCCGAATTGGACTTTGTCAAGGACCCATATAAGGTGAAGCAGCTCAGCGTTGCCGTTGTGCGGGTCTGGGCACGAACATTCAAGGGCAACACAAGCTGGGCGATTGTGGACCTGATCGGGTCGAGTCTAGAAGCGTATGCAGATCTTCTAGAAAACTCATCCTGATATTTATCTATTTTTATCCCGTCTCGTTTGATGATGAGTTTATGTTTTCTGCCTTGATGATACCCCAAAACGCCAATGTCTGCGCTAGCGCTGAGTCCATTTGCGTTGCAGCCTGCAGTGTTTACTTTTCCAGGGGCCTCTCAAGAAGCTGGTGGATACCATTGCATCAAGGAAATCCCGGAGTTCACCCTGCTGGTCTCCTGGTGAATTCCTGTGGTCCGTCATCTTTCATATTGATTCCTGGCCTGTCAAGATTTGATCGCTGACGTACGTCGTCAAGCCTCATGCACATGCAGCAAGCTCTGCGTCCACTTGTTGAAGTATGCACATTTCTCCTTCTTCTCCTCCTTCTTCTTGTCGTGTTTATGTGAACTTTGATGAATCCGTGGCTTTGATAGCGGTCTCCTTTCTCGAGACAAAATGTGGTGCTTCGACTTATCTTTGCGATACTTGAGCGTTCGGGATCGTCCAGTGGTCGGATCTATTATTCTTGTCTATTTTTTTTTACTCTTGAGTGTTATATAATGATTTCAAAAAAAAAACGCAAAAAAATATGTGATAGGTCTTGTTGTGCGGGACTGAAACGGGGGACACGACTTTTGTTGTATATAATAATAGGTTCTTTCTTTTTTAACCTCCAGCTTGAAAAGGGAGGCTCTCGTGTTTAGTTTAACTATGCTGGCGTCTGTTGCAATTCATTTTCTTTTTTCGAGACTATCTATTAACCAGGACTCTGGTAGAGTGATTAAGATAAACTCCCCTGTAAAAGGAAGCTAGCTGTACAGTCCATACATATTGCTACTACTTCCTCTCTATTTGTCCTGCTTGCGACTGTCCAACTTCTTCGCCACACTCGTTGGCACAAACCGCAACGCGGACATGGATTTGGCAAGATCGTCAATGTCCATTCCTGACGATGGATCCGTATCCGTACGAGCGTCGTGATCATGATCATGACTGGCAGTACCCCTCCGCTCTGGATCGGCGGTGCTGGAAGACAGCGACGTTTTCCGGTTCCGCAACCAGCCTGCCTGCGGCGATTGCGGCTTCGAGACTCGCCGACGCTGACCGTTCGGTGATCGAAGCATGGAGTTGTGCTTGTCGATGCCGTCGTTGACGATGAAAAAGTTGTATGTCTGGTGGTGATGATTAGCAGGAATAAACAGGAAGAGCTTGGGAGGTAAAGTGGTATCGAGACTAGAATATAAGGGGGAAATATCTTCATTGGCTTACTTACTCTTGGAAACATGTGTTTGTCGATTAAATGCCTCCGGCGCTTCTGCGGTGTCGAACATTTCCTTTCGCACCCTTCCACAAAACAGCCAAACTGCATAGCCAGTTAGCAGTCGTCTACAGTCGAAAAGGGTCTCATTCCAGGCAACTTCAGCCAATTGCCTGCTCATCTCATCTGAGCATACGTACCGTCTTCTCCCCCCTCTCCCTCCGCGCGGCAATGAGCGGGTCATGGTTTTCCTCGATATGCAGGTTCAAGAAATGATGCGTCGGGAAATTCTTCCCACATTCCGAGCAGCGATTTACATGGGTTTGCAGATAGTGGACTTCATACTCCTCATATGATGAGAACGTGAGTGCCTCCCTATGAGGGGGCAGGGAGCAGCGCATCACCTGCGCCGGCGGACGGTCTACCGCATCCAGGGTCGTGACTTTGGCCGGTGGCGGAGTCACCGCAGGAGTCGCTCGCGACGATGGAGTCTGCTGACCGTCGACTGACAGGTCTGAGAGCGAAGACAAGGAGTCTCTTCGTGAGCGCTTGGCCATGGCGGAGACATGGTAAAGTTGGTTTGTACTGTATGTACTGTACTGTACTGTACAGAGACGGATGGATGTATGTACTTTTTCCTGGCAGTACCCTTTTCAGAAGCTCGTCATGCTCTCATGATTACTGCCAGAGTCACCCAAGATGAGCCTGGGCGGGCTGTTGTGATCTCCATTGTTGATATCTCATCATGACATGCGCCGCCGATAAAGGCACCAGCCACAGCCCTCCGCGGGCGCATGCGCACCAGCCACAGACTGTGGCGCAAGGGCTCTCCGGATTCCTCCATCCCATTTGTCTGCTGCTTACCGCGCTTTCCCAGCTGCTCCTCTTCCCCACGGGAGGGGCTTCTTTTATTGCTGCTAATATAATAGTCCGATCTCCCATTCCTCTTCCCTGCCTCGAGCACGCCGCCACTTGTCCGCGATAGGTCGCGTTCTATGTCCATCCAAACCAGCGCCCCCCGAACCACTGATGGATCGTTCATTGTTTTTGCGCCGCGAGGATTTGCAGCCAGCCATCTGACGGCGAGGTGATCTGTGAGGTCGCGGGTGCCTTCTCTTTGGTCTCGAGCATGGCGGCTGCATTTCGAGATGCTTGGCAGTGTGTACTCCCTCGTTGAAGGTCGACGAGCTTGTGCTCCGACTGACGCACATGCGATGCAGATCTGCGCTCCAAGCCGAAAAGGAGCTCGTGAAGGCTCTCTCAGAGAAGGAACCTATCTTCGCAGAGATCACCCATTCCCTCACTGAGTCAGTGTTTCCCTCCCTCTCTCCGAATTTTCGCGTGATGGCGGGTCTGATTGTCGCAGATTTCGTGTGGCTTGTCAGAATGCTATTTTTCTGGACTTCGAAGCCGCGTGCACGGAGAACGTGGAAGCCCGACTATGGGACGCTCACGTTAAGATCAACAACCGATTTCGCAAGGTTTTAGCTCGAGTAAGTGTGGACTGTGTGGGTTGGTTTCCTGCGACCCATCTGACGTGCGCTCCCAGTTTCGGGACGAGAACGGCAAGAAAAGGCCCGTGGAAAAGCGCAAGCTGGAAAAGCATTATCTCGACTTCATCAAGTCGAGCCAGAGATTCTACAGGGGATATATCCAGCATCTTTCGTCGCATTTTGGTGGTATTCCGGAGCTAGAAAAAGTCGCACGCAAGTTCAACTTTGAGAGTAAGGGCGGCGCGCTCACCGACCGGTCGGGAAACCCTTTTTAGAAAAAGCTAACCATTGCTTTCTCATTATTAGACCTGTCCGCTGAACAGCCTGTCAACTTAGACGGTGATCTCCGCAAGCGCGTACTGCTCTCCTGCCATGCCACCCTCATCCGCCTTGGCGATCTCTCCCGCTACCGTGAAACGGAACTCGTCTCCGGCAAAAACCGCAATTGGGGCCCTGCCATCGGATACTATGACCTCGCAAGTGTCATCAATCCGGACTCGGGCGCATCCCACAACCAGCTGGCTGTCATCGCCCTGGCCGACGGCAACCATCTCCGGGCGACTTATCATCTATACATGGCTCTCTCTGCTAAGGATCCCCATCCGACGTCAAAAGGAAACCTGGAGATCGAATTCAGGAAGATCATGAATGCATGGGCTAAACGAGAGTTGATCCCTCGAGAGGACGCCGGCATCCCGGGAAAGGCATTGACCCCTTGGTTTGTCTACCTCCACGCCCAGTGCTACAAGGGTGTCGATTTTCCAGAGCATGATGAGCTTGAGAACGAAGTCTTGAGTCAACTTGCAGTCGATCTCAAGGAGCGATCTCTCGAAGGTACCCTTCTGAAGTTCTGTCTGATCAACATAGCAGCGGAAGATTTTGCGAGAGCAAGATCGAATGGCAGGTAACCAAATCACGGGGGTCGGATCATCCTTGCTGACGGCAATCTCTAGGGGAGTCCACGCACAATGCGCGCGTGTTTTTCCAGCGAATCAACGTCAAGACCTTCTTTACCCTTCTTCAAATTCTCTTGGCTGAACTGGAGCGATTCGCGACGGAAGACACTGAGAGTAAGGGGTCGCAAACTGGACCCGAAAAAGTGACTGTCGTTGCGCGCCGGGTACTCCCAGCACTGCGACACTATAGCTCCTGGTTGCTCACGAACAGCGCCGAATTAGTCGCGCAAAGACAAGATAAAGACACGTCTCTTGCAGTTCAGATCAAGGAGTTCTGGAAAATATACGCTAACACTCTGACGTTGCTTGCATCAACATTTGATGTGGCCAATTTACCGGATATAGAATATCTCCTTGAAGAAGATGAGGAGACCCTCGGGTTCAAACCGCTGGTCAACGACGCAACCAGTCGCAGATATTTAGACGCCAAGGGTCAGCAAAAACCTCGCATGCTTGATCCTGGCGTGGAAAGAAATCATCCGAACCTAGAAATGCTATATCGGATCCGGGAATTTGTGATTGACGGGCTAGATCTAGTTGTCAACAACGTATGTGCCACAGCACTCGATGTGATTGGCAAGATAAGCTGATTGAATTCTAGAGAATACCCGTCGCTCTTGTGGACGACAATGACCGGAAAATGTTCATCTACCAGGAAGAAGGCCTTCCCTCTCAGTTCTTCACCAGTCCTCATGGGCACCATCCTACGCTGTCCTCGACAAGCATCGAAAGAGAGGATATACGACACGCACAGCAGAATGAGAAGAACAGCGCGGAGACCCGAAGCGCCTTTGGAGGCTCTCAGTCCGCTTCCGCGTCGATGTCAGCGAATATGAACCGGATAGTAGAAGGCGTTGAGCGATTGGTGGAATCGGACACTTGTGAAGGGGCGTCAGCTGGGCCAGAACTGCCGGAATTCCTTCAGGACCCTCCAGTGTCTTCTGGCAATGCTCTCGGTCCGAACTCTGGCTCGATTCCCCGTAATCCAGGACGACAAGCACCGGCTGTCCCTCCAGGTCTAGGACTGCGGAACGTGTCGAACCCATCGGCCTCGTTGAATCCGTCTCAGTCATATACCCCTCGTCCTACCCTGCCTAGCATCCCCAGCATCTGGAATACAGATTTCTCCTCACCGGCAGAGGCTGCATCTTCGCAGACACGTCCTGGTGCAGCCCGACAGCTTAGCTCTTCCGTCCTCAGCCCTCGACCACAGTCGCATTTTCTCGCTGCATCTAGCGTCGACCAAAGTGTTCCGTCGCAAGAGCCGACTGCGAGTGACATCGCATTTCGAAACAGCTTGCTTCTTCAACGTCAACAAATTTTAGAGGCCTCGTCGAGTGCGTCGCCTTTCGAATCTAGCTGGACACCGCCAAATCCGACTCCTGGCTATCAGTACTCCGCTTGGGACAGGGATCCCTTTGGTTCTGTTCCTTATTATGGCACACAGTCGTCGCAGCATCGTCAAACTATGTCCAGCAGCCTTGGAAATGCGTCATGGGCTGATAACGCATTCATCGCGTCCAGCAGCTTGCCGTCAGGATCTGGGTTTTATGGCTCAAGCGCACTCAACCACGGACAAAAATCCGCAGCGCAGCTTGGTGCAATTGGTCAACAAACTCCACCGTGTGGGCAGGAAGGTTGAAATACGGCTTAACATTCGGAAGAAAGTCATGACAAATTCTGCCAACAAAAACAGGAAGGATCAGGCCAGTCCATAGTTCCGCCATCTTGTCGCTTCTTCCAAGCGATGAATGGACCCGACACAGGTCGACGCACCAAACCTGCAACGATATTCCTGCTGCTGCTCCTTTCTCTAGGCGGAAAGTCAGGTCAGACCGCATATCTCCACCAGCTCTGAGGGAGACTTTCTACAGGTCCTGTCTGTCGTCGACACGGGGTAGGGGAACGTCAATCAGAATCTGGAAATACTTCGTCTCGTCCCGTCGCAGAAAGGGAGAGTGACTGACAACAAGCAACCAAACCACTTCCCAAGGATTGAAATTGAATTACTTTAAAAAGTAAAGTATTTGTGGTATTTGGAATAAATACAGAAAAAAAAGAACGAGCAGAATTCGTCCATACAGTACAGTACAGTCAGTACAGTATATATATAGTGTAGGAAGGAAGGAACAGAAAAATATGTATATATACATAGCCTGTTATTAGTGCAAAATTATTTTTATTTTACTTTGTTTTGTTCTTTTCCAGCAAGAAATATAATATTTTCATTGTTCTCTCTCCCTCTCCCCATCCCTCTGGTAGGAATGAGGAGGATCGTCAATGGATAGATAGATAGATAGATAGTTGAGGTCGAGGTCGAGGATGTTGAATGGATCCTGTCCTGTCCTGTCTAGCTAGAACATAAAAAACAAAAACAGAAACAGTCATAAGTACCCTAGGTACCACGTGAAATATAATAAAAAAATCCCATCCGGATCTTTCCAGGTCCAAAGTAAAAAAAAACGTCGTTGTTGAAAACGCCACGCTTTTGTTTTTGTCTATTTCCGCCCCTTCTTGTTCATTCATTCATTCATGTGATGATTTGATGCAATACCCCGTTTTCGTGTTGATGGATATAAAAATAAGGAACATGTTCATGAAGCGGGTATAATGGGTTGAATCATTAAGTTGGAAAAAGCAAAAAAATATGGTTAGAAGTGTGAGAAAATGCTAGGAGATGTCCATGGTGACATTCTAGTTGCTGGCAGTGTAGGTTTGCTTGGGGAAGGGGTATCTGTTGTTAGAAAGAAGATTATGGTCAGTCAGATGTGTCTATATGACTATGACGTTTGGGTTTAAGGTAATTTAATGAGAATTTCTGGAGTAAAAACTTACGATGGTCCCAGTTCTTGAATGCTAAGACTTGCAAGCCATTGGCCCATGTCAATGCTCTCGTCGAGGGACTTTCCTTGGACAATACCAGCGGTCAGGCCACCGGCAAAGGCGTCTCTGTTGTCAAACCCCGTCAGTGAAATGTGGTCTCGAAGTGTCTAGTGGATTTTCTGTGTATCACATACCCGGCTCCGTTGGTGTCATTGATGCGATCCTTGGGGATTTCCCGAACTTTGAATTCCTTCACCTCAATTTCGCCATTCTCCTTGGCCACCGCAGTAACAGTGGGCAGAGTGCCTTGAGTGATGATAGCAACCCTAGGGCGGCTTGCATTCTTCTTGGGAAGTGTGGCGAGCTTCTTAGCAATCTCGACAATATCAGTCGTACCCCAGCCATGGCTCTCGGAGTATGAGATGGCTTCCGTTTCGTTTCCAAGGAGATAGTCCGTGTACGGAATCACACTGTCGAGTTGGTCCTTGAAAAATTGAGGAATGAATGGCGCAGACAGGGAGAGCATGAAAATCTGTGGAGTATAGTTAGCAACAGTCACATAAAAGACCAACAACCAGTGACACTGGAGTCATGGGAGATGGCCTGGCAAAACAGACCTTGTTCTTTGCGGCAGCTTCTTCCGCAAGAGCCAGAATGGCAGGCACGCAAACAGTAAGGTGGTAGCCACCAACGTAGTAAACCCTGGCCTTCTCGACCAGCGACCAGACATGCGGCTGCTTCAGATGATCAATCTTGTATTCATTGGCCGCTGCAAGATGCGTGACCATGCTGCGGTTATGGCCAGTGATGATCACACCACACTTTCCGGTGGGTTGGACATCATCCACACGGTACTCAGTGTGCACTCCGGCCTTTTCACAGGCGTCTTTGAGAATGTCAGCATATTTATCGCGGCCGACGCAGCCGATGTAGGCGACGGAGTTTTCAGGGAGAATGTACTAGGTGATCAGCAACGTCAGTGTCAGGAGCACATGTCGGTAAACTTCTCAATCAATGCCTGAAAATGAATTGGTAACGCGAAAAAAAAAAGACATACCTGTGCACCACGAGCGGTGTTTTGAGCGGCGCCACCAGCGATCAGCTTCGCATCGTGGTTTTGCAAGAGTTCTTCGTAGAGCCCCATATGCTTCTCCTCCGCGAGGATGGCATCATTGTCCTTAAGGCCATATTTTTTGAGCAGAGCTTCGTCACTATAAGGTTCCGTTAGACGACTACAAGGCAAGTATTTCATTCAGGAAAAAAAGAATGCTATACCCCACGCCCTGGATGTCTGGACAACGGCAGTCAGCACATTAGAATACGGTAATTCGGTGTCGCAAAGAGCAACTAACCAAGGAGAGGGTTCTCCAAACAAAGAAGCGGGTATCCATCTGCAGCGGCCATTTCTGCGAATTTTGGATCAAATTGTGCGAGTTGGTCGAATTGTGTTGTTTGTTTTGCTGTTTCTTGCCACAGAGAGAGAGGGACGCGGGGCTCTTTAAAGGGTTGGAGGGGAAATGCACTCCGACTACATACTACCTTAACTCCGGCACTCGGAGACCGGCAGTTGGCGGCCGCCAAACAACCAGAGCTTCGGACACCGCTGAACCTGCAGCCAGTGCTTCCCTTACAGTTCGATCTTACTGACGCCGGTCATTGGCAGAGTTTCACTATCTTCTGAATTAATTTCGGAACTCAGGGTTTGCAAAAATGTCCAATCCCTCTCTTGGGATCGCAGAGACGATCCAAAGCGCCTCAATGAAACGCAATCCATCTCCGACTCACGACGTCAATCCATCCACCGCTGTCTCCAGGAAAGAGCCCGTTGAGCCTGAACCTTCGGACACTGCCAGCATTCCCTCAGATATCGTTGACCCCAGCCGGGTAATAAGGCCTGCTGCGCGACGTCCCCACCTGCCTCCGTTACCGGACTTGAGGTTCGAGCAGAGCTACCTGGCCAGCTTGGAGGGTGCGGAGAGCTGGCAACGGATTGCATGGATTACCGTGAGAGACCAGGTACGGGAGTGCTCGTTTTAATAGAATTAGTTCTCTTGCCGGTGAGGACTGTGAGCTGACATCCGCTAGGTTCTGCTGCCCCTTATACAGGGCACGCTATGGACTCTTGCCCTCGCCGGTTGGCGACACTGGAACCGCAATGCTCAGCTCCATGGCAACACGCTTGGCAGTAGGATACGTAGATGGTGGTATGAAGTGAACAAGTGGGAGCTTCCCCCGGCCCGCAAAACCGTGAGGAACCGAAGTCTTGCGGAAAAGGTCCAGGATGTGAGTTGATCTCTGCGCTCCTTTTTCTATTCAAGAGTTGTGTATTCTTCGTGATCTGACTCGTCGCAAACAATAGTACTTCACCGCACAGTTTTCGAAGGCTACCGGTAACTGAATTTCGAGACACGAAGAATTGTTGAAGAATTCATTGGGACAATAACACTGGGCTTGGATATTTGGCGTTTATGGAGTCATGGCGTCGTGATTTGCTTTCTCTGCTTCATCGGTGGTAAAAGGGAGTGTACATTGTTATATTAGCTTCTCTCAACTTACGACATATACCGGATGTTTTGGGGGGCAAACCCCGCCTTGGGATTGCTATGCCATGTATGTATGTACAGTAGAAGCACACCAAACAAAGGTAGTCACTCTGCCAACAATAAGCTTTGTCTCAGAAGATTATACGATAATTAATTTTCCTCTTTGAACTTGAAATAAGCAATGAGAATCTTCACACCATTTACAAAAAGAGTAATCAAACGTCTAGGACATGCACTTTTTGCATCCTCTATTTGATGACCCTTTCGACACCGATCAACACTTTAAATATAACGCCTAGCGAGAACAAAACAACTGGACCCATTACACAGACCGAAAAGCTGCTCCGACCACTAAATATACCAAAGCAATATCTTTCGGAAGGGCCGCATAAGGTCTAAATCTGCAGCCGTATAACACCACAACACGAAGGACAGGGAAAATTAATTAAAAATAAAAGATGAAAGAAATAAAAAAAACCTAATTCAGCTCCGTTCTGCACTCTCGAAGGACTGAGCGGAGCGACAGATTGCTCTGGAGGAAATTTGAGGCCGGTATCCTCCGGCTTCCTTTCATCTGCGGTACCAATGTCGTTTGCAATATTCTCCTTTAAATCGTCGAATCGTGGCTGAGGTTCCATGGGAGCAGATGAAGTTGAAACTTGAGCTTCCAAGGGCTTCGGCTCGGATGGCTTCTGATCTACCTCTGTCGGGTGATTGACTTGAGTTTTTTGAGCAGACTGGGCAGATAAATCTTGCCCGGTTTCCGGGGGTCCAGTCTTTGTTGCTTCATCAACAGCAGGACCACTCTCTGCAGCTTCTTGTTGCGGACTGAGCTTCCGGCCTTTGCCGTATTTTAGTTGCACGACAAGGCTGGGATTATCACCTTCCTCATCGTCCACCATCGATTCGTCCTCGCTGGATTCGTCTTCATCGTCTCCTTCGAATTCATTTTGATATTCTTCGTCTTCCTTCAGATCATTTCCGCTGGAGACGGCCTCTGATTCATCGTCCATCTCGTCAACGAAATTCGTGTTTCTCGTCGCATATCCATTCACTTGTCCCCGCGTACTTCGCTGGGGCCTCCCTGAGGCATTATTGCCGTTCTGTAGCCCGGTAGATACAGCGTCATCTCTCCGCTGACCGCTAAGCAGAGATTCCCCGTAGATACCTCCAGCACGGGTTCGCACTTGTCTCCCACTGGCAGTGAACACTGGTCCAGCAGGTTCCCCCGGGGTAGAAACACCAGATATATTTCGTGTGGATCTTCGAGTCGAAGGCATATCGTCTGAAAAGATGTCCTCGTCATCAGAATATGTGTACTTCATCTTCTTCCCACGGGTACGGCCCTCGTAAAGAGAGAATCCTGGTTCCGGACGAGCAAATTGGGCTTTCCGCGCAAGTCGATAGTCACGACGTTTGCGTTTCTGATTTCGCTCGCCTTAGCGGACAGCCACAATGAATGCAGGAAGGGACCTTACCTCCTCGGAACCCTCGAAACGAGGTATAGCCATCTTGATCTTCTCACTGAGTCTCTTGGAATGCACGGATTTTTCCTTTTCAAGACGTTCGGCAACAGCTTTCAATTCGGGAATATTTCCTGCCACACTCCACCAGGTAACGTTGTCCGAAGTCGGGTTGCTCTCCCGATACAGACGGAAATGGGTGTCATCTTGACCCTCAATAAGCCAGAATCGCCTTTTTTGGTCGTCGCGGCCCCATGGTTGTACTGATAATGGCTGATTCAGATCATCGTCATGTCGTGTTTGCTTATAGGATTCCTTGATCTTCGCTTGGACCGCGTCAGAGGACGATAGCGCCCAGAGTATTAACGCCCTAAGAATTGACAACTAATCTCCGGTTAGAAGAAGTATTCCGGTAACATTCGAAAGTGCATAAAACGTACGCGTTCTTCTGGTGACATGGTCGCGAAAGTGCGCCCGCCGTGAAGCGGGTTCTTCCCCCCCCACGACCGCGGCCACTGTGACGCATGGGTTTGAACCGCGTCCTCCAGGGCGCGATGGTAATGATTCTTACTGATTGAAAGAATCACACATTAGCCTGCTGTTTCCAGTAGCACTTCACAAGACGAGGTTAAGAGGCAACCTCGAACCCCTTGCCCCAGGACCCGAGACCAAATGAAAAGGGGACATTCGTACTCAACATCCTTCTTCCGATTTAGTACCAGGCCAAGTAAAGCGCACAGAAGCCTTTCCACATGTTCTCCCGGCACTGGATCCTGCACACCTCTCTCGATATCTTGGGGGCCGTAATGCGGAAGAGATTTCGGGAAGACGTCGCTGAAGCGCGCGCGGAACATGACAATGAACTGCAGAAATTCGCGACACATTAGCATGCGCGTCATAAAAAGGTACGGACGCGTCAAATGCGTCTATCCGTAATGTTGATCAAGAAATAAATCCTGGAAACTTACAGCGATGTCCGGATTATCTGCCAGCACATACTCGTGCGGAGGTGACTCGGGGCGTTCCGGTGGTGGCGGCGATTCTTCCTTTTCCTTGAAATACTTTGTGATGGGGGGATTGGTCTCGAAAGCCATTTCCATAGATTCATCGTCAGTTGGTGGAGCTGACGATAATGAGGAAGTGTCCGAGGACGACATGATGGGCGAGGTGGTGGTCGTGGTTACTTGTGTTGCTGCAAGTTGCAAAGGCAGTAGGTGGTAGGACTAGTGATGGAAGTGGGTGAACCAGAAATTCTACGGATGCTACAAGCGCGGCTACCACGCGCCCGGCTCGTCTAAGGTAATCTATGACATGACACAGCAAGAACTGCATTCAAGCACCTCTAGAAGTGCCATTCCATCACCCCCAGACCCGAAATTCCAACCTAATACGATCTCCGCTATCACTCCCAGGAATACATCCAGCAGTATGCCGACAACGGGAGAACATAAGGACAGAGAACGCAAACCACACATCCGCGAATTGAAAAAGGCACGTAATCCTGCAGAAACAGCCCATCCGTGAATGCGGTCAAGACGGAATTTCAATTGGACGCTGATGCATGCTAGCAAAATCCATCGGATTGTGAGCCAGAAAACGCTGCCGCTCTCAACAGTGCACCTAACAAACACAACGGCCTAGTAACTCGATCGTGGAGAGGTGTCATCAGAACCCACAAGCGTGCTGGGTAGCGAAGATTTCCGGTACGATACCATTTGTAGGACAGAGCGGTGTGAGGGGACCAAGCCCGTGAGAAACGAAACCCCGGAGCAAGTAGAATTCATCGATCGCCGACCATGCAAAAGGCACAAGAAGCAGAACCGAATGCGTATCGATTCATTTTTCGGGAATCGAAATCGCTAGAAGGCTCCCGTAGACTTTTTTTTTGCAACAATTTGGGAGGAGCAAAAGCACTGCAAAAAGGGGCAAACACCAGCGTCATTGACATTGAAATCAAAACAGACACTTTCTTCCGAAGTAGGACAAGAAACGCTTCTCATTATCATTTTGCATTTTGCGAAGGACGCGAAGGAAACCAATATTTGCAAACATTGGCCAGTTAAAAAGAACAGTCAGCAACCGTGATCAACAAGTCACGAACAAAAGGAATTGAAGAGGACATGTGCATTCAAAATAATCAACTGCTTTAGATGTCATTTAAATTCAACAGCTGAAAAGAAAGCACCGAACGGAATTTTCGATGGAATCACGGGTTAGGCACGCTCATTGATTTAGGGGGAGCAGCAGCCGAAAAGAGTAACAAATCGAGCCAAGCAAAAAGCCGCAGCAATATAGAAAGGGCATCACCACCACATCATCGATAATTGACTGGCATGCAGTGAGAGCGATCAAGCAATGCGCCGGTTAGAGAAAACTGCGGGATGTCAGTCAGCAAGAAAGGCAACGGACGTGTGCAAAATTCAACCAGGCTCGTTCATCCAGTAACAGTACAACATAAAGGTTAAATGTCGATAGTATCCAGATGAGGATCGACACTGGCCTTTGAAGGCGAGAACCGGCCTCAGGAGGGCGCATATGATGACCTGCAAAGAAGGTGAGGTCGCGCCAAGAGCCGGCAGCCGCGCTCTGTGGCTCACGAGTCACGGGCTGCCAGCAGCGCTAGCGCCGACTCGGTTAGCTTAGCGATCCCACCCTAAAGCCCACACAGCCTTTTGGCGAATTCTCACCACCAAACCGTCTGATCGAAGCGACAAGTTCAACTCCGAGTCCAGGTACGACCAATTCCTCCTCCTACAACCGATACTCGCCGGCGACCCTCGAGACTAACCTCCAGGACACTCTAGACAGACGCCATGGGTCGCGTGATCCGCAACCAGAGGAAGGGTCGTGGATCCGTTTTCAGTGAGTCTGACTGCTCAAGATCTTGATCTTTAAAGATTGCCAGGTCGCGAAATACTGATCAATCCTTCCCAGCGGCCCACACCCGTCTCAACAAGGCGCCAGCCCAGTTCCGCACCCTCGACTACGCTGAGCGACATGGATACATCCGAGGTGTGGTGAAGGAGATTGTTCACGATCCCGGCCGTGGTGCTCCTCTGGCCAAGGTCACCTTCCGTCACCCGTACCGGTACAAGCATGTCACCGAGACCTTCATTGCCAACGAGGGCATGTACACTGGGCAGTTCATCTACGCCGGAAAGAATGCCTCTCTGACCGTCGGCAACATTCTGCCTCTGGGCTCTGTCCCCGAGGGTACGGTCGTCACCAACGTCGAGGAGAAGGTCGGTGACCGTGGTGCGCTGGGTCGTACTTCCGGCAACTACGTTACCGTCATCGGCCACAACCCTGAGGAAGGCAAGACTCGTATCAAGCTTCCCAGCGGTGCGAAGAAGGTTGTGAAGAGCGAGGCGCGAGGCATGGTTGGCATTGTCGCTGGTGGTGGTCGTACCGACAAGCCTCTGCTGAGTATGTTTTACGATCTGGCTATATGGACGATGGGTCGGTTTGTGGAATCAGTACTGATTGCGTCTTCTTCCTACAGAGGCTTCTCGTGCCAAGCACAAGTTCGCTGTCAAGCGCAACTGCTGGCCCAAGACTCGTGGTGTTGCTATGAACCCTGTTGATCACGTAAGTTTTCTCCGTCAATTCTTCTGTTCAGTGATTTGCAGCGAGATTCTGACATTATTCTTTTTCCTTTAGCCTCACGGTGGTGGTAACCACCAGCACATTGGTAAAGCCTCGACTATTTCCCGTTACGCTGCCCACGGTCAGAAAGCCGGTCTTATTGCTGCCCGGAGAACTGGTCTGCTCCGTGGTACCCAGAAGACGAAGGAATAAAGATGATGTGTGTGTGGGATATGGTTTCTTTTTATGGGTTCTTAAAAAAAATGCTTTTCTGCTATGAAGCATATGTACTTAGGCGACTGTGGATAGCGGGCCACACGTCTTAGTGAGCAATCACATTTTTATGGCCAACGTTATCTTCTCGGGGATTTCTCCGCTTGATACGAGCTGCTAGCCGGTCTTACCATTGCGTCGTCTGATTAAGTCGAGCTACAGTGGCGGCCATGTCGATCTCCATTTTTTAAAAAAAAAAATCAATAATATAATAATTCATATCCAAGAAATAACAGCATCATTGATTCTTCTTCTGTACCAGCTGATGTTTCAGCATAAAATACCGCGCGACCGACGGAAATACGAATTTCGTGCCATAAGGACCGCGTATCTAAATCTTTATATTTTCCCAGAAAGGGAATGACCATCACCCAGGTGTTATCGATGAAAAGGTCATACCAGGGGTTGTGTGCCGTTACGAAGATGCAATCGACAACAATAAAAAGAAGAGGCCAACCTCAGGGTTATCCTTTAACGCATCTGCACCCAGTATCTTCTTTCCCTTACTGGTGCCCGCTAGATTAGGGATCAATATTGGTTATACAAAATCGACAAAGTCCCCAAGATCAAGTTATTAAGATCAAGGAGTTACAAAAACCACTATCTTAAGAACCAGTAGGCGCCACCGTAGCTGGGGATTAGGTCTGTTGGCAGATGGCTTGAGAACTTCAGGAAGACGCTAGGTTCTGATATGGGAGTACATCAGGTTCTGGTTTCAAAAAAAAACACTGGATCTAGCAATAATGCAGTACTACGGGAAGAAATTCAGTTATTCTGACAGCTTTGATACGGTAAATGTGTTGACGTCATACGTGACAGGCAACCCTTTCTTCTCCAGCCCACCGGACAAGCCGATGAAGATGATGAAAAAAGGGTTGTTGTTCGCGTCACTCGGTGGTAGTGTAAGACCGAGGACACGGTGCGACGAGGTGTGCGCAAGCGCAGAGGCCCCATCGCGAGGTCCAAAAATGAGATTAATCAATGTTGTGTTCCGTAGAACACTTTCAGAGATTAAACTGAAAAGAACAGATACTACACTTGATCTAAGCCAAAAGGCAAAGAGAGCTGGATAAGAAAAGAAGAAAAAGAAACCAAAAGGACGGTGAGATGAGGGGATATTTATACCTTTGGCTTGGTGGTCCGTGCGTTGGTTGATTCACGGCCACCTGCTAAGCGAGCCAATTACCGTACGGAGTATGTCGAAGCGGCAAGTTGCCTCCGGGAGCTTTCGTGAATCATCACGTTCCCTACGGTATCTCCAAATATGACCTAGTATGCCTTACTACTATTTTTAATTCGGGCTATTCCAGGGATCTGGGCACTTAAGCGCCTAGGAATCAACCGGGCCCGCATGTCAAATCAGAAGGAGGCCATCAACTCGGGAGTGGTATACGCATTTTGACGTTTCGTGAAGCGCGCATGGCTTCCAGACGAAACAGCCCCAGAGAAAGCTTTCCATAGATGCTGTACTATGATGATTCAGACCGGTTGCGAACGTCAGGTTACTTGAGGGTCGAAGTCTCTCATTTTAACTCGTGACTAGTATGGTGTTGAGCGTTTAACCTCTCAGGCTCTCTCCTGCTATGTTAACCAAGCAGTGATGAGAAACAGTGACTCAGTGTATGGGATGTAGGAGAGCGGCCACAAATGAGTCACCAGATAATGTGATCATCGTGATACTGTATATTGCAAGCACTCCTGTTCAGCTTGACCTACTTTCCTTGTTCGAGAACATACGTATTATACCTTGATTCCTGACTTCAGTTGTTTCCACCGTTTTATATAAAATTCAACCTAGATTCTGGCTTATGGTTACTCACATCCAGGTAGGAAAATAACGTCGTAGTTACTCAGTAGGCATCTCGCCGCTTAATGAGAAGTCCTTCGGTACTTCTTTCAAAGTTGCCTTGTATATGGCGTACCTAATGACTGCTCTCAAAGTGACCAATCAGAGGCGCCGTAGAGAAAACCAGAACTCTCTCATTTCGACAACCATTCTCCTGTTTGAACAGCATTCTAGAGTACTCCGTGATGGAAAAGCGATCCTTCCCCCCCCCCCCCCCCCCCTCCTTGATGTTGATTAAATCCTTCTACAAAAATATAAAAAATGCTATTGGTGCACAGATGACAGTTATACAACAGCCGACAATTCGAAACCGCGCCCATTCCTATCTGCCTCTTGCGCCATGCCATGCGAAGACTCCGACCTCTGCAGCAGCACGTTGGCGGGCAGTGACAACTCGAGATGCTTCAGCGGATACGTTTGTCTACGCAGTTCGTTCAACACGTATCTACTGCCGTCCCTCGTGCCCGGCACGCCTTGCGCGTCGTGCGAATATCGAGTTCTTTGACACTCCTGCACAGGCGGAAGCGGCGGGGTTCCGCCCGTGCAAACGCTGTACTCCTCACCTCCATGTGAGGGACGATCCCCACGTTCGAGTGGTACAACAAGCGCGCGACACAATCGCCGCCGCCGTCTTATCGGGGCAGACACCAAAATTGCAAGAGCTGGCAGCGGAGGCGAACCTCACACCGAGCCATTTTCATCGGGTATTCAAGAAAATCACCGGCATGACTCCTGGACAATATGCTCGAACTATGCGAGAAGAAAAGAACGATGGGGGAGAGATTGGTCTTGAGCAAGCGGGGAATGATGATCCAGCAATTTCGCTGGAGTTTGATGACCCCAATCAGCCGGTTGATCTTTGGCAGTCTCAGGCGGACGCTGCTGCAGATCTCCCAGAGAACGACATCTCTTTGGATGATCTCATCGACTGGAATGAATTTGACGCAATGATGGCCAGGGAGCAACTGAATGTTGGAGATCTGGGCTCTGATCTCACGCACAGCTTATTGAGAGACACTCCTCAAACAGGCTCAGTATGAGATCAAAGTTGTTGGCGGAGACAATTGAAGACGATCTATTTTAACCGAATAACTAGCACTCATAGTGTAACTAGACTAAATAAATGGTTGTAGATCACCCGAAGGCAGGCTAATTACTCCGTATAAGCCCATGTCTTCAAGGGGTCGATGTGATTCCACCCATTCTTTGTCTCGGATAGCTGCATACTACACGGGTGAGATCGGCTTGTTCCTAGAACCCCTAGAGGCCGACAAAATTACCCAAGTAAATTGATAATAAATGACGCTATGGCCTGGAGAACGTCAAACGGAAGATATCATTGATGTTTTATAGTGTCCAGCTTACCCAAGCTTATCTACCTAGATAGACATAGACAAGGCGATAAGATAATCAGAGTCGAACTCAACTTGGTCCAGAACGCCATGCAACCATGTCTCTTGAGTCTGCAGAGCTTCGGCAGTTGGGGAATTTAGAGTATTCTTAGGATTGACTGGAAGTAGATCGGCATGTTGCGGTAAGGGACAGACTGGAAGACAGCGTCTGGGAGATCCACTGTGGGACGAGGAACGCGTGTCACGGACCCTTGGTGTCATATCGCCCGCCACCGGCCCAGATTGGTGGAGTCATCAGACTGCAACTCCAGCCGCCGCACATCCTTGCAGCAGGCCAAAGGGTAATGTGCTGGGGGCAACAAAGCGTTGTACTCGCCTATCGAGTCCTAGCGCCTGCTGACATCCTAGGGTCAAACAGGTTTCAGGTACAGGGACTGGCGCGTAAAGAGAACTGCTGAGCCTCGCTGGTCTGCCTGTCAACCCCACTACTGGCCCAACGAGGTGCTTCCATTAGCGTGCTCGATCGATCCGACGGACTTACGGTGACCAGCTCCCTGGCTACCCACAGCATTGGAGTCCGTTTTCCGTACGGAGAAGGAGGATCTGCTGAAGGAGTCTGACCTAGCGCCGAGGAAGGGGCTTCCGGTGGCTACGAGCCCTCCACAGCTCGTGTGGCGCCTTCCCACCCTCGTCCTCTATTATTGTACTGCGTCCAGATTAGTCAAGAGGAATGCTGGCTCTGATTGGGGTTGTCGGTCGTGTCTGTCAAACGTGCCGCTCTTTATATTCCTTCAGAGACCAGGCCCCCCCCCCTCCCCGAAATAGACGCCACTTTCATTAATCTTGTAATTGCCCCTCCCAGTCACATTGTGTTATTGATACCCTCTTTCCCCAGATTACTATGGTGACGAGCTCTTGAATTTTTTCCCTTTTTCATTCTTATCGAATTTTGTCCACCGTGTTCCGGGGCACTCCATACCCCACAGCCCAATATCCTTATCGGTCGCGCAGAAAAGCTCATGATTTTTAGTCAATTAGCCTTACCGTTGTGAAGCGAAAATACCCGGTTTACGCCAGGGACCTTGGCTTCCGCAGCCTATCGCTATATACCTTTTACTATCTACACTACATTCCAGGCGGGCTCACTACTTAAATTCACCGTATTCTTCGAGAACAACTTCGCAACAATGAACGTCAACAAGAAATTCGATCGTTTCAAGCAATGGGCCGGGGAGAGAATGGGGGGCGAGGCCAAGACAAATCTATCGGATGATTTCAAAGCATTGGAGGCGGAAATGAACCTCAGACATGAAGGTGCGAGGCGATTTATGTCCAATTGTCCCGGTCGATAGGCGTGAAACGCAATATTGACATTTGCCAGGGATGGATCGATTGCATAAATCCATGACCGCATATATAAAAGCCATATCGAAGCGCAGTGAGGGAGAAGATAAGGAGAAAACTCTTCCTATTGCTCACCTGGGTAGCTGCATGGTCAACCATGGAGAAGAGTTTGACACGAATTCCCAATTTGGACAATGCCTGATATGTGAGTATCAGCTACAGCATCCAGACTACCTGAATATGTGAGATGCTCATCACAGGGTTACAGTATGTGGAAGAACCCACGAACGTCTGGCGCGGATGCAGGAGAGCTACGTTATGCAAGCGACATCGAGCTGGCTTGAGTCGCTTGAACGATCTCTCGCCCAAATGAAGGATTATCAGGTATGGGATCTCCTTTTACGACTTAATACAGGCGAAGGTCTGATTTGATTTTGTTTCCTTTCATAAGGCTGCCCGCAAGAAGCTCGAGAACCGCCGCCTCGCCTATGATGCTGCTCTGGCGAAAATGCAGAAAGCAAAAAAAGAGGATTCCCGAATCGAGGAGGAATTTCGGACTCAGAAGGCGAAATATGAAGAGGCAAACGAAGACGTATACCGTCGAATGCAGGATATTAAGGCCTCAGAGGCCGACAGCATTTCGGATCTCACGTCGTTCTTGGAAGCGGAGCTGAATTTCCATGAAAGATGTCGTGAAGTCCTTCTTCAGCTGAAGAATGACTGGCCCGCACTGTGAGTACCCGTAGGGGAATAAAGCAGGAAAAACTTTCTGATACTGATGTAAAAAGAAGTAGTCAATCTCAGGCGCAGACACCCAACGGACGCCGTACTGGTCGTCTTCGATCGAATACTGCTCACTCATTCCACGAACGTTATGAATCCGTGAAAGAGGAGCCTTCTGCGGCATCTCCGGCACCGCGTCACTCCATAAAATCAAATAGGTATTCCATCTCAAACCCGTTGGATACCTCTTCCAGGGAATTCTCTTCCGATTCGGCTCCACAGCGACCTGTCCTCAACAGAGCTCCTACCTTCGAAGGACCTACCCAGCTACGGGGAGATCCGTCGCCTGCTACGTCCCAAGCACCGAGTGGTGCTTCTAACGAGAACCTCTCTATTCGTACAGCCCGCTCCTCTCTTCGACCAGTTAGCAAGATCTACGGCGATACCTTTGATCCTCAGGATGATTCTGCATCATATGGCAGCCCCTATGATGAGAGATCTGCCTCTCCGGCGACTTCTCAAGGCAGCGCTTTCTCGCGAACTCCGAGTTCTACTACGGTAAACAGTGTCATCGGAAAGAAACCTCCGCCGCCTCCTCCCTCTCGTGCAAAGAAACCGCCGCCTCCTCCGCCGCCGACAAAAAGAAACCTGGTTGGAGCATGTGATGTGTAAGATAACTCCGAGCGGAAGTCATTGCTAAAATTGCTGCTTTTTCCAGTAGCACATTTGTATGGTGAATTTTTTTCACATCGAAGTCAGACGTCCTCCCCTGATACAGATCTGCTTTGATCAGCAGATTGAGCCTTTCGCTTTTACGTATTTTTAGAAACAATGTATGCCGTGGCTGGACCATGATTTGCCTTTTTGATTTCGCGTCGATCTGTCTGCAGGAAGACGCTGGTGTTGGACAAGGGTGGTTATGGTTTTCTGTATGGTCTTAGCCCCCAAATCGTGATCTTCTGTTTAGTTCTCAGCTGTAGTGTAGTATAACCAAAAATTTCCCATGAAAAAACCTCTTCCTCTGTATAAGAACTCGGTGAATATGTAGACAAGTTTGTTCTCCATGAAAAGGCAAACTAAATCAGCTCGTCTTGACGTAACCAGAGCTGTCATAAGGGTATATGTACCTAAGTAATTACACTGTACACCTGAGACCTTACACGCATTCATTAGCTAGATAATACTCTGGTGTCATGGATTCGGCTAGTTTGTGTTCTAATCCTGCACAAGCAGACTCCCCCTTCAAAGTGTTTTAGTGCAGTAACTACAATCGACTCAGCACACCACGGACAGCTGTATTAATGAACTCAAGTCAACTCTCCTCTCCCGCACAAGCACAAACAAGTACCCATGTTTTTTCACCTGCAACCTTGTAGGATGTAAATTGGATACGTCTGTTGCGACCTCACTGCCGGTCACGTGCTCTCTGCCCAATCAGAATCATCGTCGCTAGCCGCCACAGCCCCAGAAGGGTTCGCTGAGTCAGCAGCAGAATAAGGCACGTGCATCGCGCCAAATCTTCTTTCAACGTCTCGCCGCCTTCTTCCCTCTCGTACAGGCACAGCCAGGTTCACCGACCACCACCGAGAGTCGCGAGAGCCTCCCCCCTCCATCCCCATTTCATCAGACTAAGGCTTCAACGCGCCCTCTCAACGCGACATTTTCCTTTCAGGGCCCTTCGGCCCGGTCGCCGTCGCTCTGCATCGCGATCTCGCTGGTCACCCTCATCGTCGCTTGTTCCCCTGTGTCACCTCCACCCCCCGGGCTAGGCGATCACGGGCGTCCCCATCCGCCAAGCATCAAATCCAGCGTCGCTGCGTGTCGCATCCATCCTTCAAGACAGCGCTCTATACCGCCACATCAGAAGAAGTGCGCGTAACCTCGCCACCACAGCGCGACGTGCTCGCTAACCACTGTTGAGCCTCGCCTGACGCGTTTTCCCATCATCTCCCTAGTAACGGTAACCGCGCTTCGCTCGAGTCTCGGCGTTCTCCCTGCCTATGAATAAAAAGAAATAAACACGCTAGACAATAGCTTCGCTTCAGTCAGTCCCCAATATGGGAACTGGGAACGTGAGCTTGCCGCCCAACCTGACCCAGCAGCACGTCCAAGAGGTCTACCAGGTGAGCATTTCCCCTACCTCTCACTCAGCCTTCAAGTGCACCCCCACCCTGTCAGCTCTCGAAACCACTCCCACCATGTCCTGTCATTCTCATCACTCTCAACTTGTCGCATAATGCGTTCTCTGCTTTCCCACCACATGTGCGCTAACATGGCTTCAGAAATTTCGTCAGATGCAAGAACAAGGCGTGCGCCATGACGACCCCGAGTACCTTAAGGCCCATAATCTTCTCTCCGCGGTGCAACGCCAGCAGGTTTACCAAAAACAACGACAGTTTGCGCAACAGCAGCTGCAGGCGCAGCAACGTCAACAGCAGTTGCAGCAGCTGAATGGCTCGGCCTCTGATGCTGGTCCCAATGGTGTCAATGGTAAGTGCTCTCCACCTAGAAATAATCTTGGTATGGTTTTCGTTTCTTGACTAACGCCTTGTTCGCAACTCATTTAGGCCGAAGTGCCTCAGTCGCCTCCACGAGTGCGACGCAAGAGTCAAATGCGACGGCCACCGGTGGACAATCTGCGCCTTCGGGGCAGCAAGCCGCGGCGTCTGCCCAGAAGGGTACGCCAGCTCCTACAGGGAACTTCTCACCTGAGCAGCTGGCCACGCTCCGAGCTCAGATCGTCGCATTCAAAATGTTGTCCAAAAATGTGGCCATCCCGCCGAAAATCCAGCAGCAGCTATTCGGCGCTAAGAAACCCCAAACGGCCACTCCTGCGGACAATACCGCGACCGCAGAGGCTGTTATTGACAGTGCGACCCAGAACCGTGCTGAACAGGCCGCCGATTCAACAGGGACGGAAGCACCACCCAAAAACTTTTACGAGAGCTTCCAGTCTCCATACGATTCATTTCCGAAGACGATCAGTTACACTGATCATGCCATTCGAGCTAACCGCCCGCGTATCCCGAGCTTGTTCCCTGTTGGCATCGATCTGGAACAAGTTCGTGAAGATAGGGAACAGCTCTTGTACAACAAGATCATGGCTCGGAAGGCCGAGTTGGCCAAGCTCCCTGCCAATCTCGGTGTATGGGATACGAGCAAGAGCGAGAGCCCCAACGGTGATGATTCCCTGAAGCTCAAGGCTCTCATTGAGTATAAGATGCTCAATCTACTGCCGAAGCAAAGGCTCTTCCGCCGGCAGATTCAACATGAGATGTTCCACTATGATAATCTGGGTATGACAGCTAACCGCTCCAACCACCGCCGCATTAAGAAACAGTCGTTACGCGAAGCCCGAATCACGGAGAAGCTTGAGAAACAGCAACGCGATGTTCGAGAAACGCGAGAAAAGAAGAAGCAGTACGATCAGCTACAGGCTATCCTCAATCATAGTGTGGAGCTCCAGAATGCTGCAAACCAGCAACGCGCCCGAATGCAGAAACTAGGACGGATGATGATGCAGCATCACCAGCACATGGAGCGTGAGGAACAGAAGCGTGTTGAGCGAACCGCGAAGCAGCGTCTTCAGGCCCTCAAGGCGAACGACGAAGAGACGTATCTCAAGCTCCTGGGACAGGCCAAGGATTCTCGTATCTCTCATCTGCTCAAGCAGACCGACAACTTCCTCAAACAGCTCGCTGCGTCGGTCAAAGAGCAGCAGCGTAGCCAGGCAGAGAAATATGGAGAGGAGAACCACTTCGATTCCGACAATGAAGAATCCGACAGTAATGACGAAGAAGGTGGCGGGCGCAAGATTGATTACTATTCCGTCGCTCACCGTATTAAGGAGGAGATCACACAGCAGCCCTCGATCCTGGTGGGTGGTACGTTGAAGGAGTACCAGCTGAAAGGTCTCCAGTGGATGATCTCGCTCTACAACAACAACTTGAACGGTATCTTGGCAGATGAGATGGGTCTGGGCAAAACGATCCAGACCATCAGTTTACTCACTTACCTCATCGAGGTCAAGAAAAACAACGGTCCTTTCCTCGTCATTGTGCCCCTTAGCACGCTGACCAACTGGAACCTCGAGTTTGAAAAGTGGGCTCCATCCGTCACCAGGATCGTCTACAAAGGTCCACCGAACGCCCGAAAGCAACAGGCGCAGCTTATTCGCCAGGGCAACTTCCAGGTCCTTCTGACGACCTATGAGTATATCATCAAAGACCGTCCAGTGTTGTGCAAGGTGAAATGGCAGCATATGATTGTCGACGAGGGTCATCGTATGAAAAACTCGCAGTCGAAGCTGAGCAGCACGTTGACCCAATACTATACCAGCCGATATCGGCTGATCTTGACCGGAACTCCACTGCAAAACAACCTTCCCGAGTTGTGGGCGCTTCTGAACTTCGTCTTGCCGAATATCTTCAAATCGGTCAAATCGTTTGACGAATGGTTCAATACTCCGTTTGCCAACACTGGTGGGCAAGACCGGATGGAACTGACGGAAGAAGAGCAGTTGCTCGTTATCCGTCGTCTCCACAAGGTTCTTCGGCCCTTCTTGCTTAGACGTCTTAAGAAGGATGTCGAGAAGGATCTGCCCGAAAAGCAAGAACGGGTCATCAAATGTCGCTTTTCTGCCTTGCAAGCCAAGCTCTACAAGCAACTCGTCACCCACAACAAGATGGTTGTCAGCGATGGGAAAGGTGGAAAGACTGGTATGCGGGGTCTCAGCAACATGCTTATGCAGCTCAGGAAACTTTGCAACCACCCCTTCGTTTTCGAACCTGTTGAGGATCAGATGAACCCTGGACGAGCCACAAATGATCTGATTTGGCGCACTGCTGGAAAATTCGAGCTCCTCGACCGCATCCTCCCCAAGTTCCGCGCCACGGGCCATCGTGTTTTGATGTTCTTCCAGATGACGCAGATCATGAACATCATGGAGGATTTCTTGCGCTTTCGAGGACTCAAGTACTTACGCCTGGATGGTTCGACCAAGTCGGATGACCGGTCCGATTTGCTGAAAGTTTTCAATGATCCCAAGTCTGAGTACTTCTGTTTCCTGCTCTCCACTCGTGCCGGTGGTCTCGGTCTCAACCTCCAGAGCGCAGATACAGTCATCATTTACGACTCCGACTGGAACCCTCACCAGGATTTGCAGGCTCAGGATCGTGCTCACCGTATCGGCCAGAAGAATGAAGTTCGAATTCTGCGTCTGATCAGCTCTAACTCGGTAGAAGAGAAGATTCTCGAGCGTGCTCAGTTCAAGCTGGATATGGATGGCAAGGTTATTCAGGCTGGAAAGTTCGACAACAAGTCGACGAACGAAGAGCGGGATGCCTTGCTTCGAACTCTTTTGGAAACAGCCGAGGCTGCTGACCAGATTGGCGACCAAGATGAGATGGACGATGATGACCTCAATGAGATCATGGCTCGATCTGAGGAAGAGTTGGCAGTCTTCCAGCAGATCGATCGAGAGCGAAACGCGACTGATCCATACGGCCCTGGTCGCCCTCTTCCCCGGCTCATGGGAGAGGACGAACTTCCCGATATCTATCTTACAGAAGATAATCCCGTCGAAAACGAGATTGAGGAGTACGCCGGTCGTGGTGCTCGCGAGCGTAAGGTCACTAGATATGACGACGGCCTTACGGAGGAGCAGTGGCTCCAAGCGGTGGACGCCGAGGATGACACCATCGAAGATGCGATTGCCAGGAAGGAAGCGAAGATTGAACGGCGTCGTCTCAACAAAGAAAAACGCATGCGGAGGGCACAAGGCCTTGAGTCGTCACCAGAGCCATCTCGTGAAAGTTCAGAGACCCCTCAGCCGAAGAAGCGCCGCAAGGGACCTGCACCCAAGCGCAAGGCGGATGAACTGGCCGATGAAACCCCTCCTACTAAGCGGAAGAAGGGCAAGCCTGCTAAGCCCGTGGATACTCTAAGCAGTGCCGAGCGGGCTACCCTGCAGAAGATTTTGAACAATGTATACCAGAAGCTCATCGACCTGGAGCAGGAGATTCCGCCAGACTCGGACGATAGTGATGATGAACCCGTTACTCGGTCGATCATCGAACCGTTCATGAAGCCACCGCCCAAGTCCCAGTATCCAGACTATTATATGGTTATCCAGAACCCGATTGCGATGGACATGATCAAGAAGAAGATCAATCGGGAAGAGTATCAGAGTCTCAAAGAATTCCGGGATGACATCCATCTCCTCTGTCAAAATGCCAGAACCTACAACGAGGACGGAAGCGTTCTTTTCTCGGATGCAAATCTTATTGAGGTAAGTTATGCATTGGTATGTATATTTGAAGTCAGGCCAGCGATCTAACGAATTGCTAGTCCACGTGTGTTGCCGAACTGAAGAATCAGACTCAGGAGCACCCTGAGTTTGCTGACTTCGACGACGTGGGTTCCTCTACAGCTGATGGCGTATCGACTACTGCAGTTTCCGGCACTACAACTCCTGCAGTGTCTGGACAACCGAAGCTGAAACTCACATTCCACAACAGTAATAAAGACGGCGACAGCGCAGCAAATGGAGACGCTATGAGTGATGAGGAGTGAAAACGCTCTTGACAGTGTCACTCTCACTGGCACGGTCGACTGGGTTGAAAGACTTTTCTGACTAACAGTACATACACAACCCTGCGTTCCATGCTTCCTCTCGATAGTCAAGAAGCTCATACCTTTTTTTCCCCTTTTCTTTCCGGCTTCTGATGTTGTTACTATCCTATTACATTTGATCATATGGAATGGCGTTTAAGCGAGTCCCCATGGCAGGCAACGGAGTGTTGGGTGATGGCTACGACAAGCTGAAATCATCAAAAAAAAATCAGGGACTTTTTTTATTCTTTTCATTGGCGGCGGTTATTCCTAGATCGGGTCAAGATTTACGTATTATTTGTGATTGGAATCGACCTTATAGTCTTTTCTAACCGCAAAGTCTCATGTCTGTTGGATGTATTATGGAAGCGAGTATGGAAATGCTATTCTCATAGTGTCCTTTTTATTTTAGTGGAATCAAATTGTTCTGGGAAAAAAAATAAGTATTTAATTAATTATTTGCCCTTGCTCAGTAGATCCTAATGCTACTAGGTTGCACTCTGTATAAATGACCCTGCCCTTCTTTTTAGCCCTTCTGTGACTTTCACATTACGCACTGAGGTATAGATATTGCAGGTGACTTGAAGCTGATAATTGTTTTGGGGAACCAGATGACAGGCATCTTGTAATAATCTCCTTCGAAAAGGCCCACTCCAATGACTTGATTTTCAGAAGTATTGGAACTCGATCTGTTTGCCGAAATGAACAATGTATGTCTGATTTATATTTAATCCATCTCAATGACTGGGCTGTTCCATAAAATACTACTCCGTATTGCTGCGCCATAAATCCATGGACTCGGTAACACTAAATCTTTCCTGACAAACCTAATGACAGAGACTTGTCATAAATAATGCACATTAGGTCCTGCATGACTCGGTCACAACCGTCACCGACTCACCACTCGACATTGCTGGAGATTTTTAGCCCAAGACTAAAAAGGGCCCTGCGGACAAGTTAGACCAGGTTGGGTAGTTTACGTCATGTACCCGCACGTGACCAGAAGACACCGTTCCGTCATTCCTCTTTAAGTTCCGTCCTTTCTTGGGAAACTACTTCACCGCTAACGCTACGTTAAGTCCCATTAAATCCCATTTCGCTCCTACGATCTAAACTAACCACAACTTTTTTTTCTGCAATCACCAAGGCTCCTGAATTTTCTTTTACCTACTTTCCTGCTCTTATTACTGATATAACAAGACTCGATTCCCAAGTTTTACCTAGGGAAACTCGCATTCCGAAATGGCCACCTTTCAGGATCGTGCACAGCACTACATAGCTCAGATCGACAAGGAGGTATGTCCTTTCTTGCTTTGTTCATTTTTTTCTAAACAATTACCATTTGCCATCATGTCATTATTGTCATTGCTATTATTTTATCGAAACTCCATGTTTGAAATTTCCAATGCTGATCTGATGTCGGATCTGTCGCACAGCTCTCCAAGTACCCTATCCTCAACAACCTGGAGAGGCAGACCTCCGTCCCCAAGGTCTACGCCTTCCTGGGTGTTGTCGGCATCTACTTCTTCCTCGTCTTCTTCAACATCCTCGGCCAGTTCCTCGTCAACCTCGCCGGTTTCGCTATCCCGGGCTACTACTCTCTCCATGCCCTCTTCACCGCTGGCACCGCCGATGATACTCAGGTAAGGGATAACTCCTTTTTAATTAATCCATTTCTTTTTGACTCTGGTCTCGTGGACAATCCGGCTGACTGTGGCTTGCAAATGACAGTGGTTGACCGTAAGTAACTTGTCTGCCTGACGACATCCCTGTCCGAGTGTTATCATCGGGGCGGTGCATCCACTAGGCCGCGAATGATGGTGGTACACGTGACGAGAAACGGGCAGCTGATCACATGTGTCAATGATGCAGTACTGGGTGGTGTACGCCTTCCTGGCCGTCGTTGAGAGCGCTATCAACGCTCCTTACTGGTTCCGTAAGTGGTCCCTTAACAAGTGATAGGTACCAGCCGGACACCTGCATCAGCGGACTAACCTAATTTGGGAAAAATGAAGCATTCTACTACATTTTCAAGTTCATCCTGGTTCTCTGGATGGCTCTTCCTCAATTCAAGTAAGTACCATACATGGCATTGACACTCCTTTCGGGAATGATGTCTGACGAAATTTTTTCCTCCCTATAGCGGCGCTCAGCTCGTCTTCCACTCCTTCCTCCAGCCCCTGTTCTCCCGCTTCTTCACGGGCGGATCGACCTCGGCCAACCTCAGGGCCCAGGCCGACGCTGCCACGAAGCCCCACTCGACTTAAGAGCGCTCCCTGGAGGCATGAAGACCAACATTGAGAATCTGAGAATTTCCACATGTACTCGGCCTGGGTTCTTTTGTCGCGGTACATCTCTGGATTCTCCTTGTTAATAGGCGACTTTCCCTAGGGAAGCGTCCTCTTGTCCTCTCTTCGATAGAAGAGTAGCTGTAGAGGAAATTGTGATGGGTACGAAAATGGGGTCTGGAGGAGTGATACTCCATTGGGACGGTGTCTGTTCCTTTGGGTTGGTGCGAAAAGGAGGATGATGGATAGGTGCAGTTTCCTAAGTCCTTTTTTTCTTCTGGATATCGTGTGTGTGAAAACTGGTCATATGTGATATTGTAATTTTGGCTTCTGGAATTCAGCACCGGCAAGGATATTCGTTGATGACCTGTGACAATTATTGCCTTGACCGTCGGAGCTTCAGAGACTTCGAGAGCACCAAGCCCTACATCTTTCGTAGAAGCGGCGTTTGTGTTCTCGGTTACCTGTGTTATCTGGCCATCTGAAGTTCAGGTCCCCATGGCTTTCTTAGATCTCGTCGTTGGGCTGCATTCCGCGTGCAACGTCCCGTCCCGTCCCGTTTGGAGCACTGGAGTGAAATAGTGTATTCTGGTGATGATAACGTTCGCTGGTCAGATTATCTATCTCCTGCCACGGTATGTGTAGGGAAACAAAAGGCCTCTCAATCAATATAGACCGATCCGATTTCCCCAGCTGTCTGTGCGAGGATTGAGAACAATCCGATACGGGAATGGATTAGCATCACTGGTCGTGATGGGTGGTATGTGCTCTTTATCCCTGTTGACGACTGCGAGGATCTTCAAAGCGGCTTTCTGAAGCATGTTCTCCATCGCCTTGCGCACCTTGGCCCTTTCTGCGAGAACAAGTCAGTAAATATGGCCTTGCAAGTTGCAACACGTGTCAAAGAAGCTTTTCTCCGGCCTGCGATGCCAAGGTGTTGGTTCCGAAGAGACACATACCGGACTCCGTTCTCGGGGTCGCAATGGTCACATCCAGCGTCCAGATTTCCCAACAGACCTCCTCTTCTCCCTTGCCGGCTAACCCACCGAACCAGAGTCCCGAGCGCCTGCGCTTTTTCTCGAAGAATTCGACGGCGATGCGGCCTCGTACCCCGTTCCCTCCGTACGCGTTCGACGCGGAAGACAGGTGCTGGCGGACCAGAGAGGTGACGCGGGAGTCAATAAGGGTCTCCAGTTCCGCATCATTGATGGCCGGAAGTGTGAGATCGAGGATATCGACGGTGCTGGGGCGAATCGACGGGAAATAGCGGTGGAAAAAGATGAGGTTCAGGACACCTGTGACAGTCAGGCGCAAGCTCCTATACAGTGCTCCCTCTTGCGACAACTCTCGTTGCACGTGAAGAAGGGAAGAAAAGCAACAAAACAAGCCAATAGAAAGCAAAAACCTACCTTTTAGCACGTCTTTGACAGAGTTGGTGTCTGCAAAGATCTCAAGAAAATACTCTGGAGGGGAGCGGCGGGGCTCCATCTCCACTGAGCTTTTGCAATTTTTTTTCCGCGCAGCCTCTGCTCGACTGGGATGGCTTCCTTGCTCGAGCGAGATGCGGGCGACCCAGCTGAGATTCAACGGCCAGCTGGGCCGTGAATAGAGACTTGCAGTGAGCTGGCAACGAGGGAGCAGAGCCGTGGCGCAGTGGTACTGTTTTTGGTGGGGGTTGTTGCAACAAGAGGTACTGGTGGGTGCTTGGGGGTTGGCGGGTGCTTGCTGTTATGACCCCTCCGCCGGACTACCCGTCCGCGTTGCAGCTGCCCGCCTGCACGCAAAGGAATGCTGGCCCGGTGCTGGGGATTCGGGGCCGGTATCACAGCGTCATTGGGCCTGCTGAGAAGGATTCTGCTAGTGGGGGCCCTGCACTGAGAACTAAGGATGTCATGCAGGACAATGAAGTCTTAATAATCTGGTGAGGAATCTTGACTAATAAGTACTACGTGAGGCGCGAGTGGCAATCCAATCCTCTCTCTCCTGCTATATTTAGCAAAGGTAAATGTCTGCAGAAAATTGCAGATATACTTAGTTTTCAGGGAGGAAGCAGCTGAACTTGTCTACTATTTAAGCATCCTTAGGATTAGGATTAGAATGGAAGATATCACTATTTCTAAAAGCAACGTATAAATGACAGCCTTAGCTTTGATCGTCCAAGTATTTTAGTGAAATGAGAAGGGAAGAGACATAACAAAGCAATCCTAGTTATTGACGAAATACTCAATGCAAAACCCATCTCCTCTTCCAGTCGACGTGTCGCAATTAACCACAGCATGGGAAGATACCTATGTGCCACAGTATGCTTAACAACTGCTAACTTTTTAGGCACCAAGGCAGCGATCGGCCTCTTGCACCGGCTGCGTCATGGCTGGCTGCTTTCACGGGACGCCTGTTTTAGCCGAGGTCGGAAGCTAAGCTTCCCCAGCCAGGCTCGCGACAGTTGGCCGCCCGGACGTGCGCTCCAAGGTGTGCACCAATTCTCGCGTCACTCTCTCCCTTATCGCCGATGATTGTTTGAGTCCTAGCAAGGCTCTCTGCAATCCGCCCTGCGTCTACCATGACATAAGAGCCGCCTACCTACCCGCCCGTCGTCCAACCGCTGCCGCGTCGATCATGATAGGAGCTACCAGGCGCTGGATCCGGCGCCATCGCAAAGGCTTGGCCATCGGGGCTGGGGTTATCGGGGTGGGTTATCTCGCGGGGCAGTATGTCCTGTCCAAGATCTCCGAGGCGCGCGAGCGCATGAGCAGCGAGAGGATCGCACGGGAAAAGTACGTATCAGCACGTTCGTCCTCTGGCGGATTTCGGCGCTGACACTGCGATTCGATGCAGCCTACGACGACGTTTCGAGCAGAATCAGGCAGACTGTACCTTCACCGTGCTGGCATTACTCCCGACCGCGACGGAGAATATTCTTGAGTCTCTTCCAGTCGAGGAGCTCACGCAAGAGCTACAGCGAAAGCGTGCGGAGCGGTTAGCCCGGCTGAGCGGCTCGGATGCGCCAGGCTCAGAGCCCAGTTCGACAGCGCCCAGTGTCACCGATGATGACGGACGGAGCTTGTCCAGCTTCCAGACGGAGAGCTACGTCCATGCTAGTCAACTGGGTGATTCGACCACTAATGGAGGCAGTCAGCGGCCGAAACGAAGCAAAGCGCAGCTCTGGAATGAGGTCAAGATCTCTTGTACGTACAAGATGGGGATGTTGGGGGCGAAAACACTGGCTAATTGGAATGATGCAGCGATAACGAGAGCCTTCGTCCTGCTCTACACCCTGTCCCTCTTGACCCTGCTCACCCGGATCCAGCTCAATCTTCTTGGCCGCCGTAACTATGTCTCGAGCGTCATGTCACTGGCATCTCCGCCTGCCAATACATCCACTATCAGCTTGGAAGATCATGATGATGAGATTGGACAAGCCTTTGGAAACGATTTTGAGACCAATCGGCGCTATCTGACTTTTAGTTGGTGGCTCTTACACCGAGGTTGGAAGGACTTGAGGGAAAAGGTCCAGGCTGCTGTGGAAGAGGTGTTTGGACCGCTGAACCCAAGAGAGGATATCACGCTCGAGCGGTTGTCTCAGCTGACGCTGGAAGTCCGCAAAAAGGTGGAGGGTGCTACGGAGGAGGAAAGAAGGTAAGATTCATGCTATCTCTCCTTCTTCTCGGAAGATAATATCAATATCAGCTGCTGACGGTACCCTAGGGCCATGAAATGGCTCCCTTATTTGCTCCCTCCCAGGGAAGAGGAGGATATGGTTCTGCAGGAGTCCGGCGTCTTAAGCGCGTCAACGCCTTCCTCACCCCACACAGAAGCGACTTTGCGACGTCTTCTGGATGAGACTTCCGACCTGATCGAATCACCGTCTTTCACTCGCATTTTAACCTTGCTGAACAATGAAGGCTTCTCGACTCTCGTGGACCAGAAATGTACCACACAGGCTTTCAAGTCATCCCCGACTTCCGAGCCGACAAAAGCGGCCGCTCAGCAGTCCTCATCTAGCGCGACCATTGTTCCCACCTCGGGGTCATCCGGTCCCAAGGCCAAGCTGGCCACTGTGCTGGCCGTGATGACTCGCGAGGCACATAACATCGGAAATGGCAGCAACCCACCCAACGAGTACCTTGTCGCCATGGAACAAGGTGTGCGTGAGCTGGAAGCGTTCGCTGCCGTGGTGTACAGCTCCAACTTCGACCTGGGGGTGCCTCCCTCCGGGCCGGATTCGACCAAGCCGTCTACAACTGCAGCTACCTCCTCATCCTCATCCTCCTCCCCGCCTGCAAATGTGGACCAAAGAACCGGCGCCAAGGAAAACGAAGGCAACTCTGCCAGTTTAGTCGATCATGGCCAGTCGACTGCGCCACCTGCCGGGTCGAAAGACGACTCTGGTGCTGCTCCCTCTGCGGCTGCGGTGGATGCGGAATTCGAGAAGGCCTGGGGGAAAGCAGTGGAGAATTCCAGCCAGAGCGGTGGTACATGAGCCTGGTTTTCTGTATCTCTTGTCTGGATCTACTGGATGGAATATCTGTATCAGATGAATTGGGCCTCGACTTGTCGCATCCAGGCCCCTTCCTATCTCTTACTCCAAGGGATGGATATTATATAATCTGTATCTGGATTCTTTTTTTTTTTCGTACCGGACATTGTATTGTTTAGGTACACAGGAAGCGAAGTGACTAATGAACGACATTTATACCTGACGGTGGTTGTTTCTCGGGTCGTTCTGTCTTATACACTAAACTCAACTTCCGTGGTACGAATCCTCGGGAGCTTGCTACATCGGTCTGAAGTTTGTGCGGCCCGTGGTAGATGGTAGATGTGTCTTTGACAGGTACCTTCTGCTCAGTCTTATCTGAAGAGTTGAGAAAGCTGCGCGCTCTTCACTACTATTTCGGTCAATGCTGACTACATACGCATGGGATTCGACACTCTTTTCGGAGTCCTGATGCGCGGAATAAATTCTGTTTAATTACCAATGATTAATTATTTCAGCTCTGCGACTCTTGGACTGTGCAGGATCTGTGTTTTGCGCTGGCTGCCTAGCTGCAGAATATTAATGAGGCTAGTTAGTAGTTGGCACTACAGAGTATTATTGTAGGTCCATGAGCTTATCGTGGGAGATGCAGCTCCCCACTGCAGATCAGACGTATACACCTGTCCACTGTCCACAGTGCATAACTTGTTATACTCCGTACGTCCGGAGTACATTTAACAGTATTAATATTACCTAGTTGGTATCTTTTACTGGCCTGATTTGTGCACGTGGGAGGGGAGCACTATCCCCTCCTCTCACCCGAGGTTTAGAGTCACAGGCTGACTCATCGAGGATTCTATTTGATATTTGTCCAACTCTTCAACCTTGAGTCATGGGCTAACTGAACTTGGTGGCTTCGTCTCAGGCTAACTACAGCAAACTACTTGGGCAGGCTCCACCGCGGCCAAAGTTCACGAGCAATCCCGTGATCGTGGTCGCTGCGGGGGCCGAGTCCGACTTGCGGGGAAAGTCCTCAGATCTCTTTCTTCTGTGGGGGAGCTCAGAGTCTAGCAGCCTAGCACCGGTGCTGCTGCTGCATTCTGGAATCGCCCAGGCAGCCACACCAGTATGGTTGGGATCTGCATAGCCATGGAATCAATTAATTAATGCACACAAAGCATGGATAAGTCCACAGTGGACTTGGTATAAACCATAAGCAGAGGTAGACAAGCTCTCCCTGCGGCCTCCGAGGCAAGGCCCCAGAACCTAGTCAAGAAGGTCTGCCGAAATCGGGGAGGAATTCGACCGCAAGTCCCACCCTAATGTCCCCCCCATTGAGAAACCAACGGGCAGATAATATTAATACACCGGCCGGCGCTGAGCGAGCTACGGAGTTAAGCTCGCAGCGAAAAAGCCGCTGGAGAAAAGTCCGGCAGTCTACTTGCCCCGTCTTTGCGCTCTGTCCCCCCTCCTGTTGATGCTTCTTGTGTTGTCGATATTCGCCTGCTTCCACCTCCCTGGAGGAATTCATACCGTGCAGACGCGCTCCTTGTGAATCAGGACGGGGCAGCGATCTCGTGACATAACAAAACACCGCCTCTGGTGCTGCTCCTCCAGGCTCTTCGCCATGGGTGCTTCCGGTTCGTGCATCCTCGCCCCGGGATCAATTCCACGACACCTTCGAAATCCAATCAATTGATCAACTGTGTGTCGCGCTGACAGCTGGACTCTATAGAACGCGCCGATATCAAAGATGAGCGCCACGTGGAATCTTACGGCGTGCCGCAGCTCACCACCACCACAGAGCGCAAGCTGATGGCAAAGATCGACTGGCACATTTTGCCCGTGCTCTGTGTTCTCTACCTGCTGGCCTTCCTCGACCGGTAATGTCTTCTCTATACGTACCTGGAAGAATCTCCAGCTTTCGCTGACCGTCCGTCTCGCCGTGCAGGGTCAACATCAGCAATGCCGCCCTCTTCCACCTCAAGCAAGATCTCAACATCGTTGATGGAACGAAATATAACACGGCGCTGACAATTTTCTTCGTCCCGTACATCATCTTCGAGGTATGGAAATAATCCCCGGGCGACAGGAACCCCGCATTTACCGCTTTCGCAGATCCCGTCCAATATCCTTCTGAAGAAACTGAAGCCTCATGTGTGGTGTATGTGTTCCAATACTGGGTCCCTGATTGTTTTGGATTTATGTTTCTGACGGATTTCTCCAGTGTCCTTCTGTATGTTCATGTTTGGGCTTGTCATGATCTGCCAGGGTCTGGTCCAGAGCTGGGGTGGACTGATGACAACCCGCTTCTTCTTGGGTCTCTTCGAGACGGGCATGTTTCCGGGATGTATGTAGAGCATGGCTGTCTTGCCCTTCAGAAAGATGATCACTGACACCTGCAGGTTTCTATCTTATGGGCATGTGGTACAAGAGGAGCGAAGCACAGAAGCGCTTTAGTTTCTTCTTCAGCTCCACCACACTTGCCGGTGCATTTGGAGGCCTGCTCGCCAGCGGCATTGGAAAGATGAACGGGGTTCGAGGCTACAATGGCTGGCGATGGGTCTTCATCATCGAGGGCCTATTGACTTGCGTCATTTCCTTTATTTGGTTCTTTGCGATCCCCGACTTCCCCGAGGAAGTTAAGTGGCTCAACGAGGAGGAGCGTGAGTTCATCAAGGAGAAGCTGGCCAGGGATGTCGGAAAGTCGGCGCACCACCGATCTCTTACCTGGCGCGATGTCATTGATGTCTTCAAAGACTGTGAGTGAGGAGAACATAACGCTTGTTGTTTGATGCGACGCTGATAATCTGCAGACAAGATTTTTGTAGGCGGTTTAATGTATTTTGGTCTCATCGTCCCTGCATACGGTACGTTATCCAACCGTTCGCACTGTGCTAGGAAAGACCGTTTTCTAATCCATTACTGCTCAGGATACGCCTACTTCGCTCCCACCATCATCAATTCTTATGGTTATGGCGGTATGTTTTGCTATCGAAGATGTGAGTTCAGCAGGCTAAACTGGCCTCTTCAGCGATCACCACGCAATTGTATTCGATCCCACCGTGGGCGGCCGCATTTGGGTTTTCCATGTGCATCGCTTTCTTCTCCGACAAGTTACGGCACCGCTTTGCCTTCACCCTAGTCCCTATCTGTGTTGCACTCGCCGGCTTTGGGATGCTGCTCAACATCCACGGAGTGCAGCACCGTCATGTTGAGTACGGCGCTCTGTTCCTCGTAACCAGCGGCTGTTATAGTGCCATGCCGGTGATTGTGTGTTGGTTTGCCATGAACTTGGGTGGGCACAAACGACGAAGCGTTGGGACTGCATGGCAAGTTGGATTCGGAAACAGTACGTCGCTCTAGAGGGCCTGGTCACTTTGGATCTGCTAACCTTAGCATATGCTAGTTGGTGGTATTATCGCAACCTACTCCTTCCTCCAGAAAGACGCCCCGAACTACCGTAACGGATACATCATCTGCATCTCCTTCTGCGCTTTGTCAGGCGCTTCGTGCGTCGCTTATATGTTGGCTGTCTGGCTGGAGAACCGAAAACGGGATCGTGAAGTCACGGTTACCCACCCAGACGCTGCCCCAAGCCCCGAAGAGCGGGAGGCGGAGGAAGAGTTTCTGGGAGACTTGGCTCCTAGTTATCGGTATACGTATTGATGCTTCTCTCGAGGAGCCCGTTTTGTTTACACCTAAAAGTTGGAATGGTTGTAATGGCTACAAGTTGGTGGTGGTCTAAAAGAAAAGAGGGGTAATGCACGGAAGTTAAAAGACTACACATACTCCAGTGTTATTGATGATATGTTTCGGTAGTGAAACGATATATACGAATGAGCGAAAATTCGAGAAGCACCTTCAGAGTCCCTGAATATTGTGGCCTTGGATTGTAATTCAGGGTAAACCCTTCTGTTCGATTTGTTTGCCGGTAGGCAGGATGAGTACCACGTGACGTCACGACCTGTGACCCCTTACCATATCGGGTTAGCGTACATTTGAAGCAAGCGAACCCTTAGTGGAGGCTTAGTCAGCAGCCACACACACAAAGTCTCCCGCAAGTTCAGCTCCAGCGTCATTCTTTCAACCATCTTCTCATCTCTCGAAGAAGTGTGAGTACCCCCCTGGCCCCTGGTGGACGGACATCAAATCCGTTCAGGTGCATTGCATTCAGTCCAGCATTGACTGCTGGATTGCCTTTTCTTGAATAGTTGTGAAAAATATGTGCTAACAATCCGCTGCAGTCACGAACCATCTACGAAGATGAGAGCCAAGTGGAGGAAGAAGCGCGTTCGCCGTCTCAAGCGTAAGAGGCGTAAGATGAGGGCCCGGTCGTACGTAGTCCCTTAATTTACTACTGTCGTCTTGTTTGTGTCGCAGTGGGCTAACGATTCCTACAGCAAGTAAACTTCTTGACCGCTCCATCTCAGCTTTCTCCGTGTCGAATCTCAGCTGAGCGACAAACACGGCAATTACTACGAATTGAGCGCGAGTTTCCATGATGGTTGCTCGTCTACTCTGTTTTTTCATTACCTCCATTTGGGACTGTCCAGCTTGCTTTCTTTCGGGGTCTTTTTCCACGTGGATAGCGCGTCGGAAACCTGGGGCTCTCTGTTCAGCGTTTTTTATTCCAACCTCCGGGCTCTACTCCAAAAGTTTCCGACGATGGCTGGGCTGTTTTGTGTATGCTTCCGGGCATTCGCTTAAGGAGGGGAGAAAAGCGATTTTTTGCCCTCCTCCCAAAGTGGGGGTCCAGGTGTTTGGCGGGGTTGGAAGAGGGGTTCAAGAGGAGATTCGGGTTCTTGACATCTATCGATTTTATCCCTCCGAGGTTCGCACGGGGAAACTGGTCAATTTGTTTCCTCCTTCCTTTCTGTGGGCTTGTTGTTGAGGTTCATGTAAGGGATGGGGGAAAGCCATGGAGTTGCGTCCTGGGAAGTTACTTGAAAAAAAGAGGCTCTGATGATTGTGATGATAGATAGCTATTATTAGTGATGCTTGCCGATGAATGAATTCCTCAGAGCCATGACTCAAAATTTCTTCGCCTTCACCCATCTAAAATTTAGTAATCATTTTTCTTTTTTGTAAGTCTGCCCAAAAGTACACCATCGTGCGTTGTAAACGAAGGGATCGCCAAAAAGCAGGCGTAGTGTGACTGTGGGCGCGTCGGCCAAGTGCGGAGCGGAGCGGTGTGGGACGCTCCATCAATCAGCTCCGGGAATTTTTTTCTCTTCCAAGCCTGCGCGCAAACCAGAGCTCCAAGCACTGCCAAGAGCAGGAATAATAATTCAACACAATCTATTTACTTTTTTTATTTCCTTTAAATGTTCTAGAGAAGAAAATTTCTAGTTATGGCACAGGACAAGGCTGAAAAGAAGCGCAAGAGAGACTCCGACAGGCACGAGTGGCCGAGCAAGAAGCCCGCTCTCGAGCCGCAGAACCTGCCGCCGCTGGCAGCAAGTGTGGTTGAAGATGACAGCGAGTTGGCTCCGGTGTTAGGTATGTTTCTTTCATGCTTTCTTTTTCGCTTATTTATTTCTTTTGGTTGTCTCAGTTTTATATCCTGCTAACTCAACCCAGTCAATACACCCGGCTTGCAATGCCCAAAGAAACTGAATCTCCATCCCTATCTCAAGCCGCGCAACTCTGGATCGCTATCCTCGTCTGGGAGGAACAAAGGGATCGTCTCTACGGAGCTGCTGCTGCAGTCGTCAGAACACCCTAAGCTCGACTTCCTGGGTCGCGAAGCCGACGATGATGCCGACTCCCAGCTGAAGCACTACATCGCCGTCGTCGACCCCGAACGCAAGACATGGCAATTCGTCGAGGTGCGGAAGATGACCCTGCGAGGGAGCGTGAGGAGGTTGAAGCGGGATAAAGATGCCGATGAGGATGCGGTCAGTGAGCAGGAGGAGAAAGAGGAGGATGGTGCTACGGTATGTTCCAGAAAGGCTGTTGGGGAAAAAGGCTCGATCTAACTACTACGATTGTAGACTTCGATACGGGAACAGCGCAACGATTTGACGTACACCTTCGGTACGAAGGCATCTCGCAAGGCAGCGCAGTCCATCGCAGAGAATGCCCTCCTGTCCAATGCACCCGCTGGCGCCGCCAATGCGGCCGAATCGGCCATCTTGTCGTCGATACCGGCTGAGGCGATTGAGGAGGCATCCACCAAGAAGGAGACTCTCCAGGCCGAAATCCAGGCGGCGAAGCCAGTTCCTACCGCGAATACGTCGGCGTCGCACCCGTCGGACGTCTATCCGATCGATGTCCTCGTGCCTAACGGGCTGTCGACTCTGCGCCAGCTACCGGTCAAGGATTGGCAGGATGCGGTGGAGGCCGGAAACGCCATCACCACGACATCCCGATACGTGGCCCACCGGGTCGAAGCGGTGGTCAAGTCGGGCAACACGACGCAGTTGCAGATTCTGCGGTTCATCTTGATTCTGCTCGAGTTTGCGCGCGGTCTGCGCCGTGGCAAGCCGACCGATCCCCCGGGCAGCAAGCGACTTCCGCCGCGAGAAGACCTGCGACGGATTCTATCTTCGTCGCCGTCGTCTTCGTCTCAGCTGTCGGACCCGGTCATCGACACCATCCGTCGCAAGTTCGCTCCTCAGGGGACGGTGGTCAGTAGAACGGACGTCACGTTCCTTCACACGACCATCTGCGCGCTGTCCCTGCACATACCGCCCACACCGGCCCGCGACGGCGGCTCGAGCTCGCTGGGGGGCAATGCGCCGAACGAGCTGGCCACGGACCCGGCGGACCTGCGCGACGACCTCCGACTCGACAATCCCACGATCATGCAGTACTTCCGCGAGCTGGGGTGCCGCATCGACAAGCCACGCGAGACAGAATTCGCCAAATGGGGTATCAAGGGCGGCAAGGTCGAGGCGGCGTCTCGACGGATTGCTCGATTGCGGTTGCCATTACAATTTCCCAAGGTCAGTCGTGGTGGTGGAGGTGGTGGTGGAAGACGATAGACAAAAAGACAACAAGGAGCAAGCATGGCAAATTAGTAAACATAGCAAGTGTATTGAAATGACCATACATACGCTGTTGTATATGTATGTATGTATATGTATGGGTTGTCGTTTTCTTTTCATTTTTCTTTTCGAATCTGCAAGTCGGTTGATCGATCTGCTTATAGATTGATTGATATCGAGTCGATAGAGAGATTTATTCTATACCATTTATTCATTTATTCCTTCACCAAAAAAAAATGAATTGATCAATTGTTTTATTTATTCATTCATCGATAAGGTAAGGAATTAATTAAGCATTGTTTTGTGCATATATACTTTTTCTTGACTTGTTATCCTGGTATAATTAATACAACGGTAGGGTGCAGTAGATTTTTTTTACTCTTTCATTAAAAGAAGACATTGATATGGACTAATATCTACTCTGCACTGTACTTATATATCAAGAAGAGTAAATCCAGTTGCCCATATAAGCAGATAACCTCCAATCAATCCATTTGAGTTTCAATCTCGCTTCTATTTTTTTTTCAGCCCTGCTTAGGGCCTAAGCAGCGCTGCTCTATACTCAAAGCAGTCAATCGCTGGAAACTGAACTGCTCACTGATTACCCCAGTATGTTCATCAGTATGTATGGAGGTATGTATGTATAGGACATCCACACCTGAGGTGGTAGGGGAGGTTAGTCACGCTCTGCTCAAGATCGAAGAGACCGTGGGCAAATGACAGATGTATCGACTGTGATGTCTACCAGCTAGAGGGAGGACTTCTGGGGATGATAGTATGGAAAAGAAAAGGCTCCTCCGGAACAGTGTGACTGCCAGTCCTGTGAGGCTGATTCAGTCGCCCTTAGGTCCATCGATAGTATTGACATCAATGCCCCTCTCGTAGAACATCAACTTGAAACCGTATTTTATGAACCATCTGTCTGGGATCGGCCCCCCGAGAAGAGATGGTATATCTGCTGTGGTCAAGACGACGTCTTTGTTCTCAGGTAACTATCGTAGCTCGTCAGTCGACCCGTCGTTGTATAATATATATATATATATATATATACCGTATGTATGGTATGGTATGGTATGGATGGTATGGCCAGACAAACCTTTTCCAACTGGCTGAAGAAATATTCTAGGACGATAGTCTTCGTCCTCTGCGCATCACCGTGGGTTTCCTCCGAGATGACTATGAGAGGAGGTATGATGGAAACACTGAGGTCGATCCAAACGCCCTTCTTCTTGCCCTGGCCGTGGCTGGTAACCATCATGTTCGCGGGCTTCAGATCACCATGCAACACAGACGCAGTATGAATCATCCTCAACCCCTGACGAAAACTCTCAGCAATGTCCGGCGTCAGTAGTTGCGTTTGTATATTATCGACCGCCACGCCATCGACGTACTCCAACGAAAGACCATGCAGAGGCTCGGTGACGGATTCCGGTGGTCGATCCCACGCGAACGGAACCCAGAAGGGCTTCTTTTGAAGGGTTTCCTCTATCGTATCGTCTACAGATAACCAGCCGTAGCAGTACGGCGTTGCTTTGCCGTTCAGGCCTTTCGCAATGAGGGCGTCGTATGCGCGGCATTCGACGACGAAGGGGTCTGCTGTCTTGATCATGTACCGGAAGCCCATTCTGCTGTAGCGCCAGATTTCGGTATTGCTCCATGAATACTGTAATATATATATGTCGCTTTCAGTCTGAGATTGTATATCAAGCAGTCCTCAAATGAGGACTTTTTTTCCTTCTTACCAGTTTCAGAGCATATATCCTCCGTCAATCTCCACCTGGACCACGCGGCTATGTCCCCCTTGCCCGATGTGATTCAGCACACGGATCTTCGACGACTGATGCGTTGGGGTTAGGTCTTCCAGGTGCGGACACAGCTCTTTGCACTTCCGCAGCCAGTACTTCCAGGGAGTCAGGGCTGCATTGCGTTCTACAGCGGCAGATGGAGAGGCGGGCTGATCGCTGGACAAAGCCATTGTTATTGTTGTATTGTCGCAGACTTGTTACCCAAGAAAGAAGGAATTCGTCGGTTATAATGTGGCCTTGAAAGATGTTGGGATCACAGACGAACAAAAAAAATTAACTTGGACGAAGAAAGAAGGGACTCGCTCGCTGAGTAGAGTATGGTGGGTAGTAATACTCTAAGGGTGGCTGTGACTGGTAGATCAGGGAGCGACATGAAGGACGCCAGGTCACAGATTATTCTGCATGAGCTAGTGCTAAATTGCAAGATAAATAGCAATAATGCGTTAAGACGAACAATCGATGCGACCTTGGCTTTACTTCTTTCTACTCTCGCTATTATCGCATCTTTCCTTAGCCTACGGAGTACAGCCTACAAAAAATGAAAGACGTTGCAGGAGTCTGAATTACGAATTTGTGGGAAAGAATCGAATAGAGACGACAACGACGGATACACCGTCATCAATTGATTGGACAGCCCTACTTGGGCGCTGTAGGAAAATAAAACATGAATCTGGTAATTTCCTGAAATGTCAATTAAAAAAGAGGAAAAGAAAGAGTTCGGAGGCCCAATTCTGCAGTCGTTTCTGCAGAACTACAAAAAGACGGGCTGGTCCGTTTTTGACATTTCAGGAATCATGAGAAGAAGAGGAGAAAATCATATATTTCAAAGATGGCCATACACAATCGATTAGTTGATTGTCACACGGTAAGGACAGAAATAAGTTGGATAGAAAGAGAAAGGAACGACGGACGAGGTCGATATGTTTATCAACTCTCCATGAGCATATACATGCTCGCTCCTAGATTCAAATCAATATCGGGATAGGTAACAGTATGCAACTAGGCAGCCACTCCGACAGCAGTGTTGGCAATCGGTGCAGCAGCGGAGTCGACGACACCACCCGTCTGCATGCGCTGCAATCCCGCCAGCCGCTGCTTCTCGATGGCCTGCATCTGTAGTTCACGCTCTACAGCGGCCTCGAGGGATTCACCTTCACGCAGTCCCAGCTGGGCGTCGTCCCAAATAGGCGCGTTCTCCGCTTCTGCCCCCTCGACGCCGACACCCACGAAGCCACCCTGCGCCTTCCAGTCGCTGGTGCGTTTGAGTCCGAGCTTCCGCCAGACAGCGTCTACCGCCTGCACCAGGTGGTCGCGGTACTCCTTGACGTGACCTGGAGTCGGGGTGATGCGCAGTCGTTCCTCTCCACGGGGAACAGTCGGGTAGTTGATGGCCTGGACGTAGATGCCGTGCTCCTCCAACAGCAGATCAGAGGCCTCCTTCGCAAGCTCGGCATCACCCACCAGCAGCGGCACAATGTGAGACGGGTTGGGAATCACCGGGATGTCTATCTCCTTGAACGCCGCCTTGACCGCGCGGGTGTGCAGTTGCTGCAACACCCGGTCGCGAGTGTACCTAGCCTGGTATTTGATGGCTGCGTTGGCGCCCGCCATAGTTGCAGGCGGCAGCGAAGTCGTAAAAATGAAGCCCGGCGCCAGCGAGCGGATCGTGTCGACCATGGCCGCCGAGCCGGCAATGTAACCGCCCACGCAGCCATAGGCCTTGCCCAGCGTTCCAGTAATAATATCTACCCGATCCATGATCGTTCCCTTGGTGCTACGCGGGTGAGGCGTGTCCTGGGAGGCATAAATGTCGTAGTCGAGATGTTCGGCGACACCGGCACCGTGAGGACCATACATGCCTACTGCATGGACCTCGTCAAGGAAGGTGATGGCCCCATACTTCTCTGCGAGATCGCAGATCTTCTCGATGGGCGCAATCGAGCCGCACATGCTGTAAACGGACTCGAAGGCGATGATCTTGGGAATGTGCGGTGGCAGAGACGCCAGTTTAGCCTCAAGGTCGGCGACGTCGTTATGCTTGAAAATTATCTTTCTGGCCCCTGAGTGCCGGATCCCCTGGATCATGGAGGCGTGGTTGAGACTGTCCGACAAAATCACACAATCGGGCATTTTACTGCCCAAGGTCGCGAGCGTGGCATCGTTGGCAACGTAGCAGGAGCTGAACACCAGCGCTGCCTCCTTCCCATGAAGCTTGGCCAGCGTTTTCTCCAACTCGACCGCATGTTTGTTATGACCGGAGATATTGCGCGTGCCACCCGCGCCGGCTCCGTAGATGTCGAGGGTCTTGTGCATGGTCTCCAAGACCTCACGGTTGCCGCCCATGCCGAGATAGTCGTTTGAGCACCACACCGTGACCCGTTCTTCGGGATTCGCCATGTGCGCGCGGGGAAATTCCTTTGCGAGACGGTTGATGTTGTTGAAGTAGCGGTACGACTTGTCCTTGTGCTTCTTCTCCAGCTCGCTCCGGTAAAAGGCCTCGTAGTCGAATCGGGCGGGGCAGGGGGCCTGCGGACGAGGTCCGGTGAAGGGAGTTTCAGAGGGCTTGGCCGCGGGTTTCACGGGATTGTTGGGCAAGTTCGGAGGATGCACTGCAAGCCTTGTCAGAGCGACTGTCAAGGAAAATTTCAAGTACGAGGAATTTTCAGTTCCGTTGTAAACTGCTTACCTGGATCGTTCTTCTTGAAGGTCGCCGATTCGACGCTAGCGCTGTTGCCATGGGTCGAGTGCAAGCCTCTGCGGCAGCGCGTGGTCTCCTTGAAGGTCTTCAGATCGGAGCGGGCGACGCCCATGCCGGATCCGACGGCAGCGGCGGTGGTGAAGCGCTTGGAGGCAAGACGGGCACTCTGGACGGCCAGAGCCTTGCCCATGACGGGGCAGCGACGAGCCAGGAGCTGGAGATTGGAGATGGTGCCGCCGCCAGGGCTGCTGCTGGGCCGGGTGGACGTCGCCAGCGAGCGCAGCGTGGACGGGGGCGTGCGCTTGAGGAACGGGCACATGGCGCGGGACTGGTTCAGAAGCGACTCCATTTTGGTCGGCATAGTCCAATTGCTTCAGTCTCAAGATGCGTGACAATAGCAGAAGGGCGCAGAGCAATCGATGAGATGCCCTCCTCCAGACAGTGTGTGTCAGGGCTGGACAGAGGAAGAGCGGTAGTAGGAGAGAGGAAAGAGGACAGAGGAAGGACGAGTGAGGCCGGAGGCGACGATCCGGGCGGACTCGGTGGCCGAGACACGATCCGTTACACTCTGCGGACCCCACAGCGCTGTGCCACACGCAGACTGACGGCGCAGTGAATGACGGCCTTATCGTCGAGCTGTCTATAAAGAATTCAATATTACCTCGGCTACAGAAGCAAGATGTCTCCTCATCATCCCCAGATGTCTGCTCCCCCGTTATCGCTATCCGACACGAGGTGGGAAAACGACCGCCGAGGATTCTCGAAACGGGCCAACCAACGGGAGAGGACTGCTTATTCGCGGCGCGTCTGATTGGCAGGAACAGCCGGAACAGAGCCTGATCGTCTTACCCCACACGCCCTACCACGCGCGATGACTCAGCATCGCATCGATCGGGATGGCTGCTGCATCGCTCCTACGTAAGCAGGCCGTTCTCGAATGCACGCCGCAGGCACGCCCAATCGGAACAGAGGCAATAGCAGTCATGGCAGTCATCGAGACGAGGGAAGCATTCCGCACGCGGGCAGCAGAGAAAACCCATTCCCTTTTTTGCTATTTTCTGAGCCTGTCTGTCTATGGTAGGTACATCATCCAGCCAGCCAACCTGCATAAGCCACTGAAACGTTCTTTTCTTTTGGGTTTCGTGTATGGAACAAACAAGTATGCCAGGTAAAAAGACACCATGTAGAAAGAAGACAGACAGAATAGCAGACTCCGACAGTTAACTAGTAACCACAAGCAAAATCACAAGCAGAATGATAACAGTAATAATAATGGTACAAATGGCCCTGAAACCATCACTCACCCGATTCCTGGACCGAGACCAAAAAGAAGATTAAAAGTAAAAGAGAATATCCGAGATGGAAACACCATTCGCGCTCACAAAGCTCAGAATGAGAAAAACCACATGACTCCATGTCTATCCCGCCCTGCCCTCTGCAACTTTCCACCTGAACTCCACGTTCGGCCGGCGTAGTTGCTTTTAACCTTGTCAAATGTTGACTCGAAATAAAAAAAAGTCTAAAATGATCTGTTCAACCCTTTCATCCGTCACATGTATGGAATTACACGGCCAGCCATAAGCTGCCACAGACATAACCATGCGTTGACAAACGAACAGAGGCGATCGTCACACTCTACTCATCCATCGGCACATCATTATCGCCATCGATCAGCCGCAACCGCTCTTTGGTGGTTTTGGCTCTCTTGGACGGGCCTTTGGCGGTCCCGCGCCCGCGTCGCTTTCCCGTTCCAGACGAGCCGATGTTGTCCGAGAGTGGCGTCGCTGCACCTGACGGTTTCGAGCTGATATCATCAAAGTGCCCTTCGCCTGCAGAGTAAGAAAAAAGCAGTCAGTAAACTAGTGGATAAATATCTTGGGGTTTATAGTGACATACCTTCATGATACATATCATCAAGCGTAATATTATTCTTCTTCGTTTGCGACTTCTTACCCTTCTTGGCACCAAAGTCCTCACCGCGCTCCAGAGCTTCTCGTTCTTTCTGCTCGAGGATCTCCGCCTGCTCGTCGTCGGCGAGCCACATGGCAATGTCCTTGGTCCGGTTCTCCCGGTAGCGAGTGTTGAAGTCGACTCCGCCAGCAGCTCCGCCCGAAATGACGACGCGCTGCACTTCTTCTTTCTGCAAGGCCCGCTTGCGGATCCGCTCTTCGATGGTTCCGCGGGTGATGAGGCGGTACACCGTAACCTGCTTTGTCTGACCCAGACGGTGTGCTCGGTCCATGGCCTGCGAATCGATGGTAGGGTTCCAGTCCGAGTCGTAGAAGATGACCGTGTCTGCGGCCGTCAGGTTGATACCGAGACCACCCGCACGGGTTGACAGCAAGAAGACGAAGATCTCGGGACGTTGCTGGAAGTCGGCCACGGTATCGCGACGATCCTCCAGTTTGGTGCTTCCATCCAGACGACAGTACTTGTAGTTGCGGTAGGTGAGATACTCCTCCATCAGGTCGATCATGCGCGTCATCTGGAAGTAGAGGAGCACCCGGTGCCCGCCGTTCTTGAGCTCGCGCAAAAGTTCGTCCAGCTTTGCCAGTTTGCCCGAGTCCGTCACGAACCGTCTCATCGAAGGCATCTCGATCTTCGTATACCGGGCCTTGTAGGAAATGGGGGGCGGGAGCATAGGAGGATGAGAGTAGGGAGCCGGATCCAGCTTCTGTTCCACGATCTGCTCTTCCATCTTTCGGCTGGGCACGCCAAAGAGCGCATGGCGAAGGGGAACGTTGAAGATAGTGTCCTGCATCTCCTTGATGGCAGCCTGTCCTGAACAAGAGATGGTGATCGGCGGAGCCGACGCCGCCGGGCTGGCGCAAGGCTCAATAATACCAAAGCCCTCCCGATCATAGGTTGCCTGCGATACATTCATGAGCTCGCGCATATATCCTTCGGTGGCCACCTCCCGGACCGCCTGGCGGTCATTGCGATCGACGATGTTGAACAGACAGTGCGGCAGCACAGAATTAGCATCGTCATCGTCGTCCTTGTCGTAGACCACATTCAGGCGAGATAGGCGATTCGTCTGGCCTCGCCGACGAGCAGCCCGCTCAAAGACGCCCAGGTGGGATGTTTCGTAGGCCTCACCGATGGATGTGTCCACAAACCGCAGGAAAGAGAATGCTTGATCCTCTTCGATACTCTGCTTGATATTCTCCGGCGTCCAGATATTCATCAGATGAGAGAGATATTTGCCACGGAAACCAGCCTGCGGGTTATTCGGCCCCGCGACGTCGAGACGTCCGCCATCACTGCACAGCCAGCGCGGGAGCTCATATTCAATCAGATTGCGTGTCGAGTAGCGAATGTCAAGATCCTGACCCTCGCGTAGGAAGGACGCCGTCTCCGCAAAGTGCGCGACAGACAGTGGCGATCGCACCTCGGCTCTCTCAAACAGATCCGGATGGTTGCAAACCTTGCGGAATTGCATCACCAGGTTCATCAGGGTAGTGCTATCCGTCTCGTCGCCGACGGCCGCCTTCTCGATGAGATCCATGATACTGACACGGTTTCGGAGCATAGTATAGTACGCGCGCTGACGGTAGGACAGATCACAGAAGACATCCTTTTCGACCTTGTCTCCCAATTCTTGCTGGACATGTTTCTTAATACGGCGAAGCATGAACGGCTTGAGAATCATGTGCAACCGTTTGAGCTGGTCCTCGTTCAGTTTGGTATTGCTCTGGGCGTGAGATTCGATATCCTTGGAGAACCACTCGCTGAACTCGTCATGCGAGTCGAACAGAGTAGGCATGATGAAATGAAGCAGGGCCCATAGTTCCTGCATGTTGTTCTGAATCGGGGTACCCGTAAGCAAGAGTCGGTTCCGGCAATGGAATTGCAAAAGGCTCTTCCAACGTGAACTCTGTGAGGACTTGATCGCCTGAGCCTCGTCCAGAATCATATATTGCCACTTCACCTTCTGGAAGTATTGGGCATCCAGGACGACGAGCTGGTATGAGGTCACCAAGACATGGAACTCGGATTCCCTGGTGTAGGTGATATGCTTGCGGTCCCAAAACTTGCGGAGAATCTTACGGTCTTTAGCCGAACCCCAGTACGGCAACACCTTGATGTCGGGAACGAAACGACTGATCTCCTGCTGCCAGTTGTGCAGCGTGGATGCGGGTGCAATGACCAGGAATGGACCCCAGATGTTGTGGACCTCTGCCAGGTAGGCCATGACCGAGATGGACTGAAGAGTCTTTCCAAGACCCATCTCATCGGCGAGGATACCGTTGATGCCTTGCTCATACAAATTGACTAGCCAGTTGAGGCCTTTCAGCTGATACTCCTTCAGCTGAGCCGTAAGCATCTTCGGTTGCGAGATTTCAATGTCACCCAAGCTGCTAGGATTCTGGAAGTTCATCTCGCCCTCGTCGAACGCAGCCATCTTGTTCTCTTCGTTGTTGAACGCGCGCGCCCGGGCCTGCGCCTCTTGGACGGCATTCTGAGCGCTGGCCATGGCGGCTTTGCGGAGCTCAGTGTCATCCTCTGCATCGAAATCCAGTTCATTAAAGTTGGTGACTTTGGTGCCCGGATCGGCGACGCTATCAGGAAGATTGATAGTATGGTCCTCGGGTTTCCCGGGCTGCACCGTCTCGCCAGTCGTCTCCACGGTGGCATCCTGGGTACCTTGGACTTGGGCGGTCTTGATCTTGCGACCAATGAAGTGCGAGTACAGCTCGGTCTGGGAGATAAGGAAGTTAAGCTTCCGCCGCTGACGGTTGGCTTCGCGATCGGCTTCGGCCTTCTTGGCGGCTTCAAGCTCCTGCTTCTCGGCCAGACGGCGGAGGTCTCGCTCCTCACGTTCGTTCCTCTTCCAGAAGGACATCATCTCCCGCATCGTCCGCTTGGCGCGGGCCTGAGTGTCTTTCATGCTCTTGTTAGTGCGCTCCTGCCATTTGCGAGACTGCTTGCTGGCGAGCTGAGCAGTCTTGCGAAGATTCTCCTGACGGGTGCTGAGCGAGAGAGCCTTAATCCGGTAGACTTTGGGAATATCCTTGCGTGCGATATCCCGCCAGATCTGTTCGTAGATCTGGTTGTAGCCTTTGGTCTCGTAAGCGGAGAGCGGAGAAGGCGTGGGCTCCTTTGAACGCGCAACCTTGCCCTCTTTCTTGAGGGATTCTCGGCGAGGATCTTCCTTGGGTGCTATTGGCACGAGCTCCTCCCTCTCCATTGCAGCATATGCTGCCTCGGCTGCATCCTTCTCAGCTTGCTTCTTCTCCTTGGACTTCTTGGGCCGGGTGACGGGACCACCACGAGCCGACTTCTTCTTGGCTGGAGGCGATGTTCCCCTGCCAATATGAAATGAGCTGGTGGTGCCGCCCTCCATGTTAGGTGCCAGAGGCGTGACTTCGCTGATCTCTTCGGGTGCATTGCCTCTTTCCAGAGCTCTCTTGACTCCCCTGATTTTCTTCTGAGCCTTCTCGGCCTCGCGTAGAAATTTCTCCCTCTCAGCAAGGTCCGAAGTCCTGTTCGCTTTCCGCTCTGCTTCAAGCTTCTTTTGAGTCTCCAGACGCACGGTATTCTCACGGCGACGCTTCCGTTGCATGTCCTTTTTGCGTTCCTTTTCATCCTGGATCTCCTTTCGGTGAACGTCCGCGATCGCTGCGGCCTCGTGCACGGCCCTGAACCGCTCGGCTCCAGCGATAGCCCCCTTCTCAAAGGTCTTGGCCAACTGGGTGAGGAAATCATGTCGACGACGCTATATCCTGGTTAGTTGACATGCTCACAGAAAAGGGGGATTAGACTCAGCAACGTACCTTGCGCCTTTTGCTTCCAACCTTTCCGCCTCCAAGGCCCGTTTCCTGCCTTTCATGACGTAACGCTCCCATTCCTGCTCGAAGCCAGGTTCCTCCACATCGCTCTTTTCTGCCTTATCTATTTCAGCGACGATCCTGTTGATAGTTTCCAAGTCCCGTTCCGTTAGGGTCCGTCGGGGTTTCACAACACGAGGCTGGACTGGCGGCTTGCCCGGCTCCATAGTGCCATTGGCAAAGGATTGTTGTGGAGGAGCATTCTCGAGTGCGGGTGGAGGATCGAGCGTGCGACGTCGCTTTTCGATGCTAGGTTTCTTCTCCAGGCGTGGGAGCGCTGCCACCGGAGCCGGCTCAGGTTCCTTGTGGTTATTCACAGGAGCGGGTGGAGGTGGAGGAGAAGGCCGCCGGGGAGAGGGATCTCCAGCTGGCTCTGAGAGGATGCTGGCGAACGACATGGGATCGGCGGCTCTGGCAGGCTTCTGTCGATTATCGTCAGTCAGTTGGACAGACGGCGAAAGAAAGGAGTCAGAAACACGTACCGATTCCTTAGGCGATGGTGGCCGCGGCTCACGCATCATGGGCGAGTGGGATGAGAATCCTGCCCCATTCCCGCGGCCGTTGAAGGAAGTCTCCGGCTCCTTCTTTGGAGACTGCGACAGCGTATCAGGGCGGCTGGAGGGGTGGGCGTGAGACGTAGTCGGCTGACCATAGGGAGCAGCAGTGGTGCCCGGCATGACGGAGCTGGAATAAGGCCGTGGAAGGGGGAAATTCGGCGTGCCAGACGACGAATGTTGCGTCTGGTACTGAGACGAAGCGTCCGAGTGAGGAGGAGCGCTGCCGTTCAGCGGGGGAAGGGTTGTGGGTAGAGGAGAGGGCTGGTGGCCAAAATGCGGGCTGCGAGAGAAGGATGATGGGGGAGGAAAGGTCTGGGATGTTTCGGGAGGGTGCTGCTGATGCTGCTGATACTGTTCATTGTTCGGGTAGTAAGGACGATTCTTGGACTGGGGCGAGTACGCGGTGTACGGCGGTTGTTGGTTTGGGGAGTGCACCCCGTATGGTGGAGCCCCCGTCATGATTGAGGACGCGTCTGCCGGACACGAGCGATGGCGTGGCGTCGTCAAGAGGAGGTCTAGTCCAGGTCACTGAGGACGATAAACTGCCATAGGATCCTAATAGAGCACAGAGACGTTAGTTGCCAATTTCAGGTCTCGAGGTCGTGAGAGAGATGTGGAGGATCGTGCCAAAGGCCGTAGGGGGAGCTCCTGGGAGTCGATAGATGGAGATCTATCTGTCGAGACGGGTAAAAGAGCGAAGCAGAGAGATGAGGTGATGTACTGTACCTGTTCAAGTTGAGACGTGAAGGAAGGACGGACCTCGCGGTCGGTTGGAGATTTTTTTTCGCGTCCTCACAGGCCTGGCATAGAAGGGCGACCGGGCGTGTGTGGAAGCGACCAGACACGGTGCCGGGGGACAGGCGGCGCCGCGGATGGAGCGGCGATACAGCAGTAGCGAGGGCGCAGAGCGATGTTGGGATGATGCAGCGGATGGAAGGTGGTGGAGAGGATGGGGGATGGGGATGGAAAGAGGGAGAGGGAGAGGAAAAAGCAGAGGGAGCGACGTGGCGGGAGATGGGATGGTGGTGGAGAGCGGCTTCATGGAACGAAGCGGTGTTTGTTGCGTGAGCCTGAGCCTGAGCCTCTTTTCCATTTTTCCCCTTTGCAGGACGAACTCGCAGCGCGGGTAACTGACCTGGGCGATTGGCATTGTTTCGCTGTCCCCGGGCGATCTCGTCCCGCCGCCACGGGCCTGTATCGGTATTACGCTGACCGCCGTGACCGTCTGCTGCGCTTCGAGGCGATCGCCAGGAGCTGCTGCGCATCTATCGTCCAGCGACCCGTCCATTCCCGGCGAACAATGGCCAGCAGGGCATTGTTCGAGAGCTGATATCTCTAGCCTAGCTTCCATTCATATTCCTATTATCCCCTTGCACATTATGAAAAGGTCAAGAGCCTCTATCGTATTGTTCTGCCCGAGTCTGGGCCTCGTCTTCACATTCTCCGGACTGTCGGTGGCTGTCACCGCGCTTGTATTATTACCTGTGACGAGCCGCGTACCGTGGCGCCTTTCCTTCTCGGGCGTTCTTTGTCGCGCGGCAGCTGTCTATTCTCTTGATATGAGGGACGGTCCATACCTACGGAGGTATATTAATTCTTCTCGTGGGTTATTGTTTATTTATTATACCTGTGTCGATTTCCGTCAGTCTTCCTGCTGTTCGCTCGATAACGCCCGCTGGTGCCCGGATCGATTCGATTCGTGACGCGCGAAACTCGCTCGCTAATCATAACGATCCATGACATCAAAACCCAACCAACCAACCAACCCGGTCCGGAGCGGTTCGGGCGTCTTCGTTCGCCTTACAGTCTTTCCTGCCCACCACCGACCTAAGTACCAGGGATGAACTAACGAGAATTAATACCGGGCGTTATTTTCCTATCCACAATTGCTTTTCTTTTTCTATTATTTTCATTACCATTGTTGTACGTCGACATTCACCTTCGAGGTCACTTCCTCAGCCAGTGGATATCTAAGAAAAGTCGATTTATTACTATTTGTGAGCGTTTTTAACAATAGTCGCTTTCAGCGGTCTCATTCACTGTCACTCTCGATGCCAAGATTCTCTTTCCACGGTTTTCTGTCTTTGCACAAGCTGTTCCATTCACTTACTCGTGCGAGAACACTAGCAATTAATGAACTGACGACGAGCAGAACAATAGATCAAACTGTCCAGATTTATATACTCATTCGCTCGCTAACCTTCAATATCTCCTACACTACATACAAGAGAAGAGATTGGTATCATCAATTACGCAATCATATCGAGTCTTCAGCCAGCTGCCAAGCTCTATGTTGGGCGTTGGTGAGTCGTCACGTCATAATTCAACCGATCAATTCGTCCACTTAATCAGGAATCTGGAGAACGTAGCGCCCGGTAACCTTGCCTTGTTCTGTGAAGTCGTCAGCCTGCACCCTCTCCGAATTTCTGTCCTGAAGGCAACTAACCCATCAATTCATAAACCTTGCCCAGTTCGGACAACGGCACCACCTTGTACGGAGTCTTGATCAGACCGCGCGCAAAGAAGTCAATCGCCTCGTCGCCGTCCTGTCGGTTGCCCACATAGCTACCCTTGATGGTGACCATCTTGACCACTGTATCGAAGACGGGCGCCTTGAGGTATGCATTCGCCGGGAGGCCGATGGCCACAATCGTTCCACGCGGCCGGACGTAGCTGGAGGCTTGCTGGAAGGGCAGTTCAGCGACGGCCACGAGCAGGACGGCGTGCGGACCAAGTCCGTCTGGGGTGGCGGCCTGCACGTCCTTGACCAGATCCTTGCTCTTGGTAAAGTCGACATAGGCCTGAGTCACTGGTCAGCTGCAGCTCTTTAAATTGTTAAACGAGGCTACTTACTTCGGCTCCGAGCTGCTCGCACAAGGCCTTCTTCTCATCACCGCCGTCGATGGCGATGACTCGGAGCCCCATCGCCTTGGCATACTGCTGAGCGAGGGACCCAAGACCACCGCCAGCACCGACAATGGCGACTGTCTCGCCTGGCCGGGCGCCTGCCTCCTTCAGGCCTTTGTAGACAGTGATACCAGCACACAGAACGGGGGCAACAGCATCAAGGGGCACATTCTTGGGAATCTTGGAGACATGTGCTGCCTTGGCAACCGCATATTGCTGGAAAGTCCCGTCGACGGTATACCCAGAGAGTAAAGCGCGTGGGCACAAGGGCTCTTCGGACCGCCGGCAGAACTCACAAGCCAGACAGGAGCCATTGAGCCATTTGATTCCAGCGTAGTCACCAATCTCAATGTCTTTAACCAGGTCACCCTTGGCCACAACAACGCCAGCACCCTCATGGCCGCCAACAAGCGGCAATTTGGATGCTAAGGGCCAGTCGCCCTTCATGGCGTGCAGATCCGTGTGGCAGACGCCGGAATACTTGATCTTCACCAGGACCTCATCGGGGCCAGGTTTCTGGACGGGGATCTGCTTGTAGACGAGAGTGTCTTTCTTCTCGACAACTTGCGCCCACTGAGTGTCTGGGATAGACATTGTGTTTGTTTGTCTTCGTAGAACAATTGAATAAGAAGAAGAGAAGAAATTATCAGTGAACTAGGATCGTAGACTTGTCTTTCAAAAGCAATTGATTGATTGACAAAGCTGTTTATGCTGCTCTGATGTCCTGGACAAGGGAGGAATATCAACCCCTTTATATAGACGTCGTCTGTCTATCCAACACAGGAGGAAGAGCCAATAACATAACGACATATGACATGGTTGTAAACTGATACCAGCTGTTGAGGGGAGGGGACGCGCTAATCAGGAGGGAAGGAATGAAACCCGTTCGTGGTCCAGGTTGCATGTCGTGGGATGGATGGACGAAAGGTTAGTCGTCAGCAGATAGAATAATAGAATCCATTGAATGAACGATGAATTGGATGAGGCCAGTGGAGATACGCCCGACAAGGGTCGTGGCGATTAATGGCCTCCCCCCGCCCTGCCGCTGGACAATAATGATGAAGCTTCGAATCGATCATCGCTCAAGAGCGGAAATTGACGCGATATTCGCCCCCTCTCTTTCCAACATTTCTGAAGTTTAAGTCTAAAACAGGACAAAAAAAAAAGAAAAAAGAAACAAGAATAGTGAATATTCTCGGACAGATGGATATGACGTATTCGACTTAGTTGACTTGCGTTAGGCCTCAGAATCCGGAGTTTCCCCGGATCCCCGCAAGTAAGTCTCTGTACGGAGAACTCCGTACGGACGCATGTATGGAGTGTCTGGAGATGTTCCGCCCCGCTCCGTCAAGGATGTTGATTCAACGACAGGTCGACAGCTGTTTGTTGTTGAGTTTGCGGGAACGGGGGAAAGGAAAACCCCAGGTTTCTATTCCCTATCCCATTCTCCAGTTCTCCACCAGGACGCTGCAGCTACAAGCGGGGTTGGCGTGGGGGAAGAAAGTTAGAGCGCACGCTGGCTTTTGGATCTTCAAATAATCAATCGTCCGGACCAAAGGGACACTGCCTCCTCCTGGAATAACGCAACCTGGATAGCACTGGGACTGGAACTGGAGTGGAACTGGATCCCTGGTTGAGACGTCTCCCCCACCAGCGAGCAGTTTCAAGAGAATAATAATACATGCGGTTTTCCTTTCATTTTTATTATTTCACCCGCAAGTTCCCGAAAACAATGCGGATCGGGAAAGTATACCCTTCATTATGCCCTATTACTGGCGTGTGTGTACAATACAGTACATCGTGATCAAGCTCTGAAATGACAGAAGACGGAATTACTGTAATAAGTGTAGGGGGACTAGACACGCACAGGTGGAGAAAACTGGAGACCCCGGATTCTGTCTGTACATACATGGTATTCTGTAACAAAAACACAACAAGGTTATGTCAATCGTCTTGACAAGAGATCTGCCAGATGTGAAACGCGGGGACGAAGGACCTTGATGGAATCAAAAAAGCTGGATGCCTTGAAGAAGGAGTACCCTGCTGGAATCAGAGAGTAAATAAGGTCAGCTTAGCGCGCAGGAGGCTCTGCTAGCATGTTGTTCTTCTCGTCGTCAAAGGCAGGATCTATTATAAGTGAATCGGGCGCTGCTGCTGACGTATCTATGAATTATTATTATTACTGCAGGAGACAAACAAACACGGACCGACATGCGAAGAGGAGACGAGGGCTAATGCGCACGGAAAAAGACCCAATGCACACGGCCTATCGGGAGCTTGCTGTACTCCGTACATCATCAGGTGAGCAGGTATCAATCATCATTGCTATTGGCATCATGCACGGACGCAACGCATAACTCGTTCCGTTCCTCATTATCGTTCCTCGTCGTTCCTCCCTTCTTATCAGGGTTTTTACTTTTATTATTATTATTATACTTTCCATATGCCCGTGGAAGTAAGCTAGTGCATCAGCTTCACTTGAGACTGCATGCATGTAACTAACGACGAATATGCACCTAGTATTCTTCCATGTGGGTACTGTACTTAATCTAGACCAGGAAGAATCAGGGCTAACAGGTCGACAAGAATGAAGAATGATGGACTCGAGTCATGGAATGCATGATAATTCACCCTATGTTTGCGTAGTCTCCTCCAGCTTGAAAACACCGTAAAAACAGAACAATGACTGGTGGGAAATATATTTTCTGTTTAGTCCCTCTTTTTTGTTTTCATTTTTTTTAATTCATTTTTGTAAAGCGGTATTCCTCAATTGCTGGCATTCAAAGTACAGTTACAGTACAGTACATAGCTGTTCATGGAGCAGCGGTGCCTGGAAGAAATCAATCAATCAACTGAGACAGCGGGTACCTTTAACTACCAGAACAATTCATTGGAGAGAAAACGAGTTTCTGCTCTGATGAATAGAGTGAAACGAAAACAGAAAAAAAAAAGAAGCACGCCTGTCTATACGCCAAGCCCCATGCTCCATCCGTATGATCGGTCCGTCGGTCCGCTGGTGAATTGTTTTAGCTGGCTACCGAGGTGTAGGACAAGACAAAATACAAGACGAATGAAGATCGTTCCCATTCTCCTCCCAACTGAGGAGAGCCAAATCAAACAAACCCACGCAGTAATCGATAGCCCATCACAAACAGAGTATACCATGACATAACAGACATAAACAGCATAAAAAAAAAGCAACAGTAACGCTATCAAACCGCTCCTGGACCTTTGTGATTCGACTGGTCTAGTAAAAGCTTAGGCTTGATGAAGTCCTCATCCAACTGCCGGAACCAAGCAGCATGGTCGCCTGTTGGGCCCCCAGAGAACAACTCCCGGAGAGCATTCCGCGCACTAAGAGGCTCCCGTTGTGGTGTCGACTCGGCAGCTCGCCTGGCGGGAGAGACACTGGCTGACCCCGGCACCTGCGCTGGAGAAAGGTGCTGTTGCTGAGACGGAGAACGTCGAAGGCGGGACGTCGCGGAAGGTGCTGCTGGAGGCAGGTCGTCATCCGATACTGGATCGACATCCAGGTCAAAGTCATCGATCTCATCATCGCCACCCATGGTAGCCTCCTTCCCTGCTTCGCTCCGGCCATGACGCTGGACGTTGGCAATATCATCATCACTGCCCAGGTCGCTGTCACTTCGGCTTCCAGCCCCGCCTCCCAACAGCGTTTGTGTCGAGGACTTGTCACGACGAGCTTGGCGGTCTCTATGATTGTATGCTGCCGCCTTCCGCGGCGGAATCCCTGGACTCACTGATTGTGGTGGGTTCGGCCGGCGGTTATTACCGCTGGAGTAGCTGTCTGTTCTCCCGAGGCCTGATCGTTGTGCGTTGTCGGCAACGTTATCCAGCGGAATGGTGAAATCGCTGCGACGGGGCGTGTATCCGATTCCAGTGCTGTTGGCTCGTTTGTAGTAGGTTCCACCATGGGTGACCTCGATATCGAACTCGTCATCCGAGTCGGCCTCCTCGACGATTCCCGTGCGGATTCCAAGGATGTCCAGCATCCGGGCCGTGGTGCCTCCAAATATGATGACTGTCAGCACCACCACTACCAGCACTGTGGCTCTCAATGCAGGTGCGTTCACGCCCGACATTCCCGCAGCCAGAGCAACCCCGACAGCACCACGCAGTCCCGCCCAGAACAACATAGCCTGATAGGAGAATGGTAATTCATCCGCAACATCCTTGCCACGACGTCTAGCCCGATATCGGATGAACCAATTCACGGCCTTAGACAAGGGGAAAACGGACAGGTATCGTGCCACACAGATGCCAAAAACAGCAATCATGATGAAGAGAGGCTTGAATTGCAGCTCACTCTCGACGAACAGATCCAGTCCCAGATAGATGAAGATGAAGTTTTCGCTCAGTTGCGCCAGCACCTGGAAGAGATACTTGGTAGTGAGCTGCGTCCTCCGCGACATGTTGTAGTATGCGTAGTGTTTGAGGGTAATTCCACAGAATAGGAGTGACACGATGCCTAACGCTGTTAGCATCACCTCATTCCAGAGGTCAATGTAGGGCACGAACCAGAAAGATAGACGCCGTTAGAGAAGAAATAGCTTGAATAGGCAATCAGAACAATCAAGCAACTCTCGATCTTTGGCATGCGGCGGACATGCGTGTACTTGAGACCCAAGGCCGTCGCAATGCCGACAAAGATTCCGACGAGCATACTACCAAGGAAAACCAGCAGGAACAGGCCGATGGCCTCGAAGAAGTTGAGCACAGAGAGTGACCCGGCATCATTCTCAGCGTACTTTTGCGCAGTCTCGAACAGGACGATCGCAATGGCATCATTCAGGATCGACTCCCCGAAGATGACGGTATAAAGCTTCGGCTCGACCTTGTACAGGTTGAAAATGGCGAGAACGGTGACCGGATCCGTTGCAGATAGAGTGGCGCCCACAGAGATAGCCTCAACAAAGGAGATGTCCAGGCCATCGAGAGGGATCCGCGTCCACAGGTATAAAATAAGGCCCAGAACAATTGCAGAAATAAAAGTTCCCGCAAAAGCGAACGTCAGAATGGTACCTATATTCCGGAAGAAATTTGCCTGTTATTTCCGAACCCGAACTCGTCAGCATATTTATTTCTTTTTTTTTAGACCTTCCAGACACGCGACTACTTACCTGATGTAGTTCGTATCCCGACGCTAGGATAATAGGAGGCAGGAGCAGGTTAAAAAAGAACTGGTAGTCGAAGGTGACATTGTCTTGAATAGGCGACTCCCCGCTTAATCGGATCAGCAAGCCCACGAACATTCCTGAAACAAATCGTCATCGTGATGAGCATCTACATCTGCAACAGTCGTGGAAGCGCTCGGCAACTCACCTGCGAAGATGGAAAGCACCGTCTCATGCACCGCCTGGATCTTCCTCTGCTGCAGTATATAGCTTGTAAACAGAGCGAAGATCAGCAGCATGATGAGAATGAACAGTGCCCAGGAGCTGAAAAACTCCCTTTTGCCCGCCTCTGGAATCTCTCCTGCATATAGAACCGAGTCAGGGATCAATCGAATCAATCAATGGGGTTGGATCTATTGACATGATAGGACGCAGCTGATAACGAAAGGGAGTAAGCGGGGATGTCACGCACCGCCATCGTCGGGGTCGGAACCGGCGTCTGCTGCCCTGCCTGTAGAAATAAAAGTCTGTCAGTAATCGAAAATGGAATTAGGGAGAATCCCTGTTGGAGCAGCACATACGCAGAAGAAAGCCAACGGCGTCATTGACCAGGTTGGCGGCCATTATTGTTATGAGGTCCACACGGTCCAGACAAAGGAGGATGCTGTCGCACGGGCTCTAGCTGAGAGACGCTCGCGCCGGATGATAGCGAACATAATCCCAAGGGAAGGAAACGTCAGGCCGCGCGAGCAACAAGCAGGTAGGGTCGATTTGGATGAGATTCGACGCTCTCCGACTCTTGTCAATCTGGCCTCGTTGCCGGGTGTCTCTCCACGCCCGCCGGTTGGTGGGCCGGCTGCCTGCGTCCGTTGCGACTAAGTTAACGTAATTCCCAACCGAACCGGACACCCGACCGAGCCGGACACCCCATCCAAAGTCCACGCGTTTAGGATACTGAAGCTATTCAAACAACCACCATGCCACCAAAATCGCGTCTATCGTCTCGAGACTTGGTGGAACAAGAGGGGAGGATCCAACTCGCGATTTCTGCTTTAAAAAACAACGAAATCCCAAGTGTTCGTCGTGCAGCGGAGGTTTTTAATGTGCCTAAATCTACACTTCATGACCGACTGACTGGCCACCATTTTCGAATCGAACAACGTGCCAATGGCCACAGGCTATCTCAAACTCAGGAAGATGCTTTGATACAATGGATACTATCTAGGGATTCACGTGGAGTACCTCCTAGGCCTTCCCATGTACAGGAGATGGCTAATATTATTCTTCGAACCGATAATCCAACTGGATACACACCTATAGGCAAGAACTGGGTATCAGCCCTTATCAAACGCCGTGACGAGATCAGAAGTCAATTGCACGAAAATATAATTACGAGCGAGCGAAATGTGAGGATCTAAGGTTATACAACAGTGGTTTGAGCAACTACAGAAGGTTCGATTACAATATGGTATCCTAGATGAGGATATCTTCAACTTTGACGAAACGGGCTTTGCAATGGGCGTAATAGCTACTACTAAGGTAGTATCTAGGTCCAATATGCCTGGAAAACCTCATCTTATTCAACCAGGCAATCGGGAATGGGTGACAACAATCGAGTGTATCAATTCAAGTGGTTGGAGTCTTCCTTCATGCATTATCTTCAAAGGAAAGGTCCATATTGAAGGATGGTTTGACGAAGGCCTTCTACCAAGTGATTGGAGGATTGAAATCAGTCAGAATGGTTGGACAACAGATGAGATAGGCCTCCGGTGGCTTCAAAAAGTCTTTATTCCTTCAACCAGCAGCCGTACAGTTGGTCGATATCGATTGCTTGTTTTAGATGGCCATGGAAGCCATCTCACACCTGCCTTTGATAAAGCATGCAGCGACAACAATATTATAGCTATCTGCATGCCTCCTCATTCTTCTCATCTCCTACAGCCTCTTGATGTTGGTTGTTTTGGTCCCTTAAAGCGGGCGTATGGAGGTCTTGTGGAGTCAAAGATGCGCCTTGGATTCAACCATATTGACAAGCTTGACTTTCTAAAGGCCTATCCTATAGCTCGCCAGGAAGTCTTTAAGGCTCAGAACATTCAAAACGGCTTCGCTGCAGCTGGTATCTATCCTTTTGATCCACAGAGGGTGCTTGATAAGCTTAATATTAAGCTATCTACTCCTACCCCCCCAGGAAGCCGTAGCGGGCACTCTACAAGCTCCTCAACGCTAGCTACACCTCATACAATCCGTCAAGTACATAAGCAGGCTTCCTCAGTCAAGAAGCTACTCAAAAAGGGTTCTCAAAGTCCTTCAACACCTTCAAAACGGGCGCTACAGCAGATAATAAAGGGTTGTGAGATAGCTCTATACAACGCTGCTATTCTAGCACAGGAAAACCACGATCTCCGTATGGCAAACGAGAAAGAGAAGCAGAAACGAGGGCGATCAAGGCGCCAGATGTCTCCTAATCAAGGCCTTTCTGTACAGGAAGCGAGAGATCTCATACACCAGAGAAACGAGCAAGGAGATGAGATACAGGAGATAGCTATGGGTTCTGCATCTCTACCTTCCAACGCGCCAAGACGTGCTCCACCAACATGTTCTAATTGCCATATTCAGGGACATATTAGAACTGGTTGTCCTACACGTCTAAATATATAGAACTCAATGAAATACACGTGTTTTGGTTGTTGTGTATAGCTTCAAGTTTTCGACCGCGGTCAGAATTCGATGTTGGTGTCCGGTTCGGTCGGGTGTCCGGTTCGGTTGGGAATTACGTTAAGAGCTGGAGGCTGACTCAGCAGCCCGGCCGCCACTCGGATCCACCGCTAGCCGCCGCAGGATGATCTAAATAAATGCTAATGTTCCGCTCGGAAGGTCGGCATCCACTGATTGATAACGCACGTCATGTAGATCTCGTTCTATACTCTAATTAATACGTCTGGTCCAGTTCTCAGCTTGAAATAACAGAAAGAAAACAGAAGCAGTTTTTTTTGTTCTTTTTACTCCAATCATTCCCTCCTATGTGGTAGTCCTTGTCGTTTCTTCCCTCCTTGAGAAGGTTGCACGTGTCCAACACAACTCAACCGTTTTGTCTCGTGATAGCAGGATACATGTCCGTTGTTTACATCCATCATGCGAAGCTAAGACATTCTGTCGTACGAAAGTATCCCTTGGCATTAGTTTCGTATCACAGAGTAAAATCAACCACTCCACAGTAAAAAAGAAGAGAAAAAAGACGTAATTCCCGAAACGTGTTTATGGAAACGAAACATCTGATCAGGGTATATATCCTATCTCGGCTCATTTCCGTATCATTTGCTGCCTTTCTCTTGCAGTCTCTTCGTCAAGTAAGCGGCAACCAAGGCAGCACACCCTCCGAATCTCAACACCCATCCCACACTGTCGTCCCAAGGCTCTCCCCGCGGTTTCTGCAGTGCTTTGAAGATAGCGCTGCTGATCAGGGTTGAGAGGAATTGCGGAAATGAGACCGCCACGTTGTGCAAGCCAAGAACGATACCGGCTTGATCAGCGGCATCCGCTTCTTCAGTGACTGGCGTGACGCCATCCGAAATCCCACCAGCCTCGACATCATCGCTTTCTGTCAGACCAGCGCTTTGCGTGCCATTTACTGAAGTGTACCGTTGACCACGAGATTCCGCCAATTCAGCTTGGTGACGCTGGAGCCGCCGCTCAGCATCACGCTGCGCGACTTCTGCCGAGATCAGAGCAAAAGGCGCCCAGAGTGTGACAGCCCAAGAAATGCCGACAATCCCGATCACCACAGTGCCTGCTTGAACAGAGTAGATGAAGAATGTGCTGAACATGCAGATTGCAAAAAGGAGATGCGACAGCAGCCACGTACGCCGCAGAGTCAGGCCGGGGATTTGAAGCTTGGAGAGAACGTTCCATTCCTCGCTGCTGTCGACGCTCTTGCTGCTGTTGCTGCTGCGGTGGGCCTCGAGCAGGGGTTCTGAGGAGGTGCCAACCGGCATACTCGAGAGTGAAGGTCTTCGAGGTAATGCCGGTTCGGATTCTTCAGGCGGGTTATCCGGGACAATATCAACCGGAACATCAATCCGTTTGTACGAAGGGACCACCAGCAGCGGCAAGATGACATTGGCCGCAAAGGAAATAATCGCATCAACCAGAAGAGCAAACGTGCCGACCCTTGTGGCCTCCTCCCACGCCTTATTGATTTCATCCTCAGACAGGTTCGGATGTTGGTCGAAGATAGGGTTGACATAGAGCTGTCCGATGTATGTGGTCGAATAGAACAGAAAGGGAAACCATCCAACCCACGCCGCCAGCTGAACTTCGCAGACTTTGCGAATCTGTGGTGGCATCTGACGTATAGACTTGAAGACTTGCTTGAAAAAGGAGAGAAGACCAGGATTGTCGGATGCCGGTGGCCCTTCGAGCCGCGGATCCCGCTCTTGGATGTAGGTGCAGCTGATCAACAATGTGCTTCCGAGAGCGATACTTGCAATCACGCAGAGTACCTTGAACTGTGTGTTTCCAAAGATTGGAAATATCTTTGGCAGGTCTAGGTAACCTAGGATGTATCCCAAAATATTACCCCCACCAGTGAGTCGACTTGCCCAGGCATTTGCTGATTCCTGCTGATGAGCTGGGGCATTGTCAACGATGAAAGCCCTTATGCCCGCCTGAACTGTACAAAAGGTCAGACTGGGACTTCCAGAATTAAGGACCGATGCTCATACTGACCTGTGTTAATAGCAAAGTCGAGACAGTACATCAGAATCGTCGCGATAACAATGACCGTTATTTTTATTGCGTCGGGCTGAACGCCAAAGATACCAAGGAAACCACCCACGATTTCCCGCACCCAAGCAAGAGCCAGTAGACAGGTCACCGTGGCGAGCCCACCAAGCACCATAAATGGTTTCCTTTTGCCCCATGAGATGCGGCAGTTGTCGCTTCGGATACCAATATAGGGCTGGACGAGGGTACCGGTAAGAGGACCAGCGACCCACACGAAGGCGAGAAGGGCTTTACTCATCCCCAGAGATAAAAGATATGGCTTAATTGATGGAAAGGTTAGTACTATGCAGAAATGCAACAATAGCCAAGGCCATTTCATAGCTGCTTACCGATCCATGAGAAAGCTCTACAGACCAGACAATCTGGAGACTATAGCCATCAAAGTAATAAATGTCAGCATTGACTCAGTCTTGAGGAAGTTGAGAGTACAAACAACTCACCCTCCAATGCTGAGAGTCAATATGAATAGATACCAACTGCTTTTGGACGTCTGGTCCAGAACGTTCCGGTCCGCAGAGCCATTTCCAGTCAGAGCTTCCACCTCATCATTCGCCTTCGTCGGTGACACGAGAGGTGAATTCTCATCAACGACGCTTCCATCAGTCTGCGTCATTGAAATTGGACTGCAAGAGACAGTCTCTTTTTCCTAGCTCGTCGGGGATCGCTTCAATTACCGCCTAAGGTAGATATAGACCAGGAAACCGGCTGCAGCTTGCGATGACTCCCCAGTTCACAAGATAAAACTAAGGACCAAGCGTCGAAATAAGAAAAAAAAAGCGGGCAAATACGGTAGAAAACAAACTGTGATAGTGCTGTCTAACAGTGCGCGGTCAACCCAGACAGGACAGGAAAGAGCTTCTCCGATGGTGTGAATAGGTGCTGTATGATTCCGTATCGTTACTTGGAGGAGGAAATCTTCAGGTAAATGTACGTAGTTCTGAACGTTTCAAAGGTCCAAGCTCTGAAAACTTTAAACAAAGGTCGAGATCTTCCCACAGGCGGAAGCCTGATGGTTTCCCAAGGATCGGAGCTGTCGAGAACAGCGGAGAGCTATGGCAGCGGAGGTCACAAGTTCCCCCGCAGTCGGTACATCAGGACCCAGCAGCGAGTGAGGCCAGCAAACACACGTGGGTTGCTTTGCTGTCTAGGGCGCTCTCATTGCAGGAGGCCGTTGCACCAAAAGGGACATACAGTCATATAGAACACGAGGAGAGTTCCAAGACGGCTGGCAGCTGACCGCTGGCTCGTCGACGTCAGCGGTCAGCCACGCTGCAGCCAGCTTACACGTGACATCAATGGCTGCACCTGACTTCCCAATTAATGCAAAACGATAAAAACAGAAACATGATTTCCTCACGGGCTCGCTGAGACTAGCTTTCTTTCAAGTACCTTTTTTGATGATCCTCTTGATAGGACAGTTCCATGGTCGCACGTGCATGAATTAGAGAGCTGGTGATTGACTGTTTCTGGAATGATCCTCGGACCACAGTGACTTCCAAGATTGCTCGTTTTCGACTTAACGTCGGGACCAATGGCTGACAATGAATAGTTGGCTACGGTCTACAAGTCCTCTAATCGAACAACACTCGTCTCCCAATATGTCAAGAGAATATATTTTTACCATAAAGGAAATCTATTTAGTTAAAGTATTGGGCGCAACGCGCAATTCAATTCCACTGTAGAGGCATCTTGGCCACAACAGTGGTACATACAAAAATATAGTGCCGATCCTCCAAACCCACTCTTCTGCTGGAGGATATTCAAGGCACGTCGGGTATGTATAAAAGCCACACCTGTCCCCGGGTATACAAATTCAACCCAACCCTGACCATGCCTGTAAAAGGCCCGCCCGAACCATAACCCACAGGCAAAGTAAAATAGCACAAACATACCGTAGCTGAACAAAGGATAGCAAGTGCACCAAGACCAACATAGGTAGGAGATAGGGACCATCCTCGAAAAGAAAAACAGTACGGAAGGATTAACATCACGCAGCAGATGGCTCGCACTAAATCACAACATTTGACAAAAGAACTGGCCTGGCTCCACACAGGTCATATGGACGCAACCACCCAGCTTGACAGCAAGCAAGAAGACCAGTGCCGGGTCAGGTGGACGGACCGACAAACGATACAAGCAAGGGGAAATACAACAAATCAACCATGCTTGAACAAAGAACCTCAAAAGAGAAAACAAATTCATGTCTTCATCGACAGGGGGATGGAGTCCCGGTCGCGTCCGACTGCAACGCGGTGTGCGTGTCGAAACACCACCGAGGGGCCGAAAAACAGGCTAAAGTAGAGATGAATCGGCGAGAGGGTATCATCAAGGTGCGACGAAGATCGCGGAGAAATGAAATTTCGACAGTAGCGTCTTCTACTGGTCGAGCTCTCTGTTTTTCTAATTTTTTCTTTGGTGCCGTAGGAAGATCCGAGACAAAACAAGCCGAAGTTGTCACCTCAGATCTGCTGCTGCAAAAATTGAGGGGTGATCATCTGGGGGGAGACCATCGTCGGCATGGAGGTCGGCATGGTGAGGGTGGAAGGCATCGATGTGACCGTCGCCATGCTCACATCATTGGAAGTGGAGAAGTTATTCGAGTCCGAGGCGGGCGATTCACCCTCGAGAGAACCAAATTCGTTTTCCTCGTTTTCCACGTTCTCTACGTTCTCCACGTTCTCCACGTCCTCATCGCTGAGAGGTTGTTGCTGCTGCTGCTGGCCGTCTTGCTGCGACTCATGGGTGCGACGGTGTCTGGCAGGGGCTTTGTTAGTAAGGGAGATCCATAAAGGGAACATGTTCCGGACTTACTGTGCCAGGTTATCGGACCGCGAGAAGGCTTTGTTGCAGTACGGGCACTGGTATGGTCGTTCCTGGGTATGGGTCCTCACGTGCCTAGAAAGCCGCCCAAGTTTGATTAGCCCGGCGGTTACGGGAAGACGAATTGCCCAATCAGGCTGTCCCAACGCTTTGAAGGATAAAAATAGGTTAGAAGAAAAACAAGCTTACCGTTTCAAATGCTCTAGTCTTTTGAAGAGACGGCCACATGATGGGATAGGGCAAGAATGAGACTTCTGCGGGTAGGGGCCCAGTTCCATCATGGTGGCGCTCCGGGCACGGCGCACGGGACCCGGACGGTCCGTCCGAGTGAGAGCGCTAGGTGGGATCGACGCTTCGACAGATTCATGATTCGAGAAATCATCGTGATTGTTGGTGAGCGGCAAGGTCTGCTCGACACCTTCTTCCAGACTGGGCAGCGGGGTCCCGTTTCGTGAGCTGTCATGCAGCAGGTCCTTCTGGGATGTGACAGTGGACGAGTAGCCATTGGCCATAGTCTCCGCAGATGATGTGAGACTCGATTCGTCCGCCTCGGTGACCGGAGCCACGGAGTTTGAGATGGAACGCCGGAGGTCACTTGGCTTGTGGGCGGCGTATGTCGTTTGCTGGCTCTGGGCGCCCGATGACTGGGCCGCGGCGATGGCGTTGGTGATACTTGGTGGAATGGATGACCGTCGCCGCCGCTGCTTGTAGGTAGGTGAGCCCTCGATCACGGAATACACATTTCCGGGGAAATGACGACTAGCCCCGGTAAAATGAGTCCCGGAGAAATTCGAAGGCGGCAGCTGCACCATCTGGTTGAAGGTATTCGAACCCACGTCAGGAATGGCCGTGTAAAGTCCAGTATCCTCATTCGCGATATATGCGGGCTCGGGACCCAGAGGCACCGTTTGCTGCGGCGGGGTGATCGGCTCGTAAGAGAGACCCCGGTTGCTGTAGTCTTCATACTGCGACGAGACAAAGGAGGGAGCGGGTGAGTATTCCATGTAGGCCGGCATCGAAGTATGACGCTGGTGGATGCGAGCGACCTGCATTCCGTTGCGGTCATAGGACATCTGACCAAAGTCGTTCTCGCGCTTCACCGGCACGTTGACTGGATTGTACATGGCCGAACTCCCAGTGTCCTCGGGAAAGATCGACACTGACGGCGCCATCTGGGGAGGAGGCATAGCGTCAACGGTCCGAACCACTGGAGAGGTGGATGGGCCAAATGTCGTACTTGCGTGTAAAGAAAAAGATGAAGAGTTTGCTTGCTGTGCCTTCGTAAGCTGCTCGTAAAGCGACTGGGACGGGTCGAACTCGAAGGACAGAGCCGGTTCAGCAACCGCGACGGTGGTCGCCTCCTGACCCATCTTTTCTCTCTTCAAGTCGCGCTCCAGCGCGTCGAGGAACAGTCGGTCGTGCGGTACACTGTACCAGTAGAAGACCTTCTGCTTCTTCTGCGTGCGGATACAGTTGTTCTTGTACAAGAAGTCGAGGAAGGGGCTCTTGGGCTCTTCCAGCGATGCATCGGTACCGGCCTTCAGATTCCGTAGGTCAGAGAAGATACCCTCCTCGAATTTCTTGGTATTCTTGACTGGGCGGCCGAAGGCCTGGAATCGGAAGGATAAACATCGAACGATGTCGGTGCCCGAAATGTGGAAAAGATTGTTCCTGTAGGCAGTTAGTTTGTCGCTCCGTCCGGGACGGTTCTCAGGTCACCGACCAAAGGACGCAAGAGATATAGTCACCCGTTGGAAGCAAGAAGCGCCTGATACACTGATCCGGATTCCAGTCGACGGGTGCGGAGATCAGGAAATATTTGACTTTTTTTTGTTGTCAGTCAACATTCCTGGAGAAAGCGCCGGATGGGTGTGCTGCTTACGGTTGTCAACCTGCTGAAGTGCGACCTGGGCGTCCTGTGGGAGACTCTTCATAGCCTCGCTGGAAAGCATGAACGTCTCCGGCTTCTGCGGAGGCGCCATGACAGCATTCTGTTGCGGATACATATTGAAGACTGCAAACAGCGCAGGTCAGTTGAAGACGTCACTTCATTTCATTGGGTACCCCACAAGGTTGGGCAGCGGCGAGCAGACGTACCTTCCAACACGCAGCGACCGCAATTACTGGGTTAAAGAGGCCAGATCTGGCCCTGAGAACAAATGCTATATATAAAACAGAACGATAAAAAAATAACAATAGTCCCCTGTGGCGGAAAATGGTGGAACAGAAACAAAGATCTCTTAGCTAGAAGAGACTGGGCGAACGGAGATCGAACGAGCGGTCATGCGACGAGAGAGGTAAGAAGAAGCTATCGAAGCGACTTGAGGTGCCAGCCTCAAAGAGAAACCAGGACGCCGGGTTGATAGCGATTCCTGGGGGGGGGAGAAGAGGGAGATTGAGGATGGGCCAGCCCGACACGAAGAAGGCTCGATTGAAACGAAAGGAGGATGGAAAGAAACAGGGAGACCAGAGCCGACTGCGACGGCGGAAGGAGAAGAGGGCGCGGTGGTTTCCGCTTGACGACGGAGGACGCAGGGCTTTTTACACGAGGTCTGGGAAAGAAGGACGGCGGCCCAAGCGGCGGGTTGGCGGCAGAGGGGTTAAAGAAGCATTCGGTTGGAGAATTGGGAAGCAGGAATTCGGGGAGTAGTGCAGATCGAACGGGCAGGAGCGATCCGGCGAGGACGGCGAGCAGGCTGGCCCAGGGATCTTAGTCAGGCCAGAGCGGGCAGGAAGGCGCGGACCCGCCAGGGGAACAGGAAGGCGCAGGTGGGTGGTCGAGAAGGCCAGCGCTGGAAGCGAGCTGGCGGCTTTGTTTCTCGGCCCGCTATTTTTATCGTACGGTATCGTACGGCGGCCGGCGAGTGGGGTGGAGAAGCCAACCACGAGGCCAGGCACTGGCAGAACGGTACCGCGTAACAGCGGGCGGCCGGTAACGCCTGGCGGTGGCCCGGCACCAACCAGGGTCCGACGCGACAGCAGCGACCTGTCAGACTGGATACAGTTCACCGTTGTCCTGGCCAATGTAACTGCACTCGCACCGCCGTGGTGTCCGTTCTGGCAATAGCACCAGTGCGGATCCTTCAAGCATCCCTGCCAGGCATGGGACTGTGTGGACCATCCAGCACGCAGCCGACGGCCACCCACAAGCGAGCGAAGAGACGGGCTGGCTGTCCAGGCCTGGATTATTATTTATTATTATTATCACTATTATTTTTACTATTGGATGCTGAGCAAAAGATGTTGCTGCTCGAATGTCCCGACTGTGCCGTGAGGACAGAAGGAGATCGAATCGCAGTCACGTTATCTCCGTCCTGGGAAAGCAGATGGCTAGGTCTTACAAGGGGCCTCGTGATCTGATGGCATCTGTCCAGTCGGCGTCCGCAACCATCCGACAGGTCCCTGTACATGCATACAATCACCGTGTCGAATGCAGGCAGGCAGTCTTCTTCACACTCGTCCTTCCATGGGATTAGTTGTCAGTTCCTGGTCGAGTTGGCAGGGCGACAGGGGACGGTAGGGTAGGGTAGGGCAGGGCTTCAACTGGGCAGTGCTCGAGGAGTCAGGATGGATGCCGCCGGCAGATGCGCCCCTTGGCGGCGCCCGTGTGGAGAAGCGACACTGGTGCGGTGGCCAGGGAGCGCAGCCCATTGGCCAGGCAGTTCTCAAACTGGCGCGGACAAGAATCTGAAGCACCCCCCGTGTGTTTCAGAATTTCCAACAAGGCCCAGACAGCGTTCCAGAGATTGGTGCTGCTGGCCCGGGCTCTGCACGACACCGTGGATGAGGGTGGCAATCGTTCCTGTAGACGCCTGGTTGTCTGTGCCGTCGCACTGGCCAGCTGGGGTCTGCAACTGATCAATCACGATTGAAGAATGGCGAGAAGCGTGCCAGAGTCTGAATAACAATAATCTTGCCATGTGTATCGCTGTCGACAATCCCGTTGTGCTGTAGAATACGAGATACGAGATACGATTGCTAGGTAGGCATCAGAGACCCAAATTGACGGGTCACTCGTCGACATGGTGATTAATCGCCGGCCATTGACACCTAGATACTACTTGCTCTTACTTGCAATCATAATATAATTTCAGTATACGGAGTAATAATATCAGCATTATCAATATTATTATAGTCCTGCGCCTCAATTAATAGTATTACCTGTCTATCTGCCTCTATCGAGAAAACTAAACAAGTAAATTTACTTTTGTTTCTTTTCTTTTCAAAAGGTCCAGACTGTAACAGCTGTACAGTAGGCAACAACCTTCTGATACATTCCAGTTGTAGCATTCTCCGCCCGATGGCGTGCTCATTCAGACTCTAGATAGTCGATACTGGAGCAAAATCGTGAGGATCTTTTTCTTTTGTCGATAAGATTGTACAATGACGCAAACCCCGCAGAAAGAACTAGAGGGGGTTGTATCAATCTGAAACCATGGGGCTGGAAACGCGGGATTCAGTCGGACCTCCGTGTGGTCTTGCGAGGCTGGTATTCTAGATGAAGATAGAAGTCACTGGAATAGATTATCAGGTAATCATTACTTGTCTAGAACTAGCTATTCGAACGTAACCTTCAATTGACAAGACCCTAGTAGTCAATAATTCTACGCTATTCAATTCTATCCACTACTAACTATGTATGTACACAGTACTGTAGGATCCTTCTCCGTACAATCTCGTTATTACCGCTGTATATTATCAATTCTTAATATAATGCTTGTCTAGCTACTATATAAGAAACAGACACTGCTAAGTAAGGCTCAGAATAGCAATTGGTTGGCTATTTCATAAGATTTCTTTAACGCGCATAAATTATATAAAAACTATCAAGTAAACAACATTATCACTAGTACTCTACTATGTACTGTAGCAGTCCGCCTCCACGTGATAGAGTTTCTTAGTCCGTAATATCTAACAAAGAACTCAAAAGAACACTCATTTTTTGGGACACTCAAAAAGCGAATGTCAATGTCAGTAACGATGCTGGTTTGAATCGACAAAGGGCACCCCACTCACTGAGAGACTAAGGTCTGTGATTATCTATCGAATTGATTGATATCTTCGGCCCGATCTTCCGAGATTCTACGGAGGTAATAAAATAAAACGATAACCATGTTGACTACCCAAACGAGTTAACTGCGGAGTGGGAGTCCAGTCTACTTGTCTCTCGGAACTACGGGTACTCATACCTGCGACACTGCTGAGGCAGAAAGGGGTATAACAGCCTCTACTCTAGCTCTAAAATCTGTACGGCGCACTCCGCTTTGAAATTTCCTTCAATCGGATCTCAGCAGTTAGCACTGGTCATCTGTGGCTTGGTCGGAATGTGATCCTCATCTCGACGTCGACTCGTCCTGAACTGGATGAATAATGATTATACAGAACGAATTTCTGGACGAGGACTCTAGCTGCCTAACACCAATACACATATTATTGTCTTCTTCAATAATATAGGAAGAGAATAGCAAGCTAAGAACTGTCCTTAATGCTCTGCTCTACGCTGAATGATCTACGAATATACAGAATACTGAGCGCGACACCAAGTAAGAACCAAGACCCTCACAGCACAGCCGGTACAGAGTACCTCTAAAACGGTCAACCCTTCCTGATCGGCCATGGTGAAACCGTCAAAAGCGAAGCTGGCCAGTCAGGGGGCCCCTGTTTCTTTTGAGAAGTGTCTCCAGATAAACTTTAACCTCCGTTGTCCGTAAAGAGTAAAGAGATAAATACGGAGCAATAGAGTGGACCTATCGATCCAAGAAAGGAGTATGGAGTACGGAGTACTAGACAGCATGACAAAATCATATAGACCACTGTCAATCATCATTTCCTTTCCTCTCGCTTAAAAGGAATCAAGGTAATAGTCCTCAGTAGATGTCTTCCATACTACGGCCGTATGGAGTACTTAAACCCAGGTAGGCAGTAGTAAGAGACGTTAGCACGTATCCACAAGCCCACCGTCTGCCCATCCATTCGTCCCGTACCTTGCATGCGCTACATTAGCGACAATCTAAAATGCCGCAAGGGTCGTGGGGAAGAGAAGAGAAGCCGTCGGAAGCCCGGAAATCAGGACCGGTCCGCGACCACTGACAGTTAGCTAGCTTTTTTGACCGTTTGTACGGAGTACAGTAGCCTTGCCTTGTAGGCAGTTAGTATGTAGTTAGTTAGTTTAGACGTTGCCAAGTATGGAGTACTCCGTAAGGCCGTCGGAGAATTTACTGTTTTTGCTCTGTCTTGGCATCCGACAGGCTACAGCTGGCATATGGAGAACTATCGATTGACCATTATTTGAATCTACTTCTAAAGTTTTAGCAATTGTGGCTTTGCAGGTTTACGGTTTACTCCGTACATCCAGGTCCCACGTGGATGGGAGACGTTTCCTGCAAGCTCGCTACGGAGGAACTGCCAAATTGTCAAGGCTCTTCACAGGCTGTGCTCGACCAAAAAGTGTATCGCTCCGATGACAGCATCTACCTCCGTAGGCACTGACCACGTCGTGATCACAGCACAGTATATAGGCTCGTAATTCATACCAATGCTCTCCCTTTCATCAATTCGAGCGACAAATAAATACAGTAAGTACCGTGGACCGTGCCCCATACAGCCGTAGACTAGCAGTCTAGCGAAGCTGCCGGATGTCGATCCACGATATGAATCAAGTACGGAATACTCTGTACAGAGTAGACTGTACTCCGTACATACGTACGCATGTAGATCAGTTGAGATGGACGGAGTAGGAGTAAGCTCAAAAATGAGAGCTGAGACAGTAGAAAAAGAAAACAGTTCTATACCATTCTGCCACGTTTCAGAATTCCAGATCCTGTTCTTCACGAGAAAACCATACACTCCTGCCGTTGTCCTCCTGTACAGATTCCTCCGTACAGGGTATATAGTAAAAGGCCCAACCAGCCAGTTAGCAAGCGGCCACCTGTAGCCGTTACTGTACCTAAAGACCCAAGTAAGCAAGCAGGTGGGTAACCTAAGTACCGACCTGCAGAACCTGAAACATGCCAGAATTTAGGAAAAGATGGATCAGGTAGCAAGTTGGGATTTAAGTTTCTGGCTACTGCAAGTCACTGGTCACAACGGGCAGGCCGCAGGCTGCAGGCTGCAGGCACATGGGAATTTACCTACTGTGGATGGAGGAGTACTTCCGTGCCTGGTTCAAAGTTTGAAGTTATAAGGCATGCGAGGATGAGAAGATGCCTTAGCTGGAGCCTGGACCTGTATGTATGTACATACTTGGTTACTTCGGCATGTCACAGGTTGCGGGAGCACGTTCCAACTTCCAACCTTCTTTCTCGCGTTTACGGAGTGCTTGCACTGTTAACTGCCGAAGAATGAAAAATGGAGTGGACTGTGAACTCCGTACTCCGTCGTACTGTACAGGCAAACCAAGCCATATGACGACACCTATCAAAAGCCAGATAGTACCTATAACGCCCAGAAGTATGTTTATATAATAATAACACTTCTATTAACATTAATTAACAACAATATAATAATAATAATATTATTATTATTATATTATTAATAACGGAGCCCCTACAAAATTCCAACTTCATGCAGGACGAGTCAGAAAAAAAATAATAAAAAGTTGAGGAAAAGTGAGGCATCATCTATCTACTCCGTATCTCGCGGAGATAACCGGAATATCGGGTAAGTGCCAGGTACCTGTCCGATTAATACTAAACTGTATATTCTCCGAAATAGTTACTACAGAGTAGAAAAAAAAGGTTTACACCGTCGACCGTTAGACCCGATAGACAGACAAGTGTGAATCGGAGAATTTTTCTCAATTCTGTTAATAATAGCTTTGTTTTCCTTCATGCATGAAAAACACAAAAAATATTAAAATTAAAAATCCCCCTACTATATACATATGTGGGTTCGTTCATCCTTCGGATGGAAGCACGAATCTCTTATGTACTCCGTAGTCCGTACGGTTTATGGACCCTTGGCGATGGATCATGGATGCCCTGCACAAACTTAAGCGAGTTAGAACTTCCCACAACACTCGCTTATGGCCTTATATATGTGGTCGATGGGAATTTTAAGATGATGATAGTCTGTCTGATGGATAGGGGTGGCCTAATTACGGAGGATTGCCGCCGACTTAGTAGAGTAAGGAGTGGCTGGCTGATGACGATCTGACAGCACCCCGTGCGTAACGCAGTCAATTTGCTAGCTAACCTATCTAAACGTCCACAGACCAATTCATTCTAGGAACTGACCGGTCAGATCCGATGTCCATAGCCGTCGTGTGCAGTCTTCCCTCAGTTTCAGTACTTCGTACTCCGTAGACAACTACCGAGAAATTCGACGGCCGGAGCTCACTACTCAAAAGGTTTGGGCCGATATGGTAGTCAATTCCCAGCCTTCGGATTGTTTCCCAAACAAAACGTGAGACAACGCATTTGAGACATCGCCTCACTCTCATCTTCAGTCTTAAGCGAAGGCCTAAGCGCAAACAGACTTTTTCGGTCTGTTTGGAACGAATCCTGCCGCCCGAATTGAGTACGGAGTAAACGGGCATCTGGCACTCAAAATTGAGTCGAAACGGATATGCCGACTCTTGACTCGAATAGAGGTGTGGTGGTAGCGGTGCTGGCAACAATTGTCGTCAGGTTATCTATGTCTCTGGCATGCTGTATGATGCTTCGATCGTCATCGATGTGTTTCTGTTTATCCTTCTTGCCTCAACGACGGCCTTTCTTTCCACCCCCGGATACGTTCGAAGTCCCTGTGATGCTCATCAAGTCCCGCTTGCTGAGCCTCAAAGTCCCTCCCGCAAACTTCCCGACAGCTGGCCCCCCGATCCCTCGTTCTCTTCGTTTGGGTTTGTCCTTCTTTTTGGAGGTAGGCTTCTCAAGGATGATACCATTCTCTTTCGCTTCCTGACGTCGTTTCGCTTCTTTCTTTTCCGCCTTGGCGATGATACCTTTCCGATGCGACATGGGCATTTTCTCCTGCTCATACAGCGATTTTTTGGCACCGAGTGACTGCATCCGCAGATCAAGGGCCTTGAGCCGATTTTTACCCGTGGGGTTCAGATCGTATGCGGAATCCAAAAGGTGGGATTCCTTAAGTAGACGCTGCAAGGCGAGATCGTTCTTCAGATTTTCTGCATCGAGGGCGTCTTCCTCGTCATCTTTGGATTTGGTAGATGTAGATTTCGTCGTTGAGGGTTCGGATAAGGACGGGGGTTTCGCTGTCTGTACAGACATAGAATCAGTATCAAATGTAATTTGCATGAATTGCGAATTCAATTTGACTCACCATGAAAGCCTGACGAGCTTTCTTGTCCAGCGTAGGTACTGTCGCGTCTCGGGTATCTGTGTGTTCAACAACCTCGACCTGCGGTTCATCCTCATCTTCGTCCGTGATTCCCTGCCATTCTGGTTCTGACTCTTCTTCTGAATCTTCATCTGTGTTCTCTTCTTGTGCGACGGTGGGTTTTCTGACCGGGGCCGGGTCTAGAGGCTGGAATTTACTCTCGAAGAACCGGCGAAAGATGTCGTGTGAAGCATCAGCCGTCGCCGTTGGGGTATCGTCCGTGTCCGATCCCGCGTCGCGGGACACCACAGTGGTGTCCCGCTTTCTTTTCCCTGGCATTTCTTGCCTTTGTTCTTGTATTCTGTTGGTAGGTAGTATATTGTTAGCACCCCGAAGGAAAAAAAAGGCGGGAAGATTCGAGATCACGTGCGATAAGATAAGCGCCAAAGTGTGCGCAATTGCAAAGACGTCCGATTGACTGTCCACGAGAACTATATTTCTGCGAGTAGCACATCGAGGCTTAACGTCGAAATGACTCGCTTCCGGCCTTGCATTGACCTGCACTCGGGGCAGGTTAAGCAAATTGTTGGAGGAACATTGAGTAATGAGCCAAGCGACTTGAAGACAAACTATGTCTCGAAGCTCCCCACCAGTCACTATGCCGCATTGTACAGGGACCATGACCTCCGTGGCGGACACGTTGTGATGCTTGGTCCAGGCAATGAAGAGGCTGCCAAAGAAGCGCTGAGAACCTGGCCGGGAGGCCTCCAAGTGGCCGGGGGGATTACTGATAAGAATGCCCAGTATTGGATCGACCAAGGCGCAGAAAAGGTACCCCGCACTTGTTTATGAACTCATTCCAATTATTCTGCTTGTCAGCGTTATGTCTCTATTTATTTTCCCGGAATTTTGGCTCTATCTGGTTATTATTATTTTATTTTATTTTCGTCTTTTGTTTGGTACTCGCACATTGCGCCCTCTCAGCTAACGCCCCGCTCCAAACCCGGTCAATAGGTCATCATCACATCGTACCTTTTCCCGGGAGGCAAATTCTCTCTTGAACGCCTAAAGGCAGTTCTCTCCGCTTTAGGAAACGACAAGTCCAAGTTGGTCTTGGATCTGAGCTGCCGAAGAAAAGGCGACACGTGGTATGTCGCGATGAATCGATGGCAGACGATCACCGAGATGGAGATCACGCAGGGTTAGTATTGCGCATTTCTCTATGTGATTTTTTTTTCTTTGGCTGCTTGTAGTGCTCATGTTTTCACAGAATCTATATCGATGCTGGAACCATATTGCTCCGAATTCCTGATTCACGCAGCAGACGTGGAGGGCTTGCAGCAGGGTATCGATGAGGAACTAGTCTCCAAACTCGCCCAGTGGTGTTCGATACCGGTCACCTATGCAGGAGGCGCACGAAACCTCCAAGACCTAGAAAAGGTTTATGTTAGCAGCGGAGGCAAGGTCGATCTGACCATCGGCAGTGCTTTGGATATATTTGGTGGGTCTGGCGTGACATTTGATGAGTGCGTAGAATGGAACAAGAACCATTAGAAATAACGCTCTACTTTAATTAACTCGATCCTCTATTTTTATAGCATGTCGTGTATCGCAATAAAGGAAAAGAGGAAAAAGAAGTGCATTGTTCATTGTAATAACTCATTTATATATCTTTGCAATATGGCAGCCGTTCTCGATTGATCGCTCCGCCATTGGTAGAACATGATCAATGAAAAATAATATAAACAGCAGGAGTACTAATTAATCAATTAATCAAGTCCATATGGAGCAGAATATAAAAGAACAAAAACCCTGGACGTATGTCGCATTGCAGGTGTACATACAATAATACCCAAAACAGACTAGCCTATGACACCCTTCCCGGTCGCGGCCCGGGTGACTTTGACGCCCGGAGTGCATGTGCTCCGCCATCGCATCGCCCGTCGCAGCAGCTCAGCGTTGAGGTCTTTTCATATCCCACGTTATCTCGGTTCTATATCCTGGCGGCTGTCTAAGTCTGCTTACAGACGCGGCCAATTCGACTCGAGTGTGTGGCACTCACCGACAGACCTTCCCCCTCCTCCTCCCTCCTTCCTACATCATACCGCTTCTCCGCTTCCCGTCAAGCTCGTCGAGTGAACATATCTCTCTGAGGTCGCCAATATGAAGCCCGTCGTCTCTGCCCTGAACGCCTGGAGCTGGTGAGACTTGCACAAATAACTCCATACGAAAATTGCACCGTGAACGACACGGACCAGCTAACCCGGTTTTCCGTGCACAGCGTCATCATCTCGTTCTTCGCAATCATCATCCTTTCCATCCTCGGATCTCTATATCGGGTTCGTACTTCCCACCTCCCCGCCTGACTCAATCATGAAGAAAACGCGATAGCCCGTCCAGGACATATTCTGTGGTCATCGGGTTAATATGAGCTAAGCTAATACCGCGCGGGATTCCAGCAAAACCACCCCTCCTTCACCGGCTCAGAAGGCGATCCAGAAGACGGCGCTGCAGTCGCCGGCTCCATCTTCACGGCTGTGTTTGTATATATCGTATGTGGACGTCCATCTCCAACTTACCATAGTGGTGGATACATTTGCTGATATCGTGGATCAACGCACAACAGGCCTTCTTTATCTTCTGCAGTTTCCAGGCTTATCTCCATGTGCGGAGCAACCGGAGAGGTGCTATATCGTTGAACTGAACTGAACTGAATGGGTGTGGGAATATAATGATGGGTTGGAAGTCACAACTGTCAGTGGTCATGATGGAGTCAGTCGTTGTCCTTCAGTCCAGGTGATGAAAGAGTCTGGACATAAGCCCAATCTGTGAAAAAACAGTTGCTGGGCTTTTTTTTCCCCCACTACCTTTTTTTTTGACGAAATGGTGTATCTATTTCATCGGAATGTTTTTCCCTCGTCAGGTCAGTTCTCTTTCCCTTTTTTTTTCTAATTGAAGCGGCCTTTTTTGGGTGTCTTATCATTAGACAAATCAGATCCGTTGCTTGGTCGGATTGAATTTGGATATACATCATATCATCATAAACCCACGTGTCGTAATTCAAGGTTCTATCTAAGTTATCATCTAGCTCGTTCGTTTTCTCGGTATCACCCAAACTCCGAGGCAAACCTGCATATATACAACACAACCAAAACCAGCCCTGAACACCGTAAATGCAGAAAATTGTTCTTTTTATCATGATACAGCATCAATTGCATATACATGGTTCATTTCCTCCATGTTTGTAGGAAGAACAGACCTTCTGTTGGCCAAACGAAATAATCATGTCCTATCACTCTTCATCAAGAGGATCCAGCATCTTGGACATGTACGGTCCATCAAGGTGGTAACCAAGACGGGCATAATAGCTGCGAACACCAACACCCGAAATGACACTGATCTTTCGGCTGCCGTGTTCCTCCCTCGCAATTCGCTCAGCTTCCTCCATCAGAAGCGTTCCAAAGCCGCGATGCTGGAACTTGCGCTCATCTCGGCCGTGCAATGGCACTGCAAGACCATACACATGGAGTTCCCGGACAATACTGGTCTGCTGGCCGGTGAGTTCAGGACGGAATGTATGGGTGGGACTACACTTCCGCAGGCGCAGCAGGCCGATCAAAATGTCTTGTTTCGGATCTTCGTAGGCTAGGAAGGTCTCCCAGCCGCCGTTGGCCATATAGTCGCGCCGGACAAGCTCAATCTGACCTGGCCGAATCTTATTCTTGACCTCGTTGATCCCCACCTCCCTTGTTCGCACATCGCGGCATGTCGTGCCAAAGTCCTTCATTCTGCTCAGAGCCAGTTCACGGAGATTGCCGTTTTCGACACCAGAGGTAACCAAAGGCATGGGAATGTCGCGCTGGACACGATAGATACGGGTCCACGGGGGAACGAGGGCTAGAATCCGAGCCACAAGGTCGATCAATGCATTGGGCGTGTAGTTCTTGTAACGTCCCGTTCGCCACAGCTCGTAGAGACCTGTGCCGCGAATGACCAGCGTGGGATAGATCTTGAGACCATCCGTCCGGAAGGCGGGGTTCTCGAAGTACTCGCGGAACTGCTCGAGATCCCGTTCCATGCCCACGTTAGGAAGGTCAGGCATCATATGGCTGACGACCTTAAACCCCGCATCTTTCGCAAGCTTGAATGTTTCTGCGACGGCAGCGACAGTGTGACCTCGGTTCGTATCTCGTGCGACATCCTCGTATAGACTCTGCACCCCGATCTCTAACCTCGTGCAGCCATAGCGGAGCATGGCACTCAGGTGCGTATCCAGACAGTAGTCTGGCCGTGTTTCGATTGTGATTCCCACACATTTGATGTTGCTCATTTCTCCGGCTTGCACAGCTTCGTCGACATTGTCCGTTTGATACCCGCTCAAGGCGTTGTGCAGCTGCGCTATGAAGGATTCTCTATAATCCTCTGGAAGAGACATGAACGTGCCGCCCATGATAATGTATTCGACCTTATCCACGCTGTGTCCGAGCGACCGGATCTGGTCAACACGACCCCGAGCCTGCTCAAAGGGATCGTAGCGAGCGCGGATTGCGCGCATCGACGTCGGCTCATAGCCCGTGTAAGACTGCGTCGAATATTCGAAATCGGAGTCGGGACCACCAGGACAATAGACACAGATGTTCCCAGTGTAAGCGATGTGTGGGCAACGGTGCGGTTTACACATAACCGCGACGACGGCGATGCCGGATGATGTCCCTAGTATCTACGAGTCAGCATCCACCACGTCAGGACAACCCATGGAGCTCAACGTACGAATAGGCTTCGCAATCAACTTGGGCAAAATATACTTCTTATAATGCTCAGGCACAGCGGCGATGATGGCCGTCAGAGGCGGTTGGGTGCTCAGACAGTGCTTCTTGGACACTTGACCCCGCAGTTTGTTCAGATTGATATCTTTCTTCGGTTTCGTAGGATCGCGCTGGGCCTCATATTCCTGGATGAGAGCATTTGCGATGTCTGAGCAAGCCCGCATGTATCGCTCGTTCTCTGGGGGCAGCTTGGCCTTTTTGTGCAGCTTGTGCTGCGACTTAGGCGGCATGGTCATGGTTTCGGTCGCCATCTTGAAAAATTACCCACGCGATCGTGGGCAAAAATAAAAAAAAGACAAAGTACAAGCGCGCAACCTTTTAATGAAAAATAAACTGGAAGAATGCTAAGCGATCGTGCATCAAATGTGAAGTCGCTTGGCCGTCCGTATCGAGACTGATGGCGATCGCGGGGAAAAAAAGATGTTGGCGATGGTAACCGATAAGTCTGGCCGGGGGCCGCGACGCATCGGAAGCGCTTAAGCTTTATCCCCCTTGGCGCAACGCAACCTCGGAGAAAACCTCCAGCTTCTGGCTGGTCTCGTAGCGTCTTTTTTTTCGCTCACCAACCCAACATCGCCATTCATTGCCATCTTCCTTTCTCATACCCTCCCTTCTTTCGAATCGGCCGTTGCAGCCATGCAGCCCTTCCGCCGCTACACCTTCTCTGCTCTGCAGAAGGCCACGGTGCAACGACGAGGATATGCCGCGGTCAGCAACGCTTATGCCTCAACTGTCAAGAACCTTCGCATAAACCAGGACACCAAGGTCATCTTCCAGGGATTCACGGGAAAACAGGGAACGTACGTTATTAATCCGTCTACCCTATGTTGATAGATGTGTTTGGTGCTGACAGCTGTGGGTCTCGATAAAGGTTCCACGCCGAACAAGCGATCGCATATGGTACGTTGAACCCAGCTGAAAAGATATAGCCACGACGGAGTCGCTCATGAGACTTCAGGTACCAATGTTGTTGGTGGCACGAATCCTAAGAAGGCTGGCACCACGCATCTGGGAAAGCCCGTCTTTGCTACAGTCAGAGAGGCAGTGAAGGAGACTGGAGCTACAGCTTCTGCTATCTTCGTTCCGTAAGGATCTGCAAGGAAATGTATATGTCGCTGAGTGGGCTGACAACCAAACAGCCCACCTCTGGCCGCAAAGGGTATTGAAGAAGCAATTGAGGCCGAAGTTCCTCTCGTTGTTTGGTTTGTTTACCGCTCCTCTAAATCGTTAATGCCAACTGGGGTTGCTAACCTGGTCTTTTTTTCAGTATCACGGAGGGCATTCCGCAGCATGGTATGCTAGTTATTCTACAGTCTGCCAGGTCGATGCTGACAACGATGTGATCAGACATGGTGCGCATTACGGATATCCTGAAGACACAAAACAAGACTCGTCTAGTCGGACCCAACTGCCCTGGAATTATCGCTCCGGTATGTTTATACTGTCGTCTTGGGTCTGATATGAGGGTTTACCTGACACTTTTCAATAGGGCCAATGTAAGATCGGTATCATGCCTGGATTCATCCACAAGCGCGGCCGTGTTGGCATTGTCTCCCGTTCTGGTACCCTCACCTACGAAGCTGTGAACCAGACCACCCAAGCCGGTCTGGGTCAGTCTCTTGTCGTCGGCATTGGTGGTGATCCTTTCTCGGGCACCAACTTCATTGACTGCCTCAAGATCTTCCTTGAAGACGAGGAAACCGACGGTATCATCTTGATTGGTGAGATTGGCGGTAGTGCCGAAGAGGATGCTGCGGAATTCCTGAAGAGCGAAAACAAAAAGAACAAGCCCGCGGTCAGCTTCATTGCCGGTATCAGCGCTCCTCCAGGCCGACGAATGGGTCACGCTGGTGCCATTGTTAGCGGAGGCAAGGGTGGTGCCGATTCCAAGATTGCTGCTCTGGAAGCCGCAGGCGTCATCGTTGAGAGGAGCCCGGCCTCTCTCGGCAAGACTCTTCTGGCTGAATTTGTGAAGAGGGACCTTGTCTAAGGGATCTTCTTCGACATGTTCTTTCTAGCTGACTACGCTCCGTTCTGAACTCTGACCTTGGGGACGCGTAAATTTCCGTAGGTCACTGTACAGAAGGGTGTGAAGGCGGAAGGATCGTGTTGTGGCTGGGAGATTTTGTTGCCTTTCTAACTTGGCTTTCTGTCTATCTATCTTTTTTTCCCTTTGTGTTTGCGGTTGCAGGTGTGTAGAAGGCTAATCTACTTCGTGTATAACTCCGTCTATATTCCCAATAGAAGTGTGTTCAGTTTCCATTCCAGGTCGTGCATTTGTGTTCCATTATAATTGTATTGACCTAGTGCAGTGACTCAGAATTGTTGTCCCGTGCGAGGTAAATCTGGTTATTGAAGTGAGACAAATAGATAGAATAGACAATAGTTCAGAAATTCCTGAAGGGGATATAGTCAAATCCTAGTCTTATTGTGACTTATGGCTGTAATTATTCTTCCCCTTTTTTTTTCTTATTTTTTTCCCACTCTCTTAATTTTTATTTTGTTTTGTACTGTACAATGTTTCGAAGGAGCAAATATATGGTGTCCACGTGTAAAACAAGACGTTCGCCATTGTCATAGGTCCTCTCGAAATGACGCCTGCTTTGTAGGATCTCCTATCTTTTTAAATTCTACCCTTCAGAGAGGAATGGTAGGAAGCGAATTCCGAATCTAGGGGATTTGGAGAGTAGATCGAACCATATGATAGCATCCCATGGTTGTAGTCATAAATCATCGCTTCATCATAAGGCCAAAGTATTGCAAGACGGCGAGATTGAACTGTCTCAACGGTGAAAGCGCATGACAGATTGAGCACTGACAGTCGTATAGGATCCTGCTATCGAGCTCAATAATAATAATTATTTAATAAGCCCATTGTTGACTGGCATTCCGGAATGGAAGTAGGCTGTGGGGGCCGGTTACATAAACATTGTTGGATGGAACCACGTGACTCCAGCCACCAACCCAAACAATGGGGACTCGGTTGCTTGAGGAACGGCCGACTCTGTTTATCCTCTTCTCCCTGCATTTCGATACTATCTCGAGGCCTTTGCTACGCGGCGGCAACGACCAACCCCATCGGGTCTGATAGGGCATCTTGGACCCAGTAGCGACTTGTCTGCTTTAGTTTGGAGCTGCCGGTGATCTTCGTTCTCGCCATTGACGGCTCAGGCGGCTGAATTGTTGATGTGGGTTTGAAGGATCAAAACACCAGTCAGAATCTGCCACCACTGCTCGCGCCAGCAACGCAGGTTGATATTGTTCAGTTCGCCCGGGCTCTCAGAGACATAATATGCCTCCCGATATCGGTGAGAATTGGGAACTCCCTTTTTCCATGAGTGCGGCGTCTGCTTCTTGTGTTTTGCTTTGTGCCGAGCTAATGGACCTAAACAGATCGAGCGCACTCGCAAAGCTCGAGTGCTATGTCACAACCCCCCCAGATGGGGTCGCAGAGTCGTCCGGGCACGGCAGACCCGATGCGATCGCGATCCAACACTGCCGTCTCGAAGGGAGGTCGCCGTCCTAGATCCAGAGGTTCGACGGCAAGCATACATTCCAGCACCACGCAGCAGACACAGGATCAACATATCGGCGAAGGGTTCTCTCCATTCATGACCTCGCAAGCTGGACCAGGTCATCATGTATTCAACACGAATCCAGAGGAGATGATCATGCGTTTTGGGCAGCAGCTGGCCCATCCGACTAGCGGAGGCTCCCTTGATCCAACATTACATGAAACTCACGGCAATGTAATGCCTCGAGCAGAGGACTTCCAGGGCCATTCATTGCCAAACCACGGCTTACCCCACACTTCTTTGGCTCCTGAAATGGTGCCTCATGGGCTGCAGGGCATGCCTGTGCCGCAGTATCCCTCCATGTATGATAACTCCATCCCAGAGCACATACCGGAGCGCGTGGTCGATGAAAATGAGAACTCGGAAGCCGGTGCTCGAAAGAAACGGGGATCGACCTCAACCGTTGCAAATGACAATGAATTGCGTAAGCTGCTGCGTCAGTACGAGGGTTATACGTTGAAGCAGATGGCAGCAGAGGTTCAGAAACACGAAGGCGCGGGGGGAAAGTCAGAGAAAGTCAAGCAGGTTTTTGCCATGCTTTGGTGAGTACACGAGTGCCTGTCACCGGAATTGCTGCTAATCTCTCTTTTTCTCCTGTCATCTAGGTTGAAGGAAAACTGCCGAAAAAGCAGCGGGTCTGTTCGAAGGGACCGCGTGTACTGCTGTTATGCAGAGAGGTGTGGGAGCGAGCATGTCTCTGTCCTTAATCCTGCTTCCTTCGGAAAGCTTGTTCGCATAATTTTCCCTAACGTTCAGACTCGGCGACTTGGTGTCCGTGGGGAGTCGAAATACCACTACGTCGATCTCACAGTCATCGAAGACAAACAGCAAACATTTTCTTCGAATACTCAGGATCAGTCAAATGTGAATGGACCATCTGGTACTGATGGCAAAGCAATTGAACCTGCAATTCGCCCGAGAAGGTAGGATAACATGCCAGAGTTGAAAATCATGTACTTACAAGCTCTCTAGTGTAAGCATTTCACAACCTCCTGCGGATACAGCAGTTTTCCCATCGCCAACCACATCCTTCACACCGAAGTTCCCTGTTGTCGCCTCAAACACAGGCTGCACATGCGATTCTCAGTTCCGATCGAATTTCAACTCGACGATAACTCTCGAGAATGTCGCCAGCCAGACAGGACGGCTGATCCGCCAGATGCTCCATTTTCCTTCTTCGAACGAGACTTCTGTCGATAATGAGTCACTAAAACTGCCAGATATCCGCGGTTATCTTCCAGCAAATACTGATCTGAAGGTTGCGGACGCGCTGGCAACACTCTATCGCACACACTGCATCTCTGTCATCGACAGTTTCCGGTTCTGCAAGGAGCGGAATCTTTTTCGGCATTTTTCGGCTTTCCATGGTACCTTGACCGTCCCCGTACAGAAACTTCTCACGCATCCCAACCTTGCACCTTGGATAAAGGAATGCGACTGGCTTATGTACCAGAAAATGATTGAATTCGTGGCGCCACTTACCACGCAAGTGGTACCAAGACCAGTGCTTGACGCTTTTGGTTCTATCTCACAACGGCTTACTGGACACATCGCAGAAACATTCAAGTCTCATCCAGTGCATGTAACTTTGGCAAGGCTGGCACCGGCGCATATTTTCTGCAACCTTCTGAAACATGTACTGGATGTCAATCAATCTGCTATCGCGGCAGCTGCATGGCTTTGTCACTCTGACAATCGCAACCAAATGTGGCTCGATTTCGCCACGTTTGTGGACCCCAAAGAGATGATTTCTAGAGCAAACATTCCGGCCTGTGCAGAAAAAGCCACTGAACAGATCTTGAAACATGACGTTCGAGCTCTCCTTACACCCTTGGACAACCACAATCCGCCTTCCGTGCAGTCATTCTTTCAGCAGCCTGATGAGGATTCGAAGGCCCACAAATACGCCGTAGAACCCACCGTTGGTGATGAATACAGTTTTCCCGACAAATGGATTTCGTTCATTCTGAACCTTCCTAACATATTCCCCAACCATCCTGCCCAATGCATTGTTGACACGGTGGACAAATTGTGGGACTGCATCCTGCATCGACTGACACTAGCCGGGGCCCAGAGCTTCAGCGCATGGTGGATAACCAAGGTCTTTTTTCATGAGATGATGTTGTGGCAGGTCGAAAAGGGTGGATTTATGAAACATACTCCTAGTTCTTTGCAGAATACGCTGGCGACGTCGGCATCGACAGGGCGCGGGAATCAACTCGTGAGGCAGCCAAGCTACTCGATGCCCGGGAAAAATGAATCTTTGAATACGTCCGGAAATCAGACAAACGATTCCAGGCCCGAGACAGCTGGCAGCAATGTGTCAGGAAATGCTGGACATTCCACGGAAGGGAATTCGAATCCCAGCAACGCAGTGAACGACAAGTCCGTGACGCTATCTGAGAGTATGGGCAGTCTTAATGCTACGAACAATGATGATAGTGCTATTGACCTAGATGACGACTCGATGCTGATGTCTGTCGGCAAATACGGTGATATGATGGCATCCGACACGGCCGATGCTGACGGAGATGTTGTCGTCATATAAATGGCCATGTCTCCTCATGTCCTATCTCTGTATTTGCTTCTTTCTTGGATTAAAAAGGGCAAAAGAAAAAAGCAAAAAGCTTGGCTTGTCTGGTTAGGAGTTGGATTTTCTCTTTTTTTGTCTTCTTGGGATATGATTTCTTTTTTCTTTAACTTTTTTTGGGATTCGGCGAAAGGGTTTATCAGGATCAGCAAAAGCGAGGCCCAGCATCTTTCTTTTTTCAACGGTCTTCTGCATGAGCGATGATGAGGAACGAGTATGAATTCCGATGACTGACTTCGATATCGCACTGTTCCCGTCCGTGAGTGAGTCACATTCATCACGACGCACACGACGTTATAATATCGGGTGATTTTTTGATTGTTATAGGGTTGTTTGTTTTCAAACCCCTCGAACTGCCGGTTTCTTTTGCTGCTGTCGCCGCCAGAGACCGACACGACCGAACCCGTTTTCTTGTACATACTACATGCATGCAAACTTCTTCTCTCCCACCTCTTTTTTTTTCTTTATTTTCGCTTCGTTGGTATGAATTTACAATCATTACGTCTCTTTAACTCCGATTTGATTCCCATTCCTTTTTTTCTCCTTTTTTTCCTCTTTGGCATGTGTGGTTAGTAGATGATGGGATCGTTTTGCGCTTTTTTTATTTTATGAGTTTCAGCTTTCAGCTTTCAGCTTTTCCTTTCTTTTTTCTTTTTTTTTCTTCATGGATTGTATCTTCTCGTTATTTTTTCATTTTAGTGCTATTACTTCGAATGAATGAATGAATCCATCCAAATCTTCTTTTTTTTCCCGATCAACTTTTTGAGCTCGTACCTGGCGTATGTGTAGTATTATATATCTGCACGCCTTTGTTGTGTTGGTTTCCTTTTAAAAGCAAAAGGGTATTATTGAGTTATAGCTATTATCGAATGCATGCATTCATGCATTCATTCATTGATTTGATTTGAATTAATTTCTACTTGCTACTGTAGTTCCGTTGTCTCGACGTTGTTGCTCGCTCCATCTGTGGAAATCTCTAAAATCCTACGCCGAGTTATAGACAGACGAGGTAGATAGTAAGATAGCGAACGAGCTGGTTGAGCATGAGAGATGAGAGTTGAGTAGTACAGTCGTCAAGGAGTCATAATAACTAGCCATATCGTAAATGAAGAGATATCTAATAGTACATGTTTTCTGTTCAAAACAGTACTACAACAGCAAAACCCGCCACTGGGCCCCAATGCTATACTCTATCAAACGAATGTCGTAGCCGTTCGATATGGGGGAAAAAAAAGGAAGGTCATATCATATCTCCCATCAGTTCATCACGACGGAGAGAAAGAATCCGATCGTTTCTTTTAAATAAAGCCATCATATGAATTTTCTTTTTAATTCATTCTGTCCGAATCGTAATCAATCACGTTACCTGAACTGGCCCGCAGGGAAGTATCGTGGACCTGCAAAACCGTAGACAATGATGCTCTGAATGTCAATGTTGCCTCCCTTATAGGGGCTAAACAGTTTGATCAATATGAATTTGCCGGAACTATGTCATGTCAGTAGACGTGGGCAATCAGTCACAAATGGCAGGGTTGACGTACGGTGGCGGGTCGAATTTAATGCTGACCATGCTTTTGTCCCGCTCGATGAAAAATCGAGCGTGTGGTTTCATCACCTCAGGGGTATGGGAAGCTCCGCCCGCCTGACTCGAGCTTCCTCGGGCCGGAGGCCCAACCGGCTCTATCAGACTGGGAGCCATTCGTCGCCTCCGTAGTATATCATCCTGCCCGCGAAGAGCTCTCATTTGTCGCCGCATTTCGAGACGACCACGATTGAAGGCGCTCAGCTCATTGTCATCATCGCTCTCACTCTCTTCATCCTCAGGGCAAAGCAGGTCATCTTCAAATTGCTCCATATCCATCCGTTCTATCTCCGTGGCTGAGGGCAGGTCATCGTCATCCTCCCTGTTTTCGTCACCGCCATCCTCGGACTTGTCGTCATAGTCTGTGGTCACTCTGAACTCGGGAACCGGGTTGTCCGACGTTGAACCCGGGTAGTATTGACCTGCTCTTGTTGTTGCGCTCGACTCCATTTCGGAATCAGAATAATGATCAGAATCCGTCAACACGGTCCTCTCCAGTGCTTGCAGTGGATACCGATATGAATTCATGTACTCTAGGGAAGGTCGAGATCCTGGTCCCCTGTTACGACGGCATCTCCGGCGATGTGGCGAATACTGAATCTGGTATTGCTCTGTGCGTTCTAGCAATCCATCCGAGGTCATCGAGACGAATATCATGCCTTCTTGGATACTGTTAGGCGCAGACGTAAGCAGACTATACATGAAACGTTCCAAGTAGCGGAGGAGACATACGGAGCATCGAATCCAGACTTGGGGGCCTTGATGACAATCTTCTTCAGGCAAAAAGGAGTCTCTCCACGATGCCTCAAGATCAGGTTACACCGGTCACTTTTCGTGCAGTAGACGGACGAGTCGTTGAGCAACACGTTCTCCGGCCAAGAGCTTTCACCATTGTCGCCGCAATAGGTTCCCCCATCGCAACTGGCAATCTCCATTTTCAAGGCTCCCGGAACCACTTGGCCGTAATGCCCATAGCTGAAGCCCCGCAGGCCTTCTCTATTATCGTCTGAATCGAGCTTGCGTCGCTTGGCCCTCCATCCATTCACCTGAGAGTCCATGGGATGATCCGGAACGAGAGGGCTATCCCACTCGAATTCGGGAATTGCTGGTGAATCAAGGCGGGGAATAGCCTCATCAAGAGCGGAGGCGATGGCTGCATCTGCATCTCCGATCCTCGCAGCGGCCTGCTGGAGTCCTCGCTGGAGACCTGTGAGCCCATCCAGATCCATGTTGCCAGTTCTGTTCGTTCTGCCGTCTCTGAGTCTTGCCAGAGACTCGCTCGGCCTCAGCCCACGGCGCCTCTGACGGCTGGTAGACGGGTCTGGTTCCTGCTCCATCAGTGAATTACGTTGCCGCTCACGGTCCGGGATCCGTCGACGGATACGATCAGCCCTCCGGGTAGAAAAGTCGGACTGGAGCTGCTGTAGCTGTCGATCGACAGCCGCCCGAGCCTGTTCGTAGTTAGATCGGTCCCGGACACGGTCCGAGCGGAGCTCCTCGAGCTCTTGGTTGAGCGTTTCGAGAGCACGGGCGGTCGTTTCGCCGGATCTTTCGCGAGCACGTTCCGAGACTAGAAGATCCCGAAGATGCTGCAGTCGAGCAGCGACGTTGGGATGGCCTTGGGGCCGTTCGGAGGCAGAGCCACGAGGGGCGCGACTGGAAGCGGGAGGATAGTCGAAGTTTCCCGACTAGAGAAGGGAGCACGGTCAATATTGGTTATATGGGCATCGACCAGCTTCCCTCCATCGTTAGGACGGACCAGCCTTGAAATTATAACTCTGGGGGAAAGATGGCAGAGGACTGCGTGCAAGGCTCTGAGAACGTACCATAGCTGGGCAGGTGGGGACGCCAGAGGAGCTGTCCAAATAGACGCCTCGAGATAAGCCGAGTATCCAACTGGCAACGATAACTTGCCAGCTACGCCAGCTGCAGATGAGAAAGGATGGATGGAGTGGAAAAGGGCGAGCCTGGGGAGGGCGAGGAGAGGAGAGAGGATGACGGACGGGAGGTGGGACGGGCCACGGTCGAGTGACGAGTGCTGTGCGAGGAGAGGAGGTGGGCGCCCACAGCTCGATCTGCACTAAGAACCTAACTACCAAGCTCGTTGGCAGTCGGGTTCCTGCGGAGGAGTCTCTGGCTCAGTTACGGACGAGATTACGGAGGAGCAGGCAATTATTAATGGATTAATTAAATGCACCGCGCGCAGTGGGAGGCGTCTGAGTGGCACTCGGCGTCTGGACTGAGGCGCACAGCAGACAATACCCGCCTTTTCCACGTCATAAAATCCTCAACCCTGGGTCGATTTAGGATGAACGACTTGCGAATGATCGTTTGATATTCTGCTCCGAAACTGATCTCCCAGACTGCCTGACACCGGCCGGAGCCATCCCAGTCACGTGGTAGACAGTACATGCCTCCTTTGTCTCACGGCCTGCTCCACAGAGACATCAGAGCTTTGCAGCAGCAGCAGCAGTGGACTGCTGCAGGTTCCCTGGCGAACTCAGGAGCCTGCAGGATTAGGATACACCGCCCTTGATCGTCCCGTGCCTGTATCTGGCAACTATCCATCCACCTTCTGTTACCAGCTCAGCGCCCCCTCGTCTTGATATCTCCTCCCCCGCATTCCTCAGCCTCCACCGACGAGTGTTCGACATCATGGAAGCACAGGAGAACAATGGCCAGACTATCAGTGCAGGTGAGTCGAAATGGACCTTTCTGATCGTTCAGCTCACGCAGTGGTCTCACGTGTCACATTAGATGAGATTGCACTCTACGACCGACAAATTCGTCTTTGGGGAGTCAAGGCCCAAGAAAAGTACGGCATCCTCCTAGCATTAAGAAAAGGAATGGATGGTCTGACCTGGAGCTGCTGTCTTTTTACAGATTGAGATCAGCCAATATCCTTCTTATTACGTTCAAGGCATTGGCGAACGAGATCGCGAAGAACCTGGTGCTGGCAGGAATTGGGTCGTTGACCATTCTGGACCATGAGGTCGTCACAGAGATGGACTTGGGAGCCCAATTCTTCGTGTCCCAGGAACATGTGGGCCAAAATGTGTGATCTAAACCCGTCTGTTTCTATCAGTGAACGTGCTGACAGTAATAGCGAGCTCAAGCTGCAGCACCTCAAGTCCGCAGCATGAACCCCAGAGTCCGGGTTAACGTTGATACCGACAATGTTCGCACGAAACTTCCGGAATTCTTTGCGGGGTTTGACATCACAATAGCCACGGATCTGGATTTTCCCACCTGCACGACCATCAATGCTGCCTGTCGCATTTCTAACCGACCTTTTTATGCTGCCGGTCTGCATGGATTCTATGGGTACGTATTCGCAGACCTGATCTCCCATGACTTCGTGATCGAGCGGGAGAAGTCGAATGTCGCATCCCCGCCGCAGGAGACGCCCACGCGAACCATCTTGAACATCACTACGAAAAGGGAAAACGACAAGATCATTGAAATGGTGACCAAACGGGAGGTGTACACTCCTCTGCTCCTCGCAAATACCTCTCCACTCCCCGAAGACTTCACCCGCATCCCGCGAAGACGGAAGCAGGTGACGCCCCTTCTCACCTGCCTTCGAGCACTTTGGGAGTTCCAAAAGCTGTCCGGCGGGAAGGTGCCGACCTTTTCGCGTCCGGACCTGGAACTCTTCACGAAGCTGGCTAGCGAGCGCCACCGGGAGCTGCAACTCGATCTCAGCACACTCGACGCAGAATTCCTGCGCAGCTTCCTCCAGAACCTGGGCTGCGAGCTGAGCCCCGTGGCCGCGTTCCTGGGCGGCAGCCTGGCGCAAGACGTCATCAACGTCCTGAGCGCGCGGGAACAGCCGCTGCAGAACATTCTGCTCTTCGACGGAGAGAGGAACGTCGCACCGATCTATCCGCTGCACCCGATCTTCCCGCCCAATATCGAGAGTCTGGCCGCGTCTTCAACAACAACAATGCCAATCTCCAACCTTGCTGTTAATTCGACTCCTACGGGCGAAGTAGCTGCCCCGGCGCCTTGACCAGCATATAAAAATCAGCATTTCAACCTGTATCTTTTATCCATTCTTCCAAGTGAAAGATGATCGAAGGGAAAAAATTGAGGGGAGACGTGGTAATTTATTTCCTCCTACGGGGTTTTTTTGTCAATGGGAATGAATAATGGGATGGATTGGTCTTTTTTTTTTTTGATAGATAGACATTGCGGTCCGGACGGAGTTCAATAACGGGGAAACAAACATAAGGCGATGTAATTTTTTTTCTCACTATAAAAACTTGAATTCAGTTAATCGAAACAAAACGCCGTTATCCGAGCTACCCTGTCCTAAAACGAATACGAGTGAGACTATCCTAGGGTGACAGAGACTAAAAAAAATAAATATGTATCTATAAATGTACCTGAGGTATTATAATGCCCACCGTAACGGCAATAAGCATATCATATCATATGCTTTGCTCATGGCAAGTTGAACGGGCGGTTTGGGTATCTGATCTGAAAAGGACTGTTTGTTTGTTTCTTTCCCTCCTTCCCACCCAAAGTCAGTTTGTTTAAGTATTGGAAAATTACAACTTCCTCATCCATCCTGTCAACTGGATGGTTACACAATCACGCCCTGGTTCCAGTTTCCTTCGCAATTAGAGGATTCTCCTCATCTCCGCCAGCTTTCTTGCCGACTTCCTCATTGTCATCCTCTTCAGAAATGAGTCCCTGCAGCTCATACTCTTCGGCCTCTTGGATTTGCTGCGCCTCCGAGCGGGTCCGAGCATGGCCATTCGCCAGCCTAGAGAACCCACCGTTGACGTTGGTGAACGAAGAAACGGAGGACTCGGAACGGTGTGGCTTTGGCCGGGCAGACCCTGCGGCGCCAGAAGCCGCGGCTCGTCGATGAGCATGGCTAACGGTGGCCGAATCGGGGAATGCATGAACAGCATAAATGTGGAGGAGGACATTCACGACTGAAGGGAAATACCATTAGCATGAAGACAACTCTCGAAAGGAACCCCACAAACTGGTCCTACTTACAAAGGAAGAGGAGGAATGCGATGCTATACAGAATGAGGATATAGGAGACGTGCGTAATGTTGGCATCGGTGAGGAGCTTCATCTGCTCCTCCGTTGCGCCCATGAAGAGGAACCCGGAGGCGTAAAGAAGCTGGGGCTTCAAGTTAGCCCACACTTCATCCCAAGTTTCCACGACAAGTACTTACAAATGGTGGTAGATATTGGAAACTGTGCGGATCGGAGCCATCCGGGCTGAGTGTGCTTCGATCTTTCAGAACAAAGGAAATCTCGATGATTCTCGCTGCTCCAGCAGCCATCAAGGTATATCCAAAGACTGTGTGGACCATGGTGCTAAGATGCAAGGTCTGTGGATGCGCAGACATGGCGTACCCGGTCAACAGGATGACAATTGCGGGAACGAGGTTGCGCTTGGGACGACCGTTTCTCTTACGGCTCAGCCAGATACCCAGCAGACCGGCGCACCACCAGACAATGCCCATAGTCGTGTGCTGCAGATCATTGTGAACCCATGGACCGCCCCAGCGATGCTCGGTAAAAGTGTTAACACAGCCCCAGGCGGCAATGACGAGCGAGTCGAAGAATTCCTGGCTCCGGCCGGTGCGACGCAGCCAATACTGACCGACCAGGAGGAGGATGGTCAACAGGATTCCGTAAGCGATAAATGCACTTCCCATAATGAAATGTGCGAGGCACTGGCCGAGATGGTCGCCGCGACAGAAACCCAGGGCAGTGATGCCACCAAAGAGCATTTGCACCCAGCTGACCACCGGCATCAACTTGCCGATGACGCCATGACAGATGACGATGAATCGACGGATCCGGCCATGAATACCCTTGGAGAGATGAAGCTTGAGATAGACACCCAGGACAACCTGCAGAACCATCATAAGCATGAGGGAGTTGGCAAATGAAGCGTGAATGTTCTTAGCGAACTGGCGTCCTTTGTGGGCATGGCCGAGGAAGTAGGCCAACACGGCAACGACGGTACCGACAACCTGGACCGGAACGTGCCAGCGAGAGCGTATAATCTAAATCATCAGGAGGAGCTCGTTAGCTAGCCGTTCAATTTCTATTCTCGGAATTGTACGGTGCTTGTTTACCCCCAGAACCATGCCCAAAGGAAAGATTATGCCGAAGGCCACCCCCATCAAGATCATATGGATCCATAACGTCGCATCCTGTTTGATGCCCTTTGTTAGCAAAGTGCATCTTCAGATAATTAAGTAGCACAAGGAAGAAGGCGGGTAAACTGACGATGGGATCTGCGGAAATGGCCTGGCCCTCAGGTACAGCCTCATGGCCTCCATGAGCGGAGACCTGTCTAGCCAGCAAGAGGGCCAGCGGCAGCGCCAAACTTCGCATCGTCATTTTGGAGACCTAGGTGCCGGAGGAAAGAGAGATGTGCGAAGAATCAGAACCCCGGGCGGAGGGGTTTGCCCCTGTTGCTCTCGAGTGCGGAAGACCGACGCAATAAGTCGTAGACAAAAGAGTTAAGGCTGGATCGGACACGTAGCCGCGGCGGTCATGTTACAACCAGCTGGGCTGAGCCGAGCACAAGGTCCAGCAAGGTGAAGCGTCCAACACGACGCGAGATTCGAGGCCGCAGGATGTTGGGAGGACAGGTTGCTTGGAGGTTGCAGGCGACATACGCTGGTGTCCGGAGGAGGTACAGCGTTATTAGAGAATCGTTCCTGATTGGCCCCGGCGATCGTCCAGTTCCGCCGCAGCCGGCCCAGAAAACTAATCGAACTAATCGAACAATCACCCAGCAGCAGTTCGATGGGGCCGTCATGCATGCACGATCTTAACTGAGTCCTAGAGCTGTAAGTCAGTTCGTCTTGCAGACGAGCAGGAGGGTAAATATTGAATAACTGGTGATATTACTTCGAAATGAAGTATATTGTATTGTACTGTACCGTGCCGTAGAAGTTTTTTTTTCCGTTTACAGCCCTCTCTACATAACTGTAATAATTAGAACTTCTTCGGATATAATATCCACTACCATCTCATGACAAGATTCTTTTTTTATTCATTTATTTTATATTTTTCTTTTTTTTAAGTGCATTTATTATCTGAAATCAGCGCCCCTGTTTACTCATGTTTTCTGTACAGCACGACTCGTAAAGCGCAGTACTTGAAGGATATGTTACTCGCCCTGTTACAGTACCGATACATACCGAATACATAATCTCATACTATCACGCATCATCCACCAAGTGACAACCAAACATCCAAGTCACCCTTCTCACCTGAACTGTCAGAAAGATAGCATAAAAATCTACGAAGATATGTCGTCTTTATCACCAAGTAGTACAACCAACAGCACCACCACCTCCTCTGTCGGAGGAGGAGAGAAGAAGAAAGAGAACAACAACCTCTCATTGTCACCAGAGCAGGTAACCCAACGAGAGAAGAAAATTGTCCGTAATGAATCAGTTTGATTTTTTTTGACTCCCCTTACCATTAATAAATACATCCCATGACAATGAAACGAAGAAAGCCATACTGACAGAAAATGGGTATATATACAGTCCTCCCTCCGCGCCTCCATCTCCAAACTAGAATCCCAAATCGCAGAGACAGAGTCCCAACTGGCAGAGACGAGGGCGAAACTTAAGTAAGTTTGACCCGAAAAAAAACCGTCGAAGTGTCTTCTTCTTTTTAACTGAGTGTACTGTACTGACGGTTTTATACAGATCCCCCAATGACGCCAGCAAGACAGTCCAGAACCACATTCGCCTGCTGCACTCGTACAATGAAATCAGGGACATTGGGCAAGGCCTGCTAGGATTGATTGCCGATGCGCGAGGGGTCCGTCATATCGACGTGCAGAGGGAGTTTGGGGTTTCTGCTGATGATTGATTGGATTGATTATTGATTGATTTGCACGGAGAGAACGAAAGAGGTTTCCAGAGTGACCCCTCCAGCTTTTTCTCTCTTGATTGCGATTGCTGGTCTCTTATTTTACCTTCGTTGCGGTGCTCTTGTTGTACAGTACGAAATGTGTTGGGTCTGGTCGGCGTTAAAAGGGGAATAACGGCTTCTACTTTCCTCGTTTTTAGCTGTTGACGAACCAGAGATGCTATTTCTCGTTTATGAATCTATTTATCTAACTACTACTATTAAGACTAAAGAGAAAGGCCCAATCCGGCTATATGGAGAGTCTGAAAAGTACATGCAGACAGTGGTAACAGGAGTCACCATCTACAAAACTCCAGGGGTGCAGGGAAGAAACTCAAAGTCAAAAGAGATATGTACAAGAAGGGTAAATAGCACACCAAGAAAAGAAGAAAACCGGGTACAAAAAATATCTATTATATAAACAAAACCAGTGGAGATATTATGACGAGGTTAGGAGATGAGATGCATAAATATCTCGGAGGGAATATGGGGTTGGGAGGAGGGGGGCTGGTATATATATATAAATAGCACAATATAGACAGAGGTAAGCCGTCTAGTGAGTCTTTCCGAGACTCTGCAGGTTCACCAATTCGTAATAGCGGCCTTTGTTCCGGATAAGCTCGCTGTGTGTTCCACTCTCGACGATCCGGCCTTGGTCGAACACGTAGATGATGTCGGCGTTCTGGATAGTGCTGAGACGGTGAGCCACCGCAATGGTCGTGCGTCCTCGCGCAGCGGCGTCCAGGGCAGCCTGCACCACCTTCTCTGATTCCGAGTCAAGCGCCGACGTGGCTTCGTCGAGAAGTAAAATTTTGGGATCCCGAAGGAGAGCGCGGGCAATGGCCACACGTTGTTTTTGTCCGCCGGACAACATCCCTCCCTTGCTGCCAACTACGGTATCGAAGCCCTCCCTATGCACATGTCAGCATTCAAGCAGCACTACTTGGAAGCTCGACCTGGGTATGACTTACGGAAGTGACATGATGAAATCATAGATGTTGGCATCTTTGCACGCTTTGATAATAGCCTCTTCGGGCACGTCTTCCTGATTGCTCCCCAGGAGGATATTCTCCCTGATGGTGCCCTGGTACAGCGTAGGTTCCTGGCTGACGAGGGCCAAGAAGCTCCGGTAAGAGTTGACATTCAACCGCGAGATGTCCTTTCCGTCCACGTAGACACCGCCCGAAAGAGGGTCGTAGAATCGCTCCAGGAGGGCAATCGTGGTACTCTTCCCGCATCCGCTGGCACCGACGAGGGCCACGTACTGTCCCGGCTTGACTGTCAGATTCAGGCCGCGGAGGACTGGTTGCTCCGGACGAGTTGGATATCTGAAGTGGACATCCCGGAATTCAATAGTTCCCTCCACATTGTCAACCTGCTCTCCGTCTGGAGACCAGACATCTATCGGTGGCTTGCGATCAAACAGTTCTTAAATTCGGCCGCTGCATTCTTCGCCTTGCCCATATCGGGAGCGAAAGAGAAAACAGTCCCTGCAGACTGCGCTCCAAAGATGACTTCACTGAAACAAACAAAGAATTGAAACATAGAATATTCATGATGCCCAAGCAAAGTTCCACCGTACCAGAAGCCAAGAGCCATGCAGAAGAAGGAAAGACCCTGGGAAGCAGCATACAGAAGAGACGATTTTATGACTGATATCAGACTAGCCCTCGCCTGCTTTTGGAGTTGAGCGCGGTAGGCCGCCAAGACATCCTCCTCCCGAGTCAGGGACGCAACAGTGCGGATGGCCGAAGTAGCCTCGCAGGCATAGCTAGCGGACGATTCGTATGCCTTCTTAGCTCTTGCCTGGAATTGGGCCAGCATCCAAAACCGGTAGAAGCCACAGGCAAGGAGCACTGGAACCACCGAGATACAAACAAGAGCGAGTTTCCATCCAATGGCAAGAGCCACCACCAAAGCAGCAGTGAGAGTGGTTGAAACCATCAGGATTGTTCCCAAAGTCACTCCGCTGATGCCGGACAGATGTTTTGTCTCGGTCGAGAGGAAGGAGGTCAGAGCGCCAGTGCTATTCTCTTCCTTGTCGAAGAAAGAGATGTCTTGACGCAGCATGGCCCGGAAGGCCTGGCTCCTTGCTCGACGGATGAGCTTTTCCGAGCTGAACGCAAAGGCTGCGCCCTGGGTGCCGTAGAGGAAAAACTGGGCGATTCCAAGGACCAGGAACATGAGTGACCAAAAGTTGGCGTCATGTCTCAGCTTTGCGAACATGCTAGGAGGCAGAGCAAGGGTGGTAATAGCTTTGGAGAATAAAACGGCCTGCGTTGGCTGACCACCACCTGCCAACATCGAGAACACCAGACCAATAAGCATGATCACAGTCTCAGGTCGATTGAACGAGGCAATGAACTTAATCAAAGTCCACAGGGAATAGTGTCGGTCGGTCTCAGGACCCTTCTTGGAGAGAACGACACTGGAAAGCGATTTCTTCGTGTTAGTCCGTTCAAGTGCTTCCGATGACTTCCCATCCACTGCGCCATCGCTCTTCGCAGTCGTGGCTCGAACGACTGGGTCTTCGGGAAGATCGGATTCTGCTTCATTTTCTTCCTCAACTTGCACAGCTTGGGCATCTTTCGCTTCATTGATGCGCTGCGCCTCGACTAGCTTGAAGTAAGCACCGTTGCTATCCAGCAATTCATCATGTGTTCCTTGCTCCGCGACCTTTCCGCCAACCAGAACAACAATATTGTGCGCATTTTTGATGGTCGACAGCCGATGGGCGATGACGATGGTTGTCCGGCCCTCCGCGGCTTTGTCAAGAGCGGCCTGGACGACACCTTCAGATTTGGTATCCAACGCGGACGTGGCTTCATCGAGTAGGAGAATTTTGGGATCGCTCACGACGGCACGAGCAATAGCAATACGTTGTTTCTGACCACCAGACAGCAAGAAGCCTCGTTCCCCGACATTAGTCTCATACCCTTCAGGCAATGCTGTGATGAAGTCGTGGGCATTGGCCATTTTGGCTGCGTCCTCAATCCGCTGCCGAATCTTGTCCTCGGGCTCATTCTCGAACCGCGAGCCGATCAGACCGAATTTGATGTTCTCATAAATGGTGGTCGCGAACAGAATGGGCTCTTGACTGACAAGCGAGATCTGTTGTCGCAGCCACCGGAGATTCAGCGTCTGGATGTCGTGGCCATCCAGGAGAACCGTGCCTTTGACTGGATTGTAGAAACGCTCCACCAACCCGATGATGGTGCTTTTTCCCGATCCGGACGGACCGACCAAAGCGGTGGTCTTTCCAGCGGGGATGAACAGGCTCACATCGTCCATGACAGCTACCTCTGGACGTGACGGATAGATGTGCTTGACGTTTCGCAGTTCGATGGTGCCCTCGACATGCTCCAGAGTCTCACCGTCATTGGACGACGGATCCAGAGGAGAAGTACGATCGATTGTGCTGTAAATCTTCGCCGCCGCCGCAACAGCGCTGGCAAAGGCCTGGCCATGTGGCGACACATTTCCCAAACTGAATGAGCCGATGAGGATCGACATCAAAATCGTCAAGACCTGACCCACGTTGACTTCTCCGTCGACAAGGAACCGAGAGCCCATCCAGAATCCGAGGCCGTAGTTGAGGTACATGATTCCAAACATAGCGCCCACCATGAATGCAAGAATGATCTGCAATTTCATTCCCCATTTCTCTGCCTCTTTCAAGTAACGCTCATATCGCTGAGCGAGCCTTTCCTGGGTTCCAAATGCTGTCGCCGTCCTGATCGAGCTGAGGACCTCTTCTGCTACACTTCCACCAACACCGTAGCTTTCGAGTGACTGCTTGTTAAATCTGACGATAAATCTCGAACCCCCACCCATGACCAAGACCAGGCAAACAATGGTAGAAGTGCAAATGAGGGCGAGCTTCCAATATTTGACGTAGGCAATGACGAAGGCTGTGATGAAAGTCGCCATTGCCGTCAATGTGAGTCCAACCTTTTCGGAGATACCATCTTGGATGAGATTTGTGTCGGCAGTGATGCGGGTGGTAATTTCGCCGGCACCGAGGTTGTCGAAGTAGGCGATATTCTGCCTCAAGATGGCCTCAAGGTACCGTTCACGGATCTTTTGCGTGACATGCTCGCCCGTGTAGATAAAACCCACCGTGGAAATGTAGACGGTACCAAATTCAGCGATTCCGATATAGACAAAATAAAGAACGTACTTGGTGAGTTGATGATAGAATTCGTCATACGACATGGTATTGAGGAAGATCCCTTGAAACGCAGTAGTCAACTGGCCGAAAAGAATCTGCGCATGGACGTCAGCGATGTAAGATTTTATCAGCGATGTCAAGACTTACTGTGAACAACGGCAAGGCAGCACCACCAGCGATGGCGCAGATGGCGCTGATGAAGATGATGAGCCAGTCCCATGCGTCTGCATATCGATAGAGACCGAAGAAGTTCACTTTGACCGGGGGAGAGTCGAGCTGTGTCTTCAATATTTGCTTCTCTTCCTCAGGAAGATGCGCAAAGGCTGCGTCCTGGTCAGGGGCATCCTGCTGGGTCGCAGGCTGTTTCTCTTTTGGACCTCCGGACGTGGCCGTCGAGCCTGAGATGGAGATGTGGTCACGATGCTTCTCTGGTTCAGCGGCAGGGGCTGTAGAAGTGTCCTGTTCCGCCGGGGCAGTCTCTTCCAACGGCTCCTTGGCAGGCGGAACTCCGCCGCTGGGAGCATCCATGGCGGTGGTTTTGCAGCCAGAGACGAGTACCAGCAGCGGCCGTTGTCAACCTCGCAGACAGTGAGCTTCACGGTCCCGAAGGCGAAGAAACAGCCATGCAGAAGATAAGCGGCAGGTCAAGATCTTCCAATGCTCTTGATAGGGTCACGCGCTCTGGGAACTCCAGGAAAGAGGGTTCTGCAAGCCAACTGCCTACACAGGAAGATTGCCACACAGGCGACGAACAAGATGCAGGGAGAATGATGGTGATGGCTGAAACAGCGTAGGGAAGTAGATGCACGCCTCTTATTGAAATCTCACGCTGATCTAGATCTCGGCAGTTCATACTTCATAGCTGCCTGCAGCACGGTCCCCGCTCCACTGCAGTCCACGATGACATACGTATGGAGGCGCTAGTTACGGCCAGTCTAAGGCAATTAGTAGGTCGGCTAGTAGGGGGCTGACAGCTGGTAAACTTTGATACTGAATTGGGTGAGTGTTGAGAAGGGATACGCAAATTCTGACTGGCTGATACTTTGGAAGTGGTCCGGATCTCGTTGCTGCCGAGCATTTTATGCACTGAATTAATTTCTCTCCGCTGGCAGTTACGTTTTAAGTAAGCCCGACATTGACATTCCACTCTTTTCTATGGAAACGAGATTGCCCTAGCATTTAACGACGCATTTCGAATCGTTCAATCGAGGCGATAAGGACGTAGTTCTGACGACGTGCGTTGCTAACTGAATACGAGCTGCAGAGTATGGATTCCTTGTTTCACAGTCGTTACCGGAACCAAGTCATCACTGCTACGAGGCTAGCGGGAAGGTTCTTACTCCTTTCGCTTAGTAGTGCGTTTCTGCCGTTTCGTGGCGCAGTCGGGCTCCCGATTTGTCTCATTCTCCGTGGCCGATGGCTGCAAGAAGCACTCCGTACTGCTTTGCTGCCTGGGGGGATCGAAGACGGAGCACATCTGCACGGAGTACGCCGTACGGAGGAGCGTTATGGCGTCCCCACAGGAGGTATTATTACTAGATTATTACGGCACTTCAGCACATCGGCAGGAACATGGCCCGTGTCCCGGCCGCCGAAGAAATGGAACACTCCGATTGGCACGGACGGTTTGAATATACTCCGTGCTCCGTGGTTTCTCTTGTCATCCAGCAAAAAGCAGAAAAAAAAAGCATTGCATTCGCAGTGCTGTATGTAGACTCAATACTCTTGACAATTAAATCATCGAAAATGCATCCTCTAGGTCTACCTGAGTAAGGAGATATCATGCATGTCGAATGGATATGATGTGCAATGATCTATAGGAAATAATGCAGACTAGTAAGCAAGGAAGTTGATGGCGCCGTGTGGAGGTCTGTCACTCATCATGGTGGAAGCCTATCAAAATCGATTAAACTATCAGTACTGTTCCTTTTTGCAAGATGGCTATTGGGTGAACTGTCATCTCGGCAGTTAAAAAGTCATCTTGACTCACTGTGAGTCATGACAAGTCACGCGATCCAATAAAGAAACGTGTAATTCCTCTTAAGGCTCCCTACATACAATTTGTCAGCGAGCGTCATAATACTCTGTAGTTGCCAAGATCTTATCTGTGCTTCCCAGGTTGCAGCAGCCAGGAATCGAGCAGCATTTTGATGTCCATATCAAGCGCAAAGTATACTCCTGAGTACGTAATTATCTACGGAGTAATTAAATGCTCTACCTGCTTTTGTTGAGTTTGGTCATCTAGCATTTAGATGGCTAGTCATATCCATTAATATTATCCGTGTAACAGCGAAACATGACAGCATCCATTAAAGTATAAATTCGAAAAGCTTTAGGATTTTCTCCTCACTGGATTATTCTGAACCTGCAAAAGGCACGAGTTCTCCGGTAAGGTTGATGGTCAAGTAGATGGAACTCAGGCTAAACTGCTATTGAATTGATGAACTCTTCAAAGACATGAACTGGAATCGATTAATATCGACTCAACAGATTTATCTGCGCAATAGCATTCAGGTTCAACTGGATACTTCAGTTTTCATAGTTGAAGTTGCGACAGCCTTCCTGATTCAGATGCGGAGCTAGCCAGCAGTCACATGACTCCGGGTCAAGCGAAACGCTAAGCCCTACCCACACAAAAATCACCACCCGCAAAGCGTGGACTTTAGTCGACGACACTCGATAACACCACCGCTGTCAGTCCGTATCACCGAGCTCGCCATCACGATAAGCCTTCAAGATGCCGGTAAGTAATTTTCTCATGGTTTCAAGTCGCCAGATATTTCGGTGGAAATTTTGTTGGTACGGCGTTTATATGCGCACCGCTGATGAAGAACATCATCACTGACGTATCTCGTTTTTGAACAGAGCCACAAGTCCTTCCGCACCAAGCAGAAGCTTGCCAAAGCTCAGAAGCAGAACCGTCCTATCCCTCAGTGGATTCGTCTCAGGACTGGTAACACCATCAGGTAAAGCATTCCTCTGACGCATCGATCCGATCCCGAGGCCCTGTTGATGGAAATTGGCACGGGCGATGTTGCAATGGAACAAGACGGCCTTGACGGACTGGAATATGCTGACGATGCGCTTTTTCTCGCGAAAATGCAGATACAACGCCAAGAGGAGGCACTGGCGCAAGACTCGTCTCGGCCTGTAAATTCGACAGCACACTCTTCTCTCTACCGGCTTCTTCGTCTTTTCCGATGGATTAATTAATTCGCTTTTTTTATCCTTTCTCCGTGTGGTACCGACCGACCCTCTCATGGCCATTGATGCTTTTATGATCCGATGAGCTTCCTGTTTCCCACCGGCTGTCGCTATCTCCTTGACAATTTCTCGTCTTGAATCGAATTAGATCTACATTGCCCCAAATTTCAACTGACCGCTCTACGAATCTTCGTTTTGCCGAAATTTACGAGGGCATGGGGATACTTCTACGATGTACGAATTGGTTTGATTTAATGACGAAGGATAGCACGCGGTTACGGGGGATGGAGGAAGCGTCAATAAAAAAAGGAAAAGGAAATCGGTTAAAGGGGGTGGATGCTCCTAAAACGAATCTCGATATTTATCATTAGGTCGTGGGTTATGAATCAAAAAGACATGGATGACTATTATGTACGCGCGGAAAAGGACTTTCATCATAGGAGATTTCGCTCGAAATCTGTCACGGAAAACAAAAAAAAGACAAAGAAAAAAGAAGGAAAAAGAAATTCCCTTAATTAAGCCTGTGGAGAAGAAAAAGAAGCGGAGGAGCAGAGCAGAGAGAAGAAAAGCTGTCGAATTGAACGTCGATTCTTGTCTTGCATTAAATTAAATGTCATGTCCCTTTTCTTTAATAGAAAAATTTCCTTTTTGTGGTATTTTTCCTTTTTTTTATTTCTTTGATATCATTTCCTAAAACGAAGCTACCTGCGTATATTAACACAGCGGGTGGGATAGGTGGGATAGGTGAAAATGGAATTAACGAAGTTGGACGTTTGAAAGATAGATACTCTAAGATTCTCTCATTGAATGGAGCTTTTTTTGGAAGAAAGAAGGAAAAAAAGAGAAAGAAATAAATCCTACACCTACCTAAAAATATGAAAATTATACGATCTTCTCGATAGACTCAGCTAGTTCTTCTACAGGAAGGCTACCGCTACGCCAATTGCCTTCCAAAGATACCTACCTATCGTAGCATATCCTCCCTCCAGACCCTTTTTTTTTTTACTTTTACTGGATTTCTTTGATATTTCGGATGTAGAAAAAGCCCATCAGCAATTTTACATCTATTTCAGAAGGAACCCACTGTCTGAAATCGGACGCAAGTTGCACCCTTTTTAGCGAAAGGAACAAAGAAACAAGCCGCACCCTTAAAGAAATGGTTGATATGATAAGTGGATGGAAGTATGCACCAAATAAACGCCATCAAGTGGGGAAACACATCCGAAAGAAAAGACAGAGACGTGCAAAGCTCCCAGGTACCATGTCATCAACACATCGTATGCCTTTAGCCTTTCGTTCTTGGCCACCGTCCAGCACCCGAAGCCTCAGGTGCATGAGGCACAAGGTAGCCAAGCGCAGGGAAAGGGACAGATCGTCGATCACATTAGCGGCTAGATAGCGAGAGAAGTTAGTATGTAAGACGTAGGGAAAAAGACAAGTGCAAACGTACTCTTCAGCCCACTCGTTCTCGCGACGGATCTGGTCCTCCTCCTCCGGAGTGAAGTCATTCTGAATGTTGAAAGTCTTGCGAATTTCCTCCGGAGACTTGCCCTTGATCATGTTGGCGACCGTCTTGCAGCCAACATCAAGCAGAGCCTTGATATCGAGGTAGTTGGCAGCCTGAGGATTGTCAGTCTGGAAACTCAACGAAGCGCAGAGTGGTTCGACTACGTACCAGGATGATCTCAAAAAGCATCTCCTGGTCCACCTGCATGAACTTCTGGTCCCACTCATCAATATCGGTAGTCTTGCGGCGAGAATCGTCATCGTCGCCCGTGCTTGGGGGGTCATTCTTGTGGTGAGTGCACCATTCGATGACCTTCTTCAGAACGGCCTCGTTAACCTGTCAAATACAGAGGCTGTAAGTCATTTACTGCCAAATAGTGGAAAACAACGCTTGTGGGAAGATCACGCTGCAGTACTAACATTTGGAAGTGGGACCGGCTCATCAGTTGTGCCCAGGTCCTCCAGCATGTTCTTGATCAAGACGGAGCGCTCAGCAACTTCACGCTCTATACTAGAGGTCAGCATTGATGTCATGCACAAGACAAGTCAGTCCAATAAAACCTCCACGACAGAGCACCTACCCACTGTAATTTCGACCCCGTCGGAGCTTTGGAGAGTGATGGTATTGGCAGAAGCCATTTTGGGAGTAGATGAGGTGCCTCAAGAGAAACAAGTTCTTTTGTATGAAGAGATCTACCTGTCCTCTGCGAAATGCAGTGTTAGTAGTTCAGCTCCTTCAGACAAGGCTGTGTTGGGTTTGGCGAACAAACTTTGCAGAGGAGGCAGGAACAGAGACAAGAAGCGAGCGGAGGATGAGGATTTCTATGTCCCAGAGGGCGACGGTGAACAAAGACCCAAAAGCGCTGACAGGTGCCTAGTAAGGCGTGAATAAAGCGGAGTGCAAAGTGTGAGTCGTAGTGACGGCGATGACCGCGCCAGTGACTGCGGTCCGGGGACAAAGCCAGAAGCCCCGCGCGACCGCCCAAGCAACAGCCCCGGCCCCAAGCGCCTCGACCCTTAGGCAGGCAAAGACCTTACTGTAAATAGCTGGCTGGCAGCATTTTAGGGATCTCTCTTACAAGATATTTTAATAACCTTGGAACCTCCCGGGGCCAGAATCTGAAAGCTACCTCGGTTCTCACTGCCGCTATCGCCCATTTGCTCATTTGAGTGATTTGCCACAGAGCTTATCCGATTCTAAATTGCTGTCGACAACCAGCTGGCAGAGCTATGTCGCATCTGGTTGATGTCTGCGCTGTAGGATTCGCCATTCGTAGACCACTTTGGCTCATTTGCAAAATTGGCCTGAGCCACTGTTGTGGAGTGTACCAGAGCCGTATGAAGCATACGAGTTAGACTGCAATGCCGGCATTTCTTTGCTATTCAAATGGAGCTCACGGCATTCAACCATTGGAAGTCACTTTCAAGAAGAGATTGTTCGAGTCTGAACAGTCAGTCATATTTCTTGTCGTTATCCACAGCCAGACCTGTGTCGTGAAAGTGGCGATCCAACAGAACCAGGAGTGTAGTCATTCACTTCTAAAATAGAGCGCTTTATAGCACCATGGTCGCGGTCCCAGAAAATATTACGAGCCAGATAGTGAGCTGGAGGATTTTTCCTGAGGACGAGTATCCTCCTAATGCTATACTCCTAGAATACATCCCAAATATCGAGATGATCCCTTTACACAACTTTACAACCGAAAAGGCAGACGGGTTTATCGAAGGCATTCGAGAAATTCACAAAGCAGGCGTTCGACATGGTCATCTTGATCTGGATTGATTTCGACAGGGCTCAAACGTGCGACAATGATCGGTTGACCGAGAGATAAAAAAGAATCCATTGAGAGCGAAGTAAGAATTGTGCTCCAATTCGAGGACTTGATGGTGAGGAAGCCGATTTTCAAGCACGCCCTATGTTCGAGAGATCTTCGATTGCTAATTTCACGGACAGTCGTCAACCATGCTACCCATATATTGCTCCTAGTCTACATGAGGAGACAGCTGCAAAGACCCGACTTGAGAACGGAGTTACGGACGACATATGTCATTTGCTTAGTCGGTTGTTTATCAGGCTGGATGCTTCGGTAGTTCCTGGTGTATTCATGACATCGAGGTTACCGAGAATCTGACTTGGAGATAGTTCCGAGGGATATTGAATTCCAGGCTATATTCAGTATGTAGCAGTAGAAGCATGGTCCATTGTAGGGATCAGGCATGGGTTTTGTCCTAACCGATGTGGCCAGGGATAGTTCGGCACCAAATAGTTTCCAGAAGTTCGAGAAACACCCCCACTCGCCGCTCAGAATACTCCGTAGCGTTGGTACGGAGTAAGGCAGTCGAAAGCTGACGACGATCTTGGCTCTGTGGATATGCAGTTCGTACGCTCGAGTATGCCATCATTCATTCATTGAACAACTCAGGATCCATTTGCAAATCACAGAAGCTAATTGTCCTTGATGTAACTCCAACTGCCTCCTGTCATGTCACTCTTCCTTGAAAGAACGGGTGGGTCTGCGTGATGCGTATCTAGACGATTGCTAAAGTCTTAGTCAAAGCAGTACCAAGGTCAGCAAAATAAGATGCTAGATAGGATGGGAGGTATATCGTAGGTGGTAGATGAATAAAACACCCAAGATACCTAAGGAGGAGATAAACGTCTCGAGTCTCCATACTTCGTACGGCAAGTGTTGTCCTTTCGGCCCCAGGAGAAGGCACTGTTGGCAGTAGCAACTCCAAGGGTTTTCTCCCAGCGCACGGATCTGAACGGATATTAAGCATGTCGCCATTGCTTCGTAGTTCCACCCAAGGGGGCTGATGTGCAGTAGTAATTATCGGGCAGCCCGGCACAAGGGAGCCGAGCAACAGGGTGGACCCTTAGCCGCGACGTCATGGCCATAGGGAGCAAACAACGCCGTGCTTTCTTACTGACGCGTCCTGACTCCTGAGCAGTCGCGCCTGATTAGGCAGTCTGCGCTAACGAACTTATCGTCGAGTGCCTCCCGCAGCACAGCGTTCGCTGCGTTATATACCCCGAGATAACCTCCTGTGGCTGATCCCATCGCCATGTCCCCAGTGTCCCTGGCCCTGGGTCTCTTGCGAGTATCCCCCGCAGCCGCTGCAGCATGTGCCTGTTGACCTCTCCGTGCTGCGCGCCAACAATCTAAGCCATGTGGAGACGAGCCTACCTGGTTCTCCTGCTGGTTCGGATCTATTTCGCCCTCTCCCCAAGTTATCTCCATCCCGATGAGCACTTTCAGGGTCCTGAGGTATTTGCAGGTACGTGCGAAACCCGGGCGCTCGATGCGACCGCGGCTGTTCCCCCAGGTGGTGCTTGCGCGGCGAAACTTGCGTGCCATCACGGCCTCCTTCCTCTCCAACGTGCAGCTGATGCGGCGTTCCAGGGCGCATATACTCCTATCCATCGCAGTTGACGTGGGAATTCACTTCGGAGCATCCCATCCGCAGCGTCTTCCCATTATGGCCCGTCTACGGTTTGCCGATGGGCCTCATGAGCTGGTTTTACAATGAGACGGGAATTGGAAGTCCTTCTGCAGACCTGGTTTACTATGCCCTGCGCGGGGGCATGTTTGTGCTGAGCTTTGTGCTCGAGGACTGGGCGATCTACGAGCTGGTGTCGACGCCGCGGTATCGGGTGCAGACGGTGGTGTTGGTAGCCTCGTCCTACGTCACATGGACATATCAGACGCACACCTTCTCCAACTCGTTGGAGACGCTCCTGGTGGCCTGGGGACTAGTGTTGATCCAGCGCATTATTGCCAACAAGGTTCGCACCGGGAAAGAAACAGCTTACGCTGAGGCGACACCCGCTGATATCTGTGCAGAAGCGCTCCGCCTTTTTCTCATGTGTTCTGCTGTCCCTCGTCGCAGTCATTGGCGTTTTCAATCGTATAACATTCCCTGCTTTTCTCTTGGTGCCGGGCCTGCAATTGCTGCCGCATTTTGCTCGCAAGTAAGGGTCTAAGTGGTTGTTTGATCTGCTTTCCAACTGACAGTCGGGCTCCAGGCCACTCGCCCTTGTTGGTTTTGTCGGATTCGGATCGCTCTTCACATTGATTGCTATCCTTACAGACACCGCCTTCTATCGTTCCACTTCATTCTCCCTCCTCGATGCGATCCGTCATCCTGTAATAACCCCTCTCAACAACCTCGTCTACAACTCTAATACCTCCAATCTGGCCGTTCATGGCCTCCATCATCGCTATCAACATTTCCTGGTGAATCTGCCACAGCTGCTGGGCCCTGCGTTCGTGATCCTCATACTATCGCTATTTACTCGGTCGGGGATCTCTCGTTTGAGCAACAAGCGTGCGGTCTCTGCCATCTCCGGCACAATGATCCTGTCAATCTTTCCCCACCAAGAGCCTCGTTTCTTGATCCCGTGCGTGCCTCTGCTGCTGACCTGCATTCGACCGCTCAGGTCACGACCTTTCCTGGCGGCATGGGTTGTTTTCAATGCCGCCTTGGGATTTCTCATGGGCATCTATCACCAGGGCGGGGTTGTCCCCACTCAACTGGAGATACCAGCCATTGTGTCGGCGAGCTTGGCCACCAAACAAGATGGCCAGTTAGCGGGGCCGGCATTAGGAGGGACTGCAACGGTTTTCTGGTGGAAGACCTATTCGCCGCCGCTCTGGTTGCTTGGCGACAATAGCAGCTTCCCTGTGGAGGTCAAGACCCGCGATCTGATGGGGATTCCTGGGATGGAAATGATTCAAGAGCTCGATACTGCCGTTCCAGAATGCCCAGCAAGCAGCAAAGCTGGCTCCAAGCCCGTGGCATCCGATGATTCTCTGGGCAACAACTCGGTTTTCCTCGTGGCGCCTCGGTCTGCCACTTTCCTAGACGACTATACTGGACTGTCATCGTCTCCCGTTGACCCTCCCCTTCGTTTGCGTGAGCTCTGGACCTACAGAAAGCATTTAAACCTCGACGACCTCGATTTCGGCGACGATGGCATCCTCCCGACCCTGAAACGGGTTATCGGGAGGCGAGGCTTGACCGTATGGGCCGTGGACCGAGTTGACTGCGAGTAATACATACGACTCGAGTCATTTACTCCAGTTACGTTTTCCTTCTTCTTTACCTTTTTTTACCCCCTTTTTATTTTTGGATACCTACTTTATTTTTCTTTATTTTTCCCCTTGGGACCGGTTCGAGCATGGTGGGATGGACTAGGTGGCAGGTTAACAGCGTCATGCATAGGCATCTACACGGTTGGTTGGACGGTAGGATAGGATTGTTTCGTACAACAACAAAAAGGTGATGATGTACTGTACAACAGGTACATCTATAAATACATACATACGTAGATACGTATGTAGTAGATAGGTGGTGTCATTTACGTCAGGAGAAATATATACATAAGGGCATCTGCTATGAATATCAATCATATTCATTATCAATACCTTCTTCTCATCCACCTTAAACTCCAAAAGAACAAAAAAAAAGAAGGAAAGGAACGGAATGGACTCATTTAGTTAGTGGTTCTTGTATCACACGGACCTGTCGTGTGATTACTTGTTCGGAGTTCCTCGTGACTACGTCAGGATGAACAACATCACAGACCAGGAAAAGTGATATCTACCTACCCACCTAACCAGGGGCCTGAATTGGTGGTCACCTTTTACAATTTATCCTTGTGGGGATTATTCAAGTATTACCGAGGTACAAGTCTACGACGTTGATGGCTAACGGGAGACATACGGCAAGAATCATACAGCTGGACGACGGACTTGTTGCAGGTAAACCATCAAAAAGTCCTCATATTGCCCAGATAACCTTAAGTACACAATGTAACAGCAAGCCAGGGGAGTTTCACCATGGGGAAATGTGCATCTGAAGTATTGGGAAAAGAGACTGCCAGTCGCATGTCGGGGATGGCAAGGGCAGGGGTAGAAAAGTGCAGAGTCTTGGAAGACAGGAGAGCCTAGGGTAAGAGGACAGGGTAGATATGGAAAAGGGGTTTGTCACTTAGACAGCGACCTGGCTCAGGAAGAAACAGGACAACTTGCTGAGATGGGAAACACAAGACACACGCTGGGGAAATCCATCGCAAGAAAAAGCATTAGAATAGATTTGAGGGACGGAGACTATCGTAATCGAGGGGAAACAATTTATTGTTGCTCGTCACCTTCGTCGGGCTGCTCGAACAAGAAGTTGGCGGCGAGCTCTTCGTTCTTATCACAGGCAAAGTAGGCCTGGATGACAGAATCTCGGGAGAAACCAAGACGGCAGAGCTGAAAGGCGGTTAGTTCCTAAATCAGACACAACGGGCTTGCTCGCGGCAGAATAACATACCCGTTCGATAGCATCCCGCTCCTCCTCCGTAACGCTGATGGCCTGGGTGCCAGGGGGCAGCTGAGTCTCATCGTCAATGTCCTCCGCCAGCAGCTGGAGGAACTGTTCCTGATTTTGTCCGATGAGTTGGGCTAGTTGAGGGTTGCCAGCTCCCACTTGTTGCAGGATGGGCTCCAGCATCTGAGGCTGCTGCTGCACGAGCTGACGCAACTGCTGGAAGTGCGGGTTATTTCGCAGAAAGTCCAGGTTTCCGAGCGATCCAGCTTCACCTCCCGCGCCAGCTCCACGAGCTCCACGACCAGCAGCACCACCTTGAGCAGCACCTGCCTGCGCAGCAGCTTCGAACAGATTCACAGGCTCATCTCCACCGGCGGCCGGCGCAGTCGTACCAGCTGGGGGGTTGGCTGCCTGAGCAGCACCGGCGGCTGCGGCCTGAGCCTGCTGCTGTTCCCGCTGGATGTGTTCCGGAATCCCCTAAACGAAGTCAGATCGTGGTTTATTTTTATGCGGTGCAGATATCAGGATCACTCACGTTCAAAAGGTACTCGATAGCACGGTCAGGGTTGAAGTAAGCGGCTCTCATAGCTCGCTCAATGTCACTCCTGGCAAATCCCATCGCCTCCATCTGCGAAATAACGCCCTCGCTCTGAGGGCCCATCAGCAGGGCGGAGGGGTCATTGAAGGCAGAAGCGGCAGAGGTCTCGGCAGTCGTAGTTGAAGTTGTAGGGCCAGCTGGAGAAGGAGTCGTAGGTGCCGCGGGGCCCGCAGCGGTAACGGAAGGAGCAGGAGCTGCTGGCGTTTGTGCTGCAGCAGCCCTCTCCGGCGTGGATGGTGCTTGTGAGGGCGCTGCGGCGGAGGTGGCTGGAGCAGTCTTGGGCTGAGGGGGGTTAATACAAGGCTACCCAAGGTGGGAACATCATGCACGACCTACCTTAGAAACCATGCAGACTATGAAGCCCTTCTCTTCGATGTTGTATGACTCGATGGTGTTGGCATCTTGCAGGATTTTGCCTGGATGGCGAATGAATGATTAGCCATCAAAGGCCCACGCGACAGGAGTCTCTGCGACGCACCTGAATAGATGAGCTTCTGTTGAGCGACATCCCATCCCTTCTCTTTCGCGATCTTCTCTTTTAGCTGGCCAACCTGGAGAGAGCGACTAGGTTAACCCCGCACGGTCCAGGACGGCAAACAACCCGTCAGCAATACAAGAGGGGCACATACAGTCTCTGATGGCTCAGCCTCGATGACGAATTTCTGCTGCTTAAGATCCTGGATGAGAAAGTGTTAGTCTGAGGATTTCTCGTCAGGTTCGGGCTGGTTGGATGGGCATACTTTGAAAGTGAGCTTCATCTTTACGCCACTTGGGTAAAAGAGGCGGCGGACAAGAAGCGAGGCAAGAGTGGATGAGATTCCAGTCGAGGAGGGTGTGACGGCGATGAAGAAGGTAACAGACGGTCCGAAGTCGAAGAAAGAGGCCCGGAGAGACGCAGGAGAGATGGGGGACAAGAGCCTGGGAAATGAAGGAGATGACGATGATGATGAGATCCGCGCAAGGCGGTCGCTGCCTTCCAGTTTGATCCCCTCGCTAACGTCACCCTAGGCCACTTTCATCCTGGCGCCACAGCCTTAAGGTTGGCCGCCCAGCACCCAATCAGAGCGGGCGGCCGATGGGCCCGATATAGCAGACTTGGTATCGACAACAACTGCCAGGCACTCGTCCTCTTCCTGGACAGCTTCCACTCGCAAGGAGCCTGCTGTATACACCAGTGTCTGCTCCGCAAGCATAGTACGTCGTATAGATAGTCTGTATTATGCAGTAGTCCCATCAGAGCCATGTTTCTCCACACCTTTTTTTTTTCAACTTTTACATTGGAAGTTCCCTTCCACTAGTCCAGCTAAAGTGGTCGCGTTCCTTCTCTTTTTCCTCTGGTTTTCTTTGTTCTGCGATCTTGCAATTCAAACGCGACTAGATGGGTCCAAGTTTTGAGTGGATGCGGTGGGCCTGGAATCTGTACTAATTAGCCGCGCACAGTTGCGTACATCAGGTACGCTGTATACAAGGCGGGCAGATATGTACAGGGCACTCGTGGTTTTGATGAGAATATTGCAGAAGGATGAAAAATACCTTAGCTATCGACCTCTACTAGGAGAAACGAGCATCGATAGGATGCACAGTGGCTCCCACTGTTGCCCGTGTTTTGCCTCTTATGTATTTTTTTTTCGTACGGCGCGGCAGAATTGGTCGTCTACTGTTTTGTGATTTTCGATGGATATGACTTTAATCCCTAGTATCGAGGAACCTGATTCTTAAAACTTTGCATTCACTGGGCTAAACGAATGCATTGACTCAGGTGAAACGGATATATCGGTGAAATGCCTGAGTGGCATCTCCATTGTATTCAACTAGTGAGAATTACAGTACAGGACACCCGGTTCGGGGACAAGGAAACAGGATCACTCGATGGAAAGAAGTTTTGCAGGGAAACAATATCGCTGAGACCAGCGTATCTACCCAAGAAGAATACTAGTATCACCAAGTAGTCCTCCTCAGATGCCGAGTAATTCGAATACGGAGCTCCGACAGCAAGAATCTGCTGCCAGGCGATTTACAGTTCCTGGCGGTGCTATTATTACGGAGCAGTAACCATCATTCCATCACCTGATCTTACTCAAACACATTGTATAATGATCCTCTTGAACAAAAAGATACCTTACAGAGGGCGTTTGACCTCTTGGCAAGTCTTTTTCCTGAGGTCAATTGCTCGAACAATAATCCGTTTCAGCACTGACTCAGGCGTCTCCTGCGATCGCTAGGGTGGATTCCCTTGCGTACATTACATGGATTCCAGGACAGGAATCTCCCTGGCACCAGCCATCATCACCGCCCAATTGCCTCTCGATCCCATTGACGGCGGTATTAAACTACGAATAGAAGAGATTGTGAGCGTTGTTCTCTTGGTTCTGCATTGGAACCGCGTATCCGGGTGTGTACCAAACAAATCATTAATTACCAGCGTTACCCGCCACCCGACAAATCCTGCATCCGCCAAGTACCGTAATCTATTTTGGACTAATACTAACTAACCTTGAATTATTTACTTTGCAACTCCCGGCCAACTGCTTAGAATTTTGGTCGAAGACGCTGTACTCTGTCGGAGACTGAATTCTTTTTTTCATTACTTTTATTACTTGCCCTCCCTGTGCCTTGTCCCTGTTGCAGATGGCGATTGGCGCGACCAGGCCCGAAGCATCGTGATCCAATACGTGTTCCGGCTTTTGCGCCAACTAGGCGATCGCAACCTCCGGATCAGGGAAGGGAGAGCCGCCGTTCGACGATCTACTACTTGGCGACTTCTGCTTATTCTTACTTTGTCCATCCATTATTTCACTATTGTTGTCTCGTAGTCCAAACATCGCTCCTCCCCCGTTTTCTCTTCTTCGCTAGACAATCTGGCCCTCGTACTGTTTCCGCCGGATGTCTCCCTTTGGGGGAGCCAGCTGGTAAGTTGTTTCCTTTTCTTTTTCTGCTTTTTTGATTTTCTTGTCTCCTCTCTCCATTGGTAGTATTTGATCCTTTCGTAGCGTATCCTTTCTGTCCTCTTTGCGTGTGGTCCATACGCCTTTAATTCTATTATTCCTCTTTCTAGTTTCTATTTCTCCGTTCCTTTGTTTTCTCTACATGGCCCTGCCAATCCATGCGCAAACTCACGTGTGTAATTCACTGTCTCGTGTCACTGTTTCCTTCACCTCCACATCTAGATCTGCTCTATTTCCCACGCAATTTGCCTGTCACCCTCTCTTACCAGTGAACTTCAAGTGAGTGAAGGTGATCTCTTCACACCATTCACCAGCCTCCACATGTGACTCTTATTATTCACTTCTTCCTTGTCACCCCCAGTCACATATTCACTGTTGTGGTTTCCTATACTTATATTAGCCCGTCCCCTGCAAAGTCAAATCTCTCTCTCTCTTCCAACTACAAACCTCATCCACAACCTGTCGATCTGACAATCTTCTCTTCTCATTGATAACGTCTCAAATTGCCATTCTCCCTTGAGCAATATTCAAATCTCATCCCCTTCATAACTTCAACTCCAAATCCTCTCTTCAGATCACCTCACTCTTGAAATCTTCATCACTCTCCAGTTCTCCTGCTCCGTCTCTCTCGTCCTGAGATCTTCCTACTTTCCTACTGTTGAGATCTACTCCCCTCAAATTCTCATCGACATACTCATCCGTCCTTTGGACTTCATCACTTCGAACAACCAACCTGACTAATCTTACCGCCAAGAAGATATCCATGGCTGGAACTAAGCGGAAGAACGAGGCCTCCCAGGGGTCAGCCGACTCTGCTCCTGCTAGAGATGGCCGCACGCGTGCTGCTCGCGCCAGAGCCAACAACAATGCCCGTGGTCGTGGAGCGTCATCGGCTACCTCGAATATCACCTCTGATGAGAACAATGTTCCAGTTCAGAACGACGTCCCTGCCGAGAACGATGCGCCAGCTGAGGATGATACTGCTTCCGCTGAAGCCCCTTCAGGATCCCGCACCAAACGAAGAAAATCCTTGGAGTCGAGGAGACACCTCGACCTACCAGACAGTCGGCCAGGATCAAAGCTCGAGCCAACTCTACATCTTCCATTGAAACTTCCATCTCTCAAGATCTCATTCGCAACTCTTCTCTTGAACAATCGCCATCAGACGTTCCCACCAACGGCAAGACCAAGAAGAAGGCTACTGCAAAACTTGCCGATTCCAATTCTCAGAGTAGCAACGACACTGCGAATATGAAGTCTCAGTCTCCTGACGACGAGACGTTGCTTAAACAACAAAATGATACCGAAATTGCTGATCTTGACGAAAAGAATAATACCAAGGCGCTCCGTGGCAGAAAGCGCCAGAATGAACAAATCGAAGATGAAAAACCTGATGATCTTGCGAACCCGGAGAGCACCCCGAGCAAGAAACTGAAGCTCGAAGATGACGAATTCGATCACACATTGCAGAAACCGTTACAGAACGGAACTGAGGATGGTCCTAACTCATTGACCGCCGAGCCGCAACCTGGAGCTCCTGAAGGAGAAGTTGACGAGACTCAAGCCACTGAAGAAGCCGATGCATCTCCGACCCGGGATGATAACGCATCTCCTGTCAGCGCTAGAGGACGCGGACGGGGTCGAGGCGGGCGTGGTCGAGGTGGCCGAGGCCGGGGTCGCGGCGCAGCACGCGGTGGTTCATCCGCACGTGGTGGCCGAGGTCGAGGGCGTGGTGGGCGTGGCGGAGGACGAAATGGAAAACGGGTAGATGATGATTCCGACTTCGAGTTCGACCGCTCTCCTTCTCCCAGTCCGGCGACACAGAAGCTCCAGGAACGTCAGAAGGAGCTGAAGCAGGCTTTCAAGAGACTGTCAGCTGCCCAGCGGCTTGCTCTCAGTGTCCTGGCATCTCACTCCCAGCAACGGCTGGCCAGGGACAAGAAGGCCCACATGAAGGCCCCCGAGTACGAAGAAGTCCAGAAGGCACTCGACGCGGCCTTGCGCAAACGACAAGAGATTCTCCGCCGCGAATACGAGCTCAAAGTCCAGGAGGCAAACATCATATTCGAGGCCGAGAAAGAGATCATCGAACGACGGTTCCGGGTGAGTGACTTGTTTCTCCCTTCTCTTTGTCTTTGTTTGCTAATCGGATATGACTCGTGCAGGCATCGGCCGAACACATACAGGAGGAACACTTCCGCGCCGCTCAAGGAGAATACATGGCGTTCGTGGAGGGCATCCAGCACGCCGAGGACGACGAGCACACAGAGGTAAGGATTAGACCCTTTACGATCTTACCAAATTCAGCGGCTAACAAAATTGTATTTAGCCGGAAGACAACAACCGGTCGGAGCCCGGGTCCGTCGACTCGGGGTATAGGTATCTATACCTCGACGAGCCCAAGTTCAAGCGAGGATTCAACTCCTCCTTCGTCCGGGACCCCGCAGGAGCCGCCGCGTACGAGCGCGCCACGACGGGCTGGGAGGACTTCGTCCAACGAGCCAAAATGAAGGAGATCAGCCAGGAGGAGGCCCAGCCTTCGGGCCCGAACCCCCTCCTGATGCTGATGGAGGCGGCGGAGGGGGTGGAGGCGGCTGGTGCACCATCATCAACTCCCGACAAAGCACCAGCTCGCTCAGACGCGCTGCCGACGGCGTTGCTCGCTCTGGCGGACGCCGTCGAGCAGCGTGGTCCGCTGCCCACCCCCTCTCGCCCGGGGACCCATCGAGCCATCTTGCCCCAACCCACCCAGCCTCAACCAAGCCAGCCTCAGCCGCAGATGGCTCATGGGATCCCCGAACCTCCCTCCTTCCTCCTCCCACGCCCGTCGTCCGTACCGCGGCGGTTCCTGCCAGCACAACCCCAACCCGGACCCGGGCTCCCGGACCCGTTCGGTGCCCCTGGCGGCGGCCCTCCGCAACTCCCTCCGCCGCCAGGGGTCACTATTTCCCGGCCTGGCTTCCTGTCGGGGCCCCAGCCTGGGGTTCAACACCACCAGGCGGGGCCCCAGCAGTACTACTATCCCCCGCTGCCGCCCCCTCCGCAGGGCCCCTCCCCTCCTAACCATCCACGGCCGTATTGAGGGCCTGCGGAGGGGTGCGGGAAAGTTTCTTATGTTGTTTCTTTTGTCTTTTTGTAGTGTTGATACGCTGGGATTTGGAGATACCTATTGCTCTGGCGTTTCCCCTGTTATCGATCAGTGTGGTGTACTTGTCACAAGGGCAGTCAAACCCCCTACTGGAGGATTTGTTTCAGACATTCACACACAAGGGCGTTGGGGGCTGGTTTACTATGTGTTCTCTTCTTTTCCCCCCGCAGCCTTTTTTTTGTGAGGCAGTGAGACTTGGGCCAGTTGTTTATTTGTTTTCTCTATATCCTGTACACGTGTTGTTTCTCTCAGGGTAAGCTCAGGCTTAGGATTTGGTTGGCGTTATTTTTTTCCCGTTTTCTCTCCGATGTACGTGTTGTTTCACCATAAAGCTGGTATTGCTGTTGCTGCTGCTGCTGCTCGTTTGAAGCCTGCAAGCTTGGACAGGTGGATTGTATTTTTTGTTTCTTTTATGTTATGAGGGATCCATCGTTTGTCTTTTACTTTACCTTCTCTCGCCATGTAATGTAATGTGGTGTATGTATGTACATATGTATCAAACGAAGCATGTCCTTCCTGTACAGTACATTAAATCAAATTCTGAGAGAACAAGAGTCTACGTAGCTTATCAAACGCTTGCTTTCTGTGCCATTGCTGTATATATGCAGTATACGTATACGTAATGTATGTACGAATCATCATAATCAGTGTTTTTCTTTCTTTCTTCCTTTCTTTCTTTCATACTGTACTAAATCAGTCAGTTATGTCTTCTTGTCCTTTCATCTCATTTCATTCCTCAGTGTATGTCACCACCCCTCACCCTCTCTCTTCCCTTCTCTTTCTCTCTATGTCACATAAAGAATTATGTTTTTCCACCCCACCCCATCGTTGGAACACAAACAATGCGACCAGAAACGGAGCAAGAAAAAGATGATTTCCATCCAAATGACGCATTGCCAACGGCTAATTTACCCATGGTCAAGGAAGAAAAAAAACAAGGAGAAATAAAAAATATGGTACGAGAAGGCAAGTAACTCGGCCATTAACCAGGGAAAAAAAAGGGGGACGGCCGAGAGAGAAATTTTGTGGCGATAATAATAATAGTAGTAGTAGAATAGTAGTAGTAGGGATAAACATCTTTTTATATTTAATAGAAACTCTCCACAATACTCTCTTTGTTGACATTTCCCATCCCAAGACCCTTGGCACCCATTTCACCAAGGCGGAAGACACTCTCCACGACACTCAGCTCGGTGGCAGTCGTGTCGAGACCGGTAACGGCCAGCCAGTCATTGACGACCATCCCAGCACCCACGACAGGGCTGCCGCGGTTGACACTGCCAGCAACAAGGGGCACTTGTAGCAAGGATGAAAGTTCATCCTGGTCGCGAATGGATGTTTTCGGGTGAACGATGCCTCCTTGGTTGGAGAGAGCCATATACGAGCCTGTGAGAACGTTGTCGGCAATGGTTTGGCGGAAGACTTCGACCCCCAGTACATCGGCAATTCTATATGGTTGGAACACGAGTCAGCCATACAAACATCATCCGATAGTAATGTCTCATAGAAACAAGACGCCAACGCACATCTCTTCCGTTTCCCGTTCAAGATCGGGATGTATGAGCGCTACATGGTCATTACAGCAAATCACATTCCCCAATGCCGAAAGACGCTCTTCTATTCGTTGTATCTTTACCGAGTCTGGGAGAGAATTTCGCAAGTGTTGCAATTCTTGGTCTGTAGTCGAGGTTGGCACGAGGAGACCCTTGCGGTTGCTGTATATCAAGTTCAATTGCGGTTAGCCGTATGTATCCCCCTGCCTCAAAAAAAAAAAGAGTGATGCAATTCCTGTTTTCGTTTTTTTTTACTGATCCAATGCATTCACATACCCAGCGGTTAACCGACCAACAATGCGGGTACCAGCGATCGTTGCATGGCAAATCGGAATGACGTCTTGTAATTCCGCCTCGAAAACACTACACGAGAAAGAAAGAGACCGCATCTCAGTATTTCGTCCACTTCTAAATCCAGTCGCATGAAAAAATACCTGTAGAAGTTCTCCGACCCGCCGATGGCGACAAGAGCATACGAATTTGTGAGGGTCGCAAAGACGCCGACTCTGAAGTAAAAAAAATCCAATGTCAGCTAAGATCCTTAGGACAAGGAAAGGGAAAACATATGGTATTCAGAGGCTGAAAACACTCACTCGTTGGAGTTCTCAAACTGCGCACGAACCGCCATGATCAAGAGCTATCTTTCAAAAAAAAATTCGACGACGGATATTGCCACGGGTAGACGTAATGAGTAGCAGGGGAAAGACGTTCAACGTCTCCCTGAGAAAGCCAACAGAAGAGAGAGACTCCAGGAAATAGAGGAAATTCGAGTCGTTGGCAACGATTCTTTTGTGCGATGAGAGAAAGAGGTCGAGGTCAAATTCGGATCGATCAGTAGTGAGGGGAAATGCGGAAAGCACACGCGAGCCTTCCAACGGGGCGCAGGAGAGCTCAACAACCGGTACGGGACGAGTCCGCAACAGTTCCTGACGGCCTTCTTCTGGTGCTGAGGTCCCGCGCAAATATTTGGGCCTTTTTAAAAATAATTCGAAAGCTGGAAGATTGTAGTAATCGCTTTCAGCGCCGCGATGGCGACGGCGGAGACTTTTTGCGCCCCGCGGTCCGCTACAGAGGGCGGCTAAGCCCGATACGGATGATGCATGCAGCGGGAGCTGCGAGGAGTCATCAATGCAGCATCGAGTCACAGAAGAGTCATCCCAACCTCAGTTGAAGTCCGATCGGGCATAAATGATGAAATTTCATTCGTCACATTGACAACCAAAGGCCCTTTTGTTTAGTCTCTTCTTAGTTACAATAGACGAGTCGCTCAGATCACTCATCACTCGTAAGCATGAATACAAAATGAATAATACTACAATGCGAACCTGCAATGGCATATTCAAAGTTGCTTCCAGTAGAATATCGCTCTAATAATCATCGTACAACGCCAATGCCTTCATGCGAAGTTGAAATACCCGAGTGTGACAAGTCGTCGTCAAGTCCCACAGATGGGTGCTGTTCGGACGGCGGTGTTGAAGACTTGCGTCTTTTAACTGGAGAAGCGTCGTCGTTCTCGACATCCGTGTCATTGGTTGTGTCTCTCTTGCGTTTTGCTCTATCCCCATCTTCCTCGGGGTCGATTGGAGATAGCTTCTTGCTGTCCACTTCATCGTCGGAGATGTTGGCGTCGCCATCATTATCGATCTCATCATCCTTTGCATCATCTTGTGTCTCGGCTAGATCCGCTGACTCCCCTCGGAGTGGTGGTGATTTCGATCCGAGCTTACTGTCATCCTCCTTCCCATCCTCTTTCTTGGCTTTGGCTGCTTGAGCCACCTTCTCCGCTTTCTTTTGCTCGTAAGCCCGGTGTTTTGCGACTGCTTTGTCAAAGTATTCCTTGCAGAACTTTTTCACTTTCTTCTGTTGCTTTTCGCTGATTTTGGTAGGATCCTCGACTCTGTTATTTTTGAAATCGGAATTGACCAGCTTTTTCGCGACCTAAACCACCAGACATTAGAGATCGATTGCCTTTGCTTTTGTCGATGCGACCAGCCCTACCTCTTTGGCGTATCGTTTCAGATCCTCCCTCGGGAGCTTCTGCCTGAATTTGTCCATGACGTACTTGACGTGAGGAAATAACTGTGATAAAACATCAGGATCCCTGCTTTACTTATGGACCGATTTGCGTTGCTCACCGTATTCTCGTAGATTCTCTTTTGTTTCTCTTCCGGATAACTCCTCCATTTCTCTCGGCCATTTTCTTTCTCGGAGTCCTCTTTCGCTGGTGTGCTGGGTGTGGTGGTCTTGTCCCTCGGTGTCTGTGTCTTTGACGACGCCATAATCTCGTCGATGATGTTCTGCACCATACTTCTCATCTTTGCATTACTGGGCGGCAAGTCGGGTGCAGGCAATGTTGGTCTGACCCAGGTGACATCACCCCGTTCTGTATAGTAGTAGGTCCTCCCCTTGTCCTGATGCTCGAACCAGCCCGGGGGAAGAGGTTGTCGGGGAGGCCTGGGGCCGCGGTGATAGTGACTTCGGTGACCATAGCCACCCCGAGTCTGAGCGGCAGGGCCACGGGGTGCTTCGATCGAGGGGGATCTCGAGCGGGATCGTGATCTTGATCGTTTTCGTTCCTCACGGGGCGCCTCTCGTCGTTCAAACTGGCTGACTACTTGCGGTGTCGTAGTCGCCGTAGGATCCCGTTTCATGCGGGGAATCCGATAGCCGACCTCCAGGGTTGACCAAACTTCCATGAGGGCTTTCGCCTTTGTCTCCACGCGCTCGTCGCCATATGTGGTCAATGGCTGGACCGTAGATTCTATCTTCGAGTCAATGATCTTATTGCGGGTGAGACGAGGAAGTTTATCGAGTATATCCAGGATCTGTAACACGACATTGACATCGTCCTTCCAGGTGCTGAGCTGCGAATTGAGGATCCGATAACCGTGCATCTTCACGACCCGATTACGGACGCGCTCATCCTCGCAACGTTGGATGCGCCCCAATAGCTTGACAGCGATCCATTTCTCGTTGCATTGCATCAAAGCCGCCATAACCTTGGTGACCCCATTCTCATCCAAGGATTTGGGCTGGACGCTGTCCACATACTCCTCGTCAGCCTCTTCGGTCTTCTTCTTCCGTGGCCGCTTGGCGACTGCAAGGTCCCAGTCATCTGCATCTTCAATCCCAAGAGCTTCGATAGTGGCATTGGACAGTTTCGTGGCTCGCTCTGTCTGCGTCTTCCCGCCAATAAAACCGGTGCAATTTGGTTCCCCGCAATAGCAAGGCTGAGGATCTGCTCCATAACGGTCGACATTGTAGTTAAAAACAAGTTCCTCGCCTGCCTTGATGTGTCGCTCGGCAAAGATGCCCATGCGAAGTTTCTCACCAACAACCCATTTGTCGACATAGCAGTTGGGGTTGCACGAGTGATTGCAGAAGCGAGCCAGGTTGCCCTTCTTCGTGGCGTCCACGAATTCTCCTTTGTTCAAGGACATAAAATAGAAATGCTTAATGCCTTCTTCGTCATATTGCCGCATCCGACGCCGAAATTGTGCCTCATTGATGACTTCGCCGACGTACTCGTAGATGAATTGATGGGGTCGCAGATCAGTCTCGGCACGAAGTCCGAAGCCTTTCTTTTCCGTCTTGATGACTGTCACCTTAGCAAACTCTTTTCGCTGAAATCGCTGGTTTTGGCAATCTGGTCCGCAGCCGCAATCGCCCAAACACTCAATCCTAGTCGCTCGATTGATACAGTCGGAATCCTCTCCGCAAGCATGGTTTTTACCAGCCACAGGATCTGAAATTCTCAGTTAGAAGCAGAACATCAGAGAGTTTAAAAGGGCAGGGTTCAAAAGACAGGGTGTAGGCCATCAACTTCCGTCGCAGGCATGCGAAACTGGCAAAGAGGGCAGTAATAAAAGGACAATCCAAAAGTGTGATCGGAAGATTGGAGCTGCATCTTACCCCACTCTTCGGAACAGTCACACTCCATGGCATGTTCCGTGTATCCCATGTATTTGTTAGCATAGATACACTCATCGATAAGTTCAAATGTCGAGCAGGCCTCCTCAAGGCTGTCCGGAAGATGATTAAACAGCTGAGGCGGTCGAGCAACCACCTTCTGAGATGAGCTGCGAGAGAGTTTGGGTGGCTTTCCCGGCTCCAGCTTGACAGTGATGTCGCCTCCAACCTTTTGCTCCATGTCATCGCTGGCGGGCTCTGCCTTGACAGGAGAACGGGTTTGGCTCCCAGATTTTACAGCAGATGAAGAAGCCCTGTCTGAAGAATTTTGGGCTGTGACTTGAGCCTGTCCAGGTGAACCGGGAGCGCTGTTCACAGGGTCATCCTCAGCTGATCCTCCATTGGAGGATGGGCCGTCTGCGGGACCACCAGGGTCCAGCTTCATGTCGGAGACTGTATCGGCTACTGATTCTTGCTTCACATGCTCATGGTCACAAGGAGTCATGTCGACACGGTTATCCTGTAGCAGAAAGAAGGACAGATGGAGTGAGTTGACTTGAGATGAAGGGCAGAGGGGAGAAGGGTAAGGTTGACGGAGGACGTTTTGGTTGGCCGCGAGATGCCAAGAAATAAGAGTGAGAGAGCGAGTCAAGAAAGGGATCGCCCAACTTGGCCTGGGCGTACCGCAGCAGCGAGATGGGCACAATAGTCAGCGGAACAAAAGAATCTAATCCAAGGAGAATCGCTCAAGCTGAGTAGTGAATGTGCTATGCGAAGCTTTGTGGGGCAGCCAATTCGATGATTGCGTGGGAATCTCAATAGCAGAGGCAAGGTCAATAGGGAAAAAGAGGACCCCAAAGCGCAGTAACAGTGAATGACAGCTTCTCAAATAGGCCAAGGAAAAATTGGAACACGCCGTTCAAGTTTGACGATAATTTAAAAAAAATATTAACAATAAAACAAAATAGGATTTTCTTTCAAAAAGCCAATGTTGCGGCCTTCTCCTCTATTCTTGTTGCTGTACTCTGAATGACTTCTTTGGCCCCAGTGAAACCTCCCCCGGCGCCTTCACTCCGGAGGGCCTCGGGATGTGAAACCGGCCAGTCTGATATTTCAAGATGAACGTGCCATGCGATTTATTTCATAAGAGAAGGAATGCATGGGGGAAGGCGAGAATGAGGGACGATAGGAGGGACGGCTGGCAAGATGAAAAGTGGTTCAGGTTCCTTCCTTTCCTTTTGGTTGAGAGGTCCGTAACAGGCCACGAATGGAAGGCACGTCGGCGACCAAGGGCTGGCGGAGCCGACACCCGCCGCTTTCCCCAACGCCGCAACTTGGGACAGCTTCAACCGCACTCGCCACTCGCGATGACCAATCACACCACTGGCTGAATGGCACTCAAATTCAGAAGCAGGCAAAAAAAAAGTTCTCATTACAAGCTGTCTGAGTACCTAGTTAAGCAGAGGACCTCCGGTGCGCCTCTGTTTCTCTCGCTGGACATACAGCAAATGGTCGATCCTCCCTCCTCACCCAACTGGAACTTCCCGTGGCCCCCCTAGAAAAACGGACGGGATAGCCTATGATTTTGATAAAAGTCAAGTACCATTGCTCCGTCACAAAGAGCCCCTGAGCGCAAAAATTGGCAGCTGTTAATGCAGTCTTTCACTCTGCGCGCCGATAGGGCCGATTTAGTAGCCAGAACGCCCGCCCATATCACATTGTTGAACAGCCGGTAGTGAGGTGGTAAAGGACAAGTATCCTGCTATCAACGTCAATGAGAATACACAGCAGACACGACAGTCACTAAGGGGAGAGGTTGATTGTGGAACTCGCAGTAATATTCCCGGTAGAATTCTGTTCCGTTGTTGTCAAATCACTGGAAGGCTCAACCACGAAGTCCTCGTGGGATGGGGCAGAAACGATCCCAGGTGAGAGGCGACTTGCTTGTTCTAATAGATCAGGAGTGCCAACGTGGCAAGCATCGAACCGGCCCAGCGTTGTTGCCGTGCCGCGTGCCTAAGGAACCAACTGGCGGTGTAATAGTGGTTCGTCTATAAAATAATCGAGAGAGCCGCAGCATCTTGAAGATGAGGAGGGATCAGGAACAGTTTCAGTCCTTCATCTGGCACGCGAAGCCATCTTTCGATTGTCTCTCCTTCTTTTTTTCTTTTTTCCCCGTGGTGCCTCTTCTATCTCTCCCTCTGGACAGAAACATTATCATGTAACATGACAGGTCAGCAGGTCAGACTTTGTGGGCACACCAAGGCGGCCCCGCGCTCTTCGCGACTGCACGGTGGGCAATTTTCCGAGGAACACGGGGGAGTGGATCGATCTGCGATAGCCTGGATCGTGGCAGAGCACAAGATGGCATATATTCCTCAGCGATCGTCAATGTCTCTCTCGACCCTCAGGAAGGGTGTTGTCAGTGGGCAGAGAGAGGCGCGGCGAGGGGTGATTGGGGAGGGGCAGGCGCCACCCTCGTGAAGGATGCGCGGGGATGCAGCAGCGCACCTTCCGGGAATGCTGGACTACCCGCACCCGCTGAGTGGCTGCAGCAGCATCCAACCTCCTCGCCCGAGCCCCCCGGCTAACAGATCGATGAAGGCGATCACCCGCGTCCTTAACGGCGGGCTTACAAGTTACGGAGAATTCCCTCCTTCCCTACCTTGCATGGTTGGACAGGATCCTGAGCTGCCAAGCTGTCATGTGTGCCCTTGTGAGACGAATGTGGAGACGGCGGGATTGCAACTTTTGGAGGCGAATCCACCACGGCGCTCTTACAAATCGACACAGAGCCAGAGCCAGATGCATCTGGGAACGTATGTCGAGAAAGCTGGCTTGAGGAAGCTCAAGACGAGCTAATTACTGCATGGTTGAGCGTGACTTGAATCCTGCATGATCGGGCCCGCCATCGACCTGGTCGAATCGACGGATTGCACGAACCACCATTGCCATTAGTGGTTGGTTGTCGACGCACTGATCGGAACCGCAGGCGCTTCGACAGCGGCGGCGCGTGGAGCACTGTCGAGACAGGAGACTTCAGACAGCGAGGCGAATCGATCATCCAAAGAGTTGCGATTTGTGTTGCACGGTCTTGCGACTCCGATACCGTCGATCGTAAAATATTATATCGAATTAATGATCGATCATATTGGACAAACGCCCGATGCACCCAGCCCGTTAGGTACAGTATCAACCAACGCGTCCCACGTCTGCTGCTATTTCCGGGTAGTCAGCAAGCTACGGAGTACTCCGTAGTGTCGCGTCGACTTCCCTTCGACGATGGATTGATTTTACTTCCCTTGAAACGGATCGTTATTATCCCAATCAACTAACCATCTACAACCTGGGAAGACTCCCAGGTGGCCAGAAGTCCAGGACAGCCGGTAGCGAGTACCCGAAAACCAACCACCGTGACCGGTCAGAACTGTGGACAGGGTACTTTCGTATCAGCGCGCAGGACGGTGATCTATCGTCCAATCATTCCCCACACACAAACTAAACGACTGCCCCCATCTTTCATACTCTGTCCTTGGGGCCGTCAAATTGTTGTACTCGTTATACAGGGCGCTGTTACTACTGTGCGACGACACGATACAAAACCGTAGTGCACCCCTGGGAACATGGCGATTTTTTGTTCAGGACCGCAAACAGAAGACCGCTGTGACACCATCATTTCCAGTTCTCAATGCCACACGCTTTGCTATCTCGGGTCATTGATCGATTGGATGTCATCTTACGTTGCATGCGACATGTTTCTGCCTGTTTATTTTCCCTTGCTGGCCCAATATTAATTTATTATTCCGTCCCGCGTTCCTGATGGCTTTGACGGTTCATGCAAAGCCCCGCGGACCCCGGTCTGTTAAGATGCAGACCATGACTTCTCTGCTGTTAGTATGCATGCACCCCTCCTACTACACTGCTAACTGCTGGTCCCTCGCGAGCGTTGAGTCCCCTCGAATCATGACACGGCCACCCACACAGAAAAATTGGAGCTCATCATGCATTGTGCCGCTACGCGCATGGAGATACATGGAGTGGACTGGACCGTCTCCCAGCACTTCCAGGTCTGGCTGGTTTTGCAGGGTCTATTTGGGGCGCCCATCGTTGTCGTCCACGCGGTCTGGCTTTGCCAGCCCTTGCCCCTCTTTTATGCATCTTGTGTATGCCCTATGGACGGAATCAATCAATGATCATTGCCTCGCCTGGTACATCTCGGATACTCGAGGCTCACAGTAACATGCGTCATTGGCTCTCTACGGGACTACATACAGAGTAGTCGGAACAAATGCATGATCCCGATTGGCTCTAAAGTTCCTTTTGGCAGGCCGGTCTTTTAGAGTGGGATTTCACTGGATGGATCCTGAATGTCGCCTTCAACTAATTTTACCCTACTGGCGTACATAGTAATTAGATCATGTTATTATTATTATTCCTGAGACACAGAGAGGTTTGTTTCTATTCCTCTGGAGGTAAGTGTTCCCCCAATTTTATGAAGTTGTCCCGCTTTCATGTTACAGTTGCTCCCGCTCAAATGCTGCTTACCCACCACGACCACACGAGTACTTTACTTTTGTGCAGTATGAAGTCTTCCATCATTCTGATATCCATCACGTCTATGAGGGGTCGCTTGTTGTGTTGGTCCACGCTGCGACTTATGTACACTCGCTTGGGGCTGATCGTTTGCACTATCGCGCTGCCAAGGCCACGCCGCAGAAGCAAACATCCCTTGAAAGCTTCCGACGATCAAACTCGCACCAGGGTCCATGCGTTTTGCTCAAAGCGAAACCGAACTAATACGGGCGCATGGTCCGTGGGCCCAGAAATTCCGCTTCTATAACTCCACCCGGTTCCTGTCTCCAGGCCGATTTTTGAACTAAGCCGGAGTAGTCTCTGGCGTCCACGGTGGGTTCTCCCAAGCCACACAGGGCT